CAGCTCGTGTTTGTTTCTTTACCCGAGCTGTATCGGTCGGCTGAGGAGTCGGGTTGAGTCGGTTCCTGGGTCGGTTCCTGGGTAGGCTGTACCCCCCCCCGTGTTAAATCCACTGTCCCCTCGTGTTACCTACCCCAAAACCTACCCTGGAACCTACCCTGGAACCAGGGTAGGAATGCCATTTTTGGCTAGTTGCTGCAGTTTCAATAGTAATATTTTTCTTAAGGTAAATCCGCATTACAAATTTTATTTCTCATGCTGGGAAAATTTGTAATGCATTTCTACGAGTGCGATACTTTTGCATTTGATAGAACTGTTGGAGAAGCAGATCAAGCCGACAGCATATTGCGAGGAAAAATTCCCCCTGGCCATAACGGAAACGAAATTTGTGATGCTGTATTTGAGTACACAAATCGACTTGTATTGCTAGAAGGCCAAGAGACGCAGTCGCGGCCTCGTTTGCAGGCTATTTGTCATGCTGTTTCCCACTTCCAGCGGCCTCCTGTCATGCTGAAGATGCAGCGGCTTGTTCCCAGGCCACCCAGCACTGCAGTCCTTGACTTTTTTCCCCTCTAAAATGACAAAACGACTTGTGTACACAAGTCCCGCATCACAGACTTCCATTTTGATATGGGGAGGGGAGATCTTTCATTTTGATACGGCACGGGAGCAGTACTTGCGGATCCAAAACCTCGAGGGGGAGTTGGCGAACGACATCAAAATGCGGCTGACGACGGACTATTTGATGGTGCAGTCGGACTTCGCAAACATCTCGCACTATTACAATGAAGAATGCCCGCACCCCCCAATTTGCAAAAATTTGTCATGCAAAGTTTCCAAATGAAAGCTTTTTGTCTTGCATGAAAGAATTGCGAGCCTTTCTGACGCAGAATCTAGGTGCGTAAGGTGCCTTGTGCATAACAGATCCGGCTACTGTTGGGCCCCTTCGCAACACAAATTCGAGCTATTCAGCATGGAAAATTTGTGATGCTGAGATATGCAAGACGGGAAATGTTTCTTATTCTTTCTGAAAGGTTTGGAATACATATGGTGCCAAGGGTGGGGTGGGGGCATTTTTCACTGTAATACGCACGAGATGAAATTCATCGAGGAGAAGGTAAGTACTAGATTGTTGTTACTATCGCTTGTTTCAACGTCATGATCTCATGGTCATGCAAAGCCTAATGCAAGAATCATATCAACCTTGTCCCAGTGTTCGTTGACGTATCTATTCTGCATGGAGTTCTTGTAAGTAATCTTGCAGGTAAGTGCCTTGTCCGCGCAGAAAGCCGAGTTGGAGCAGAAACTGCAAGAGATTACCGAGAAGACGACAAAACTCCAACAAGAGAATAAAACCATGTTCGAAGAGGTTGGTTTTGGGTTTCATATGGAGTTCAAAAGTATCGTACTCGTATTGCAATCATGCATTACAGTTCAAAGGTAAATCAGCATTACAAATTATAATTTTATTTCTCATGCTCATGCTGATGAAACTTGTAATGCATTTATACGAATACGATGCTTTTGCAGTTCATATTGCAAGCGCGGAAGCAAATCCCCGATAAGATCAACGAGGCGGAGGAGAAAGCCCGGCGGGTTTTGTCGGCGCTGAATCTGCAAGAGACGCAGTTGATAGAGAAAATAGAGGAGAACAAGAAGAAAAAAATCGAATTAAGCGCGGAATACGATCGGACGAAGGAGGAATTGCATCTCAGCAGGGACGATTTCGAGAAGGAAGTTGCGAAAAACACGAAAGTATTCTACAAACTGCGGGCGGCATATGCAAGAAAAAAATTGTGTAAGTGTAACTTTGTATATGCAGAACATGCAACAGAGTTACACCTGTCATTCCAGACAAGCATGAAGTCCTCTTTTCATGTGTGTTTTCCCTTACAAGCCACGCATGACAGGTTTCGCTGTCTTTGTGATGCTGCCAACCAAGGAAAGTTACACTAACACAGTTTTTTTCTTGCATACGGCAAAGCCCTCAGTTAGTACGAAGTACGAGAAATTTTACATAAAGTCGTAGCTGATTGTCGTGTTTTTCGCTAGAAACTATAGACATTACAACTCTTCTAATGATTGACTTTTACTATCAATGCAACCAAAAGTTAGTAAACTACCCATGGCATAATTATGACGTGATATTCTTGACTTGAAACCAAGTTTCGATTCTTGTAGATTTTGCTTCCCACTTTGTACAAAGGAATCTAGCCGACATTGGCTTAACAATTGTTTCAAATTTTTGTCTCAAGTAAATTATGTACAAACTCTACCAAGGAGTCGTCTTGCAACTCATTGTACGAACACCACTTTTCTTGACCGCAGGACGCTTTGCACGTGCACCCCATGAAAAATGCAGGAATAAAGCGAATTAATGTATTAAAACATTGTGCCGCAGGAGGATGTTGGCAGGAAAAAAAAACACATTGGACGAACACCAGCCTTTTCAGGGGCAGTGAGAGGATACTTACACTTAGGTACCACCGCCTCCATCTGTTACCATGATCGGACACGGCCCGCCGGGCTGTTTGTGCAGCTTGAGGACGCGGTTTGGGGGGAGCGCTCAGCTACTTCGTCTGGTTTTCGTTTCGGTGTGCTGATAGCATCGGCATTTTTGCATGTTGCACTGACTCGTGGTCGTTCTCCTTGGCATTCTAGAAGTACCACTGATCGTCGTGCTGGAGAGTAGAGGTGGACAAAAAGAAAGTCGTGGGAAGTTGGAGTGAGGCGGTTTTGCTTTTGTCCGGCGGTTCATGCAGGTTCGTGTTTCCAAGTCGTTATCGTGAACCCGAGCAGATGACCGATGCGCAGTCGCTTGGGAGTAGAGAGTGCTTTCTCCTCCAAACCATACAACTGTAAAGCATTGACCACCATTATAGGCACCCCACCCTTGCGCGCGGTGAGAAGGAGCAGCTCTCCGATACTTGTGGTAAACACCACGCTTCTGCAACGTCGTGTAATTACAATTTCTTGTTCGGATCGGCGAATTGAAATAGACACAAGCTACATCTACATCAACCATGGCCTCTCAAAAGCTGCGTTCAGCGCCGTTGCAGGATGTGGACCCGAAGCAGATTACCATGTGTAAAAACGCACATACCCCATAGTCAAATCGAGAAGTTTAGATCTTATCTGTCAGAAGGCGGCTGCGCATGGGAAGTTTGGATCTGTACTGTAGTCTTCGCGGCTTTACTTAGCGACAGCGAGGGCAGGTGCAGTCGCAGCACAAATTTCCTTGCTCATCCGGGTTTCCGGGGAGATGATGCATCATGTTGGGGTTGCGCATGAGATACATTTTTCGCCTGTGAGACTTGCATGACAAAAACTTCTCGAGGTTGGGTACGTTCTATTTACACATGATACAGATGGTGGAGTGGGTCCAGGACAACCAGCACGCCATCGAGGAAAACGTATGAGAGTGCAGAACTCCCCACCTTGCTTTCCATTTGTCATGCAAAGTGCAAATCCAGTCTTCGCCTTCTGGCACAGTGTGCATGAGAAAATCCAGAACCGGCCCAATTAGTATTAGACTCGGGGCGAAGCTGCAACCTTGTCATGTACAGGCTTCGTGTTTCGGGGTGTTTGTTTCTACTGCTCCTGGCCATGATGCCCGCAGACGTGTGGGGGAGTTGTGAACGGTCATAAAACCTGGTTGCTTTTGAGAAGCTGGACAACATACTGGACAGGGTAAGTTCTCATTGAGAATTTTTCAGATCAAGACAACATGAATATGCAAGAATGTCGTGTCTAGCAGTACGCACCTTATATCACGATTTATTTATGTAGGTGGCGTACATTCGGCAGCAGAGGCAGGAGCATTTCGAAATGATGGTGAACGCTTTTTTACGGGTGCACAAGAATGGCCAAAAAGAGATGCAGGGGTACCTCAGCCTGCTGCACGAGACCCATTCGATGTCCGTAGATCCAGCGGCGAGCCGAAAGCTCTTCTGGAAGCAGACCAAGGTCGCCACTGAGGCAAAGGTACTTTCAATTACTTACTACTAGTAGCATTGCTGTTGCATAAAGATTGATAGAGTACGTGTCTGATGTTGCATGGTCCTCACCAGCAAGCGAGGTTGCTCGTTCTGCTGGTGCACTAGCATCGACTACATTTATTTTTGCAACAATCAATCACAGAACGACCCCGGCGGCCAGCCCGAGTTTTTTGTGGAGGCTTTGCGGGACTACGCCTTGCGCGACGACTTCATGACGCACATCTACGTGCGGACCGCGCAGAGAGTATCACAAGGAAAAATCCCCCCTCCCCATATCAAAAGGAAGTTTCTGATGCTGGCTTTGCGTATACAAATCAGGTTTGTCTTGCAATAGAGGACTGCAGGCTCCTGCCAAGCCTGAGTAGAGAGCTTTTGGCCTAGCCGCTTAGCTTGAGCGACGACTATGCTGTAGGCCCAACGGCATCACAAACCGCCTGCATAATGTGGCAGGGCCCGTGGAGTTGTCTTCTTGCAAGACAGACGTGATTTGTGGTCTCAAATCAGCAAGACAAATCTTCAGAAGCATACCGCTTCGATATCGGGAGGGGGGACTTTTCCTCTCAATAGAGAGAGAAGATGGCCGAGAACGTGGCGAAGATACTAGAAGAGCAGCTGAAAATATTGCAAGAAAAAAGTGTTACAGTTACACATTGTGTTGCAGGCCAAGCAAGACAGACAAGCTCTGTCATGCCGGATATGCATAGGAGCGGCGTTTCATACGTGTTTTCCCGTAGGATTTCTGCATTACAAGTTTTCTCACTCATGCAGAGAAATTTGCGTTGCTGAATTCACTACAAACGTGTAACTGTAACACTTTTTTCGTGGGATAGAAAAAAGTCGCATTAGAGTATACGGTTTAATAGATACTTCTGTTGCCTGTTCAATGACATCATGTGCGTTGAGAAATAACTACGTGTTCTTCTGTAAAGCGCTGTAGCCCACGATGAAGAAATAGCAAAAGCAAAACACATGACGACCGTATTGTGAGGAAAAACGTCCCCACCCCAGAGTCAAGATGGGGATTTTGCAACACAAACCTTGAAGTTTTGGGACTCACGCATCACAAGTTGCAATTCGTAGTGCAGTGCAGGTGACGAGCAAGGACAAACACATCACAAAGCCATCTGCTTGTCCTGGTAACAGCATTACAAATCCCAAAACACGACTAGAAACGCCTCTCATGGAGATGCGCATTACAGATGTTCCTGTCATTGCAAATCTGCATCACAACTCTGGTGTGGGGAGGTTTTTACAAATGATAACCGCTTTCCAAGGTCGGACCGTAAGGTCGAAGAGCTTCGGCAAGCTTCGATGACGTATCAAATGCAAATATCAATGGGTCTGGAAACCTGTGATGCTGAAGTGCGCATGATTGCAACGCTTGCATTGGCAGCCAAGCATGGCAACCGTTGCTTGGGGACTCTTTCTGATACCTCACAGGCATCACTGCATGACACCGAAGGCTTCCCACTTGCTGTTCATGCAACACAGATTTTCTAGGAATGCAAGCCACGCATTACAAGTTCCACCTTTCCAGACCCAGACATGTTTGCATTTGATATGACAGCATTGGAGGCAATCAACCAGGAGATGCTCCTCAAGCAGGACTATGCACTGCAAAAGTACCGTACTAGTATAAATCGCATGACAAATAATTTCCTCAGCATGAGAAATGAAATTTGTAATGCGGATTGCACTTGGCAGAACAATTTGTAATGCATAAATGCGAGGATTAGTACGAGCGCGATACTTTTGGAATGCATAAGGACGAACACAGTCTTATGCTGGTCGAGAAGGACAAGCTTGAGGAGCAGCGAAAAGCCATGGAGCAATCTGTCGCGGAGATACAGGACCAGATACAACCGCTATGGGAACAAGAAAAAAATGTGATACAGTTACACCTGGTCGTGATGTTCTTGCACCAGTAGCAGCAGACCAAGCAAGACAGACGAGGCCTGTAGTCATGCCGGATATAATGCTGAGGAGCTTCGTTTCATACGTGTTTACTTTCCTTACCATGATCATCGCCGCATTACCAGTTTCTTGTGTTTTCATGCAGAACAAGTTTGTGTTGCTGTGCTGACTGCATAAAACATAATGCGTAAAAATTGTAACACTTTTTTCCGAGGATAAGCGCTGCAGGAGAAGTACTACCTCGAGCAGGGGAGAAGGATGCAACTAGAGGATTCCTTGAAGCAGATGCAGTCGCGGTATGAAGAACTAGAGATGGACTTGGCGGCAAAGAAGGTATAATAAACCACTTTTTCTTCCTGTTGCGCGTGTTTTATTTCCTCTGTCTCGTCCTATTCTAGCGTTTTTTTTTGTCATGCGGGTCGTGATCGAAGAGCATACGGCGTGGCCTGTCTACTCCACGCATCATATTGAGAAAAACATGTTTGGATTTGCCAGATGACGCTCCGATCCGACGCAGAAGAGTATGGCGAAAAGATCAAGCATATGAACTGCAAAAATGTCTAGGTCTGGAAGATTGCCAGGTTTGTCATGCATATTTTGAATGACCCATGATGTCTGTGATGCATGCTCTAGCATCGCAGATCTATCGAGGGCTTTGCGATGCCTCTACCGCATGAGAAATGTCCTATCCGCGAAGCACAAACTGGAGTCCTCTTGCTGGTCATGCAATACAATTTTTTTTAGAATCCAAACACAGCATCACAAGTTTAGAATCTTCCAGACCCAGACATTTTTGCATTTGATAAAGCATTTAAAAGAGGAGCTGGCAGATTTGGAGAAGGAGAACAAAAGGCTAGAGGACAAGTGCCACCATATGATCCTGAGTACTAAACACGTCCCCACGAGCTCATGCTCCGCTTGGGAAATCTGCAAGACACACCAACAAGCTTTGGCTGTTGCGCATGACAAGTGGATTGGGTTCATCGCAATGTACTAAAAATCGCGTCTAGCTAGTGCAGCAGCATCACAAATCTAGCGTCTCATGCCGATTTGTCGAGCGTCAGAAATTCCAGAACTACATCACATAGGAATAAATGTGTCTCATGGCACCCTCCGCATGAGTAAAGACATCTGAAGCTGCATGCACATCTGCATCACAAGAACTCCGGGGTCGTGGGGACGTTTTTACTAAGGATATACCAGCTGGAGAAGGAGCTCAACGACACCGAAGGAAGTTTAGTGGACGAGCAAGACCGGGGGAGCGCTATGCAGGGCCAGATCGACAGTTAAAAGATTTCCATTCTTTTGTAGACGAGTTGTTTCTGATAGATGAGCATACTGTAAATTCTGTCGATTTGTTAATATTGACAACATGCATGATGGTAGGAGTAAGTAGGCTACTTACTAGATTCTACAGCTTTTCTGTGTTGTACTGAATTCGAACGTCGAGTTTTGATATTCGAGCTGTACTTCTTGTCATGTTGGCAAGTAGAATTCCAATTCCTAGAAGATGAAGAACTACAAACGGCTGAGCAAAAATGATCATCGCCATTTTAGTACCCATGTACCAACCAAATTTTTCCCACCGAAACTCCACCAAACTGGCAGGAGATTGATTCCAAATATTGCGTAAAAACGCGACCACAATGTACGATAACGTAGGACAGCTCGCAAGGACTGTAGTGCGCGTAAACCCCCCCCCCCGCGGCGGAAAAATGCTTGGCGAAAAATGAACCCAATCTTGTATCAAAAACGAATGGAACTACATGACACTGTAGATGAAATTTTGAAAAAAAGACAAATCGTTCGGAAGATGAGAAAGTACGACCGACACGCTTTTCGTCCTCGTACAAAGGATTTTCGCAATTATCAGCTCGTACGTGCAAATGAAAAAAGCTGTTCCACAGCATCGTGCATATAGAAACACAGAGCGAAATCAGAAAAAACTTTTTCGCAAATAGACCGAAAGACAGAACGAGCAGACTGAGAAGGATGAAGATCTTCAAAAAAAGATTGATCGACGACAGAATGAAAGTTATGGTTTTGATGTCGCACGGACGAGACATAATAATTTGGAGTTTCATTTTTCTTGCGCAATTTATTTTGATTTTCCTCACAGGACCTTGTTTCAGTCCCCCAGCAATTATGTACTGCAGCGACAAGAGGTAGTAGCAAGTCCTTGTAGCTTTACGAGCTTCATTACAAGCATAACTGTTCCTTCTACTCATAGTCTTCCTCCCTATAGCGACTCAATATTTATTCTTCACAACAAGTATCAAGTTTCAACATCTTCTAGCGACGATTCCTTGTAAAAAAGATTATTTTTGAATTACACTCGTGAAGATACAAGTAGAACTAAGTCATGAGTAGGACAACTCAGAAGTCGTGAGAGACGACGGACAAGATAGTACATGATAAAAAAATAAAGCAATAACCTGAAATAAATAAATCATGTTTTCCAACCGCGGAACAAAACCCGTCCAATCCTGGACGTCTGCGGTGTACAATCGGGCCTACGATGGGCATATGGATTGCAAAAATGTCTGGGTCTGGAAGGGTGTAAACTTGTCATGCTAAGTCTGGATAGTACAGAAATTTGTGTTGCATGATTACCAAAAATCGTCCACGTTTGAACAAGTGTAGCGGCAGTTTGTCATGCGAGATAGACAAGATAGAGACTTCATAGAACCTGTCATGCTAAGTCCTGCATTGCAGACCTCTTGGGGCATGCAAAATATTCATGACAAGTCTGCATTTTTACAGACCCAGACACTTTTGCATTTGATAGGGCAATCCGCGACCGTTTCCTGGACCAAGTCCGCCGGTACGTTTGCGCCGACGGGACATGACACAAAGACGGGGGATCTCGCCATCGGCCCGGAGCTGCCATCAGTGGTCACCGCATCCGAGATGTTGGCGCACAAAAGTACTTACTTTTATAAGTGCGTGTTGTTTTATATATGTCTTGTTTCTGTTTTATTTGTGCGTATGCGTAAGCAGTTTGCACTTGCAGCGCTATAATGATGTCGATTCCAATTGATTTTACTGGCCTGGATTATAATTTCCAAAATATTTACCAACCTCACATCGAACAGATAAGAACAACAAGAAGGACGGGAAGCACGTGCGGTACGCAGCTGGTAAGTACTGGGAGGACAAAACGCTGGAGGATTGGGAAGAAAACGACTTCCGCCTGTTCGCGGGCGACTTGGGAAACGTATCAAATGCAAAAATGTCTGGGTGATCTGGAAAAGCACAACTTTGTCATGCACATTTTCCATGATCCATGATGTCTGTGATGTATGCCATAGCATCACAGATTTTTTGAGCGCTTATCCATGCGCATCCAGCATGACAAATGCCCTCTCCGCGTAGCCAAATTTGAATCCTCTTGCTGGTCATGCAATACATCACATTGGCATCGAAATGCAGCATCACAAGTTCCAGACCCAGACATTTTTGCATTTGATAAAACGAAGTCACCGACGACTTGCTCGGGAACGCGTTTCGGAAATACAAGACGTACCAGAAGGCGAAAGTGATTCGGAACAAGATATTGTGAGGAAAAATCCCCCCGCCCCATACCAAGACAGGATACTTCTCAAAATTTGTGATGCTGATTTGAGGCCACAAATCGTCTCTGTATTGCTAGAAGGCAAATCCAAAAACCCCGCTGCGTTCTGCAGGCAATTTGTAATGCTGTGTGGCCTATGGAGGATATGCCTGCCATGCTGGGCGCCTACACCAAAACGCCCCTACTCCGGCTTTCTATCTGTCTGCAGTCCTCTACTGCAAGACAATTCCGATTTGTGTACACAAATCCCGCATCACAGATTTCCATTTCGATATGGGGAGGGGGGATTTTTCCTTTTGATACAAGAGAACCGGAAAAACCAGGGGTTACGGATTTGTCTCCTTTGGCCACCCGGAGGACATGATCCAGGCGCTCCGGGACTTGAACGGAAAGTATAAATATTCTTGAGATTATTTTATGATTTATGTTTTTACCTTGGTTTCGGTTGGTCTTGGTATGCAATACAAATTTCTTCCCGTTCATGTACAGAATAATGCATGACAAATTTCACAAAGTTGGAGTGTCTTACTTGTCATGCTGACGAAGATTGATGCCAAGTTCTCTCATGCGGAAACGGCATCTATGCGCACGTGTCCGGGATGAAATGTTTTCGATTTCGTGTGGATAGATTACTTTGCTCGCTTGTCGTGTGGTTCCCGTATGATTCATCAAAAAGCGGCCAGACTACACTAGTCTCGTCGGCTTGTTGTTGTATTGCAGAAATGCTGCTCCTGCTGCTGCATCGGTAGTTCTTGTACAGTTGTTTCCAATTTTTAATGAAAATGTTCTCCGTAATATCACAGGTACATAGGCAACCGGCCCATACGGCTAAAGAAGTCTACTTGGGAAAAGCGCGCCGCGGAGTCAGAACACAACCAGAAGCTGCTCCGTTACGAAACTATCACGGAGGTGAAAAGCAAAACGCTGAAGAAGTTATGACAGTGCACAACTCCCCCTCCCCCTCATTTGTATAGCAGGAACGGCAATGCAAGCATCAATAAGAATGCCGGTTTTGCATGACAAATTTGCACTCGATTCGAATCCTATTTGGGCTAGCAGAACTTGTCATGCAACCAGTGCCACACGGCAGCGACTGGATTCGGGGTTTTGCATGACAAATGAGGGGGAGGGGGAGTTCTGCACTGTCATAGAAGTTCAAGAAGATTCAGAACAAGGAGAAGAAGGACGAGTTGAAGGTTATCAAGCAGAACGAGAAGCATATGGAAGTGTCAGAATCGAAATTCACAAAATCGAAAAATTTGTGATGCATAAAATCGATACCAGTGGAAGCCTCAGTTTGTAAGTGGCGCATGACAAATTTCGGGAGCACCCAAATCCAGTCTGTCATGGTGTTTGGGCAAGGAAGACTGCTCCTGTCATGCTACTCTGGCAGCACATTGCATACCCCTAAACAGGCTTGCAATCGGTCTCATTTGCCTGCTCCCCAATACAGGCCTCCAGTGCCCTACATTTTATGCATCACAAATTTTTCGTTTTTGTCGATTTCGATCCTGACACATCCATAAAGCAGGCCCGGATACTGGAAACCGGGCTTATCTCCGCTGCCGCGCAGAGCAACGCGGAAAAGCAGCACCAGCTGCAGCAGGAACAGCTATGCAGTGCAAAAGTATCGTACTAGTATAAATCGCAATACAAATTAGCTCAGCATTACAAACTTAAATTTGTAATGCTGATTTTCCTTAACAACTAGATTTGTAATGCATAACTGCAATTAGTACGAGTACGATACTTTTGCACTGCATAAAAGCACGCCAAGGCCGAGAAGAAGACGAATTTGGCGATGGCGGTGCCCGTATCAAATGCAAGAATGTCTGGGTCTGGAAGATTGCGAGATTTGTCATGCTGGTCTGGCACGACCAAAAAGTTTGTGATGCGTGTTCAAGAAGGGACCCTTTTGCCTGTCATGCAAAAACGCAGCGTGTCATGCGAAAAACGCAAGAACACAAAGAAGCGCAGATATTTCTCATGCTTGGCTGTGCATTACACAGAGCATTCACCATTCCCAACGCAGCATTGCAAGTTTCCAGACCCAGACATATTTGCATTTGATAGCCCGGGCCGCGGTCCGGCAACATCCAGTACGTGGGCGTGGGGAGGTCCGCATCCGCGGCCGCGAACAACCAGCTGGGTTTATTGAGATGAAAAATCCCCCCACCCCATTATACTCAAACTGGAAATTTGTGATGCTGATTTGTATACACAAATGAAGATGTATTGCGACAAGAGCTTGTCGGCATGATATTCTAAGCCGATTAGGGTGCTGCGCATCCGGCTAGCAGCTGCGCATGAGAAACAAGTTTGACATAGGCGAAAACGCATGACAGACTGACTGCACAATGCGCCACATGGGCGCCGCTTACCTTGTACGCAAGACAAAGCTGATTTGTGGTCACAAATCAGCATCACAGATTTTCTTTTCAACATGGGGAGGGGGGATTTTTCCTTACGATAGGGTTCCCACGTCAAGATGCCGGGGTCCACCACGCAGGCGAACGAGGGGGTCGCGTCCTTCGTGGCCGCGCCCGCGGAGATCGACGAGAATTACGTCGCGCCCAAGCCCATGTCGATCGAGGAGATGGACAAAAACAAGACCCGCCCAAGCTCCTTCGTCATCGGGATTGGCGGAAACTTGATTCAGGACGGACGGACTTACGCCATGAGAGGACGTATTCGATTATTTATTGCTTTTTTTGATACTGTAATTTTAAAAAGTGGATGGGGAGGACATGATGATCATTATCTGTCAAAGATCTGCTCGTGCTGAGTATTTGTTTTTTGTTGTTCCACGCATCATGTTGACCAACAGTGGCGCCTAAAGATGTTGGGATTTGCTCACTTCATGTAAAAACATCCATTACAACTTACAGAAGCGCAACGACCAACGGAAAAAAAATTCATCAGTTTCAAAATCAAACTTTTTCAGGCGACAACCGATAAAAATGCGGGCGAGAATCGTCGTGGCAGAGCAAGACTGCTTCCCCACTGCAGCAGGGCCGTGTCTGAGAGAAATTGTAGCATCCGTAATTTCGTGGAAGGGCATAAGGCAGGATCAATTTTGGGCTCCCAGCTTTTCATTGGCGATTCTCCTCTACACTTCTTTTCCACTACTTGGAAATAGTTGTCCCACCATCAGCACGGCCGACCGGCTCATGGCAGAATGGAAGTGCTGCTTCCGCTGCGGGAGTGCTAACAGCAGCAACACCAGCGACAGATCACTACAACTACTTTGGAGGACAACAGGAGGACATGCCTTTTTGTACTCTGATGATGTACAGCATTCAATAAGAGTATGAAGAGATGAAAGTCCATATTGTGTTGTCCTTGTCTCACCATGCGAGGACCAGAAACCTGATGTCTAGGTGTTAATCTTCTTCCCTTTCTTGTTGAAAAGATGATTCATAGTGGCGAAGTAAAGCGGCCAAGAAGTAGTTTTTTGCTGGTGAAGGGAAGGAATTTTTTTTCGACTCATTCGCCTTTGGTAGTGGAACTCGACGAGTACAAGAAATGGATGTGTAATTGTTTTGTTCCAACGGTGGATTTTCACTGTTCATCGGTTGAAGATGTCCACCAATATGTGTCGTGCATCAAGTCAGTGACCCGGCAGGCAAAGATCACTCTCGTCCCCGAAGCTCCTGCGGCATGAAAGAACAGACGAAAATCGGTCAAGTTCTTGAGGATCAAAATTGAAGATCGAAAAAAAAGATTGCGTTCAACTAGAACAGAAACTGGACAAAACTTGTTGTACCGCCGCACCGTCTGAGTACGATCAGACCAACTCTCGGTAGAAATCCGATCCAACGTTGTACAGACTTGACACAGACAGCATTTTGATCAAGCTGAATCCCGAATAAGTACTTCTTGGGACCAAGTCGGTGTGGGTAAGTGTGGCTCCTACATGCTACAGTACGCGAATAAAGAGTACAAGAATAAGGAACTGCACTTCACGACGAAAAATGGATGCTTATCACGATCATGATGAGAGCGCGCGAGGCGATGCTTTAACGTGGGGACGAGATTTTATTTTTAATTTTTCAAAGTAAGTAACTGCTCGTGCCTTCGTTTTCGGTTTTAAACATGTTCTCGCTCGTATAAGAATGACAATGAAAAAACATTTTCGCTGACAGCAGGCCCCATCTGATTATCCTAGTTATTTGCTCACCTCACAATAATCAAGGCCTTTTTTTGAGCTGCTAACCAGCAATATCTTGTTGTCCCTATTGAAAGCAGCATCTACAGACACTGAAGACTAAAAGTAAATTTGTTTTTTGCCAAAAGGAAAAACAAGCTCGTGAAAATCATTTTTTTGTACAATTAACTTCTGAAGCCGATCCGGCAAGGCTAAATCTTCTGTACCAGCAGAATTCCAATTAGTCACGCCAATTCTACTTGTTGAGTCCTCCCCTTCCCCAGTTGTAGGAGCATATAAAGTAATTTGAGAAGTAGAGCACAACAACTATCGATCACACTGCCCTCCATTGGTATTTTATTATAGCCAAGATTCGTGACTACAAGTACAAGAAAATTATTCAAGTTGTTCGCAACAATAAAAAAAAGCTCCATCGTCCTATTAATTTTTCGTAAATCCTGGTGAAGATGCAGGTCGTTTCGTTTGTAGAGGCAGTGGCACTGCTACTCTCTCTACGAACTGCAACTTTTTGGCTATGGATTTCCATGCCCGCCACTGGTGTTGCGGTGGTGTCGATGCGTGCTCCTGCCATGTCGGCACGAAATTTGCAGGAGTGCTTCGACTTTAGGACGGACGTTAAGTATTTTTGCCATGAAAAGGACAATATGGATGCCGTTCTGGTCGAGTACGTGGAAACCAAGACGACTGCGGGGGCTCTGGTGTACAAGCGCGAGGAATGGGTGGAGAAACATACATCCAAAGATGGGATTACCCGCGATCGCATCAAGACGATTGGGAAGATTGGGAAACTCTTGGAGGCCCTCGAGGCTGACGCGACGCAGCGACTTGAGGATTACAGCGCGGCTTTTCGACAGCACGGCACAGCTGCGGACCCAAGGCTTTGGGCGGAAGCCAAGGAACCCGTCCGCAGGCTGCAGGTTTGTCGGGACTGTTTGAACGCTCGGTCGAAGCTGGTGGCGCGGAAGGATTGCAAGGCAGTGCTCGATGTGGCCTTTCCGATGAGTGTGGGGGAAAAGAAGAGGCACGATATCGGTGACGCTCGGTTATTGGAGATGAGAGACATTATTGCCCCCGCGTTACAAGAGTTCGAAACCGCAAAGGCCGGGTTCCGGAGTCAAACGAAAGGAGCTGCTGTGGCGCCACCAGAAGTTTTGGAGAAGTACAGGCACCTTTATTTTGATTCTCCGGGCGGCCGTGGTAGTGAGTCGGATTCAGACACTGAGCGGGAACGGCAGGAGGCGGAAAATAAGCTGCGCGAGTTCCGGCAGAGTGAGCGGAAGAAATTCCTAGAGGACCAGCGGCTCGCGGAAACGGAACGCAAGCGGACGGAGGCCGCGTGCCGAAAGCAGGAGGAAGAAGAAGCGCTGCGCACCGCTTTCAAAGAAGCCGGAGGGGCAGGACAACTACGCGCCCCGACGGCAGACGAGAAGTCCTGGACGACCTTGGTGGATACCCGAGGAGGTTCTGCACTGCCAAACGAGGTCCTGCAGCGAAAGGACTCACCCTTGACAGACGACGAAAGAAAGGAACTGCAAGTGGCCAACCGCCTCCCCATATCAAAGTGAAAAATTCCCCCTCGTCCCCGTATCAAAGCGGAAATTTGTGATGCTGATTTATTGTGGCCACACATCACCTTTGTTTTAGCTTTGCTGCTTTTGCAAAGAAGCTAGCTACCGGGCATTGCTTGGGGCCTGATCTTTCCTATTCGACTTTCACATCACCCAGAGGCGGCGGGTTTTGTGTCTGGTCTGTCGGGCGGTTGAGGATGCTTCCCAGCGCTTAGGGGAATATCTTCTGAACACTACGCGTGAGGGTAGTAGCGAGTAGTGGACCCCAATTGGACTTCCCTTCACTGCTAAAACGGGTGGTGTTGCGTCGTCCGAGATGCCCGGCTCTCAATGCAATCCGGTGCAGACAGTTTACCTCTAGGAAAATCAAGCAGCTCGAGAACAGTTTCTGGCTCGCCTTGGTAGCTACTACAGTACCGAAGAAGCTTGCGCCATATTGTTTTTTTGCCTATACATAGGGTAATATTAGCAGGAGCCTTTGGCGCATTCTACAGCCAGCCTGTCACGCGCTTTCGACTACTGCAAATAACCGGTTTGCCATGCCTAACTGCTAGCCTTCTGCATTATACCCGAACAGGCTATAGAGGATACCGCCAAGCTGCACTTTGTGCAAGACAAGTCTGGTTTGTGGCCACAAATCAGCATAATTACTTCATATTGTGGGGAGAAGGGATTTTTCCTCACAATACCCCAGCGTGTTTTCGCCGTCCAGGAAGGACCGGGAGGCCGAGAACCAACGTCATGGCCGTGGATACTGGGCCTTTTTCCGGGATGCGTGGCTTTCTGCCGAACTAGAAGAAATTGAGGACGATGACTATGACCTGCTCAGCTGTTACAATCTCAAACTTTTATTTTCCAATGGAAGTAGCTGAGCTCTGTCTTGCAGAAAGGGCATCAGAGAGAAACAGGCAGGGCCTTGTTGCACTTATTTTCGCAATACAAATTGAGCCGAATTCTGAGTGCAATTTGGAGAAGCTCCGGAATTTGTCATGCGTAATAAGTATTAATTCCTCTAAGCTGCAGACGAGTAGGCCGAATGTTGCACTTTTATTTTCACGACAAAATCCGGGTTCCATTGTAACGTTCGACATTGCAGCATCACCTGGGCAGGTTATACCGCAGGAACACGCAAGATTTCACATGGGCAGGCGGTTGCCGACTATATCGTGAAAACAAACGGTGCTTTCGCCTACACGCTTACACGGCTGGAAAGGCACAAGGCAGAGCTTCAAGAGCTGGAGCAAGAGTATGAGACGTTCTCTGGGGCCAGGCTGGAGAGGAACAGACCTCGGGATAAGGAGTTATCGAGGAACTGGAATTATGTGAGAGACCGAATGAGGACATGGGTTTTCCAGGCGGCGAGATATCGAAGTGAATAAAAGCACCCTGCCCCCAGACAGCGCTCTCGACGTTTTTTGTAGTATTGTTAGGCACCAAAATACAAGATACCTATGCGAGTGCGACGCCTCGCGTTTCAGACAGAAGACAGTCGCATTCTGGTGCAGCTGTAACGTAGCTGCAGTTCTTAGAGAGAGATGTGGCTCTTGCGTTATTTCCCCTGCGGAACAGGAACACAGATCGAGATCCGGGCTACTGTATTGTGGCGCTAAAAATTCTGATTGATGCGTGCGTTCAAGGGGGATGAGGAAGAGTAAGTGCCTCTATTCAGACAGAATTCATCGCACGATGTAAGCGCTTCCCCATCTTTGCGGAACACTAGGGGTCGTGCTTTTATTCATCTTGATAAGGGAACCATTAATGATATCCTGAGAAATAAACACCTCGACCTCCCCACTACTCCAGAGTTGTCATGCAGATTTGCAATTACAGGAGCAATTGTGACGATGCGCATCGCCATGAGAGGAATTTTCACTCGCGTGGTGGCATTTTGAGTGTTGTAGACAGGACATGGATATTAAGGAGATGGCTTCGTGATGCGGCTGTCCCTGCTACCCTGCACTACAATACAGAGAAAATGAAAACAAGCTTGTTGTCATGCGCGACACTCAAAATTTGTGGATTCGTGTTGCAGAGTTGGTTCCCAACTTGACCATGGGGCGGGGAAGATGTTTTTGCGCAGGATAAATGAATGTGACGTACCGTTTGCAGATGCGCGGAAAACGTATCCACTTTGGCGGACCATCGTCGAAACGTTACTACTATTCTCTGCAAATATAATGTCAAAGTCTTCTGGAGGAATGCAAGGCCAAGGTCTGTCATGCAGGTTTCGCATCACCCACGCGACGCCTCGAACTCGAAGGTTTGGAACGCTAGCATCAGCTGAAGTTTTGAGAAGGCTCTTCGATGCCTACTCTACTAGAAATGTTGTCTTCGGGTTGTAACCAAATAAAGTGGGTCCACCTTTTAATGTTGCTGGTCATGCAATACAGATTATGGGTTGAGGGGTCGTAAAAGAGGTCATGCAATACAGATTTTTGGGTCGAGCTCGAGCAGACCTGTCATGTTCCGACTCGTCTTCCAGACATCCAGGGATGATTTTTGCACTGAATAGCTACCACATACGACGACAGACCGCGTGGCCGCTATCACCCGAGCCTGGAAAGCGGTGGGGCCGGTGAGCGCCGCCGCGTCGCCGTCGCCGCGTACAACTACCGGGGTGCGGAGGTCGCGGTCCGCACGGAGCACGCCCCGCCGCGGAAATCGGTCGCCGCCGCGTAGTTCGGGGCCGCGGAGGTCTATCGAAAGGAAAAATCCCCCCTCCCCATATCAAAATGGAAGTCTGTGATGCGGGATTTGTGTACACAAATCCTTTTGTCATGGTAGAAAAGGAAAGATGCGAACTCGGACTGTAGTGCTGGCTGGCGTGGGAAAGCCTTGTATAATCTTCAGCATGACAGGAGACAGCTGATATTGGGAAACAGCATGACGAATTGCCTGCAAACGAGGCCACAGCTGCGTCTCTTGGGCTTCTAGCAATACATGTCGACTTGTGTTGTACTCAAATACACCATCACAAGTTTCGTTTGCGATAGGGGGAGTGGGGATTTTTCCTCTTGATAAGGTCGCAGTCCGTGCACAGCACGCGGGAGGGAGCTGACATGAGCGGCGCAGATTTGCGGTTGGAGTTGGCATCTGCATTGACAGCGGGCGACGAAGCAGGCCCGGTGAACGAGGAAGCTGGGCGGGCCACGAATATTGTTCCAGTGCCGAGGTGGTGGGCTAAGCTTTTCGTTTGGATAAATACGAGCAAGGGGTGCGTGGCGACGAAGAGAAAATTTACGGACGACGACGCGCCGATTATTTTTTCCGAGGCTGCCACATGTCTCGAGAAGCAGTACGCGGGTCTTGTTGAGAAAATGGGTGAGGTGTTACTGTTAGTTGAAAAGCTAAGGAAAGAAATATTGGGATTCACTAAGGTGAATGATTTATTTGACATCAAGAAAACAAAAAAGTAAGAAGGCCACCTGCCGCCGCGCTAGGTTACCAAAAAATTCCGTAGATGTAGTCCCATAGCGCCCACGTCGTTTCGCTTAGTTCTAGTACATACCCATAACATCGACGTCATTGCACTTGGTTCTAGCACTAGCGCATTATGTTTTCTCTTATGCTATTCCGCTTTCAGTTTTTCGATTCTACTGACGCATCACCAGAAGTGCGTTGGTGCCAATCGCTTTACCACATGTGCCATCAGAAGTGCACCGAATCGCGAGGGTCACGCATAACATAAGTCATTTAGTTTTTAGGCCTAAGCGCCGCCGGGGCGTCCAGCCCGTAGCTCTCCGATGTCATGAAAACGGACAAGAAATAGAGCTACAGGATGAAAAAAAAACTCGTAGCAGCACGCCAAAGAAAAAGAAAAAACATGCCGACCACTACTTTTGCAAACAGAAAAAAGTGGACGGCGAAACTAACAACACACAACGCATCTGAGGCTATGACTTGGGTGCAGTTTTTTGTACTCCAGAAAAGTGTACTACAATTTTTTTTCCCCTAGTATCCTCCAGTTGGATGCCGATATTCATGGCGTGGGACCGCACACTATGCAAGAGACATCAGTTTTTTACAAACGTTCCAGCAGACACAGCGTATGCAGCACTACCCTGGCCTGATATGCGTGAATTTTTCGACCTGCTGAAGAGACACGAACAACATCCCAAGACCACATACGATAGTGTCTGCGGGAAGAATCTAGAACAGCACAGATCGAAGACGACGAACCTCCCCTAGTAGTCGCAGTCCCCTTTCCCCCTTTGCTAGGCTGGTGATCATGATCTTCACGCTAAACAAAGGTCATCTTTAGCGTCATCTTCTTGTGAGCAGTGATTTCCCATAGTACAACAACACAGCAAGAAGAGAGGACAAAAAGAAAAACGGCACGGATAATTAAAGACTGGAGCTTGTGTGAGCTTGTTTTTAAGTAGCAAGTACAGCCACTTAATACATGTTGCAGTCGAAAAAGTTGTCAGCCGATTCGGCAACTCACTTGAGACCGTGATTTACTTTCATCCGCTGACGACGACGTCGAGTTTGGGAGGGCTTGGCTTCACCCCGTGTTCTAATCTAGCCGTCGTGCGCCAGCTGTAGGGAGTCCGAGCAGCTGTTGAGAGGGGTGCGTGAAAGAGCGAATATCTTTGACAGGGGGCGGAAACGTAAGCGATATTTTCGACGAGATAGTAAGCTTCCTGTGACCACTTCTTCTAGAGTGATATCTCAAATAGAGTAAGTAGCATTCCTTTTTCGTGGACATGCTCCTCCTGTCGAGTGTCGGAGTTAGATATAGAAATTTGAAGTAAAATAAAGTTTTTGAAACAATACAAGCACCGACCACACAACATCAGCAGGAGCGGCAACCCACACCAATACTGCTTTCTTGTTGCCGTCGTCTATTAAGAGCGCGATTTTAGTTGTGATTGTGCAGCACATGAAGACAGAGAAGAAAAAAACCGGGCATTTCATCATTTCCTTTACGAGAAATACAAAGGAGTAGCAAACAATGAGGCTTTATCTTCCTCCACCTCGTCGCACCACTTTGGCCGCGGCTACAGCTCCTCCTGGTCGCTCATTCTTTATCAATCTACTCCCAGTTATCCTGCAAAAGATGATCCTCCTTTGCGAGATTCTGGTCTTATCTTCACACTGCGGATTTTTTTCTCATCTCCGTTCTTGTAGTGCCACTGCCAGCACGACCGCCGCTTCGGGGAAGCAAGAGCGTGCCCGCCCCAACTACTACGACCCGGAGGAGGAGGTTTTCAGTGTGGCCAGGCACCAAGAAGTAGGTGAGCTGCTGCAGAGGTCGCACGACTACCATCCTCTTGAAGACAGAAGGCATGCAGGTGAAAGAACTGCAACTGCAAGGCCAACAGGCTCTGCCTCTGGTCCACCAAGAACCCTGTTTGCCTCCTTGCTGCAGGAAGAACAGAGGCAGCTGCAGAGGCGTAGGGAGGCGCAAACGCAACGGCTCGCCGCCGATGCGTCGAGCCTGCTCACTGCGCATCGTTTCATGTACGCGCCGAGCTCCCCACTGTGGACCTCGGTATCCAAGGCAAATATGTTGTCTGGGTCCGGAAATAAATCGCTAGGTGTGCTACTGTCATGCAGGTTTTCCATGACCACCCGCGAGGTCTGGCATGTACGGCTTAGCATGGCAACAAAATTTTTTTGGTAAAATCGCGCAACAATTTCAAATTTTTTCTTTTTCACGATCCAAATTTAGCATCACAAGTCACACGATTCTTGCACACGACGACCCACGAGACATGTTTGGAATGCATATTCGATCGACCGAGATAAGTGGTTTCCCCCTGACGCCTGCCCGGTTTTTTTCACTGATAATTTCGCCACGCACTTCTGCGAGGAACACAAGTGCGAGCTTCCCTGCTTTTACGATATCAAATGTAAAAATGTCTGGGTCTGGAAGAGTCATGCTGTTTTTGCATCACACAGAAGGTCTGGCATGGAAGCTCTAGCATCACAGGTTTCGAGAAGCTTCCGCAATGCCGAATCCGCATGACAGGTCCCCTATTCTGCTGACAGAAAGTGGGGAGCTTTTGCTACGTATGCACGAGAGACTTTTCTGCGTTCTGAAATACGCATTACAAGTTGCATTCTTCCAGACCCAGACATTTTTGCATTTGATATACGACACGGAAGCGCAATCCTGTATCCTGAGCAAGAACGCCCCCACTCCAGAGTTGTCATGCAGATTTGCATGGACAGGAAGTAGACTTGGTGTATTAATACGCATCCCCATGAGCAGAGGAACCTCCAGTCGTGTTTTGGAATTTGTAATGGTGCGAACAGGATGAGCAGACGCCTTTGTGATCCACGGCTGTACTTGCAAAACTGAACTACAAGAATACAGAGAAGAACTTGCCATGCGTGACTCGCAAAACTTCTGGATTTGTGTTGCCAGATCCTCATCTGGGTCGCTGGGAACGTTTTTACGCAGGATGCCCTGCACTCCGGAAGAGGTTTGTAAGAACGTCGGCGGAGGTCGAGGAAGTGGAGGTACTAGTGCTAGTATCCTGTGCAAAAGTATCTGATACTCGTATTGCAATCATGCATTTTACAAATCTCTTTCTTAACGTAAATCAGCATGACAAATTTCATTCCTCATGCTGAGGAAATTTGTAATGCGTTGATGCGAGTACGATACGGATACTTTTGCACAGGATAGCTAGCAGCAGTAAGAACCAGTGCCAGCGAAAGCCCTGCGCCCAGATCAGTTTCCCGAGTTCGGCCGAGAATGACGAAGAGCTGCTGAGAAGGTACCGCATTTGCATCAACGCGGGCGGTATCAACTGTAAAAGTGTCTGGGTCTGGAAGAATGCATGTTTGTCATGCTTGTCTGGCATAACTCTGAAATCTGTCATGCACGTTACCCAAGAGCTCTATTTTTCTGTGATGCAGAAACGCAGTTTATCATGCAGAATAGGCAACGCCTAGAAGCTCAGAAACTTGTCATGCTGAGCCAGCATTTGTGGCCTCATCATGAGACGCCACCCAGCATGACAAGTTTCCAGACCCAGACACTTTTACATTTGATAGGCGGAGGAGGTGGCAGTGCGGGTATGATTAACAACCCGGTGTCCACCGCCGTGGCGTGCCAGTACGATGTGAAGGGGAACATGTGTGTGATCACGTCTAACAGCTTCGGCTCTTTTTTCAATAAAAAGAAGAAAGCGACCACCTCTGCGTCGTCTTTTGTCTCGGTTGGTACAACCACCACAAAGAGGACCTCCAAAACGAAAATAACACAACGACGAACCAAACGCCAGAAGATAAGAACTAGTACGAGGCAACTGTTGTGGAAAACGAAATCGGCTGGTGGTGCAACGACCACTTCTAACGTGAAACAGGCAGCAGAGGAAGATATTCAACTCGCCGAATCGGACCTGGATTCCATGGACCTCTCCGCCTTAAAGTCTACCGGGGTGAAAGCATTCAAGCCCTTCAGCGAATCGACGTTGAATATGCAACGTGCAAGAAAAGTAGTAGCGTGCTCGTACGAGGTCTAGGAATAGCAATAGGATTGATTTTCTGCGATGGTGCGTGACGTGCTGACTCGATGTTTTGCTGTCCCTGTGCCTGATTCTGCATGAAATATGAAAATGATTTATTCACTTTCAATGATTCTGAATGTGAATGAAATATGTAAAAATTTGTGATCGATTTCGATCGACTACGACTATCCTGAGGCGATCTTCTACTAGTGCGAAGATCTTCTACTCCTTTTCGCCTGTCGATACTGCATATCGAATGCAAAAATGTCTGGGTCTGGGACGAGGATGCGAACTTGTGATGCATACTTAGATCACACAAAAATCTGTGATGTTTAGACAGCAAGAGGACCTCTCTTTCCTCTCGCCAAAAGAAGGCGTTTGTCATGCGGATTAGGCATTGGGAAACTCCGTCTCCAAACCTGTGATGCTAGGCCTTGCATGGCGCACCTTCTGTGAACAAAAGCAGACGCAGCATCACAAACCTCAGCAATGTTCCAGACCCAGACATATTTGCATTTGATACTGCACATGAAGCAACAGTTGCTGGACGAAGTGCACAAGACCACGCAAGCTCACGACGCCGCGCAAAAAGCGTTCGCCGAGGCGGAAAAGGTCTTTTTTTCCACGACCTGGAAATTGAAGTCCTTGTTTCGTTCCTCCGCGGAAAAACTCGCGATGCTGAAGCAGCAGTTCCCGAGCCTGCACCGTGGGGTTTGGGCCTTTTTGGCGGAGCAGAAGGGATATGAATTGCAAATGTGTCTGGGTCTGGAACCTTGTAATGCTAAAAGTGACTGATAGACGCACTGCAAATAAACGCAGCTATGCATGACAAATTTTTTGGCTGCCATGTGTTACGTATTCCGCATGGCAAACTGCGTTTTTGTATGACAGGTAAGAGGGCCTCGCTTCCGTGCCTATGCAACACAGATTCATCTCGAGTCATGCCAGACAAGCATGACAAACTAGCAGTCTTCCGGACCCAGACATATTTGCAGTTGATAAGGGACTCACGGCAGACGAAATGTTCGCGGAGAACATTGCAAAAACCTTTCACCTATCCAGTGCAAAAATGTCTACTGGGTATGAAGAGTGTAACTTGTCATGCTACATCTGGATCGTGGAAAAATTTGTGTTGCATGATTACCAAGAGATGAGGTCTACTTTTGAACAAGTTTAGAGGCAGTTTCTCATGCAGGAAAGGCGTGATAGAAATCTCACAGAACCTGTCATGCTAGGCCGTGCATGCCAGATCGCGTGGGTCATGGAAAACCTGCATGACAAACCTACTTAGCTTTCTTCCAGGCCCAGACACTTTTGCATTTGATATCACTCGACTGGATGGGCGATGGAAGACTTGAAATTAGCCTATGACAAACCGGAGGTGGAGGAGAAAAAAGGTAAACAGGAGGAGAAATAAGCCGGGGCTGGTGGTAAATAGAGACAAAGAACTGTCGGAGAAAGGGTAGAAAAAGGGGGAATGGAACTAAGTAGAAATGATCTTCTGTTTGAGCAAGTTTCTTCTGATCTCTAGTTTCAGAGGTTAGTAGGGTACTATCAATGATGAAAGTTTTGACTATAAAATTAAAAATCTCTCGTCCTGGAAGTGGACGGGATACTTCCTAGAACTCGTTTCTTGTTGCTGGTTTCGTTGTACTTACTACATGTGTTAAACCGGGTAATCCAGGAGGGCCGGACAGAGCAGAGTCTTTGTTCGCGGCACATCCGCTTTCCGGTCGGCCCCTGGTGACGACCGAGATTTATGAGCTTTGTTCTCCTGTACTACCTGTTCGCTGGCAAAACAGCACCTGTGATGTGTGTCGTGTCGCAACACAAGTTGTATGCACCCTGAAGAATTGGTGTTTATTCGATAAAGATCTTTGGCCTCGTAGTTCCGGGAGAGAAGATTGATCCCCGCCTGTTGAAACTTCTGCAACGAGATCCGTTTTATCAAATGCAAAAATGTCTGGGTCTGGAAGGATCCGAACTCGTCTTGCAGATTTTACATGGCCCGTGACGTCTGTGATGTATTCCCTGGCAGCACAGATTTCCCGAGTGCTGCTCGATGCCTATTTCGCATGACAAATGGCATTCCCGCGTAGCAGAAACTGGACTCCTCTTGCTTGTCATGCAATACAGATTTTTCTAGAGTCCAATGTTAGCATCACAAGTTCCAACTTTCCAGACCCAGACATTTTTACATTTGATAAGTTTCCTACGAAGTTCTTCTTGCGCCTTCGCTAAATGAACGGTTCAAATCAAGGTATAGGAGGTTTGTGCGCTGCATACAGGAGATCTTCTGGCAGCTGCAAGTAAGTGGCAGAGATCAGCAACGACCTATTGAATTTTGGCAAGAATTTGAAATTGAGAAGGTGGATCATAGGCTCCTGGCAAGGGCGACATCACATCAAGCTAGCGTTGTATGCACCACAGGCAGGGATAGGGAAGACGAAGAGAACGGAGAATAACACATACACCATCCAGCCAAGGATGAAATACTATCTTAGTTGTAGACGCCACTCAGATTAAGGAAAAACTATCAGCTGACATAATTTTTGTGTTGGTATAATTTCTAAAGCAGGAGGACAATACATCCGATGTCAGAGATCTACTCCCGCCACAATCGTTCGTACCCTCCAAAAAAAGTCTGAACCATTCCGGAAAAAAATAAAAATGACTGGTGGCCCAGCACCAGATTCAGAACACGATGAACAACATTCCCTTGAGCAGTCCCAGCCTCCGTCCCTCCTGTCGGCGCCATCAGACCCACGACCACCTGCGGCCACAACTAGTACTTCTCACCAAAGCCACCTGCCAGCCGAAGCCGCGCAACCGGCCGCGCTGGCCAGAGCGCCGCAGGAACCGGTACTTGCAACAAGAGTTCCTCTTGTAAAAAGGGGAGATGTTGAAGAAGAAGAACAGGCGGGACGAAGTAGAACGACGAGAGATGAGGAAAGTAAAAATCAATCTGCTCGAAGATCTGTGAGTGGGAAGGACGACGAAGATCCACCTAGTACCATCCCCGACAAGAAGATGAAAAAGGACAAGGGAAGTAGTTCTGCTATCGTAGTTTCGACAGGTGAAGGACGATTCCGTGTAGTCGAAAACTTCGATCAGGTGATTATTGTGAGGAATAATCCCCCCTCCCCATATCGAAAGCGAAATTTGTGTTGCTGTATTTGAGTACACAAATCGCATTTGTCTTGCTGGAGAGGACTGCAGACCCATATCAAGCCCGAGTTGAGAGGCTTTGACTTAGGCGCTTAGCATGAAAAGCGTCCGCGATGTTGGCTCAACAGCATGACAAACCGCCTCCATAATGGGACGGGAGCTGCTGCCCTTGTCTTCTTGCAACACAAACGTGATTCGTGACCTCAAATCAGCATCACAAATTTTCGAGAACCTACCTCTTCAATATGGGGAGGGGGGATTTTTCCTTGCGATATACCTTCAGTGGAGGTCAGCATCGCGGTCTCCACCTCGTCGGCTCCAACACGAGGATTGTACGCAAAAAGGCGGCAGCACAGGAAAAACCATCAATTCGACGAAAATACATGCAGAAGTAGAAGTACTATCAAAAGACGAGGTTGAGGTTGAGCCTCCAGGTCTTCCTGCCGCTGGTCCACCTTGTCGTACGACGTACCGCTGCCCGGATGAAAATTTTGTTTTGAATAAAAGCGACTACAGTGGCATTCTGGATGTGCGCGAATATATTAATTCCGTGGATCATGATGATGTGAAAACAACAACAATAAATGCCAATTGCAACAAGAACGAGGAGGTTGATGCAGTTCCACTTCTATCCCCGACCGAACTCCTTTCCACCACGCACCTGTTCTGGTTGGGCTACGAGATGGAGGATGAAATAGTAGAGATGAGTAACTACGAGTTCTTGTTGGCAAGAACAAGAATAGAAGAAGTCGAGGAAATCCGAGACCAGATCTTTTCCCATATGAGAGTGCACAACTCCCCCTCGTCGTCTCCCTCATTTGTGATGCAAAAACCCAAATCCACATCCTGCCTGTAAGCACCGTGTGCATGACAAATTTTGGAACCACAAACAGCACAACAGTCGGTGTGTAGATTTGTCATGCGCAGGCTTCATTTGAGTTGGGGTCTGTATTGCTGCTCATACCATACAAATGAGGGGGAGGGGGAGTTGTGCAATCTCATATACCAACCGCTTCCCCTCGAAAATAAGTCCACTGAAGACAGCGGAACATCAACAACAAGCCAAGTTCGAAGAGTAGAGCCGGGTGTGTTCACGCGTCGCATCCCTTTGTCCGAATTTGTCGCTCCCTCCGCCCTATCAACTGTAAAAATGTCTGAGTCTGGAAGAATGCCAGACTTGTCATGCAGATTTTACATGACCCCTGAGGTCTGGTATGTAGGACAGAGCATGACAAATTCTGTGAGAGTTCTATCATGCCTATCCTGCATGAGAAACTGCCTCTCGACTAGGTCAAAAGTGGACAGGTTTTGGTAATCATGCAACACAGATTTTTCCATGATTCAGTAAAGCATGACAAGTTGCATTCTTCCAGACCCAGACATTTTTACACTTGATACGCCCGGTTCGCAGAGCTGCCACCGCGAGAGAAGAAACTGTTCTTGGTGTGCGAGAACCGGAGCAAGCTGGACAAAATTGCGGAGTTGTTCGTATTCGGAGGGGGGAAAACAGCAAATCAGGGAAAAAAATCATCAGAGGAGAAGAAGAAAAACAAAAACATTAAGGAGGCAACGACCAACATGGCGCCAGGACGTGAGGAACAAAGCGAAAGTGGTGCCGCAGAAGTGCGTGCTAATCAAAACAAGGCCCGCTGCACCAGCTCCACGACCTGCGACACAAATAATTCCTGCACTCCACCGAAAACATTTCACGCCTTCGGTAACGCGCCAATTGAGGTTCTCTTCGTGGATGAGTACTTGGAAAAGCAGTGTGGCGGAGGCTTTTATCATCATCTCGCTGCTCCTGCACCTCGTCCGGGAAGAAAATCTATCGAATTGTGGCAGAGACTGCAAAAGGCGACATGGGATGGATACGCAAAGAAAACCCCCGGTCGTAAGGGTGTTTTCTCATCATCTTCTGGTCCTGTACCAGAGAAGACACAATATCCTCCTCCGCAGGAATACCATGATTATTCGGTGGAGAATAAAGTGAAAGATTCACTAACTTGCGGAGGAAATAGAAAAATCGATGAGGAGGTAGTGGATTGTACTAGTGCAGCTGATGCAGAAGTTGTCCTGGAAGCAGGACGAGGTTCTAGCACCACCACCACAACCGATCTTGCGTCGAACATCAAAGTCCGCAAATTAGACAGGAACGATGGCGCGGCGGGCGGAACGGGAACAAGTACTAGAAACGACCTCGTCCTCGCAGGAGCTCCTCCTATTGTAGAAATAGTTGACAACAAAAACAATACAGATGGGACTTTTGTGTTTTCAGTTCCTCCCCCCACGACGACCTCCGACTCGACGAATCCCAAAAATTCGACGACCAGCAGTAGTGGTTTTTCTACTACTGAAACGACCCTTTTCAACATCAAAAAACAGAAGTTCTGGAAAAGCAATTGTACCAACATAAAAATTCCGACGGTTCTGTGGCAACCAAACCCGGTTTTTCCGGAGTATTGGAAGCTGATGCTTGAGAAGGATTTCTTTTCAGCAATTCCAACACGACCAACATGTAACATAATTTTCGGAAACGGCACCGAGAAAGAACGGCAAGATGAACTCGGCTACAACTTCCTCTTGGAGGAAACCCCCGAGGTGGACCCCCCGGAGCGGACCTTATCAAATGCAAAAATGTCTGGGTCTGGAAGAATGCAAGACTTGTCATGCATACTTCTCATGACCCATGATGCCTGTAATGCTTGACCTAGCATCGCAGACTTTTAGAGGGCTTCTTGATGCACCTTCCGCATGAGAAACGCCCTGTCCGTGTAGCCCTTCTGCCAACTTGCTGGTCATGCAATACAAACTTTTTTACAGTTCAAAAACAGCATGACAAGTTGCAATTTTCCAGACCCAGACATTTTTACAATCCATAGACCTTCCTCGCCATCGATCTCGGGTGCGGTAGCGGGCGGGACTGCGTCTGTATCAAATGTAAAAATGTCCTCTGGGTCTGGAAACTTGTGATGCTGGGTGGCGTATCATGAAGAGGCCACATGTGCTGGCTCAGCATGACAAGTTTCTGAGCTCCTAGGTGTTGCCTATTCTGCATGACAAACTGCGCTTCTGCATCACAGAAAAACGGAGCTCTTGGGTAACGTGCATGACAGATCTAAGAGTCATGCCAGACAAGCATGACAAACAGGAATTCTTCCAGACCCAGACATTTTTACACTTGATAGTCAGGCTGGCGAGGCAGTTCGAACAAATGCAGCTTTATTCGCAGCTCGTCTCTGATTTTTCAAAACTGCCTGCTAGTAGCACTTCTTCTTCGACTACACAGATGAAGATGAAAAACGCAGTACACATAATCGGGATCGACTCCGTGCCGAAAACGGTGAAGCGGGCCTGTGAGTTTGCGAAGGTCCATGGGTACTATGCGCGTGGTCACAGTCTCAGTCGGGACGACGATGAAGATCATGCGCAGGAGCAAATAGAACTACAATCGAGGCAGCGGAAAGAACTACTCCGAAATATTAAAGCACCGTCGAAAGCTCCTGGTCAGCACCTTTGTTCACCGCGCCCGCATGTGCACATCGAGTTCCTGCTGGGAAACATTGTGGACCTTCTCGTAGCTTGTCGTGATAGTGATCAAAGTACTTGTTCATCTAAAAAGGAGGACAAAAATAAAGAAGGCAATCCTCATCTCGCTTCGACGTTCCTGAACAAAGGCTACTTCCACCGCGCGGACCTGGTGGTAGTGTCCCGAACCCAGATTGTTCTCCCGCGGGAGAAGCGGATCCGGTTGGTGAAAAACCTGCTGAAAAACGATGGAACGGGGGTGGTTGTGTACCACCACTTTGTGCAGCCGTGCAGCCACCCCAAGGAGGGGGTACTGGAAAAAACGGAGCTGGCGGAGGATTTTTCGGGCAAAAACGGCTTCGAGATTTTGGTAAACCGGGAGATTACCTTGCCCGAGGACGGAAGAAAGTTGAGCTGCTTCATCGCGCGGAAGGAAAGTGTCAAGTCTACTTCTTTGTGGTCGTCGTCTTTTGGATTTGCCGGTTTTGCTTAATATCAAAATGAGTTTTTTTGCTCACAACAACTGCTGTTGCTGTGCTCCTGTGTTGAGCTGAGCTGCCAGGATGCGTGGTTGAAATTGTACTCGATGAAATTATAGATGTCGCATTTTATTACCATGCATGTATTTTGATTGAATATCCTCGAACGACACTTACCAAAGAGCGGCAAACTGTGAAACGGCGACAATTGAACTTGATGAACTCTTGGAAACTATTATACTTGTAAAAGCTATCTCCAATGAAAATGATGAAGAAACCGAACGTGGTGACAACGAACGACAAGTGTGCGCCAAAACCGCTTTCCTTCCACGCACGACGGATAACTCTGTGATCCGCGGAAGCGGTGTGAAAATTGCTCTGTTCTCATTTGGCTGTGCAGCTTACTATAATTTCGTGTCCATTTGAAGATAGTGCTATTTCTTGCGTGTCAGTCTGGTTTTTATCGTGTCTACTCGTGAGAGCAAGGTGAACAATGGCAGCAGGTGGTTTTTGTTAGACAAAAAAGAAAGAAGTCCTTCTGCCAACCTGAAAAAGCGACAATATTTCTTGAGCGATGATTTTTCTCTTACTGTCAGACAGGCGAAGATGCAAAGAGAAGAACTATGGTACCTAATACATACATAGACAACTTCTACAAGGCTTCTTTGCTGTGTCGTGTTACACGATACTCCGCATCAAAGTTATCTTGTACTCAACTTACAAATTTTGATGTTCTTGTCATGCACGATACGAGTACGATATGTCTGGTTCTCTCTGAAAACTGCAGCCTCCATGAGAATCGGAACGCTTCTGCTTCAAACCTGTCACAGCTTCTGTGGGCGGAAGAAGATGAAAATAACTACCACAGTTTTCTTGCGTCAATAACCAGCAAATAAAAGTCAACCACTTAGATAGATATCAGATAGATATCTGGCTCTGGCAAAAATTTTAGCAAGGACTACACGAGTTATTGTGAAGAACTACTATAACTTAGACAACGCTGGAAGTAGGAGAACTGCAAGGCTCCATTATCAGGAAAGATGCAACAGCGGTACTCCGCCACGCCGGGCGTGATGATGCCGCAAATAGGCGCCGCGGTTCCCCGGCAGCACCAGAAGCAGCAGAGGGCACTGGTAATTATATGGAGACGGCTGATAATGTTGAGTTGTCCTGACTGGGGCTGTTGCACTTGTATCAGAACATTTTGTACATTTTCATGGTCCACTACTTCTTGCCGGTGCGCGGTGCCAGCACAGCCACTCCCATGCAAGACCGTAAAGAAAGAATTTTGTCATGCGAAAAATTAATACGTTGTCGATGCAGCTGGTGCTGGATCATATTCTTGAACGAAACACGACGAATCGAAATGAATTTTCAGGTCGGTTTCCAGAACGTGTCAAAGTTCGTTCCACCATCCTACGAGGGCGTGCAGCCGGACCAGCTCCCGTGCCCGGATACGCCATATCCCACGAAAAACGCGTTTCGTTGTGACAATTTAATTTAGCGGAGGAGTTTGCATGAAAAATCACAAGACGAAAAGTATTTGTCAAGTGCAGGTTTGTTTCCCGGAAGCTAGAAATGAATGCAAGAGTAGTACCGTGCATCATTGATGCACGGAACTACTCTTGCATGTGTACTGCAATTATACCAATACGTGCTTGTGGTCTCCTGATGTGTTCCATTTCCATTCTATGCATCACAAATTCACAGAGAAGCTGCAGTTTGTTCCTCCCATACGCCAAGTCCCAGAAGTAATGGCTCGCCCGAAGAAGAGGGTATCGTGAGAAAAAACTGTCTCAGTCTTAATAAACCTTTGCAGACTCACCAATAGAAATGTGCTCAACAGCATGACCCGGAAAATTGTAACCTGTGATGCGTTTACACCACAGCAAGAGAAATAAACACATACATAGATCTGAAAGAATAGTTTCCTGGATCTCCAGCATGACAAAAATCTGTCTCTAGGAAGTTTCGCATTACAAGTTGAGACTCTGACACCGTTTTTTCTTGCGATAGAGGACGCTGAGCAGTTACACGACAACTATGAGCGTGCACAATATTACATCTTCCCCCTCGTCTTCTTCATTTAGAGAGCAAAAGTAGCAACAGAAGTGGTAGCAAAAATGCAGTTTCTGCATGACAAACTTACAGCAGGACAACTTCTGTAGTAAGTGCCTACCATGTAGTGGGCTCCTGTCATGCATAAGAATGACAAAAGAACACATACACAGCTGGAGTTGCGATTTTACGATGAGAAATAAGAATATTAAAAGGGGACGACAAGAACTATCCATGCACTCTCATAGCAACCAGAACAACTACACAAAAGCGAGTGAGAAGCTGATGGACCAGAAACCACCACAGCATGCATATTCTGGAGGCAGCCGTAAAAGTTTTATTTTGCATTGCCTCAATTTTGTTCTCTTTCCAGTATCTTTTTGCAGGAATGATCAATGACACGAGTAAATTATGCGAAGATCATTTATCACGGCGGCAAGGACTGGACCTACGGCTACGTCATGTTTATGCACCAGAAGAAATACTGGAGTCACTTTGCAACTTACACGACAAAAACAGGAGCGCACGGTAGCAGGCAAGGGAGAGAACCGGAGCAGGACCACTACAACCAGCACCCAAAATATGGAGGCGTCAGAATCGAAATTGACAAAGTCGAAAAATTTGTGATGCACAAAATTGATGCCAGTTGGGGCCTCAGTTTCTAAGTGGCGTATGACAAATTTCGGGAGTAAGTACCCACATCCAGTTTGTCCTGCTGTTTGGGCAAAGAAGACTGCTCCTTTCGTGCTACTCTGGCAGCACATTATCTACCCCGAAGCCACAGGCTTGCATTTGCCTTCTACCCACTACAGGCCTTGCGTGCCCTAAGTACATTTTATGCATCATAAATTATTCGATTTTGTCGATTTCGATTCTGACACTTCCATATAAAAATCATAAATGGACAGGAGGTTTTCCCGCCCGGAACGTTTGTCGAGTATAGTGTGCGTGTCATGTTGCAGTTGCACATAGGAAATAATGCATGACAGCTGCTTTCCCTTTGCTTCTATCCGCAGCTTGCATGCATTCTGGCATGACAAATGATTTTATTTTTCACCTCCCACCAGGTACCGTTCGCGAACAATGCAGAACCGGTGGATCTTGGCAAAGGTCGAGTCATTCGATGACAAGAACCGGGTGTACAGACTAGACGTCCAGCCTAAAGCGCCCATGGACCGGGTAAGGCTACGGGAAAACAAGGACGAGACAGGGGTAGTGCAGCAAAGGCACTCCGACCACGCGGCGGGTGGCATAGTACCACAGCACGGCGGTATAGAAGTAAAGCTCTTGCCGAATGACGTGACCGTGAGGAACTTCTCTATTGCGCATGGCAGATTTACTCATGTTAGCTGTCTCTTCATGTGATGAACATGAACTGCCAATGATTTATGATTATCAGGTGACCAGCAGGCAGGCAACGTCCAGCCCGAGGTAAGTCCACTGCACGAGCCGCTAGACCTACGCATTGCAAATATGTCTGGGTCTGGAAGCTTGTGATGCTAGTTTGTGAATTATTTATCGTGGGCGCACTGCAATAAGCAGCCACGCGTGACTAGTCCCTGGGCTTCTTTTGTGTTTCGCTTTCCGCATGACAAACTGCACAGTGCAGATTCAAGAGTCAACATATGAGACAAGCATGACAAACTTGCACAAATTTCCAGACCCAGACATGTTTGAATTTGATAAGACCCCGTGGGAGACGACAATCGAGCAATGTCGCACGACCAGGTTTATCGTTTTTTGTCATGCATAGAATTCATCATGCAGTTAGTAGCAGTGGGATTTTTATCATGCACAGTTGCAACACAACAAAAATCAAAATAAAATACGCAAGCTACACCAATAAATCACGACAGCTCCTGCAAAAGTGCCGGGACCTGGAGCTTACCAATGCAAAGATCATGGAAGAGAATCGGGAATTGAAATCACAGCTGGACTTACGAAATTTTTGAAAACACAATAGCACTATGTGTATTAATCCTGCATGACAAAACTACCCTGATACCTGATGCAGCATGACAAGTTGGGACTTCTTTCGTTTTATTCACCTTGCGGAAATCATTTGTGATGCTGGATCGTCGTGGTCAACAGTTTTACAGCGTTCGTGTCATTGTGTTTTCCAACTGCCATATCACAAGGAGAAGTCCCGTAGTCGAGTATCCTAATTAAAAACGTACCCACACCAGAGTTGTGATGCAGATTTGCAAAGACAGGAAGACTTGTAATGCGCATCCCCATGAGTATGAGAGCCATTTCCACTCGTGTTTTGGAATTTGCGACTCTGTGAACAGGATGAGCAGATGAATTTGAGATCCGGCTGCACTTGCTAACCTGCACTACACTGCATAGCGCAACTTGTCATGCGTGACTCACAAAGCCCCTAGGTTTGTGTTGCAAAATCCTCACCCTGACTCTGGTGTGGGTACGTTTTTGACTCAGGATATCGAGCTCTGGAAGCACAGCTTTCGGGGAGGTAGGTAAAAACCAGAAATGATGAGTAGACGGGGTCACGGACGACAATCAACGATGAAGCAGTGGAGGTACCTCCGGTTGTACTATCGAGCTTTTCGTCCGCATTCCCATGATCACTTTCTATTCTTGTGTGATGGCAATAGTGAATACAGCCTCATCATCAAAGTCAACGCGCTTCTTCGCAAAAAGTTTAGTGGAGCGAGCATTCTTAATATTTATCATCGAAAATACAGACACAGATGAGATCGTCCCTATTCAACAACAAACAACAAACCATATTAAACCATATTTTTTCGTGCAGAAAATTCTTTTTTACCGGTAAATACCTTTTATAGTTTATGTCAATCAGACCTTATCAGGAAAAAAAATTCCTTGTCGCCAACCGTTTTATGCTACACAGCAGCTTCGCGTGGGGTTGAGAAGTGGACTTGTTTACTAGTTTTATGTCGCAACATATCGCAAGAAAAAAGTGTTACAGTTACACATTGTGTTGCAAGATCGGCAACACAGACAACCTTTCTCATGCAGGAAATGCTTAGGAAGCGGGTTTCCTTCCGGTTTTCCCTTATGATCTTCGCATTACAAGTTTTCTCTGTCACACAGAGAAAATATGTGACGCAGAAACTCCAACAAATGTGTAACTGTAACACTTTTTTCTCACGATACAACAAGATGAAAGCAGCAGGTGGAAGATTGTGAAAGGGGCGCAATAAACTACTTGTTGTACTACATCCAGGAGAGGTGATGTTGTTGAGACCTGTGGTTAAGTAAGATTTGAAAACAAAAGGAGCTTTGTTCTGCTGTGAAACTGTCGCGCCTTTGTGGTCTCGCATGCTATGTACGCTGAAATTGAGCCTTTGATGATATCAAAACTTTACATGTTGGAAGTGATAAAGAGCGCGCACTGTGGTCTGTTGTATCCAAACTCGAGAATTAAGCCATTTCTACAAACAATTTTTGGTACATTTATTTGGAATACAGTTATTTGGTGAGGATACTTCTATTTGGAGACTAGATTTATTTTTCTCTCGCGCGAGCAGTACAAGAACGAACTGTTGCGTTAAACTTAAAACGCTTGTTTATCTTCTTCCAAGCGCCTTTGGTGCTGGCAACTGTTTTGCTCTTGCTGCAACTGCGGGAAGAGATACAATTGAAAACTCTGAATGGAACAACGTCTTGCTCTCGGGAAGCAGAACAGCACTGAATTTGTACGCATGCGAAATGAATATCAACAATGCTGCTGGAGGACCTACCGTGTCGGCGCCAAAATTTTGAATTTTTTTTCATCCAAACTACAGATGAAGAAAAGAATCACTAGTGGTTGACAGGCGTAGACGTACCAGCCTCGATTGAAAGGAGGGGTCCTATGGGGCGGCGTTCTGAATAGCATGCGGCTTATGGTGTTCGGATGATGTGGGTGTCGTTTTTTTTTCTCGTCAATGTTGAGGCCGGTAAGCTAAAGCTTGCGCTCATCTTTGAACCGAAGCCGCCCAGACGGCTGGCACGCAGTTGCATGGGGTAGACGGATGGGAAGTGGGGCCGCATTCCGTCGCGGGCCGGTGTGTCGGACTGTGGGCCGCTGCATTTCGTGGGGTCGCCAGCCTGGTCCGGGCGAAGGAGCGCGGGCGCGGGCCTTTTCGTGGTGCGTCTGACTGTGGGCGGCGTTTTCCCTAGCGCATTCAGACAAAGCCACAGCTCCAAAAAAGCTGGCTCAGGGCGCGCATGTTCGGGACGGTTTTGGCAATGGCCCCGAAGATCGGGCAAGCCGGAGGCTACTCCCCTTGCGCGGGAATACGTCGGACGTGCGCCGCCTGCACGTATCCCGGGGCCCTGCCTTGGCGAATTGGCCGGGGCGCGGGGCGAGGGCCCGCTGCTGGGGGACGGATTGGTGCCCCGCCGCGCGCCCCCGGTTGCGTTCGCGCAAACGGCGGCGAAGCGGGCGAGGCAGTACGAGCGCGCGCCCCCAGAGAAGGAGCGCCGCGCCGCTCGCGCATGGTTCCGGCCCGCTAGCGAATTGCCCGCGCGGCCAGGGGTATCACAGGCGCAGCATTGGGGGGGCGATTGCCACTGTGCTGCTACCCGAGGGGGCCGGTCTTTTGCCGCGCGGGGCCCAGCCGGTCGGCCGTCCGGGCTCGCTGAGCCAGAGCGGCGGCCCCGCGCCGCGGCGTCTGTCATCGTGGCGCCCTTTTCGTATGAGGAGACGCCTGCTTCGAGTGGCTTTGCAGACGGGGCTCTCAAGCAGGGCAGCAGGGTCGTCGGAATGTGCTCGAGCCTAATGCATGACACTGCAGGCGTGCCCCTTGTCGCGCAGCCAATCGACGGAGGAGCCACGAGCTTCTTCACTCCAAGCATTAGCGCCGCGCTGACAGGGTGCACCAGACGCCGCCAAGGGGGGGCGGGAGGGTCCAGCCAAAAAAAAATATAAAATTATGGCCCGCCCCAGCTGGTCTTGGACGCGGGTGCATTAATCAGCGAAATCGAAATGCTCACCGGCGGCGTTTCCTTGCGTGCGAAAGAACACGCCGGGCCCAAATGGGGCCGGCCCGTCGGTCCGGCCGCCCGGGCCGGTTGCCAGCCTTGGCCTTCCTGTTGCGGCTTCCTTCGGAGACTTGCGAAGCAAGCACGCGCGGGGGCGCTTGGCTGCGTTTCGCCCCTGGTGTGCCGGCCGCGCTTATCAAGCTGCCCGCGCGCGGGGCTACGGCGGCCTGCGCCCGCGTGGGCGCGCCCCGTGCCTCTTTATGGGCCCCCGGTCTGTCCGGCCCTGCGCCCCGTGTGCTTCGGGGCCCGCCCCGCTGCTGTGACTACTCACGCTGTCGCTCTCAGGGGCGCCGCGGCCGCGCTGCGTACCCACGCACGAACGCATCGCGCCCGGCCCGAAGGGGCGCCGCTTGCTAGCTCGCCTGTGCGACCGGCAGGCTGGGCCGCGCCCGGGCTATTGCCTGTTCCGCCAGCCACGTTTGGAATTGAAAGCAAGTTTTTGTTTTTCAGAAATGCAAAGCATGCGCGCCCCGCCTCTGCCCTCCCCGCGCCGTGGCGCGCCGCCTCCATGCGGCCTTGTGAGCTGCCGTTGTCATCACGTGTTCCCGGCTACCGCAGATACACTCTGCGTCGTCTTTGGTCTATGGCGCCCGTGTTGCGACGAGGCAGCGGCAGCGCAGTCACTGGGGTTGCTGGTTCATCTACACACTTGCACAACTTCGTTTTTTGATTTGTTTTAGATTGCAATATCCACATTTGTTGGCGGCGGGCTTCTTACTTTCATATCATCGTCATTACATCAACACACACCAAATCCAAAGCACGAAGGAAATGACTACGCCGGCGCCCTCCGCTTCTGCCCTCGTGATCGGCGTTACCGGTTTCGTCGGGAGTTATGTTGCGAAAGCCCTGGTAGAGAAGGGCTATAAAGTGCACGGCACTTGTCGAGACCCTGCCGTTGCCGCGAAATGGGTTCCGGAAATGCTGCAAAAGTGCACACCAGCAGGAAGTCCTGCGAGCATGGATGACATCATCAAGCTCCACGCGCTCAACTTCACTGCGGACGAGGAATCGTACGCAGCTGCGAAGGCAGCTATCAAAACCATTTTACAACAAAGTGATGACTCGTCTGCAAACAAAGACAGCAGCACTAACAGTGGCCTTTCTACTCCACCAATCAAAGGCGTCTTCATGTGTGCTGGCTACGAGAAGCAGGAGCCTGAGACCATAAAAGTGATGGAGTCCATGGCGATTGCGACGCTGGAAGCGGTGCTCGAAGTTGGGAAGGAGCGGGAAAATTTTGTAGCAGAGCCGCCTATCGCGGTGATTTTAACCAGTTCAACCGGCAGCACTAACCCGCCCCCGGAGATTGCGAAAGCCCTTCCGTTGGCCAAAAGCGAGCTGACACATTGGTCGGACCCGGAGTTTCAAATCTTAAACAAAAGATTTTCGCCCGCCGCGAAGACAAATATGGAGCTGAAGGCTTTCGGGTTTGTCGGTATAATCATGTAGTGAGGAAGTTTACAGGCGTTCCCTTTGCGTACGACAACGACCGCTCGCGAGGAAAGTGTAGTTGCTCCCACCTCTAACATGGTTCCTGACGCCTTGTTCTCAGGCTCAGTAGTGCGTCGGCTTGTTTTTCGACTTTAGAAAAAATGGCCCTTCATCACAGTGTTTCACACCTTGCGAATTTCGACTCTATCGCAAACGCCGAAACTGATGTCAGGTCGCAACGCCCAGGACGAGGTCGTCGATTCAGAAAAACACGAAAACGTGAAGAACAAAATCCGGCTTTCGATCATGAATCCTTCGTGGATTCTCGCACCGCAGCTCCAGCCTGGTGACGTCTCCGGGAACGGTCTCTAGGCATTGTAAATTTATAATCTGAGTCGGGAAATTTGTGATGCTAGTCTGGTGGCACGCCTCTGATTTTTGTATTGTGTGGCCACGAAGAGCCCCTCTTGTCTGTCATGCAGAAACGCAGCTTCTCTTTACTTATACTTTCTCATGCAAAGCACACAAGCACAAAAGAGAGCCGCGAGCGCGAAAGAACCTGTCATGCGTGGCGGTGCATGATTACAGTGTGCTTACACACTGTTCACTGACATGCACGACCATCACGTTCACAACTTCCCCGACCCAGACGCTGGTTCGCACTTGATAGTTTCCCTTGGCTTGCGAAAATCGTGCAGGGGACTGCGATACGAACTGCAAAAGTAGCGCACTCGTAGTAATTGCAATTATGCATTACTTGAGGTAAATCCGCATTGCAAATTTTATTTCTCATGCTGAGAAAATTTGTAGTGCATTTATACCCAGAGTGCGATACTTTTGCAATTCATATGCGATGAGCGAACAAATTCCAAACGACAGCATATGCAAGAAAAAAACTGTGTAAGTAAGTGTAAATCTGTGATGCAGAAAATGCAAAACAGTGACACTTGTCATGCTCGACATGCATGATCGGCTCGCGTCCTGTGTGTTTTCCCTTCCTATCTGCGCATAGCAAGTTTTTCCTGTCATAGCAGACAAACTTGTGATGCTGTTTTCCCAAAAGACTTGCACCAACACAGTTTTTTTCTTGGATACAGCATGTCCATCATTTACTGCCAGGACTTGGCCGCGTTGCACGTCGCGTGCCTCGAAAACCCCACTGCGTCCGGTCGGTACTTCGGGGTGTGCCGATCCTGGGCCTGGGAAGAGATTTTGGAAACCGTGCAGAACATTCTATCAAATGCAAAAATGTCTGGGTCTGGAAGAATGCAACTTGTGATGCTGAATTTGGATTCCAAAAAAATCTGTATTGCATGAGCAGCAAAGGGAACGTAATGTTTGCTACGCGGAGAGGGCATTTGTTTTTGTCATGCGGAATAGGCATCAAGAAGCCCTCAAAAAATCTGTGATGCTAGGGCATGCATCACAGGCGTGATGGCTCATGCGAAATGTGCATGACAAGTCTCAGAACCTTCCAGACCCAGACACTTTTGCATTGATACATTCGGGGAAAGGACAAATACACCATGCCGCCGAAAAACTACGAGGAGCCGAATCCGGTCACGGAGTTCGATTTGACACGGCAGAAGGAGCTGTCTGGCGGGAAGGAATTAATGAGCCTGGAGGGGATTTTGAGGGATACAATAGGCTATTTGGAAGAAAAGCAGTTGGTGTAATGTATGATGACGAAACAATAAACAGTAACAGACGGCGCAACAGGAAGTAGAAGCTGGTCTGCTGCAACACGACCAAGCGCTGCTATGCGCGGCAAAGCCATTTCAATTTCTTGCAAAAGTGGCTACAGGAACTTCCAAGAAGATACTTACAGTAAATGCGCGAGAATCTTGACAAGGCCACACTTCTCAAAAATTTGATGAAGTTCTTCCAGCACTGTACCTTTACTATTGTTCGGGAGTGTCCTTGTCCTACATGTACTTCTCCAACGCAACGACAGTTCAGTTGCTATCACTTCTGTGGATTGCGTAGGCGCTGTCAGTGCGCAGGCCTGTTATTTTTTTTCCCCCAGAGAGTATAAGAGGATCTGCAGCTGGTATGTATTCGAGAGAGCCAGTTGGGCACCGTGGAGAAAAAGTTCGCATTTCCACGTGCGCCAAACATAATCAAGTGATGACATCTTGTTCACGGGTTTCAGAGTGGAAAGGCTTCTTCAAAGTTCTTTTAGAGAATTTAAGGCCCACCGTGGAGTGTACCGAGAGTGGAAGAGCATTACTACCGGCAAACGTGAAATAAATATAACAAAGAAAGCGTCTAAATAAAACAAGATGTTCCCCAGCTCGCGCCTCTTGCGGAGGCAGCTGCAGAAGCCCGCTTCTACCTGCTCCGCCAGAATAAAAATACAAAACCGGCCAAACCGAAACCTGCTGTCCCGTATCAAATGTAAAAATGTCTGGGTCTGGAAGAATGCAAGACTTGCGATGCAGGTTTTCCATGACCCATGAGGTCTGGAATGCGAGACCCAGGATGACAGATTTTTTGAGTTCTCTATCATGCCTTTCCTGCATGAGAAACTCCCTCTCAACTTGGTCAAAAGCGGATAGCTTTTGGTACTCGCGCAACACAGATTTTTGCATCATTCAGATTTGGTGAATCGCCCACCGCTTTTTGTGCGTCAGCTGTGTCGGAAAAAAAAAAAAAAAAAAAAAAAAAGAAAGAGGACGCAACAAAAAAAAAAAAGAAAAATAAAAAGAAAAGACCAAAGAAATCAGCGAAAACCGACCGGCGTGCGAATTGCCTAGCAAAAAAAAAAAATTTAGCATGACAAGTTCTAACCTTCCAGACCCAGACATTTTTACATTTGATATCCCGGCACTTTTCCTCGGTGACCGTGTTGCCCCGGGACTCGAACCAAGCCCTTGGGATTGGGCAGTATTATGCAAGAAAAAAACTGTGTAAGTATAAATCTGTGATGCAGAAAATGCAAAACAGTTACACTTGTCATGCTCGACATGCATGACCGGCTCGGTTCCTATGTGTTTTCCCTTCCTATCTGCGCATAACAAGTTTTTCCTGTCATTGCAGACAAACTTGTGATGCTGTTTTCCCAAAAGACTTACACTAACACAGTTTTTTCCTTGGATAAGTATGCAAAGGACTTCATTACCGGAGCCTCCGACCCAGATGCCTCGGTCTACGACCGGGTAGAGATGTTTCACACCGACAGTGTGATGTGCGGGCTGTCTGCGCTCGCGTTGAGAACCAACGCCCCGAACTGCTTGCGCGACGAAGCGCTCCGGGACTACACGAGTGCGAGCGGCAAGGGCGCGGTTTTGCTCGGCACGGACAGCACGAAAGTATCGCCCGAGAAGGCCATCGTGGCCAACGCTTCCGCCGTGCGGGAGTGGGACTCCAACGGCACGGTGTTCGGCTACAATGCAAACATCCCTGGGCACCAGGCAGGGGAATTTGGACACAACGACTTCTATCCGGTCGTGATGGCGGCGGGAGAAGTCAGGGGGGCACTGGACGGAAAGACGGCCCTGAAAGCAATGATTTGCTTGGATGAGATAAGAGGAAGGTATTGATGAGAGAGGAGGTTACTCAATACTTTTTCACGTATCAGTTGTACCGTAGCTAGCATGACACTTCGCTTTTTGGGAACTACTACCGCAGCATAGCGAACAACCGGCAATGAACCTCCAATGTTACCGGGTTGACAAACTACATGAAAGAACCTCCAATACAGGCTCGCGGAAGTTTTTTCTTTGAAGTCCTACAAGATCGATCACGTGGTCCACGGCGCTATTGTATCCGAAGAAAATTTAAATGATGTCTGGGTCTCGAAGACTGCAAGCTTTGTCATGCCTGTCTGTGACATGACTCTCTCTGAATGCATACGCGCGAACAGATTGAGTTTTGAGTTCCTTTCTTGGCCGTGATGCAAAAACAAAATATACATAGGTCGCCAGCACGTGGGATTACTGGTGGATGAGAACGCAACGCATAGCCATAGTAGCCCAAACCCAAAGACTTGATGTCATGATGCTTGGCTGCGTATTGCAATGTGCCCTCTCGTCATTAATCCAAAAATTTCAAATTCGCAGCCTAGCGTTATAGCTTCCCAGACGCAGACAGATTTGCACTTGATATCTCGCCTCGGCTGCGGTTTATGGCGCTCTTCTGAACGCCACTGCCGAGCAAATCGAGTCCGCGATTGGTATGGTCTGTGCGCACTACATCCCCTTTCGTGCGATCCGGGCCGGGAAACAGCTGTCGGACTCTAAAGGGTATGCATTGCAGAAGCATGATGATCCTACTCGAGTACTAATTGCATAATACAGCATGACAGATCTCGTTTCTCATAGCTAATTCAGCATTAGAAATTTTTTCATTTTTGTTTTTCCTTCTGGAAAAATTTGTAATGCTATAGTAGCACTAGTGCGATACTAGTACTTTTGCAATGCATTAAGGGGCGTCCGCCGCGATTTCCACCGAGGCGGCGGTGATGAGCATGAAACGGGCGATATCGTAGGTAAAAAAGTCCCCACGACGACCCCGTAGTCAAGGTGGGAAATCTGCTAGACAAATCAGCTAGCTTTGAGTGTTGCGCATGACAAGTTTCGATCCTCGTGGTGTAGAAGTCCTCGTTTAGCTAGTTCAGCAGCATGATAGACGTAGCATATTTATTAGGCTGATTGGAGCATCGTTCACAAATTCCAAAGCACGACTAGGAAATGTTTTTCATAGTGCTCCGCACGAGAAATCCACTTTGAGCATGCAGATTTGCGTGACAGCTATGGGATCGTGGGGGGGTTTTTCCAGAGGATAAGCGATGAACGGCTTCATCGGGCCCAAGGATATTTTCCGCAACCCCGATATGGAAGTGTCAGAATCGAAATTGACAAAACCGAAAAACTTGTGATGCACAAAGTCGATGTCAGTTGGAGCCTCAGTTTCTAAGTGGTGTATGACAAATTTCGGGAGTGCCCAAATATGGTCTGTCTTGCTGTTTGGGCCAAGGAGACTCCTCCTGTAGTGTTGCTTTGGCAGCACATTGTATACCCCGAAACAGGCTTACAATCGGTCTCATTTGCCTGCTCCCCAATACAGGCCTTCAGTTCCCTACATTCTATGCATCACAAATTTTTTGATTTTGTCGATTTCGATCCTGAAACATCCATACCCGAGGCAATTTTCCGGTTTTTCGAACCAACGAGCGGCGTCGCTGCGGACAAAAATCTGATCGATATCACGCTGGCGAACAAGGTCTGTTGCAATAATCTGTATTTGTTCTCGCGAGAAGCACCAGTACTCTTCATCATTGTGTCTTCTGCCATGTAAGTGCTTAGAAACACAAACATGTCCTCCACCGACCAGGAATCATCAATAAAAAAAATACATTTTTTGCATCATCGTGACCACAGGCCCGCTGGGGTCCGGGTTCGTCTCCCTTCGACCTTCACTTATCGCACTCTGGCTCCGACTTCGCCGTGTGTGGCATGCACTTCAAGCTCGGCCTGTACGAGCACCAGTCGGCGGGCGCGCTCGAGGGGGTCATCAAGCTGATGAAGGAAAACCCAGAATTACTCGCCGGCGGGTTGGATGGCATTGAAAAGATCAACATTGTCGCCTACGAGCCCGTATCAACTGCAAATATGTCTGGGTCTGGAAGAATGCAAGGTTTGTGATGCACGGCTAGCATGGCTCCCAAGTCTGTCATGCACGCCACCCAAAACCAAAAGTCACATTTCTCTGGAATGCAGAAACGCAGTTTGTCATGCAGATAAGCAACTACACTGTAGCAACTCCGAAACTTGTCATGCTTGGCTGTCAATGAAAGCGTCCAGATGATTCGCCAAACAGCATCACAAGTTTATTTCAGACCCAGATCGATATTTGCAATTCATAGCCCGCGTTCGGGATCATCGGCGACCCAGCAAAGAAGGACCCGAAAACCCGACAATCTGCGGACCACTATCCCGGAAAAAACTGTGTAAGTGTAACTGTGTAGGAAAAGCAGCATCACAAATTAGCTTTGCATTTTTACAGGGAAAGTCTGTCATGCGCAGCTAGTACAACGTGGAAACACGTATGAAAGTAGCGCATGATGCAGATCCAGCATGACAAGTGTAACAGTTTTGCACCTTCCGCATCACAGATTTAGTACACTCACATAGTTTTTTTCTCACGATAACCACTCCATGGCTTTTATTGTGTCGCGAATGTTGAAAAAGGGCATGGAAAACGCGAGCTCCCTATCAACTGCAAATATGTGTGGCTGTGAAAACTTGTGATGCTAGTTTGTGACTGGTGACCGCTGCACTTCGATATGCAGTCACGCATGACAACTTTTTGAGCCTCTGTGTGTTTCGCTTTCCGCATGGCGCACGCCATACTTTTAGACAGGGAAGAGCCTATTGGTCACGCATTACAGATTCAAGAGTCATGTGAGACGAGCATGACAAAGTTGCATTCTTCCGGACGACCCAGAGATATTTGCAATGCATACTTCCTGTCCTCTGCTAGTATGGACGACGTTTGGATGAAGCTGATGCTTTCTCCCTACGACTACGGGCACGAAGCACTGTACGACGCAGAGACCCGGGCGCTGATGCAAAAGATCCAGTTCATATCTACAGGAAATCTTATTTTTTCCCGCACCTAGGTAGTACTACACGACGTAGTCGTGCAAATGGCAGCTGTGCATGACGAGGCTCTTTCTCAACGTTGTTCAGCATCACTGTTGTTCCCTGCTTTATAATTCCGGTTCTTATTGCCGAAGATAGAATTTCTCATACTTATGCATTTTTTATTTTTACGTGTAAGTAGTGCGGGAAATAATGATTTGTATTGCATTGGTCACGCACGGTGGAGAAGAGTATGACAGCAAGTACCCGGACGGGATTATCACACAGGAAAAAGCAGGCAGGTCATATTTGCAATGCACAAGATTCCTATACAGAAAAATCTGTCGTGCGCGAGCGCATAGTATGAGTATGCTCTTTCGGATGCGCAACGCGGATCTACTTTCTGTGTATGTAAGTACTTTTGCATTACAGATTGATATAATGCTCCGGGCCTGCTTTTGTCTGTGGGATAGGAATCCCAACCAGCTTAGACGTGATGACAAAGAGCGGGAAGGTAAAGGTTTTGAGTGCTCGATACAACTTAGTACTGCTTCAGCATCTTCCAGTTTATTTCTCATGTGAATTTTTTGTGCATGACAGAGCAGGTTTGTCATGCGAAAAACGAATGTAAAACAAATTTTTCTCAATCTATCAAAACAGACCTACAACAGTGGTTTTATCATGTACCCTTCCGGGCACGCACGAAATACCACCGCCGATTTGAAGCAGATCATGAGCTACAAAAACTCGAAGATGCTGGGTGATCTGGTTTTCGCAGACGCGTCGGTGAAGGACCAGTACCTGGAAAAAATGATAAATATGAAGGACGCGAAGGATGTTTGCGGCTACTACGCATTTACTGGCCAGATGAAAGAACACCCCTGCATTGATGGATAGAGCCAGTTGTTGTTTCTTTCACGACGGCGGGACGAGGTGGTGCTTCAGGTTCATCTCGGGATAAGTATGATGACAAAGAGGCACACTGTTGTTGACTCTGTGTAACCATAGCGGTAGTTCCGACTACTTTCGGGAGAACTGCCCCCCGAAAAGACCGAAAGATGAAAACCACCTAGATTTTTTGAAATCCTACACCTAGTTGTACTCCTACAGTCCTCGTGCGCCACACCACCAGGAGGCTCTTCTGGTACGTACGAAGAACAGTGGTCTGATTTTGCCAGTAGAACTACAGCTGATCTAAAGAAGAAACGCTTTGTCTATTCGTGTACAACACTTCTGTGCTTCGTCCGTTTCGAGAGATATCCATCTAAAAGAAATAAGACACTTCGCTGAAAATGCGGCGGCGTAAGCGTTCTTTGCTACCACCTTCACTGTTCCAGCGAAAGAACGTCGCGTGTTATCTTTATGAATTTGTTGTCGTACTATTTCCGTTGTTAGCTTAATGCTAGTTCTTGATCGTCCTCCTGTCGTCGCTGTTTCAGCTCGTGTTTGTGAAGTTGCTTTTGTGAATATCCGCGATACGGTTTTCTCTTATTTTCGTATCATTCGGTCAATGGTTGTGGTGCGGTGTTAAAACCATGTGATGTGTTCTTACTAATCGTCCTTGTCATTCGCAACAGCACGACTCGTTCCGTCCGACTCAACTCGTTCATGATGTGCTGCTTCAAATACAAGTCAATGCATCTTCGTGCAGGCGATCGTGCGGGTATACTTACCCACAGTTTAAACTACAACGTCGTGCTTGGTAATGAGAACCTTAGACCTGAAGAGATTTGATCTTTTCCCATTCTCATGAAAAACCGAGCAGTTTCTACTTTAGTGCGTAGTGTTGCAAAAAAAAACTTCGGCTATCGTTCCAAATCGTATATATTTCGTTCTTGAAATTGATTCAGATTCTGTGTACACTCTTTTCATCCGCTAGTTTTTTTACAAGCATCTTTTGTTCTTGCATTCTCCCCCACACGACACCCACCTCCGTATTGTTGTATGAGACAAATCCTACTCCTGTGATTTCATTTTCTACATTACGATTACTCAGCACGTAAAAATCATTTTGCGCACGTGGAAATCATTTTGCGAGAAGTTGTTGATCAATCTTCCTCGTGCAATGGGTTTATTTCCGCAAGACCACGACGTGACCACCCCCTCCGAGGACCTCCCGGCGGTGCCAATACACCAGCTGGACAAAAAATTGGTCGAGCAGATGTTTGGCAACGAGGAAAAATTCGAGCAATTTGTCCAGGATTGCGCCGACAAGGTGAAGAAGCTTCAAGAATCTGTAGCCACGAGAAGGACCACGTCGACCAGCTGCACGGGAGAAGCTGTTGAACATCAAGAAGGAGTACAAGAACCACCATCTGCACATGGTACAAGTTGTTCCGAGGAGCCGTTGATCGAGTACGAAGCACTCGAGCAGCTGGTCCTGGGGGAGAATTTTGGTCTCCAGAGCAGCAATTCTACCATTGCGAGGACCACAACATCAAGGCAGCTCCTGATGAATGGAGATCACTGCACCGCTGCGGCGGAGGAGGACGAGGAGGATTTATTTATTCCGGAGAACGACCAAGATGAACCTCAAGAAGTTGAACTTCCTCTACAGTCGAATACAGGTTGTACTTTGATGTCCAGTTCTACTTCGAACTACTTCCCGACGATTTTTTCGGAGGAACATCAAACGTCAACTCCATCTTCACTAGGCCCGCAGAACAACTTGATGGACGCAATACCTGCACCAGTAGAGCTAGAAACAAGAACAACAGGTGAAAATGACCTGAAGATGGAGCAAGGAAGCGATGGAGCTGCAAGTGTTGTTGACCCGAACAATGCTAAAGATCAGGAAGAAGTTCTGGTTCTTTCTCAACAGGAAACAATCGAAGACTCGCTACACTTGCTGGAGGAGGAGCAATTATCAAAAATCGAGCAGGAGATTGACGACGTCATAGCGCAGGAGCAGCAAATCATCGATCACATCGCGAGGGCGGTGGAGAAATCTTCCAGTTCGACTTTGGATGAACACGAGGAAGAAGGCGTGAAATATCAAGGTGAAATCGCAAAAATCCCCCAGCAGGACGAGGATCACGGCACTCCTGATCAAACCAGCTCGGACGACGAGCTGAACGAACTGAAATTGACGGAGAGTGAGGCGGATAGCGAAGGGGATCATGATGTTAGCGATGATCCGAATATCGGCGATCTGGATCAAATAGATGGTGAGGTCGTGATGTCTCCTAGCATGACAAACTCCTCTATGGAGAGAAAAAAGTTTGTCACAGTCACTAACTTGCAGATTTTGCATTACAAATTTTCTATAGCATCACAGATTTTCCTTGTATTGCAGAAGCACTAGGGAAATCCCTAATGAGGTTTGGCTGTGATGCATTTTTACGCATGACAAACAATTTTGTATTGCAAAAATGCGCATGAGTGATCGTGACGAACTTTTTCTCTTTGATATCCTCTACTTCCACAAGTCCGACATCGTCAAATAGTTCTTCTTCCACCGGTATGGATTGTAAAAGTGTCTGGGTCTGGAAACTTGTGATGCTGGTCGGCGTATCATGAAGAGGCCACAAGTGCTGGCTCAGCATGACAAGGCTTTGAGCCTCTAGGCGTTGCCAATTCTGCATGACAAAGTGCATTTTTGCATGACAGAAAAGCCGGGCTCTTGAGTAACGTGCACGACAGATTCAAGAGTCATGCCAGACAAGCATGACAAACTTGCATTCTTCCAGACTCAGACATATTTGCAGTTCATAACCGGTAATAATTCCCCAAATTCATCGTTGCTGTCTCCGAAGCTTTTGTCGTTCTTCATTGAGGAATACAACGAGCTTTCGTTGGCCAACTACACGTATCAAATGTAAAAATGTCTGGGTCTGGAAAAGTGTAAACTTTAACTTGTCATGCAGATTTTCCATGACCCATGAGGTCTGGAATGCCGGATTTAGCATGACAGAATCTACGAGGTCTCTGCTATGCCTATCCTGCATGACAAACTCCCTTCCAACTTGGTCAAAAGTGGACAGCTTTTGGCTCTCATGCAACACAGATTTTCGCATGCTTCAGATTTACCATGACAGGTTGCAACCTTCCAGACCCAGACATTTTTACATTTGATAACACGGTGCTCAGCACCATTCACGAAGGGGAGGAGGAGGACAGCGGCGCGGATACAGTGAAAGCAGACACGGTGCTGCAACAAGCTGTGGAGGATGAAAACGCCGGCCGCGTAGAAGATGTGGACGAGAGTGAAGATGTTGGGACCACGATGAAAGCGATTTCTCATGCTGTTGGGGACGGAGGGGAACGACAGCGAGGTCCTCTTGCGAATAACATCACTGAAGATCTTCATGTCGACGAAGACGATGACGGCGTGATTGTGTTCCAGCGAGAGGTCGCGTCTACTTCATCATCGGTAGAAGCTGATGGTGCAGGAACGGCAACAGCGAGGGAAACGAGTGTGACGACTGCGGAGGACGAGGCTGCCGAAATCATCACAGCCGATGGCGCTTTTACTTCTGCACATGACAACAGCGGTACGCAGGTCGAGCTCGACCAGACATCACAAGATCAAGAAGGAGCGAAAGAAATCAAAAAAGCTCCACTTTCAGTCCTTGCGGAAGAACAATCTTCGCCTGAGAAGTTCTTGTCGACCCACGTCGGGCAGTACAAAGAAGAGCTGCTGCAAGTAGAAAAAACAGAGGAACACGATCAAAACAAGAATATTGCGGGGATGATGAAACAAGCGGTAGCAGAGCAAGAATTGGACGCGAGCGTTGCCGCAGCTGCAGGAATTGAAGTGGAGGACGCGACGCCGACTACGAACATCGTTGACACGTTTGTGAAAGAACGTGAGCTACTAGTTGTATCCGAGGACGTAGTTGATGTGGCAGCTCCTTTCACGACTCTGGTCGCTTGTTCCAGTCCCAACCCTGTCTTGACCGAAGGTTCGCACAGTTCGCCGAGACAGGATTCCCGAGAACTGCATCTTCCGGGTGGTTCGGAAACCGCAACTACCGGCGAGCAAAAAGAAGATGAGTTTGCGTCCAGTTTGAAGCGCATCACGGGCCAGCACCGCACGAACACAGTGGCGTCCATCGGTTTGGGCGACGATCCGGATCATTCTTCTGCGCTCCATCGTGATCCTGACGAGCTGGAGAAGGGCCTGATCGAGGATTCGGCCTTGACAAAACTGCGAGGGCTCGGGCTGTGGGAGGAGGAGATAAACTTGAGCCCGAATGGCAACAATGCTGGGCCTGTGACAACATCTTCGCCCTCGGCTGCGTCGGACCAGCAACTTGGCCGGGGCATTTCTTCCGAGGCAGATTCGGAAAAACGGGCGAAGAAGAAAAAGGAGAAGAAGGAGAGTAGAAAAGGGTCGGCGTCTGCTGATTCGACTTCATCCCGGGTGGTGCAAATTGAAGAGCCGGCGGTGGAAGTGGAATTCGAGGGGGAAACAGTAGAACAACCTAGTACAGCAGCTGAAGTAGCACATCAACCGGTTGCAACTACTACCTTTTCATCTGAAGAACACCAGCCGGAACAAGAACCAGTGCAGCAGCCTGTCCCCACGACGACCTCAGATGATCACCTGCAGTCTCCCACTTCCACCAGCGCCCTCTCCCCAACCGGGTTGTTTGACCTGCTAGGAGAAGACCACAGTGAAGCGACGGCTTTTTCGGCTACCGCCGGGGTGACGAGCACTCAAGAGGAAAATCATGCGGAACAAGTGGACGACGAAATGGACCTGAGTGCGATGTTGGGAGCAACAGCAAGTGTAGCAAAAAACGCGACTGCTCCTACAGAGGAAACTCAAACTGCACATAATAACGAGCAGCCGCGAGGTACCTCCACCAACGAAAAAACTATTGCAAGCAACGCAGAAGGTGATGGTATTGGTATCACTATCACCCATGATCAACAGCCACAGGAACAAGTAGATCTTCATGCCAAGAATGGCGCAGATACCCAAGTCCGCCGGCGCGCCACCAGTCACGAGAGCGTCTTACAACTCGCGTCGCAAGCAGACAAAAATGGAAAACGAGAAGCTACTGCGGGAGGGGGTATTGCCACAGCAGCGGGTGGTAGTTCTTCCGCCGGCGTCGAAAAGGAACAAAAGGGAAATGTTAAACTCACGATCGAACAAGATCTCGCAGGGTCGGTTCCGGTGATCCAGATTACCCCCCCATCCACTGCCGCTCCGGCTGTCGCAGGAGCAGCAGCTTCTGCTCCGGGGGGAGAAGCGGGAATGTTGAATGCAACTGCTGCTTCACAGAAAGTCACGAACGAGAGTCAACAAGCGAACAAAGAGTCCGAGGCTGATGACGGCGCTATTACCTTGATTCTGGAGCAGGAGGAGGAAATAAATCTCGATCTACACGACGAAGACGGCAGAGTCGCGGCGGCCTTGAGACACGCGACGGACTACCTTCCCGAAGATTTGTTCAGTAAAGTCACCGCGCTCGCCCTGGAGGAGCTGCAGGCCAGCGGGATCGTGTTTAATAATAAAGGTTCAGCCACCTCCTCCCCACGGAGTGGAGGATCTTCTACGCAGAGGTTCGGGCGGAAGGCTTCTTTGACTCTGGACAAGGACGATCCGTTGCATCACGAGCTGCAGCAGTTGGAATCTCCGGACTCGCTCCGGTCCTCCGCGGTGGTTGTTGGGTTCTCGGACCAGAGCAAGCTGCCGAAGGAGGCGAAGCCTGAAATCAAGAAGATCTACATCACGGATAAGCTGGGCAATCAACAGGAGGTGATTATCCTATGTAAAACCGTTCCCACCCCAGACTTGTCATGCAAAGCTGCACGGTAAAAATGGTTCTCATGCGGGGCCCAATGAGAGGCATTTTTTTTTTCGTGTTTCGCAATTTGTCATGCTCCAATCGGCATGATGTGCTACATCTGTGATGCTGCGTAACTAGCTAAACAGGATCGATGCACTATGCGGCCAGATTTGTCATGCAGAACTCCCAAAACTCTGGGATTTGTGTTGCAGACTTCTCATCTTGACTGTGGTGTGGGGATGTTTTTGCACAGGATAGTGTTCCAGGAGGAAATTCAGATCCTCGGGCCGGTCGACCAGAAATCGGCCGAACACGACAAGGATTTGCTGAAAGAAAACCCGATGGATGGCAGTGGCGGTACCAGTCCCGGGCAATCGCAGGACGACAAGAACAGCAAAGAGGCGGGCTCCGGCACCGGGTCTGCGACGGAAGACGCGTCGGGGAATGCAGAGGACAAGAAGGCGGCAGTGGTCGGCGCGCTCTTCGGAAAAAAGGAACCCGTCATGCCGTTCGGGCGCGGCAAGGCGAAGGCGAAGGGCGGACAAGTCGCCGGCGCGAAGCCGGGCAAGGCGGGCGGCGCGGCGTTCGGGAAATCCAAGGCCAAGGCGGCCGCGGGTGGTGTCGGTGGTAACAACGCCAATCTCACGGTGAACACCGGTGGAGCAGGTGGGGGTCTGGGAACGAGTGGGGGGCAGGTGAAAATGTCGCCGCGGGGCGACGGACAGACAGGTGCACCCGGAACTACGGGAGGAGCTGCGCCCGGAAGCGGTGGCGCGGCCAACAAAACTGGAGGCGTCGCCCAGCAAACGTCCTCGGGGAAGGATGGATCGACGAGCAAGCAGGGTAAAAACAAATCCGATCGCCGATCCTCCGGCGGGAAGGGCTCTAGTTCGCGGCGGAAAAAGCCCGGATCCGGCGGGGCGGACGACGACAATGAGGACGGGAAGAATAAAGAAAGTGACAGCGAGAACTCCGACTCTTCTTCCTCCGGCTCTGATTCTTCGGATTCCGACAGTGATTCCGACTCCGATTCCGATCGCAAAGGATCGAAGAAGCGCAGGAAGGGGAGAAAGTCGAAGAAGAAGCACAAGAGGAAGTCGCAGCTGCAACTGGACACCGAGCACATCAACAAAATCGTGACGCAGGTAGCGCGGAGAGTGGTCTTGGATGAGGTGATTGTGGAATCGAAAAACGAGAAACAGCTGCTGAACATCTTGCGACTGCGCGATGAGGAAATCCGCAAAGCGCTGTCGAACAAAGCCGAGGCAGAGGGGAAGGTCGACCAGATGCAGCACATGGTGAAACAGATGGAGCAGCAGCTGAACTTTTTGTCGAAGGAACGCGACGAACTGATGGAGAAGCTTGCTGCGGAGCGCGTTTTGTCCCAGCATGCCCAGGTGTTCGTGGACAACCAAGCGAGTAAGGCACAGGGGCTGGAAGAAATCCTGAAGGAAGAGCGGAAACTGTTCACCAAGGACCTGCGCAGACTGCAAGCGGAAGTGGAGACAGCGAAGGAAGCGCACAGGGTGGAGGTGCTGGCCTACCGAAGAGCCCTCAGTGTGGAGGAAAGCAAGGTAAGGAACTACTGATAGGAAACTTTTCTTTCATCTCCTGCAGCTGTTTTCGTTGGTTAGGTTTCATTTGATTTTCTACGGCGCATCAGAAATGAAATGTTCATGCGTTCTTTGTCTTTGTTGTATGATGTGGATTTCGATTTTATAATATCATTCCATTGCACCACGTCGACGTTGTTTGCGCCAACAAAACTACCAGGTGGCGTCCCTCACGCACGAGGTGAAGCAGCTGCAGAGCGGCGAATTGGCCATCCCCACGTCGTTTGAGCACGATTCCTCGGGTTGGTTGGACGCCGCGGGAAAGAAGAAAAAGTCCAAATCCTCCATGAACGATACGCTTGGGTCTACCAGTCAAAAAAGGCACCAGGCAAAGCGGATAAAAATCCTGCACCTGCAGCAGAAAATGCACGGCAGCACCAAGGAAAAGAACCAGAAGGCGATTCAAGACGCCTACCAGATGAAGTTCCCGCCCAACCGGGTCACGCTGCCCAAGTTGATTTGATCAATACATAGACTTTTCATGATTTTCATTTTGAAGATTTTGCCTTTTGGACAAATTCCTTGACTTCGAAATTCAAATTCATCTCACGAGCGTCAGTTCTGCTGTCGCTTTTTTTAATGTACATTACGATTTTACTTTTATATTCTAGCATAGTGGAGGAAAAAATGAACTAATGTACTCTACATACAAGCAGTCATAGTCTTGTGCGAGCTGCGATTGCGACCTTTTGCTAGGACTTGTTACCCGATTTTTGGAGGTTGATGTTTCCGCTTATGTTGTAGTGTCTTCGGAAGAGAAGATGACTTTCATCAGTTTTTATGTCCTTCCTGCCACTGCAAGAAGCTGTATCCCAGCGATTTTTTTTACCAATTTAGTACATAGAAATCTAGTTCATCTTCCAGTATCAATTTTGGCAAAGCGTTTCTGTTTGCACAGGCAAAAGAGCCAGGTAAATTACTTGTTTGTTATGCAGCAAGAAACGGCATATCTGTAACTGTATCTCGTCCCTCGCCGCGTCTTCCCATGTGCATGAGTCGTTTTCACCCCTGATGAACACGAAACAGAACAAGTACTACTTCTACCCCACGACTTTACACTCATTTCTGTACGTAAATTGTGCACAAGAAGAACTATCCTCTCCATGATGAAGACGCATGTGTTGTCGTCGTGAAAAGAATCCTCGTTGGTCGTGCGAGTCTTCTATTTAGTTTTTTCCGCAGGCAAAAAAAAAAGATGAAGATCTTTATGTCTTACGACAAGGAAGCAGTACGTAAATGCAGAAGACAAGTAAAGCCACGGTGCATGATCGTACGCAATACAAAAACTCGACGTTCCAAACCACTTCGTATTCGTTCTTAGCCGTCGTGTTTAGTTTCGTCAATCGTACGGAGGTAGAAGACTCTTTCCGCGGAAAATCAACGCATCCTCGTCTCTGTAGACACTCACATTCTGCTGGAATAACAATAAGCATCAGTCCAGGAACCTTTTTCTTCCTCTCCTCCTCCGAAGAGAACCCTCGAAGGAACCGACTTTTCCCAGTGGGAACTAGCCTCTTTAGCTCTTGTCCTCCCACTTCTGCTAATAAGTAGTAAAAACAAGCACAAATACAAGAACACAAAAGTGCAGCAAGCAAACAGATTGTTATTTACTCAACTGCATTATCTTTGTGCTTTTATCAACAACTGCCTTTCTTGCGAACAAAATGAAGAAAGCCGTTATTGTGTCCGTTGCCGCATCCGCGGCGGCGATCCAGCCCCCGACGCATCAGTGGATCGGGAAAGAAGACGGGGGAGCGTTTGTGGAGGTGGACACTGGGCGGGGTAAGGCGAACGCGGGTGGGAAGAAGAAAAAGCAGGTTTATCCAGTGGTGGCAGCGGGCACGGGTCAACGCACTACCGCGTGTCTGCTGAGGGCAGGGAATCAATTTTATCCGAATTATGGGGGCTCTGGTGTTTATGGTGATATCTGCAGTTCCGGTTGTTCAGCTGCCTATTGTGCTGTGGAGCCTATTTCCTGCGGGAAGGGTTGCGGGACACTGAAGGTGCCCACAGGGTCCTGTTGCGAAGTGGGTACGGCTGTGGGCTTCCAAGGAGATAACGTTGTCTTTATCAATTGAGAATTCTTAAAAGGTGATTAGTTACTGATCATCTCTCTACTGCAACTTTTATGTAAACGAAGGTTGTTGCGCGAGCTATGTGCTCCTGAATGATACGTCCGTACGCATAATCAACATGTCAAAGAAGCTCAAGTTTCTGTAAACACTATGCGCTGTATTCCATTTATCTACTTGTTCATACACGTCACAGCGCGCAGCTGCTGGTGCTACGTCGTTCATCCTCCCCGTTTGTTGGATTCAATTTTTTCGGACCACGCACTTTTTACCCGTATTTTGATATCTTTGTCTTCGGAATAGAAGACGATTCTCAGAAGTCCCGTCGACTTTCTGTCCCTGCAAGAAGTTGTAGCCCGGCGATTTTCCAAGTTGATGTCCTGGAATGATATGACTACGCATGATTAGGCGGAAGTTTTAAGCTGTAGTACGAAGCGGGTCCCTCTTTATGCACGCGCAATAGAAGAGGTCATCGAAGTAAATGCAGCGCAAAGGCGAGCCATCTTCTCGATGATTCCGTCCCTTATGCTCACCTGTGTCTCGATGATGAAGAAGTATGTGCTGTTGTCGTGCACAGAGTCGTTTGTGCGAAACGTACTTAATCCGCAGGCAAAAAATCGACTTTCGACTTGAAGATCCTGTCGTGCGATAAAGTATGTGAAAGTGAAAAACACGTAAAGTAGCGCCTCGTACGCAATACAAAATTTCGACGTTCTTATACTTCGTAGTCGTTCTCTGCCGTGTTTGTTTCGTCAATCGTAGGAAAGGAGAAGTCGTCTTTCCACATTGTACCAAGGAAACCAACTGCTACACAATCAAAAATACCAACCCAGGAACACCTTTTTTTTTCCTCTGAAAAAATTTTAAACGACGAGCAACTTCTTTTCCGAGTAGGACAAAGTAGCCGCTGCGGTTCCGCTGTACATAAGAAAGCAGAAGCACAGTTATCCGACAAGGTAATTTTTATCCGCCAAGTTAGTAGCTATACTTACTTACGTCAGCGTATCTTTGCACAAGAAAATCATGAAGAAAACCATCGTTGCCTGCATTGTCGCGTCCGCGACGGCGATCCACCCCCCCCCACTCATCAGTGGATCGGGCAAGAGGACGGCGGGACTTTTGTGGAAGTTGACCACGGGAGTAAGGCGAACGCGGGTGGGAAGAAGAAGAAGGCGGGCAAGAACCTCTACGGTTTATCGGGGGCGGGACAAGCTGGGTCTCCCTCTAGCTCTACTACGGTTCAAACTACAACTGCGCCGGAAGAGAAGGAGGACGATTGTGCGAACAAGCCTTGGGCTTGGGTGCAACCTTGCTATAGTGATGGAGACTGCGGCTGCTTTCCAGGCTTTTTTTGCTTGAAGTTGACGATTGTTTCTGGGGGTATCTGCAGCGGACAGATGTGAAGAAACTCCTCAACTTTACCCGCCTGTGGTATTGATGTTTTGCACAGTGTGTGCGGAGCAATTGAAGTTTCTCTTTCTCTCCGAGAGCTATTGCGCAAACTACCCGTTCGTAGTCCTTAGTAAGCCATGAATTATACCCGTAATCATGTTGTGAGAAAAGCTTGTTTAGCCAGTACTTATTATCCTAGGTAGCCACATATTGTATTTCTATTTAATATAGCACAGCTTCTAGATCTCCATAACATCATTCAATTATCTTTCGCTTTAGAGGGTATGCGACAGAGCAACGTCGACTTCGTGATCACGTGATGCACTAGTGCGCGTTTGTTAGAAATTTTATTTTTCGTTATTTTTACACTGTTTTCCAGCAACTTTTGTCCAATCCTTTTTAGGTCTTCCAATCCCCCTCACCTTTTCGTTTTCCGGGAAGTTGTATCCCGCTTCAGTATCCGGTTTTCTACGATCATCTCTTCCTCCTTTGCGTAAAATTTCCAACAAGTACAACTTGCATACGTCCCATAACTACATTTTTCCACCCGTAATCCCAATCGAAAACAAGTGTAAAATCCTCAAAAAACTATGAACTACCCTTGCATTACTTACCGTTCTTACCCCCACTGGGAAAGATTTTGATTTTGCTAAAAATGTTTTTCCTGAAAAATCAGATCCTGATCTTGCTCCAAGACTGAAGCGTTGTGCAGCTTGTTCTCAGGAGGGGTGGTCACGAAATCGTTTTCTGGTATACTACTAGTAGGCCGAAGGCACGAAAATGTAGTTGCGTCGTGTAGAAGTCTGTACTCGCACAATAACTGCCGGGTCGTCGTCGTTGGGGACACGCATAGAGACCTGTACTAAACTGACAACTCGTGGTCTGGATTGATAAACGTAACGACTCAAGAAATGCAAATCCGGTAAAGAACCAGAAGCATCGTTTTTGTTTCCGCGAGATGAAAGATCTTCAATTCAACTCGTGATCGTGAAGGTGAACTACCAAAGGGATCGCTTTTCATCGTCAACTTCTTCGTATTACGCGTTTTCGCGCCTCCTGTCGTCGTGCAACTATGTATTGCAAGAGGATCATCTCGACCTCGACGTCCCGGCAATGATGTGAAGCGTGGACTCTGGAACATGTAATACGCTCGCCATAGAAAGCTGATACAAATACAGTTCACTTATCGTTTTCACTCGAAAGTAATGTAACATCGTGCCTGATTGTTTGGTATCGCTTTTCCTTCGCAAGGACAAGGTGGAGGATGTTTTTGAGTTTTAGAAATGTTGCATTTTTAAAGGAGAAAAACTACACAACAAGAAAATGAGTCCATCCCGCGGTAGTAGTTCCACTTCCACCACGAGCGTCATCTCTCTCTCCCGCCAACTACCACTGTTGCTCGTGTTCGTCGGCGGGGCGATCACGAGCGGTATTCTCTACCTTGCCGTGCAACGTGCTGAGAATGTTGGTTTTCCAGCGACGTGGTCATCTAGTTCTACGTTCGGTGGGACATCGAGTACATTTGCAACCACCACCCACAACTATCTCCAGCCGCTCTACGCGTTCGTTCCCCACTACAGCCCCGAGATCCTGCTGTTCCTGCTCACACTCAGCCTCGTCCTCTGCTACTACCTCGCCCGGCTTCTGGGCATCGTGTTCTTGTCCGAATTCCGAAAAACCTGGAGCTGGTACTACCCGAGCATCGCTGATGAGAAGACGCTAGAAGAGAAGCATGCCGAGCGGATCGATAACCTGGTTATCGCCGAGATTCAGGACAGTATCGTGCGGACGGCGAGGAAAAAAAGGTCCAGGTCTGGCTGGGCGGTGCAAGAAAAGCATAGGGTGTTTTCGAGCAGGGAAATAAATGAGCTGAAGATTAATCGCAACACCAAATATACTGGCACTACCAGTAGCTCACCTGCAAATTATACACGTTTTTCTGCAGAAAATAGAGCGGAAAACAACTACTTCTACACCGGCGGCACATCGAGGAAACAAGGTAGACGACGAGCAGGAAGTCGGGTGCTTAGAAGTGCAGCACATCAACCTTTTGACGACAAAAACGACCACAGCTCGCGCCTGTCCAGGAGTCCGGTTGCGCACAACATCGCGAAGCACCACGTCTTTCAAAAATATGAGGAAAGAAGTTTTGCGTCAGACCAACCAACTTCTCCTTTGCAACCACTCCCCCTTTATTCGCCGACGACGCTGACCCACCGGGGCCGGCATCCCGTGCGGAAGGACGTCCACACGGATGTGCTGCTCTCGCCACCGAGGCTGCTGGCCAGCCAGGTGCGGCAGGCCGCCGGCCACTTTCGCCGGGCGCGGTCGGTGCACTACGATTCGCTCGCTAGGAGGTGCGAAGACGAGCAACTACTACAGGGTACTTCTAGTAGATCCGGAAGTCCTTGGAATGGTGAGAATCCAATGAACAGCCTCTTCCTCACCGAGCGACTTCCGAAGACGACGGGACGAGAAATGCATGCTCGTCAACGACTGTACACAGAAGCAAGTAAAAATTATGCAGAAGGGACTGCCGGAAGACGTAGTAGTAGACGACATGGTGGACGAACTAGCACTAGAAGAAGCAGTAGGAACAACAAATCTATTTTCCAAGCTCGTTATTCCGCCGCGAACATGCCTATTTCGCAGCACTACGAGACCGTAACGCGAAAGCTGGAAGGAAATTTCGTGTTTTTCGTCGTCCTTCCGGTTTTTATTGACGAGAGCACTATCATTCTCGACCTGGAAGAAAACCTGCACCAGACGCTGACCAGTCTTGCCGCGTCGAGTCTGAGAGCGAGGGACCATCTAGTCCCGGTGTTGGCCGTGCGGGAGCGGCGGCGACAGGAAGAAGAACATACCGCTGATGTACTTCTTGCAGGAAGAACTACAGCCGCATCTTCAACTCCTCACGATAATTGCGATAATCTCATCGAGGAGTTAGACTTCCTTACGCCAGGAGCAGGCACTGAAAACAGCTACAGTGCAGCTCTGGAACAACAACAAGCTGGTCGTGACACCAGGCAAGCTGAAGACAAGAGCCAAGAGGTCGCAATACAGGAACAAACGGTCGGCAAAAGCCTCGTGGAGCGGATTCGCGGAGATTTTGAGAACCAGTTTCGCGGAATTTTGAGCTTCGATGTAGTTCATCTTGCAGGAGGAAATGGTCACCGTGTCATGCGCACAACCCTCGAGGACGGTTCTTGTGCCGATACTTCTAAGTGCAACAACAACCCCGAGCACGCAGTAGGAAAAAATATCTCCGATGAACATCAACAATTTTACAATGCCAACGGTGCAGCTTCTAATTCTTGGCCCTTCATCTCTTCGACGGACCCGCATGGGACGAAACAAGCAGAGGACCTGTTGGAGCTCCCCTACGCGCACTTTTTCTCGTTCGGGTCGCCGGGGGACACGAACTCGGAGGGCAGCAGTGAGTTTATTGCAAGGAAAAATTTTGCCTCCCCACATTAAACGTAAGCGCAGCCTTCTGAAAATTTGTCATGCAGATTTGTGCTCCTGCTCACAAATACTGGTGTCTGTCTTGCAAGAATGCAGATCCAGAGAGTCCGCCGCATTATGGTGGCGATTTGTAACGCTGTAGTAAGGCCTACGGGGCAGACGTCTGACCTGCTAAGTGCCTATGCCAGAAGACCCCTGCCTAGGCTTAGTACTATCTGCGTGTAGTGCTCTACTGCAAGACAGATCCGAAGTGTGTACACAGATCCCGCATCACAGATTTCCGTTTTGATATGGGGCGGGGGGATGTTTCATTTTGATAGAGTTCACGAGCTCCTCTGCCAACTCGAAATCGACGTCGTCCTCATCTTCCTATGCATGGCAAAAGTGAAAGTATAAAATATCGTGCTGGTAGTATTAAAAATTGCATCACTCATTTTGTCAGAAGAAAAGTGGACTTTGTGATGCAGAATCAGTAGAGAAGAAAAAAGATAAAGACATGAATGCGACATTACACTTTTGCACAGGATAGCACTTCCTCTTCCAGTAAAAGCAGCACACCGGGGGACCACAAACTGGCACTAAACAAAAATCCCAACTACAGCGCGGCCAGGGTGTTATTATCGTCGTCATCCTCGTCATCTGCGTTTTTTCCGAGCTGTAGCGATGCCAGGAGCGGCACCGGAGTCAAGTACAAGGTGCGACATGGCGGTTCTGATGCGTTTGTCCCGGTCGTACCAACCAGCACCAGTACGGAAGAGGCAAATGAACGATCACGATTACGAGATGTTGAGGCACAGCAACATAATGAAGCCCTCCGGCTCCGGCGTGGTGAAAATGAGATTATCAAAGACAGGATGAAAAGCAAACTGGGCGAATTTCTCCACAAAGCTGCCTACGCCGTGCACCATCTCGAAGCGGAGCCGGCGGAGAGTGGAAAAAGTTTATCTACTCACCAGTTGGGGCCAGTGGGAGGCCGCCGTGAAGGTGGCCGCGGCGCGCCTTTTCCTCCGAGAGGGGGGTCGGTAGACCTTTTACACCGTCAAACAGCGAGCGGGAATGGAGCAGGGGAAGAAATACTACACCAGGGATTTAGAAGTAGTAGTTCAAATACCACCCTAGTAAAAATTCCAACTACCGGGGACGAGAATCATGAAGATCTCATGCATGGAGCCAGACTCGGCGACAGGAGCAGGAGTGAAGATCAGGCAGATTCGTTGTTGCACGCTGCGCTGTTTGGAAGTTCGAGTTCTAGAGCGAGGGGCGGCAGCAAAGACGGAGTTGCGGAGATACGCCAGATGAAGATCTTCGTCCAGACCGTTCAACGACACTTGGCGCTAGCCAGTACTGGTATCCCTTTTCACGACGGCACTGCTGCAACTGTTGAAAAAACCAGAAAACAGCACGAGGTGGACGATAAAAATTTACACCGCATATCCTGAGTAAAAACGTCCTCACCCCAGAGTTGTCATGCAGATTTTCATTCACAGGAAGATTTGTAATGCGCATCCCCATGAGAGGCATTTCCAATCGTGTTTTGGACTTTGTATGTAATGCTCGAAACAGGATGAGCAGATGGATTTCTGTTGCGGCTGTACTTGCTAAACTGCACTACAATACAGAGACGAACTTGTCACGCTTGACTCCCAACACTTCTCGACTTGTGTTGCGAGATCCCCATCTTGACTCTGGGGTGGGGACGTTTTTACATAGGATGCCGCACGGTTGATGTTCAACACCCTACTTCGTGTTCGACGTTGCCGACCTTTTTTCACGAAGACTACTTCCTGCACATTGTGTACAAAACGGGGTTCGCGGACTACCGGAAACAATTCCTAAACCTCCCGAACACGACCGCCGAGACCACAAGAACTGGGATTGATGTTCCAGCGTTTTCTACTGTGAAGAACAAGACGAAAAGCTTCACCCTGCCTCTCCACGGTATCCTGAGCAAAAACGTCTCCACACCAGAGTCAAGATGGGCAATCTGCTAGAGAAATCAACCAGCCTTGGTTGTTTGGCATGACAAGTTTGTCTTCGTAGTGTAGTTCTGTTTAGCTAGTTCAGAAGCATCATAGATCTAGCATAGCGCGCTGATTCTAGCGTCGCAAATTCCAAAACACCAATAGAAAGCGCTTCTCATAGGGCTCCGCATGAGAAACTTTTTTGGCATGCAGGAGAATTGCGTGACAACTCTGGGGAGGGGATGTTTTTACACGGGATACACGGAGTTGAAGAGTTGCCCTGGTTCTCGCGCCACTTCACGCTCTGGGAGTGTATCTTTGCCATGCTGAATCACACGACCTCCGGGGAACAAGAAGGAGATCTACGTCATCAAGAGCAGGGGATGCAAAGTCAAAGTCGTGTTTCCGTTTCGAAACGGATTGTAGTCATGGAAGAAGAAGAAGACGCGTGTTACGAACTTGACTTTGTTTTGCCTTTCCACGGTCGTCCGACAGCGTTGTCGTTTCGGCGGCACCAACGAGCAGGAGGGGGAAGAACTGCGGGACCCCTTTCAGAAGACGCAACCCCGATCAGTCGTGAGAAAAATGCAAACCATGAGCACAAGTTCGGAACGGCCCGTCGGTGCTGTAAACCAAGGGCAAAAGGAGGCGAAGGTTCTACTAGTCGTGGTGTACTATTTTCCGCTACTGCCCACACAGAAGCCGGTTCATTTCCGAATTGGTACCCGGTGCTGCGGCCGTGTTCTGGGAGCACCGTAGCGGCGGTTGGGACAGTGCAGGCCATCGTTGATCGGTGGAAGGAAAGTTACAGCAGGATGGAACAACGCATGGCATTTTCAACTACATCAACTGCACAACAAAAAAATGACCCGCATCATCAAGATCAACTTCCTGTCCCCACACAAAAACTACGAGAACATCAAACACAAACAACAAAGTCAGGAGGACTTTTCTGGACGTTCGCGAATAAGAATGAGTCCTCGACTACTACTTCTTTCAATAAGGTGGACCAGCGAATGATGATACAACCTGCTCTACTCCCGCATGATTCCGGGTCAAGATTTTCACGAGGAACAACGAACATCAGCAACAAGGGGAATATTAAAAGTGGCTTGATGTCTACCACTAGAAGTACAACGACCATCAAGCAGCTCAAAATGACGCAGCTCCTCCTGCCCATCCTGAGTCCCGGTGTCATCCTGCTAGCCGTCGCTAGCCTCCTGTTCTGGCCGGTGTGGGTGGTGAAAAAGTGGTGCCCTGCAACTTCATCTACAACATTCGGTAGTACAGTCGCCGCCTGGGACAGCACCAGCTATAATTTGGCGGGTCTGAGCAACTATGCTGGGCGAGAAGACGAGGCGATTCTGCAGCAGATGAACCAGAAGCCGCTTGTTTCAACTTCGCAAGCGGACGCGGACGACATTGCCAGCTCCGTCGCTTTGGAGATCGAAATGGACGAGAGTAGATCCTTTTTACATCATTCGGAGGGAAGGTGGAGTAGTGTCAGAGACGAGCATAAAGTTGTAGATCCTCTCCGTCCTGACGCCGCTCGCACCACAGCAGCTTCCGGTAGTAGTTTCAACGCTGATGCAACGCTGAAGCTCCAGAGCGACAAAGCGCCCCGGAAGATACCACAGCCGGCGGGGGGCGGTGGTACTAGCAAGGACCAGCATGATGCACCAGCAGCTACTCCTGCTAGTACGTCGTGGGAGGACAACAAAACTCGAAGAATCATCTCGTCCACGGGCGGAGCTACTCGGGTACTACGACCCAGCACGGGTCGGCAGCGTTCTGGTTCGTCTACTGTGCCTGCGAGTGTGCTGGAGAAGAAAGTGGACGTTCAAGAAACACGCCTCTCCGGTATTAATGCGGCTTCTGGCGTTCTTGTTGGTGACCACCACGATATCAACAAGTTCGTGGCAGGAAAAAAAACTGTGCAAAATCTACTTCCACTTACCACAGGTGGAGTAGAAGCGCCAGCAGTGTCTGGTGGTGATGAAATAACTGAGAAAGGTGACGGAACTACGGAACAAGGAGCTCTTAGTAGAGACACCGAGCCACAGCAGAAACAGGCGGAGGAAGGACAAAAAGCAGAGGAGAAAGTAGATGATTTACAAAGACTGGACGAGGACGACGAGTTGCAGTTGGAGGACCCAGCTGCTTCTTCTACTTCGGGTTCTTCCGACGCGAAGAACCAGAACCTCATCTCAGACCCAGGAACTACTACAACAACTGACGTCGAGGCAGAAGTACTATTTGCGGACTGGCATATCGCGAATTTCTCCTACCACGTCATGTGTCTGTTTTGGCGGTTTGCCGCGATTTATCAAATGCAAAAATGTCTGGGTCTGGAAGAGTGTAAACTTGTCATGCAGGTTTTCCATGACCCATGCGGTCTGGAATGCGGGACCTAGCATGAAAGACTCTGCCGGGTCTCTGTCATGCCTATCCTGCATGAGAAACTCCCTCCCAACTTGGTCGAAAGTGGAGAGCTTTTGGCAATCATGCAATACAGATTTTTGCATGATTCGGATTTAGCATCACAAGTTGCATTCTTCCAGACCCAGACATTTTTGCATTTGATACGATTGTGTACCTGGTTGCGCAGTTCTGCGTTGTCAGATCCACGGTTGGTTGCACCGCCAGAACAAGGCACCACGACCAGAATCCAGCATCCACCCGACGACCAGATCAACAACATGACGGCTCCTTCCTGCTGGGAGGACTGATCTCGCGAGCGCGGGTGCAGTTTCTGATTGACTACTACATTTTCGTGTTCGGGGGCATCTACCTGATCGCCGGCTTTGTGTGTCTCCCGGTGCTCCTGGGCGCCTTTGCCAAAGCGGCTGGCGGCGCCGACGTCGGGGCCATGGTGCTGTGCAAGATCATGTGCAGGAAGAGAAAGAGCATGATGAATGGTCCTTGTACTACACCAGGGAACTACCTTCCTCATGTGGGCGGCGAAATGCATTCTCCACCTAAACAAGCACTTTCAGGAGCGCAAGAACCTCGTCGGCTGGGAACTACCGACGAAAATTTTCCTACAGCAGCGCCTCCTGCTAGTACTCACGATGGTGATACTAGTTGCGCTCCTGGACCACACCTGCCACTGCAGACAGATACCGAAGCTGACGATGTTGAGACGCTGCCTTTACTGGGGTCGTGCGAGCAGAGCGGCACATCCTCGGGGAATTTGTCGCACCGCGAAAGGACGAAAAGTGAAACGAGAGACGTAGAAGATGCTCAGCGCCGTTGTACCGGAATATTAAAAGAGGGAGTCGATAATTCCACCCGTCCCGCAATATTAACATCTGCTTCTCCACCTTCAGTCGCATCTTTTCCTTCTTCCGCCGAAAGTAACTTGAGAAAGACCGTCTGTGTGTGGGCGTTGATCCTGTATTTCGGCTGGATCCTTGCGGTGCTTCACGTGGCGGTGCCCACCCTGGTCGGTTTCCTCACTCCTTTTCTCGGGCTCGCGGTACTGGCGGGACTCGTTTTGTCCTCGAGCAGCTCCTATCAAGTGCAAAAGTGTCTGGGTCTGGAAGATTCTAAACTTGTGATGCTGGCTCTGGGTTCTAAAAAAGTTTGCATTGCATGACCAGCAACAGGACTCCAGTTTGTGCTACGCGGAGCGGGCATTTCTCATGCGGTAGAGGCATCACAAAGGCCTCTCAAAATCTGTCGTGCTAACCATGCATCACAGACATCATGAGTCATTCAAAATATGCATGACTTCCAGACCCAGACATTTTTGAATTTAATAGCTCCTTTGTCAATGGAACGATAGTTGATGTACCCGCTGAGACGACGACAATGTCGCTGCCGCTCCTAGAAAGGAACAACAACAACATCAAGGCGACCAGCCCGGGCGAGCTGGGTAGACTTCATTCGAGAAAAATAAACAAGCTCTACAATAATTCGTCGAGCAAAATGAATCCATCGTCGAGCAGCTGCAACAACTACTTTTTCTATTGGCACGTCCTCGCCGGGGGGCTCTTTCTGATCGCGTTTACCTACGACACTGCGACGCGTTTCTTTCTCGGAGTCGCGTACTTGTCCACCGTCGTGCTCATTTTCACGCAAACTTCTCGGTCCGTGTTTCGCGTCTTGGTCGCGAATTACCGGTTCCTTCTGTCCACCTCCGACTCCGACAAAGACGGGTCGTTTCTATCTTCAGAAAAAAGTTCTTTTACAGTGTACACACTCTTCTTATGCATAGACAAGGAAGGGAAGACAAAAAACCTCTGCGATGCTTGCCAGCCTCATTTCATGCGTCTGGTCGTTCTTTATAATTTCCGCAGTAGTTTTTATTTTCTTCGCCATGCGAAACAGGTTTGTCACCGTAAAAACACCTTTCTGATTGCATACTTCTCCCCGGCGTCGTCGTCCCACTACAACTCGCCCGGCCGCGGCGACGAGCAGCCTGCTCAACATCTCGGTCCAAGCATCCCACACGACCAGCCCCAAGCGCACCACACGACAAACTCCGCGGCGCTGCTGACCGTCATTGTGGAGCTGTTCTGGATGATCGCGTTTCTGCTGCAGATTGCCGTGGTGCGCCCCCACGTACTGGGCCTCTACGCAGGTTCTGTTTTCGGACAGACGGCGGGGCTTTTTACCTCGTCGCCCGGGGTGGGTGGGGCCGGGACGGTGGAAGCCTCGGCTTATCTCTCAGGTGGATCAGGAGGAGCAACACCAACAGAACAACTCGCGTCGGCTTCTGCTACTTCCAACGTCGTTGTCAACCCTTCGGCCGAGTGGTTTTCGCTGTCCATGCTGGCCCTGTTCTTTTTTGCACAAGCGGTGGCGAGACTGGTGGTGTCGGAAGCGGTAACTTACCAGGAGCGGAGGACTACTACGTCGGGCGACTTACACGGTGTTGGAGCAACGTCGGTGAAGAGGACGGAGTTGGTGATGTAGAAGCATGTTGGGGAGTGAATATTTTTCCCACCGATCCTTTGTTTGGAACTGTCACCGTGTATAATCAGAGCATTTACGAAGTATATCTGTACTGCGAATACTAGAGAGACAATAGTTGTATTATTGGAAAAGAATTATTTTCAATTTCAGATTCAGAGCGACAATGGTTGTAAGTACAAATGAAAATGAACCATGTATGATAGCAGCTTATTGACGCCCTTCACCTTCTTCCTGTCACACTGAAAAACTAGGATGAGCACTACTGCTTCGGCTCGTTCTGTGTTGTCATTCATCCAGCTGAAGAAAATGTCCGACGAATGAGAGTACAAATTATGTCCCAGCCGACAGTGGAGTATCTAATAAAACTAAAACCGAGACAGTGTCGTACAACTGAGGATTTTGTTGAAAGTGTGAACCTGATATAATCTCATTTTACTCGAAGTCGAAGCACAGAGCAACATCCGGTGCGGCAGCTGATTTAGTAGCCCGCGCGGGCGATAGACATCAGCTTCGTTTTTGTTTTCGAATAGGAAATAGTACATGCCAAAGCGCACTTAATTCCAACAGAAGATCTTCGTGGACACGCAGGTAGAAGTAAGTTCGGTCGGTGCAGCATCTCAGTACAAGAACCTATAACATTTTACTTACTTGCTTGGTCTTCCTCTCCTGCTCTGTGGGTGAGGTGCCCTTCATCGTGGAAATATCGTGGCACAAATTCGTACTTGTTGTTATAGTTTGTGTGCACACAGAACCCAAACGTCAAAGAAAATCACTTTGCGCTCATGCTGAGCATACTACAAGCTGAAGACAGTAACAATTTCGACGGGAAGTATATCATTGCACCTGTCTACTCAACAGGAGCGAACTTTTACTAGTCTCGTAAGTTGTTAGTACAGCTAGGAAGCTCCTTTTTCCGCCAATTCGTGACCATCCTTTTCGTGAAGGGGCTGTCCCGCTACTCTCGTCTCACAGCTACAATTCAACTTCGTTGGCGTTCTCCCATCAATTTCGTAAAAACAAGAATAGAAGTGGAAGGCTATTTCTTATGCTCGTCCATACTTACATCACAGTAGCTGATGAATCTTCTTCATCTTTGGTCTTCTCCAGACAATCAATCTGCAGGACACTTTGGTTTTTTTTTTCGAGGTTCGAAAACAAGAGCCATTAGGACGTCGAAGCTCCTGCTATCAGCTAACTACTACACGACAAAGCACACTTCTTCGCTCGTAGCTCTGCTTCGTCTGTTTAGAAAACTTTTGAAAAGTAGTCGGCAAATCAGAATGAAGACGATCGCCGCAATTTCGGTTCTCGCGATCGCGGGACAAGCGGCCCGCCAGGTGCACCTCCACGAGGACGCGGACGCGGCCAAGTCTTTCTTGCTGGTGGACAAAGCCGCACCACGGGCGACCAGGATTCCGGCTCCAAGGGTCGTGGGCGGGAATGCGCGTTGCAAAGGCTACACCCCGGACTGCGAAGAAGCATTTCCGTTAAACGCGGACTGGAAAGCGAACTGCGACGCGGCGTGCGGCGGTACTACCAGTACAACACCAGCGGCTAGTACCAACATTGCCGAAGCCGGGCCCCCCGCACAGGCGGCGGCCGAACCGGTGTTCACACCTTGCAAGGGGAGCACCTCCGAAGTGGACGGCAGGATCTTGTACCCCGATTGTCCCCACGCTTTTCCCCGGAATCTTTGGTGGGAGGCTAGCTGCTTTTTCTCCTGCAAAACACCTTGCAGTGTCGAAATCGAGAATTGTGATTCAGATACAGCTTTTCCTTATGATGCCGACTGGAAGCCAATGTGCGAAGCGGTGTGCGCGGACGAGTCAGGATGGACAGTTCCGCGTGAACCGTGCTCCGCTGCCTTTCCCGACGTGTTTCCCGGCTGCGACGCAGAGGTTCGCTCCTACCAGAAAAGTTGGTGGAAGAAGAATCACTGCAGTCGAAAATGCGACGTGCTTATGCATTGCAAAAGTGTCATCTGGGTCTGGAAGGTTGCAACTTGTCATGCTACTTCTGGATCGTGCAAAAATCTGTGTTGCATGAATGCCAAAAGCTCTCCACTTTTGACCCAGTTGAGAGGAAGTTTCTCATGCAGGAAAGGCATGATACGGAAACGGATCATACCCACAGAATCTGTCATGCTAGGTCCTGCATTCCAGACGACATGGATCATGGAAAATCTGCATGACAAGCATGGGAATCCTCCAGACCCAGACATTTTTGCATCTGATAGTGCTGGTGGAAGCAGCCCACGGCGGAAGTGTCCTTTGCTCCAACGTTTCCCGGGTGTTGTTTCCAGGGTGTAACGCCAAAGTTTCTTCGCGGAAGCCGCCGTGGTGGAAAGCGAGGCACTGCGGTGACTATTGCCGCGTCATGCACGACGAATCCGGTGGACAGCTCGATTCCTGTGCCGCTGTCTTTCCCGACTTGTATGAGGGATGCGACGAGAGAGTGTCTCGCGATATACCGTTGGAGCGCCAGCAGAAACAGTGCAGTGAAAATTGCGGAATCATGCTGCATGCTGCAGATCATGCGACCACCCATCACGACTTTAGAGTGCAACATCGCCGGGACGAGGCCGACATACGGGATTATTGGTGCTCCTGGTATCCTGGCGCCATGTTTGCTGGATGTAAGGACGAGAAAGTTCCGGCTGGAATGTCGCTCGGTGCGACGAGGGAAGCGTGCCTGGACCTCTGTCCGTATTGCAACCACGTCATACCCTGGTCAGAGGACTCGTTCCTTGTTCATCGCAATTGGGGGTGTCAGGCCACAGTCCCTGCCGACTCGAAAAACCAACTCGAGGTCTGCAAGGCAGCATGCGAGGAGCAGCAGGTAGAATCGAATTCTTTGCTCCTCAGGGAGGGCGAGGGGCAACGTGAATATCACCCCGACCCCGAGCGGGAGCTGGCGAATGTGGGCGGACGCGTGGGGTGCAACGCATTGGAGGTGGATTGGACGTGTGACGAAACAGTTTCTGCAGGAATGTCGTTTGAGGAAACGAAGTCACAGTGCAGGGCACTGTGTGCCGGAAACCACGCGGAATCTTTCTTGCTGGTGGACAAAGCCGCACGGGCGACCAGGATTCCGGCGCCACGGGTCGTGGGCGGGAATGCCGGCGACGTTGGTACGACATCTAGTACCATATGTATCGCAATTATGTCTGTGTCTGGAGGAGTGCGAATGCCGATGTTAATGTTTAGTCTATTGTTTGTGCACGATACAGAAACAGAAGGTCTAGCAAGCAGGCCATCACAAGTTTTGAAACCTTTTGTTCGGTAACAAGAACGTATTGTCCATGAAATGCGCAGCACGAGTTTGCATCTCTCTCTAGATCCACCTGAAAAATTTGCAATGCATACAATGCCATTGCCAAAGCCTTATCAAAACTTGTGATGCTTCTACAGCTCGTGTTCGCATATTTATTCCCAGGTAGCGTTCTGGGTCATGCTAGACCTCCTGCATGACAAGCCTTGGAATGTTCCACAGAACCCAGACACCTTTGCACTTGATAGGCTGCCGCCGAGCCGCCGATTATGGGTGGACGGGATGCGCAGTGCTCGGCTGTGGATTCGTTCATGTTTCCAGGATGTGACGCGCAAGTTTCCGCGGGAATGTCGCCCAGTGCAACGAAGAACGCGTGCGTTGCGCGCTGCCCGAAGTGCGTCGACGTTGTCACGGATGAAGAATTCCAGGGCTATCGTGAATTCGGTTGCTGGGTCACTGTCTCTGCCGACGTACAAAATCCGCTAGAGCATTGCATGGCTGAATGCGCAGAACAGCAGAAATTCGCAGGTGCTTTACTGGGTCCAGATGAATCCAGCCAACAAGGTGTCCACCACACTTTATGCATTGCAAATAAGTACTATGTCTGGGTCTGTAGGACGGGACTGAGTTTGTGATGCCAAGTTTTCGAGGCACGGAGTTCTGTATTGCATGAGAAGCAAAAGGACCCACATTTGGCAACGCAAAGACGATATATCTCATCCAGGATAGGCATTTTTACGGAGCCTTATCAAAACTTGTGATGCTTCTACAGCTTGCATACCGATACTAGGGGGCGTCCTGGGTCATGCTAGACCTCCTGCATGACAAGCCTTGGAATGTTCCACAGAACCCAGACACCTTTGCACTTGATAGGCTGCCGCCGAGCCGCCGATTATGGGTGGACGGGATGCGCAGTGCTCGGCTCTGGATTCGTTCATGTTTCCAGGATGTGACGCGCAAGTTTCCGCGGGAATGTCGCCCAGTGCAACGAAGAACGCGTGCGTTGCGCGCTGCCCGAAGTGCGTCGACGTTGTCACGGATGAAGAATTCCAGGGCTATCGTGAATTCGGTTGCTGGGTCACTGTCTCTGCCGACGTACAAAATCCGCTAGAGCATTGCATGGCTGAATGCGCAGAACAGCAGAAATTCGCAGGTGCTTTACTGGGTCCAGATGAATCCAGCCAACAAGGTGTCCACCACACTTTATGCATTGCAAATAAGTACTATGTCTGGGTCTGTAGGACGGGACTGAGTTTGTGATGCCAAGTTTTCGAGGCACGGAGTTCTGTATTGCATGAGAAGCAAAAGGACCCACATTTGGCAACGCAAAGACGATATATCTCATCCAGGATAGGCATTTTTACGGAGCCTTATCAAAACTTGTGATGCTTCTACAGCTTGCATACCGATACTAGGGGGCGTCCTGGGTCATGCTAGACCTCCTGCATGACAAGCCTTGGAATGTTCCACAGAACCCAGACACCTTTGCACTTGATAGGCTGCCGCCGAGCCGCCGATTATGGGTGGACGGGATGCGCAGTGCTCGGCTGTGGATTCGTTCATGTTTCCAGGATGTGACGCGCAAGTTTCCGCGGGAATGTCGCCCAGTGAAACGAAGAACGCGTGCGCTGCGCGCTGCCTGAAGTGCGTCGACGTTGTCACGGATGAAGAATTCCAGGTCTATCGTGCATTGCATTGCCGGGCCACTTATGCCAAGAAAAATGCATTTACACTTAATACACAAGCAAGACAGCGGCCAATATGATCTGTGGTCAGATGCCGGAAGAGGAAGATGTACACCAGATGCTTGCGAGCGCCGTTTCATGCGTGCTTTCCCATGCGGTCTACTCCCTCTCCGTTGTATTGCAAGTTTTCTTTGTCATGGGGGGCAAGTTTGTGTTGGTGAAGGTGAAGTGACAGGTGACGCGTGTTTTTAAGTGTAAACAGTTTTTTTATCCTTGGGATATCACTGTCTCTACCGACGCGTCAAACCCGCTGGCCCACTGCCTGGACGAATGCGCATTGACGAAAACGGCGGGTGCAACGGTGAGTGCTTTGCTGCGGTGAAAAAATCGGCAGTGCCGGCGGGCTTACCGCCACAGTGTGTGTTGCTGTTTCCAGCGACAACTTTTTTTCGTTAAGTGCGCCCGTTTCATCTTCTACTGCAAGACGATAGAATGAAGAGATTTCCACCAAACACACATCATGGTTTGAATATTTGAAGTCCATCTTCTCAACGCCGTATTCAAGAGTTTCGTTTCACACATTTGATTTTGTTTTCTTTTACACATTTGGCTTTTTCTGACTGAACGCTTTTCCATTTTTTCTGAGCATAATTTTACAACGCATAAAGTTTTCCTTTCTGAGCAATAAATATCGCATTCGTTATCGGAGAAAAAATATCAAACATTTTTTACACTGCATGTTTGGTTGAAGTTCGAGATTTTCACAACACCGCCTACCCTCCTGCAAGACGTCGAAGCGTCCTCGCTATCCTATCTCTCACTCTGTTCTACAACTCATCCGATTTTAGGCTTATCCATGGGGATCACGATCCAGTTCTACGACGTCTCAACACCGTGCGCATTAAAAAGGACTCCTGACGTGTCCTTTAGTTGTATCCTTGAGAAATAAATTCTGTTTCTCTTCTGATTAACAGATTTGCATACATGTTTTGTTGGTGTTTCATTTTGTGAAGGGGAAGAAAATAAACTGTATAGGAACTACAACGAGAGCCGACGTTTGGCTTTCTGACGACGGCTGCGGCATGTGCAGCTGCAGTCTTGCTGTTCTGGCATATTACTAATGTCATCCGGAGGTACAACCAGTACAACACGTCGTGCTAAGACCTAGCTGCACCAATCTCGTCCGACTCGGCCGTTGCTTGTCGTGCTGTAGTTGCGAAATAGATAAAGCCCAGTGATCGACGGCGGAGAAGGTCTGCCTATAACCCGGTCAGGAGGTCCAGGTCCTGATGCTGTTGAGACCAGCTCGGTACTTGACTCCTGTTGAGAGCGAGGGCCACGGATTTGTACTTCTTTATTCAGAGGCTCGGGACGAGAGACGAGTGTGGGCAAAGGAACACTGTGGTGGGGGAATTCATCACCAACAAAAAGTCTTCATGGAAGCGGCTTTTTGATACAGACGTGATCTGATCGGGATCGCAGCAGGGCGGCTGTATTTTACAGAAAGTAGCCTACTAGTACAATCTATACACCAAATGTCATCTTCCTCGTCCCGTGGCTCATCTTTTTCGACCACCCGCCGCCCGGACGAATTTGGGCAGCTCCCACCTCCTCCTCACGACAAAACTGCTACCAGCTCGAAAAGGAGGAGGAACCCTGAAGGAAGTATCACCAAAACTACAAGGAAAAACCGCACCGCGAAGGCTGAAACTGAATCGGGGAAGAACAAGAACTATTCTCTGCAAAAGTATCGTAGAACTCGTATAAATGCATTACAAATTTTCTCAGCATCAGAACCGGATTTTCATTTTGTCATGCTGTTTTACCTTAAGGACAAGATTTGTCATGCATAGTCGCAATTAGTACGAGTACGATACTTTTGCAATGCATAAGAGCGGCACGATTCCAAAGGTCGATGAGCTGGATGAGCTCGCGGAGTGTGTTATCCTGAGCAAAAACGTCCCCTCCGCAGAGCTGTCATGCATATTTGGAATGACAGGAACACTTGTAATGCGCTTCCCCATGACAGGCATTTCCAGTGGTGTTTTGGTATTTGTAATGCTGCAAACAGGATAAGCAGATGGAGCTGTGATGCGGTTGTCCTTGCTAACATGCACTACACTACGGACTGCGCCTTGTCATGCGTGGCTCCCAAAACTTCTGGGTTTGTGTTGCTAAGTTTCCAACTCGACTCGGGGGTGGGGATGTTTTTACTCAGGATATGCGTCGTCGCGGAGTCCACGGCGCGGGCGAGAGAAGAGGCAACGCTACCAGGAGTGAGCGCTAATAGGCGAGGGTCGGAGGTGGCAGAAGTTGGTGTCGAGACGGTGTTAGACAGTCATCGTGGCCGTGGGGTAGAGGAGGTTCAGCACCACACGCAAAGACAGCATCAAGCTGCTAACTGTAACTACACTATTCGCGAGATAAGGACATCAAGAAATAATAGCGCAACCGCCGAGGAGGAAAGGCGGGGAGAAAATAATACCGAGGAGAGCAACCAGCTAAACTTCTCGGGACATCATCAAGTACTAGAGGTGGAAGCGCCGTTGACGTCTCCCCGTGAAGACAAAGATGGGAACAACTACTACACCAAGCGTCGGCTCGTTCTTTCTCAGTCGCAGCCACAGGAGGCACTGCAGGATAATTTCCCGATCCAACGCCCACCTTCGAGGAAGGGAGCACGAGTGCGAACGAGAAAGACTAGCACGGAGTCCTCTTCGTCCTCTACTTGCACAGGGGTACTAGTACATCAGCCACCGAGGGAACAAGAAGCAGCTGGACCGGAAGCTGGCTGTGAAAATGAAGATGCCAACAACCGGAGCGGCACACGGAGGAGCAAAATGTCCTGTAGTGAGAACACGTATGACCACAGCGGTGCCAGGTCGTCGTGTCTCTCGACCGGAGTCGGAGAGGGTGGCCGGGGTAGAAGTGATGCGCCTTTTGAAGAAGAAGAAGAAGAAGATGAAATCCGCCATGGCAGCATGATCCCAACGCTAGCGTTGCCGAGGCTGCTGGTCGGAAATATTGCTTGTGCGACAGTGTCCACTGCGCTCTGCCAAGAACAAGACGAAAAGAAGGACGAGGAGCAGGTCACTGCTGCCAGCTGCGGTTATGCGGAGCACAGCGTCGTCGAGCCGGGAACTACAGAGACAACAGGTGCTGGAGCTGCACCCGACAAACAGGGAGCCAAGCCGGAGCCACCACGAGCCCTAAAATCCACTGCAGCGGCACAAGAAGTACTTGAAAAAGCGGGAAGTAGGAATATAAAATCTACTCGACGAACCTCGGGAGCAACAGCTAGTGTGGATCCAACTTTGTCTTCACGCGCACGTGGTACGAGCTCGTCCCGGTTTCCTTCAAACCGAAAGAAGGTCCTGCCGACGACACACCGATCTGTCTCTGCAACGCGTTCTTGCAAAGCAGGGAGTTGTGAACAACAAGGGGCGAAAGAAGAAAAACAACGCCAAGAAGAACCAGCTGCAGATGAGCAGACGCAGTCAACAACGTCAGACATCAGCGCACCACGACCAGGAGCGCAGGATAATGCAGAAGCTACACTGGCAATGGCATTGGCAACATCTTCAAAAAATAAAGCTGCAGATGTAGTTGAAGAAGTAGCTGCCCCCAGCACGTCGGTAGAAGAAGCCCCTGCGAGAGCAGTGGAAAAAAGTCTCAGCGTAAAAACAAACAGAACCGCGAAGATGATGTTGAGCACCAATAGAACGACAGGCACAGGAGCTGTAGTTCCTCCCTCGCACCAGCCTTCTGGTCCTGTCGCTGCTGGAGGTGTCGTCCCCTCCTGCGAGAAAAATCTCGAAGAGGGTGTTCTTCTGCGGAAAACAATAAAAACGCGGATGAAGAACAAAATGACCCAGCAAATGACCAAGCGCGCCGCAGATGAAAAGGTGAAGCAGAACCGGTTTTTTCTCAAAAAGGGCGAAGGGCGAGTTGTGGAGCAGCAAGCGTCTACTTTGTCCTCGAATGCTGCTGCTGCTGTTGCTGGGCGCCACGACCAGGAAGGAAAGAGCGAAGGAGATCTTCATGGAAAGAAGGAGGTGCTGTTGAAGAGTTCTTGCGCTGGTAAAGGAAAAACAAATGCACTGTGGGCCAACACAACTGCTTCTTCATCTAAGAACAAAGATTCCTCGTCCACCTGTGCAGAAAATAATACACGTGGCACAAGAACACAGCGAACTCCTCCTCCTTCGGCGCCAGAAAATGGTCCACCTAACACGTCTTCTACGAAAGCGCAGGAGCTACTACCAGAAGATCCTTCTCCACCCGCAAATGGTGGTGTAAGAAGTCGCTGTCGAGATGATCAAGAGGACAACAGGAAGAACGACCACCAGCAAGATCGTGGCTCCTTAGCCCTGCACCGCCTGTTTGCGTGCTCGGCTGCCGCAGGCGGTGTCGCGAAGAGCTGCAGCAGGGACGATGAAGATCTCGGCAGAATTTTTCACCTCATCTCCGCTTTTCTGTTTGGGGCAGGCGCGGCTGGGGGAGGAGCAGGAGCCCAGGGCGAGAAACAAGAAGCGGTGGACCTTCATGAGGTAGGTTGTAACAAGAAGTCGCAGATTTTAGAAGAGATGAAAATAGAGCAAGGACCGCAAGAACCAACAAGGGCGTCTCGCCACGATCCGTCAGAAATAAATGGACACCCGCTTGTTCCTCGCGAAAACAAGTCGAAGCTAACACCCGGACGAGGCGGTTCCACCCGTGGTAAAAAAAGTTCTGCTGATCAAGAACACTATCATTCCTGTCCGGCAAGTAGAACCAAATTAGGGGAGAAGATGCTACACCAGAAGCAGATGAAAAGTTGCTACTTACCGCCGGTTATTTCGACGTCCTCGACTGGTGCAGCGACATCGACTTCGATGGGTGTGGTCTTGCAAGACCAGAGAAGTCGGGCTGCGCCTGCAAGAAAGGTGTTTGCAGATAAAAAAGCTGCGGATCATGAAGATGTTCGTGACGCGGCAAGAAAAAACGACCGAGCTCTGACATTAAAGCAGACAAAGTCCTCCTCAACTTCTGCGAAGCGTGCAGTAGCAGAGAAGATGAACAAGCAAAGCGACGTAGTGGATGATCACACACAAAGAACTAAGCAGGAATTAGTAGAAGATGAAGAACATGACCTACAAGAGCAGGAGCACTCCGTCGGCTTGGTGAAGCAGACGTACGGACCCACACTATTGACCAGCCCACATATCCAAGAAAAAAACGTTGTTAGTGTAAATTTGTGATGCGCAATATGCAAAGTGATTGCGTCTGTCATGCTTGGCATGCATCGCAGGGTCCATTACAGGGCGTTTTCACGTACTATCTGCGCATGACAGGTTTCTGCTGTCATGCCAGACAAATTTGTAATGGTGTTCCTCCAAAAAAGTTACGCCTACAATGTTTTTTTCTTGGATACCACAGCGAGGCCTTCTACTACTGGAGCAGGGCAGTTCTACTTTGTCCTTCGGCGGACGGTCTCATCTGAGCACCAGGAATAAAAAACACAATCTGGGACTACAAGCGAAGAAGATGGAGAGGGGGACAATTACCAGCTGCACGAGGACGAGTGCAACATCATCAACATCTCCGCACAAATCGAAATCCAAAATGCGGGAAGACGAGTCCTCAAATCACAGAAAAGGCGAAGATAAAAATGGACGACACAATGGAGCAGCGAAAAAGCTCCCTGGTGGAGCGACGGGCAGTGAAAAGGCTTCTGGTCCTGACCAGAAAACTCTCAATGCCAGTACTAGCGCGGAGCATCAGACGCAGACCCTACCACAGCGGAATAAAACAGCCAGAATCGACGACGATCTCAAAGCACGAGGAGACGATGAAAAAAGTGAAAACGATAGCTGCGACAGTGAGGAACAGCAGATGGCGTTCGACCACAGGCAGACAGACAAGGACTATGCGGGCCCGAAGGTGAAAGCGCGGCAACTGGCGGCGAAAAGCTATTTGTCCGGTTTGAGGAGTCCGGAGAGGGGATGGAGAAGACACGCGAAGGACACACTTGGTTTCTCGTTTTTACAGAACTTTCTGCAACCCTCGAAGAGCGCGCCAAGTTTGTTGCGCGCTGAGGACGAGCTCCACGCCAGTGATGGGAAACTTACAACGACGGCGCGCGCATTGGAAAAAAACGAGGGAACTACACGACAAGCAACGATGACCAGAAGAACCCTCTCTGCTCCGCTGAAAAAGGACCGAAACAAAACCACCCGGAGTTCTTGTAATAGTCCCTTCACAATAAAGAAATCCAAATCGCCTCTGAGACCACACGATCGCCGTGTGCTGCGTGCCAATCAGGAAGATTTCCGGCAACTTCAATACGAACGGTCCTCCTCGACTGGTTTTTTTTCGCCCGACCAAGCGCTCCTGCGGTACGAGAAAACGGAGTACTTTCACAAGCTGATGCAATTGGAAAAGCACAGGAAGGCGCTTTTCAGGCAGACTTTCGAGAAACTCGCGAAGCAGCGCGAGCGGACGAAGGCCAAAAAGTTGTTGAAGTTGCGGACCAAGATTTTGAAATTGAAAAACGAGGAGGTCCGTCGTAAGCAGGAACTTTTTCGCAATCGTATTGTGAGGAAAAATGCCCCCAACCCATAACTTGGGAGCATTTGTATTGCAAACCTTTCTAATGGAAACATTGGCCGTCTTGCATGTATCAGCATCACAGATTTTCAGTCGTGGATAGCAAAAATTTGCATTGCAAAAGATCCCAGCAAGCGCGGCGCTTGTCATGCAGGCGATGCTGTATACGACTAGACTCTGCATCAGAAAGATTCATAGTCCTTTCATGCATGGCAAAAAGTTTTCGTTTGGAAACGTCGCATCACAAGTTCTTGCAACTTTCGGGGTGGGGGCATTGTTCATTGTAATAAATCGCGAATTGGCGTTGCAAATGCGGAAGGCGAAGACGGTGCGGATTCCGTTCAAGAAATATCAAAATAAAAAATCCCCCCTCCCCATATCGAAACGAAGTTTCTGATGCTGGATTTGCGTACATAAATCAGGTCTGTCTTGCTGGAGAGGACTGCAGGCATATGCCAAGCCTGGGTCGAGAGGTTTTGACGTAGGGAGCTAGCATGACAGGCGTCGGCTCTGTAAGCCCAGCAGCATCACAAACCGCCGGCATAATGCGGCGGATTCTCTAGCTTTGCCTTCTTGCAAGACAGACAGGATTTGTGACCTCAAATCTGCATCACAAATCTTCAGACGGATGCGTTTTCAATATGGGGAGGGGGGATTTTTCCTCACAATAAGAAAAAGCAAAGCGTCCGACAGAGGATGAAGATGGTGACTTGTCTCCGGATATCAACTGTAAAAATGTCTGGGTCTGGAAGGATGCATGTTTGTCATGCTTGTCTTGCATGACTCTTAGATCTGTCATGCACGTTACCCAAGAGCTCCATTTTTCTGTGATGCAGGAACGCACTTTGTCATGCACAATAGGCAACACCTAGAAGCTCAGAAACTTGTCATGCTGAGCCAGCATTTGTGGCCTCATCATGAGACGCCACCCAGCATCACAAGCTTCCAGACCCAGACATTTTTACATTTGATACCGGAAAGCCATGTACGGCATGCAGGGGAAATATCGCAAGAAAAAACTGGTGTCTTGGTCTCAAGCTCAACTTGTAAAAATGCGGGACATTTTGTTGTTCCTTAAGACAGTTTTTTACCATGCTGGACGAGATACATCTTTCAGAATGGGTTTATTTCTCTTGCTGTCTGCACGCATCAGACATTTTTTGTAGTTTCTTGTTTCGCCACAACTTTGTATTTACTGAGGTCCCCAATGGAAACGCTACCGGTAAGAACGCTTGAGACTGAGATAGTGTTTTCGTACGATACGAAAAGAAGAAACAGCAGTGAGGAAGATAATCATGTCGAGAGGACATCTTCAAGCAGTGCGAATAAGCTTCCAACCTCCACAACGATGAGAACAAAGACGAGTAGCGGTGGAGCAAAGGACGCTGAGGATACGGACGACGAGGACGAGGAGGAAAATGATGTATGAATTGCAAAAGTATCGTACTCGTAGTGATTGCGTTTATGCATTACAAATCTGTTTGTCAAGAAGGTAAAAAGCAGCAGTACAAATTTAACTTGTACTGCCGGGCTAATTTGATGTGATGCAATGTATACTAGTACGATACTCGTGCATTGCATATGATGAGCCTCCTGGCAAAAGCAGCAGCTCTACCGGGAAGATCCTTGGAAATTCAGCCGCAGCTGCGAACAAAGGTGGAGGCACGATGATCCGTCCCAGCGTCTTGTTTAACATAAAAACAACATCATCCTCATCTTCCGAAGCAGCGACGGGCTGCATTATAAATCCCACCTCCGGGGGCAGCGGCACAACGTCCTCCACATTGTTAACGCTTCCGAATTCATCTAGTACTTCTAACAAATTGCCGCGGCCGCGCGGATCCGCCGTGCTAAACCCGAATATTCCGCACTCTGCCCGGGCGTCCTTCATCCGGGGACCACCTTCCGGGAGTGCGCGCCCATCTGTTGCGCACGTTCTAAATGGGCCGCGAGGGTCCATGGCGGTCACAGCTTCCAGCAGCTTTCACGGTGGCACGGCCAGTGGAATGAATAGAGGAGGAGGTGCTGGTTGTACCACCGGTTCGGGCGGTGAGTTGAACGGCAACAAGCATGACAACAGCAGCACGGCGAAAATACAATCCTCCTCGTCTGGTAGTAGCAAGCTTTCTTCTAGTACCTCTGCAGGCGGAGCAGGTGGAGTAACTTCATCACCTCCGAAGCAGCGCAACACGAAGCTCGCCATGCTCGAGCGCACGACCAGTTCGGGGAATCTGCTGGAGGACCAAGAGTCGCTGCAGTCGGTTTTGCAGTTTCTGGAACAGGAGTGGCGGTCGCTGTTGCAAGAAGTGTTTATCCGCTACAGCTTCAAGGATTGGCGCGACCGGTATGAATTGCAAATATGTCTGAGTCTGGAAACTTGTGATGCTGAGTCGTGAATAGTGAATGCGCTGTAATGCACAGCCAAGCATGAGAAATATTTGCGTGGTCTAGTGTTGCGTTTTTTACTTGACAGCTGTGTTTTTGCATGACAAGCAAAAGGCTCTCTGCTTGGACACGCATCACAGACCCTTCAGTCATGCCAGACAAGCATGAGAGCCTTGCATTCTTCCAGACTAGGCTTATTTGCAATGCATAATCGCCGGGTGATTACGAAGTTGCTGCTCGATTGCGGCGTGTTCCCCTTGAACATCAAAAAGCCCGGGTTCAAAGTTGGTATCCATTGCAACGACCGATCTGAATCTGGAAGTGTGCAACTTGCGATGCTGCTGGTGAATTCTGAAAAAAAAACTGTATTGCCAAAGTAACCAGAAAAGCCGAGTGGATGCTCTTGCTACGCGGAGAGGGCACTCATGATCCTGCCCGATAGGCATCCTCACGCACTCAGAAAGACTGTGATCATGCAACCAGGGCATAGTACATCACAGACCCATGATCATGGGTCCAAGCGTAAAACGAACATGACAAGCGTTGCACTTTCCTAGGTCCAAGAATCATATTTGGTTTCGATACCTGGGACTTGTGGTGGTATTTCATCTGAAGACGGCGGGATTTTTGCAAGCCACAGCAGTAGTTCTTCTTCCAACTACGACATTGAGCACGCCGGGGTGCAACAGCTGAAGGTGCAAATCATGAGCTATTTTTTTGGCCAGAATTTTTCCAACAACAGCGAAATCGTGGAGCGAGCGGCCAGTGCGCCAGGTGCAGCAGCTGCGTGTTTGCATCAAGCAGCCAATACGTCGTTTTTCACCCACCGTTCCTGCAACAACAGGATGGGATTTGGAAATAAAAACGGCCCCGCCCCCTTCACAACCCCTACAGTAGTGAACTACAACACACCCCCTGGCAGCCCCCGCGGGAAAGAGCCGCTTGGGTTCCGGAGCACGGTCTTGTCGCTCGCATTGCACGACGAGGACTCGTCAGCACAGCAGAGAAGCTCGGAGTACAATTTTTGCGACTCAACAAGTAGAACCTCCAGACGGAGTACAGTGAATTACAATTCTGGCTCATCTTCAAGGAGTTGTATTCCCCCTAGCGGGGCTGGAACAGGAACAGCAACAAACGCAGGAATCACCGCTCCAGGGAGCTGCAGCAGGGCGAGCGGGAACAGTGGTTTTGTGGAACCTCCGCGGCAGGGAGTAGTTGAATCATCAACGACGTTGTCGGCAAATGGTGTAGTAACCAAATCCGGCGGTTCCGGTTCCCCCACCCGCACAGCGTCAGACCAAGAGAAATCCGCCTGTGGTGGAGCGAGCGGGACTTTTTTACCCCCGTCCAGTAGTTCCTCGTTCCCCGCTGGAACCACGACCTCGAGTTCTAATCCCGGAGTTTATTCTGCTGGCACTGCATCGACCGGTGTAAAGTCATTGAACCTACCGGCTGTTGTAGTAGCGCCAGCAGGAGTTTCATCAACAACAAACGGCACTGAGTCCACCTCAACGTCAACATCAACCGGCGCAGCTAGTAGTGCAGCTGCTTCTCCACCTGCCGTCGATGCCTCCTCGTCCACCCCGGCAAGCTACAAGAACGGGACCCGCGCGTCACGCACCGTCATCCTGTATATGCAATGGAAATTGAGTTCTATCCAATTCCGCCAGTGTGTACGTACAAGATGCATCACAAATTATTCGATCATTCAACCTAAGTCTTTACGTGTAACACTTGTCATGCTGATCTTAGGATCGGAGGCAAGTTTTGTTATGCAGAGTCCGCGTCTGTAGTTTTGCATTTGCCTTTATTGCAGGAATCGGGACGAATTTTCTCTGTTGTATACTTTCCGGCGTCATTCAACAGCACGCTCCGGAGCGCAACTCCGCTTCCGGCAGATTAGCCGACGTACTGGAGCAGCCCCCGGGGGGCGGTATCCTTTGTAAAAACGTCCACACACCAGAGTCAAGATGGGAAATCTGCTATACAAATCTCCAAGTTTATTTGGGCGTTGTGCATGACAAGTTTCCATCTGCAGCGTAGTGCTGGTTAGCAAGGGCAGCCGCATGAGAAAGCCAGCTTCTCATCCTGTCTACAGCATTACAAAGTCCAAAGCACGATTGGAAATGCCCCTGATGGAGATGCGCATTACAAATGTTCCTGTCATTGTGCATTTCCATTACAACTATGGGGTTGGAACTTTTTTCCACAGGATAGGCGGCCGCAGTGCCGGTTTATCCTCCAGCAGTGCGAATGCGAACAACGGTATCCAGGAAAAAAAACACCATCACAATCACACGTAGGAGGTTTCGCATCAGAAATTTGTCTCGCATGACCACAGATTTTTCTTGTATTGCAAAAACGCAAAGGGAAATCGCCTATAGCCCTTGACTGTGATGCATTTTTGCGCATGACAAAAATCTTTGTATTGCAAAAATGTGCAAAAGTGATTGTGATGGTGTTTTTTTCTTGAATAAACGGCGCCCGCCGCCCGTCCAGCATCTACAATCGCAACAGCAGGAGGAGCACGAATGTGAACGTGTTTGTGAACCTGGGCATTGTGAATCTCTCCCCTATATGCATTGCAGATATGGTGCCTGGTAGGTCTGGCAGGCTGCAACTTGTAATGCTGCCTTCGTCGGATTCTAAATAAATGTGTGTTGCATGAGGGGTCCAATTTTTGCTATGCGGAGAGGGCACTTGTTTCTCATGCGGGAGCAGCATCACGGGCAAAAAGGCCTCAAAAAGCATGTGTGAAACTACGGCATACAACATCACAGACAACATGGGCCATGCAAAACGTGCATGACAAACGTTGCAGTTTTCCCGACCACCCAGGCAGTTTTTGCATTGGATACCCCAGCGGGAAGCCGGATTTCGACACGTTTGCGCGCGTGATGCAGGAGATCCGGGACCTAATTCTGACGTTTCAAAAAGAAGTTTTGTCGGAGTCCCTCATGGAATGCATGATTGAGTCCGAGCACTGGCGGGATTTCGACAAAATGGTGCAGACCGGCAGTGATGTCAGTCTGTTTCTTGCGGAATCGGTGATGCGCGGGGGTGCAGGAAGTGGAAGGAACAATGGTGGCTACAACTTTGTGGATGATAATCCCAATTCTAGTACTGTGTATGGCACCACCAGCTCTTGGGCTGCTGCTGGTGTTCTTCCGGCGCGCAGAAATTCCGCCAGCGGGGAAGATAATTCCTCGGGCAATAAGTACCAGATCGCAGCGCATTTGGCAAACTTGTTCGGTTGCAAACTGTCCGGAATTTCCAGACCGTTTCTGCAGAATAAAGTGATCAAGAAAACGCCCAACAGTTGTCTTGGTGGACCGGCAGGAGGAGACCAGCAGTTGGTCTCCAATTCTAGCTGTACTAATCATCCGGAACAAGACAATTATCCCCGCGGAGCCGCGCCGGATGTAGCCGCTGTTGCAGCAACTACTGCGGAAAATAACAAGCAGGGTGTAGTTGTAAACCCCACCAACAACAAATTGGACAACTTTTGGCACACTTTGAAGAGAAAAGCTGGCAACCTTTTCGGCGTGACAGGACCGACAGGATCGTCTTCTGCGGGAGCTTCGTCCGCGGCAGGTGCACCTCCGCACGGCGGCTCTGGTGCAGCACTCCCTCCTTCCGCTGCGGCAAGAGGCGCCAGTGCAGCAGCTGGTGGACAGCACCAACTCTTCCAAGGTTCGGCCACCGCCACTGCCATGGAGAACCTGCAAAACAAGATGGCCATCGGGTTCAATATCAATCACACGACAACGACTCGATCGGTGGAGCAGCTGTCGCATTTTGTTTACCACTCCCGGGTCGATTGCTTGTGCAAGTTGCTCCCGAAAATTTTCGAGGCGGCCGGCGTGGAGCGGCACTACCACACGAGGGAAGTCATCAAAGATTTCTTCGAGGCAAATTACTTCCAGAACCCGAGCTCCGTGTTTTCATCTACCGTGGGCGGCTTGATGTTTGGCACAAAGCACGGGTCGTCGACGTCGGGCAGTAAACCAAGCTATGCGATTGTACTGCAAATATCTTCTCTGGTTCAGAATTTGCGTTGCAAAATTTTAAAGACATCTACCTACATCTGTGCAGCATGGCTACGAGCAGTCGACAACTCTTTTGTCGTGCTGGGGATCTAGTTTGTCACGCGGTTTTCGAATGAATCCGCTAGCACGGAACTGAAAACCTTCTGATGCTGTTACTTATGCCGCAGATGGTGATAGTACTCTGCTATGGGAGTATGATCAGCAGCAGGAATACAACAGGTGTACAGACTCAGACATGTTTGCTATGCATACTTCCAGCAGTAGTGGTGCGGATTCCGGTGCAGTGGGTGCCGGCGAAATTCCGAATGGGAATCACCATCACGACGGTAGTTCTCATTTCAACGGCCTGGTAGCGGGTGGCAGTTCAGCATCTGGAACAAACAGTAAGTCCCAGCACGCAGCGGGCGGATCAGGCCAGCAGCACCCTCGGCAAAAGATGCGTAAGTCGGTGACCCATGGGAATTTGGACACGATTGGAGCAACAGGCGGGCACCACGGGAATAAGCATAAGCTCAACAAGCTGAATCAGCATCAAACCGCCGGCGCTAGTAATTCATCTACGAGCAATTATGCGCCACTGATACAGCGGCGCGGCTCGTTTGATTCTCTGGTCCCCACAGCTAGTACACACGGGTCGGCGGATTTCCCTGGTTGTACTACCGGAGGTGGTGGAGCGTACAACAACCAAGGAGGCTTGTTCTATGCTGGCCAATTACATGGAGGTGGTTCCTCGTTGCCCAGTTCTTACACTGGTGGTGCGTCGGATCATTTTCATCCTCTGACGTCGGGGGGAGAAATGGTGCACAAGGCTTCTAAAGTTGTACCAGAAAAGCCTATCGAGCTGGACGACCTGGCGCAAGAAAACGAGCGGATGCAGAACATTATCCGGCAGTTATCATATGTAAAAACGTCCCCACCCCATAGTCAAGCTGGGAAATTAGCAACACAAATCTAGAAGTTTTGGGAGCCACGCATGACACGTTGCAGTTCGTAGTGTAGTGCAGGCTCGTAAGGACAGCGGCGTCACAAATCCATCCGCTCATCCTGTTCCCGGCAGTACAAATCCCAAAACACACCTAGAAATGCCTCTCATGGGGACCCGCATTACAAATGTTTCTGTAGATGCAAATCTGCATGACAACTGTTGGGTGGGGACGTTTTTACTCAGGATAGCAGTTGGTAGAACAGAGCCATGTGGTGCGACGGGCCAAGGAGCGCGAGGTGATCAAATTTTTCCAGCTTGACGACCTTACCGGGGACGCTGACAGTGCCTTTTTTGATCAAGATTTGGTGGAAGCAATGCTTTTCGGGTCGTCGTTTCCGGCAGGCGAAGATGATGATGAGGTTGAGCAGGAGGTTTTTGGGGAACACGCCGAGAAGACAACAGGATCCGAAGACGTGGTGGCCGTCGCTGCGAGTGGTCCGGGGAAAATTCTAGCGGCAGCCGGACCTCCTGCAGCACCACCTGCAGGTCCTAGCAATAAGACCAAAATGGAAAAAATGAAGAAAAAGATGAGCAGCAGGCTGAACGAACAAGGAAATAATTCGGCGAAGAATTCGTTTCTCGCGGTGGCGGAGAAGTTGCAGCTTTCGCCGAAGGAAATTCTGCTCCGCTCGCCCGGCGGGTCGATGCTGTCGCCACTCAACAGCCCCGCGGGGGCGAACTCCTTCCGGTACTACTGCCGACAGAGCCTATCCCTTTTGGGGCGCGAGATGGAAAAGAGTAGAAACTCGGAGGCAAATGTTAAAACACAGGACCAGACCGGTGACGATAGTGACGCTGCGAGAGATGATGTTGATGAGCTACATGGCGAGAGGACTAACCTTCTGTTCGGAACTGCAGGGGCCGCAGGATTGAATTATGCTCGAACTACCTTCACGACATCAAAAGCACAAGCCCAAACGCCGTCTCTTGGTGGCAAGAATTCATCTTCTTTAACATCTTCCGTCGACACTACTTCTACGCCTCCTGTGACCGAGACGACATCCACTTTATCGAGTAGCCGCCCAAGGGCAAGCATCGTTTCCTTCCACAGTGTTCTAGATGATCATGACGATGCAAGTGGGGCTGGTGCAGCCACCGCGACAAGTAGCGTTGCTGATGCTTCTGGACCAGCTGTCGACGTTTCGGCAACGATGGATTCTATTCTCAACGGTACTCACGGCCCGGGGGGCCGCACCTGGAACAAAGGCCTTTCGATCATTCTCGATTCCCCCGAGTCGGATGATAATACTGGTTTGAACAGCAGCACGACGCCAGATGAGCTGCTGCACCAGGGAAGTAGTAGTGGCACAACTACCTCTAACTACCGGAGACATACGACCGCGAACAGCAACTACGCACTTAATAGTAGTAGTACAGCGAGCAATTTGAACCTGATGACAGACGACGAGATTATGAAGCTGGGAGACGAGGTCGAGGATGAAAACGGAAGGGCAGTTTCTGCCAGCATGAGGACTGTGGCACGGTACAAGCGGCTAAATTCCAACCCGGGGATAGAGCAGAACAACACGAGTGCTTCTTCTTGTGCGACGGCTTCTATTGCGGGGGGTGGGGCCACTAGCACTAGCGGCAGCTCAGGTGTTCATCTCGGTGGTGGCCCATCTGCATCAACAATTCCCGGTATGGGACCCCGGAAAAGTACGATGAGAGGTACTAACAAAGCGACGCAGATCAAGAATGCAGCCGCAGGAGCACCAGAAACGAAGTCTGCGTCTCTGGAAAATGGTATAAGTAAATCATTTTCGTTTACCATTTTTTCCCGCACCGTTGACGTCACGATTCGGATCTGTAGAAATTGCGGTGGATGAAAATGAAATTTTTGTCGTCCGACAGCTTTGAGAGAGGAATGTGAAAAAAGAGCTGGCTCCGGTCGTGCTCGAGGACCGATAGAAATAGAATCGCAGGATATAATTCACTGTCTACATCACCAGATTTTTGTCCCAGCCCCGGCGCAGCGCCTGTAGAGGAGCTCACGACAGTGGTCGACCACACCCTTGGAGTTGTTCCTCTGATTGGTAAGACACCTTCCCTCGCCGGGCGGGTTTCGATCTGCGTCCCGAATCAGAGCGCAGCGCCAGCGGCCTCACCAGGTCCACCACCGCCTGGGGTCGTCTTGAGTAGTGGCGAAACAAGTTCATCTTACAACAGCCAAAACATCAATTCGCAAGCGCAGAAGCGGTCCTCAGTCCTGACTCGCGCGGGGCAATCGGATATGCTCCGGCGCCCGTCGATTTTGAAAAAAACCACGGACCCTATCAGAAGTTTTCGTTCAGGTTCCATGTTCCAAAGCTTCAGTCGCAACGCCTCGCTGCTGCCGTCGCATTTATCAAAGGTAAAAATGTCTGGGTCTGGAAGAATTCATGTTTGTCATGCTTGTCCGGCATGACTCTTAAATCTGTCATGCACGTTACCCAAGAGCTCCGTTTTTCTGTGATGCAGAAGCGCAGTAGTTTGTCATGCAGAGTAGGCAACACCTAGGATAGGAACTCAGAAACTTGTCATGTTGATTCAGCATTTGTAGCCTCATCATGAGACGCCACCCAGCATCACAAGTTTCCAGACCCAGACATTTTTCCTTTTGATAGCAGTTTGGCGGAGACAAGTACAACAATGATGGTGGCGGAGGGTCCTCGTTTGGATCGGCTTCCGAGTTCCATTCTGATGGTAAGACCGGCAAAAGTTCTTCTGGTAGAGGAAGCGAACCAGGTGGTAGTTGTAGCTCTTCCTCTCTGTCGCATAAGCAAAAGCGGCCACTCGTCACATCAGCAATCATTCACACGGAGGAGCTTTTGCCGCTTCTGGAAGCCTTTCACGAGCGCGCGGAAGACAACTCGGAGGAGCTATTACAGTGAAAAGTGCCCCCCACCCCTGAAATTGCAAAAATTTGTGATGCGAAGTTTCCAAATGAAAACTTTTTGTCATGCATGAAAGGAGTATGAATCTTTCTGATGCAGAGTCTAGGCATATATAGCATCGCTTGCATGACAAGAGCCGCTCTTCCTAGTTTCCCAACATGACAAGAGCCGCTCTTCCTAGGGGCTTTTGCAATACAAACCTTTGCTATTCACGATTGAAAACCTGTGATGCTGATAGATCCAAGAGGGCGAATGTTTCATTTGGAAAGGTTTGCAATACAAGTGCTCCCAAGTTCGGGGGTGGGGACATTTTTCATTGTAATAAGAGCTGTGCGGAGGGTCGTGGCAAGATTACTTCGCGACTTACGGGAGCGAGGTACTTACTTCATATTGTGGTGGACTTCTTCTTCATTTTCTATGACAAAAATTTCCTCATGTCAACCGGGACAAGTGTTGTTTCTGAACAATGGATGGTCCTCACTCCTGCTGCTTTGATGCCATTCCAGATCATTCCTGCTCATTGTTCCTGCGATATGGACACTGCAACGAACTTTGTATATACTTTTTTACCTTTTTTGTACACTCAGGTCGCCATTCCCGGGTCGCCCGCGAATGCGGTGTTTGCGCAAAACCAGAAGCTTGCCCAGGTGCGTATGACCCGCTCAAACGTTACAATCTCAAACGTTACAATAAAATCTGGAATTTGTCTTGCATGATGAGCATGACAGAATCGCAGAGCACTCCACTTTCTGCAATACAAATTTCGCCAGATTCTAGCGCGGTTTGGGGCTCCGAAACTTGTCATGCGCAATCCTCCTGTGAGACTAAGTTAGCTCCTGCACTTCTTGCATCACAGATTTCCATATTCTACTGTAACGTTTGAGATTGTAACGGTTGAGCAAGTTATAGTGCGGAAGGCCCGGTTTGATTTTCGGGGCAAACGCGTCAGCATGATTAACAACGCGCTGCTAGGCGGTACTGGTAGTATCGGAGCAAACCTACTACACTCCGGTAGCTCAGACAACCACGCATCTGCAAGCAGGTCGACTGACAATGCGCCGGTGTCCAAGCAGAATGGGCTAGCGCGGCAGAGTATGAACTGCAAATATGTCTGGGTCTGGAAGATTCTAGACTTGTAATGCTGTCTCTGGATTCTAGAAAAATTTGTATTGCATGACCAGCAAGAGGACTCCAGTTTGTGCTACGCGGAAAGGGCATCTCTCATGCGGTAGAGGCGTCACAAAGTCCTCTAAAAATCTGTGATGCTAGGGCATGCATCACAGACATCATGGATCATTCAAAATATGCATGACAAACCTGGCTTTCTTCCAGACCCAGACATTTTTGCAGTTGATACAGAGTTTGGTGACCAATGCGTTGGTGAATTTCAACCGGGGCAGGGGAGGCGGCCCGGGTATTGAGAGGAAAGATCCCCCCTCCCCATACCGAAGCAGTGTGCTTCCGAAAATTTGTCTTGCTGATTTGAGACCACAAATCACGTCTGTCTTGCAAGAAGACAACTCCACAGGCTCTGCCGCATTACGCAGGCGATTTGTGATGCTGTTGGGCCTACAGCATAGACGTTTCCCATGCTAAGCGCCTAGGCCAAAACCTCTCCGCTCAGGCTTGGCAGGGGCCTGCAGTCCGCTACTGCAAGACAGATCTGAGCTGTGTACGCACGTCCAGCATCAGAAATTTCCTCCTGATATGGGGAGGGGGGGGCTTTTCCTTTTGATATCAGGGGGCCATAATTCATCTGGTTACAGCGAGGAAGACTGGACGCAGGCAGGCGGCAGAACCGGCGCGTCGGGACAAGATCAGGATTTGAACAGCATGCTGCGGCTGCACAACATGCTGAAAAAACAGGAGGAAGAGATGGAAGTATCCTGTGCAAAAGCATCGTACTCGTATTGCAATCATGCATTGCAAATCTTCTTGTTATAGGTAAATCCGCATTACAAATTTTATTTCTCATGCTGAGAAAATTTGCAATGCATTTATACGAGTGCGATACTTTTGCAGTTCATAGGATGAGGAGCGGAATTATTTCCTAAAACAGCTGAAGGTCGAAACCGCCAGCTTGCAGGACTTGAAAACGCTATCCTGAGAAAAAAACTGTATCACTGTGAACCTATGATGCAGAAAATGAAACACAAAACTATTTGTCTTGCTACACACGGAAGGCATTGGATTTTCCAGCGTGGTTTCCCTTCGGGAGTGCGCATAGTTGTGTTGCTGGTCCTGTGCCAGTCGCGGGGCATGTTCGGGTGTTCCGGGCCGTGCATTGTGCACCCCTCGGACCCCGCACCCCCCCGGGCTTTAGTCGCGCAGTCTGTTAAGCATGACAAATTTTCACTGCCATGTGTAAAAAACCTGTGATGCAGATCTTGCAAAATCATCACAGTTAAACAGTTTTTTCGTGGGATAAACGCTCTTGAAAAAGTACTACACAACAACTACGAGAAGTACTTCTTCTAGTACTTCTAGCACAACGGCAGGATCTTCAGGCTCTACTTCATCCCTGGGAAAGAATTATGGTCCTCAACAATTCGGTGCCTCGCCGAACAAAGCGCATTCCGGCTCAACTGCTTCTTTTCACCCATCCGGAGGGAGCAATGGCGCCAATAGTACTTCTTCTTCCTCTGCAAAAACGTCGGGGGCAGGGGCGGGCGGAGGTCCTGCGTCTTTTGGGCGGCGCATCACACTGCGAACGGTAGCAGAATTGCTGGTGATGTTTGGCGTTTTATGCAACAGAAAAACTACCCGGCGCGGACCATTTTGTTCACGCAAGTTTTACATGATTGGAGCTTACTTTTTATATTCGAGCATGACAAGGTTTCGTTGCAGTGCACAGAAATTCAAGTTTAAGCAGGGAGTAAATCACATAAGGCCGCTAAGAAGCTTGACTGTGATGCATCTTTATTTTCCACACTGTCTGAATTGAATCTTTGTAATTGCAAAATCAGTGCGCAAAAGCGATTGGTGCGTTCCGGTGCTTTTTCCCTTGCATTCGCTTTGCCAAATGCGCTTCATGAGATTCGCGCTTTGGAGGAGCTGGCGCGACTCGTGGCTGCTGACGCTTGTAGTAAGAATCGCGACAGCTCCTGCACCAGTTCCAAAAATAATCTTCCACAAGAACATTTCAGCAGTACAATGCTCACGACCGACCGGAATAAAGCAGGAGATGAAAATTACGGCACGAGCAGGTCTTCTTACAAGAGCCAGCAAAGTAGGTGGAGCAACTACAAAACCGGTACAAGACCCAACAAGCAAAATTATAATGGTCACCACCACCTCCAAGACCAGCAACAACTTTTCACGTTCGATCAGTTTATGACCTTGATTGCCCTTATCAACTGCAAAAATGTCTGGGTCTGGAAGATTGCCAGGTTTGTCATGCATATTTTGAATGACCCAGCATGATGTCTGTGATGCATGCCCTAGCGTCACAGATTTCTAGAACAATTCGCGATGCCTCTACCGCATGAGAAATGCCCCCTCCGCGTAGCACAAACTGGAGTCCTCTTGCTGGTCACGCAATACAAATTTTTTTAGAATCCAGAGACAGCATGACAAGTTTAGAATCTTCCAGACCCAGACATATTTGCAATCCATAGCCCTGATCCGCAAGTGGAAACGGTCGCAGCGGGAAATGTATCAACTGTAAAAATGTCTGGGTCTGGAAGATTCCGGGATTTGTGATGCATATTTTGTATGATCCATGATTCATGTAATGCATGATCTAGCATCACAGATTTTTAGAGTGCTTCCTGATGCCTATTCCGCATGACAAATGCCCTCTCCGCGTAGGGGGGACTCTGATGCCCTCTCCGCTTCCTGATGCTCGGGGGGACTCTGATGTTTCTCCCGGGCGTAGAAATTGTAGCAGAATTTTTGGAAGAAGTTTTTGACGAAGAAGGGAGAACAAACAGAGAAAGACTGCAGAAAGCAGAGGCTAAGCTGCGCACGAGAATAGCAAGGCTATACAAGGGAGGGGACATAGACACAAGCTTTCGGGACTACGACCACCGGACGGAGGTGGACGAAATATACCAAAAGGAGGCCGGACCACCAGTAACGGGATATAGGAGAGGAGAAAAAGTCACAACAGGGCAAGGGAAAGAGAAGAAGGGCGAAAAAGCAAGAAAGACGGAATTTCGATACTACATGGGAAACCTCCCGCATGACAACAAGAGAAAATGGACCCTAGCGGTTCAATATGTGGACGACGGGACCATTGTCCTGAAGTTTTTTGTAGAAGATATAGAAGTGGTAGCGGCAGCATTGAAAGCAGCAAGCTGGGCGTACCAAAAAATATATGAAACAGAAGGACAATTTCTGGCGCCCCTGAAGTGTGAATTTGCCACGTCGCTGAAAGACCCTGCGAAAATCAGCATTCTGCGGCAGGCTTTCCAGCCTTTTGGAATAATGTTCGAAGAGAAGGACTTCCTGAAGATCTTAGGAATAAGGATAGTGCCAACGAACAAGGAGGGACAGCGCAAGGCTCTCAGGAGCCAAGTTCAGCAAAGCATAGGAATAGGGCAGCATCTGGCTTACCAGGTAATGTCAAGACGGAAAAAGCTAGAGGGGGAGGAGCTGGTGTGGATAATCCAAGTGTTCTTTGTGTCGTCGATGATATACTTTCTACCGGTGATGCAGCTCTATTTCGACATGCAGGACTGGGCGACAATGCTAGGAGAAATATCGCTAACAATAGCAGAGACGATAGGGATGACAGAGGAAACGGTGGAAGAACTGATGAGAAAGACGAACACAAATGCAGAAACATTCTACCGCGTAGTTTTCGGGGCGAAAATGCTAGGAATTACAGACCCTATCACGCTGGGGCTGAAAACACTAAGAGCAACAGCCCAAGCAAACTACTTGACAGACCCGGGGGGTTTCATCCAAATGGCAACAATGCCACTCAAAGTAGTGGGGGAGTCGAAGGCAGGAATAGCAAGAGCTGTGGAAAGAAAAATAATGAAGAGAAAAGAAGCTGACATAGCACTACTGCAAGCACTCAGAGACGGAGCATCGGTGAGGTTGTCTGCGGGGAGCGACCTGCGGGGGGTAGGAATAGTAGGAAAAACTAACAAAGCAAAACCGCAGATGGTACAAAGCCAACACGTGTACAGATGCGACAGGAGTCTGCTTGCGGACAAAATAAGAACAGGGGGGAAAGGCAAGAAAGGACAGAGTGACTACATGACGAAAATATGGGTAAAACACACGAAAAAAGAAGAAGCTACGATGGTAACAGTAGAGGAATGGAAGGGGAAAGAAGAACACATGGCAACAATTGAAACGAGGCAGGACCACCTAAAGACAGAAGTTAGGACAGAAGAGCGAAAATTCGTAGCGTATTGCAATAACGCCATAAGAGCAATAGAGATGGTGAAGAAACAGCAACACGAAGGGAGTGGAGGAGTGTGCGTGTGCTTGCTGGATTACGACGAGATGAAAGAGAAAACACGGGGGCTTCTGCGGAAAGAGCAAGGGATAGCGTTAGAGCTGCAGGAGGAAATAGAAAAAGCAGAAAAACAGATTCCGGGCTTAACAATAGTCAGACGCTGGGGAAAGCAGAACGCGCCAAAAACCCTCGAAAAAAGAGAAACACAAGGGGGCTATACAGAAGCGATACCCTTAAAGGTAGCAAACGTGTCGAAGCATGATGATGAATATGCTGAATGGGTTCAGTACGATTTCGGCGAAAAAAATGTACCGACAAAACCGATCTGGGAATGGCCGGAAATGTCAAAAATAGAAAGACAAGTGTATACCTACCGGAAGATTATAGGAGACGAAAAGAAAGACGGGAAGAAAGCGGAGGAGGGAGGCGGTGACGGCGAGGACGACAGAAGGAAAGACAGCACAGGAGAGAGGAAGGGGAAGGAGGCAAGTAGCAGCGCGAAGGAGAAAGCTCGCTGCGGAAAAGACCCCAAAGGGAACACTGCGACGACAGACACGAGCAGGGAGATAGTCAGCGGGTCATTAGCAGAAACTATCAGAAAAATGGTAGAAGGAGAAAAGATAAGAGCACAGAAAGAAGGAAACGAAATGCTGCAGAGGGCGCTGGACATAATAGGAAGAGCCACAGACCTACTAGAAACAGCCGAAGACGTTCCATTAGAATCTCGCGCGACGTCGAGCAGCAGCAACAGGAGGGACATGCCGGAAATAACAGAAGAGCGAAAGGAATCAAAAGAAGAAGAAGAGAACGAAATAGAAGAAGATGTGTATTTCTCCCCGGCGCAGGAGTACCAGGGAAGCCGCTCAGGATACGTGTACAAACTCGGGCGCTTTGGCATGGGGTATTATAAGGATCAAGGACCGGAGGAGGCAACGCGGGAGATGTTCCAAAAAATTACGATAGGGGGGCCTGGAGGAAAACTGCCTAAGAGGGAAATCTCGAAAGAACAGAAAACAGCGAAAAAAGAAGTCACAGGGGATGCGACGCGACAAGAGAAGAACACGCAGCAAGTGCGCAAAGTGGCAGAGGAGGAGGAGGAAATAGAAATGACATCACGAGAAGCAGAAGAACCAGGCGGAGAGGGGAGATCAGGAAGTCTGAGAAAGAAAACCGCCAAAGACATAAGCGAAACAGTGAGGGAGAAAGAAGATGAAAAGGAAGAGGAAAGATTTCCAACATTGGAGGAGCTGAACGAGAGGGACCGGAAGCGGGACCGCGAAGAGGCAGCAGAACGGGAGGAGGAGCGCAAACGGCAGGAAGAAAGGAGATCTATGAAAAGACCGAAGTATGATAATGCATTACAGGAAGAGTTAGCCCAAATGTTTAGGAACACGCACTGAAAAACGATGACGAAAGAGATGTTGAAAATAATGAAAAGAAAGAAAGAGAACGGAACAGAAGGGCGAAAATGGGGGAGTAGTGTTCTGGGTGTCGGCGGAGGGAAGAGGAAGCAGAGGAAAGAAAAAGAAAGAAAAAATGGCTCCCTCGGTCGTCTCAGCTAGCCTGCAAGGGCTCCGTTTCCGCCAGCTGAAAGGCACGGCGCTGCTAATCATCTCGTCCTCGCCAGCCAATAGGCACGGCGCTGCTATCCCGTCGTCGTCAACGCGTCCCTTTTACTAGTAGGTGGGAACAGGGTTGCTAATTTAAAGACTGCGCTAAGGCAGCACCCCCCTTCCCCAAGGGGTCCCCCCGGGGCGGGCGCGGTGGCGGCTCTGCTAACGCGGAGCTTCAAAGTCCGACTCTACCTATGCGCATAAAAAGGGTGCGCGGATGCAGGTCGGTAAAGTGCTTGAAAGGGGTATGCTTTGGGGTTGCCCGTCATCGTGATAGGGTCAACGTGTGTGACCAATAGACCCCCTGTATACCTAGCGCGCAACCGACCACAGAAGCTGTAGCGTTAAATGTTTGTAAGAATAACCCAACAAGGCAACACTGGAGCTCCACCTTGCTCGAGGGCTTGGATGGTAAATCAGGTCAGCCACATCTAGCGCCCACTGGCCGTACTCATGCGTAAGCAATCGCAAGCGGTTCGGCGGATGCGGTCGGGTGGTACCTGTAGGACGTGGAACGGGTGTCCACCTAGGGGTATTGGCAGAGGCTAAATCTGTTCTAACGCCACGGTATTGGCAGAGGCTAAATCTGTTCTAACGCCACCCTGACAGGAGTCAAATGTCAAAACAACAACAACAACGCGTAACACAAACTGGCCCCCTGTTGCTGGTCACGCAATACAGATTTTTTTGGGATCCAAAGACAGCATGACAAGTTGCAATTTTCCAGACCCAGACATTTTTACAATCCATAAAATGAGGTTCTACCTCGCTTTTGCGAACAACGAACTCGATTTTTTCTTCCAAAAGTCCGTGCCAAGAGTGCTGGATCGGATCTTCTCGGTGGTGCCCAAGTCACGGAATGAGCAGCAAACCTTGATTCTCGTTCTGAACCAAGAGTGGCCGGTATGCATTGCAAATATAATGTCTGTGTTTAGAAAGATGCAAGCCTACTTCTCATGCTGGTTTTGCATGACCTACCCATGAGGTGTGGAATGCGAGGCCTGGCATAACAGATTCTGTTGGATGTTGATCTCTATCATGCCTGTCCCGCATGAGCAACTTCCTTTCAAATTGGCCTAAAATGGGCAACTTGTGGGAATGAAGCAACACAGAATCTTTACATGATTCAGATTTGGCATGACAAGTTATCGCTTTCTTGCAGACACAGACACAATATTTGCAATGCATAGCCGGAATCGGAGGTGGCGGTGTGCAAGCGAGACTTTTTGAATGTTTGCCACCTGGTGGCGGAGCGGATGGAATCGGTGCGCGTGCGTACTTATCCTGTGCAAAAGTATCGTACTCGTACTAATCGCATTCATGCATTACAAATTTCTCTTTCAGGTTAAATCCGCATTACAAATTTTCTTTCTCATGCTGAGGAAATGCGATTTCTACTAGTACGATGCTTTTGCGTTTCATAGTACTGAGATGGAAAAGTATTGCAGTATGGGAGGTTTATTTTTCTCGCCTTCCGGAAGAGGACCACTTGCAGGGCGCGCTGCACAACAACACACTGGAACTACATCTCCCACCTCCGTAGCAAATCTTCACTCGGGCAAAATGTTAGCCAGTTCCATTACGAATAAACATACTGCCGGAATTTATTCAGGACTACCACAACTTTCCACCTCAACCTCCGCCTCTTCAGGAGCGCCGGCGAGTAGTAGTAATCCCGTATTAGCGGCGAGAAGGGACTTTCTGCAGGCCCGGTCGGCGTTTATTCACCAGCTGATTACCCTCAACAGGTACGAAAATTCTTACACTGGTTCTTTCGCCCTACTTCATCCTGGGGGAGTGGTCTCCGACCTGGAACCTTGGCCCGATCTACACGGCCATCAGGGTCGTGGGGCAGGAGATCACCACTTCTCCTCTTACCACCACCATCACCACCACCACCACCATCATACCCCTTTTAACTACAAAACGGCTTCAGCAAATTGTAGTGAAGTACTGCTTTCCGCGAACGAAGTGGAGACCACAATGGAGCTAGCGGGAGTCGTGTATGCACTATGAGCATTTCTTCGCTCTGGGTAGTCTATTGGAAAAATATCAATATTCGATAGAAGTGCAGCACACTTGTTATGATGCAGTCAGTCTGTCACCCACAGCAGCTTCTAAGCAGAAGACGCTGGCGGTGCCTACGTTGCACTAGTGCAACTGCAGCAGCAGCAGCTCGTCTTACATGGCAGGTTCGGGCGCTGCAATAAGATTGAGAAGTCTGGTGCAACATCAAAATAAAGTAAAGTACTTCACCCAATTAGATACTGTACTGACATGTTGTCAATCTAGCCAGGACACTGTGCTGCATTTTTCCAAACCTTCTGGTGGAGGTGGAATTACACGAAAAGCTGTAGAACTTTGCACTCTGTCTAGTCATGACGACCCAGACCGATATTTGCACAGCATTTCGGCGTGTCACAAAACATTGGAACTGATGGTAGTGGAGCGGAGAAAATAAAAAACCGGCCGCGCATTTCCGCCATGGCAGCTGCTGGGGGAGTTGCAAATAGACCTGGTTGCAGAGTAAAAGACGCGACTGCTACCGGTGGCAATGATAGTTCGCAATTTTATTTCCGATCAGATGAAGATATCCCTTTTGAAATGAACTTGTACCGTTTTCTCGACCTCGTTTCCCAAAAATTGTAAAATTTTTTGCTGAAGATAATCAATGATGATGAGCTACTTACTTGAAGACCAAAGCCTGAGTTCGTTTCTGTCCTTTTTCAAAGCTACTTACACTGCTATATCTAGAGCTGCAAGAGTACAAAGAGAAGCTGAAGGGAGAGCTGGACACAAAGTAGAAGTACTTTGGGACGCAATGCACATCCTAGTTTCATTTTAGTATTTAGGTTAACTTTCATATCTGTTTGTTTCACCATGGAGATCGAAATGGAATGGAAAATAGAATTGCGGTAATGCATCAATCGAGTAGAAGTAGGACCACTACCGCATGTGGCTCTTGAATGCCCCCATGGTTATTGGCCATCGCGACTTGAAGTGTGACTGCTCTGTCGCTTTTGCCAGGATGCTCCATCTGATTTCTGTATGATTTTTCGTTATTTTCGTTACAGCACAAGTTCAAGTTCTGATGCCTTATTTCGATTGCTTTCATTGTAGTGAGTAAGTTCTTCAATTTGCTTTCTGACTGAATTTGAGTGAGTATAAAGCGACTGGTATCAAATCAAATCAGTGCACAAGAATGAAAATCAGCCTCAGGCTAATCTGCCATTTTTTTCGTTATCTCTGCGGAGATTTCAACCCGGTTGTTTGCTGCTCTGCCTCTCAGACGACTCATGTCATTCGTGTTCGCGCCATCTCGACGACGGCAAGGAAACAAGACGACTCAAACGAAATGGCAATCGTGCAGGCAAATTTCAAGCTTTACGCTTCCATTAAAGTTCCTGGCCAATCTTCGCGAATAGTCGACGTGTGAGGTGCAATCGTGTACGTACGTAGATAAGTATCGTCTTGCAAGAACTGGCCGTCGCAAGATCGGTTTTGCTGGAAACTTCACTTCAGTACAGAACAAAGGTACGATGAGGATCAATGTATCAACATCGTACTCCTAGCCTCGGTTCGAAAAGCCATCGGTTATTACATACCTGTCGCCTGCTCAAGGATACATACTAGTACGACTTTCATCGATCTGTGGACATGTGAGCACCTCCTCCAGAAAGGCTGTATGGATAAAATATTAGCCATGATGATCAGCAGGCTGCTCAGAAGACAGCGAACTAGATAACATACGGGGATACACTCATTTTTAGTTTTAAGAAGTGGAGCATATTTTTCGCAGCTACCTACGACCCCGATTGGGATGGAGCCACAACTCGAAACTTGCCTCCTCTATCTTCGTCAACAGCCTCCTTCAGCCGCCCACTTTTACTAGCGCCGCTCGTTTGATGTTAATGTTCTCCAGCAGCTTTAATAGCGTCCGATTGACCATTTCTGTGCACCACAGCCTTTGGTTTGAATGCCTATCTCGAGCATGTACTTTTTATTCGCTACCCAGCCGTGACCTACGTCCCTTTTTCTTTTTCATCAGATTTCATTCGTAAGGATCTATCAACATAACTTGGGACGACTACACTTGAACTTTTTACGCGCCAGACTCTACTCCTATACCAGAATTGCTATATGAATCAGCATCAAGATCGCATCATCCACCACTTACATGCCACCTCCTCCTCCGCCACGACCGCCATCTCAGGGCGGCGCAGCAGACACGACCAGCAGCGAAAAAAATAGTAGAAGTAAAGAGCCTACAATTCGTGACGTTGTCCTCGCGAAAAACGAGAATTCGCAGGCGAGGCAGCAGTACATGATGTTCGACCTCGCGAAACCAATTGGATGGAAGAGCGGCAGCGCGTCCGGGCTCGTGCAGCGGCGCCAGGAGGAGAACTACTACGGAGGTCCACCTCGCACAAGTACCTCTGCACGCGGACCACCAGCAGCATTCCCCCCGGGGGAAGCTGCCTATCCAAGAAAAAAGCATTGTAGGTGTAACTTTTTTGGAGGAACAGCATTACAAATCTGTCTGGCATGGCAGCAGAAACCTGTCATGCGCAGATAGTACGTGAAAACGCCCTTTCATGCACCCTACAATGCATGCCAAGCATGACAGACGCAATCACCTTGCATGTTCATGCATCACAAATTTGCACTAACAACGTTTTTTTCTTGGATACTGCCCCCTTGTTCTTCACTCTCCCGGACTCGGCGGGGTGCATCACGCGCACGTGTAAGGTATCCTGTGCAAAAGTATTGCACTCGTATTGCAATCATGCATTACAAGTTTTCTTCTTAAGGTAAATCCGCATTACAAATTTTGCTTCTCTTCATGCTGAGGAAATTTGTAATGCATTTATACGAGTACGATTACGATACCTTTGCAATGCATATAAGGACCCTAACTGCAACAATAAGTACCTGGCCGGGACGCCGGTCGAGTTTGCGGGTCGGTTCTGTCTATCAACTGTAAAAATGTCTGGGTCTGGAAGATTCTGACACTTGTCATGCACGTTTTGCATGAGCAATGATGTCCGTGATGCATACCCTAGCAATACAGACTTTTTGAGGGCTTCTTGATGCCTATTCCGCATGACAAATGCCTTCTCAGCGTAGCAAAAGTTGCGCTCCCTTTGCTACTCATGCAATACAGATTTTTTTGGAATCCAAATGCAGCATCACAAGTTGCTTTCTTCCAGACCCAGACATTTTTGCATTTGATTCTGTCGCAGCTTGCACGACGGCTTTCAGTACTGTGAGCTCCACATCGCGCAAGACGAGAAGTTCGCGAGAATCCAGTGCCAGGGCATCAAAAAGTACAACAGCGAAAGGTGCAAGATCCACCGGTATTCTAGCATTCGAATGGGGAACGACGGCAACGGCGAGCTGGCCGCCAAACCGTTGCTGGAGGGGCGAAGTAACTTCTGCTTGTTTCACCAGCCGAAGGGCTTTGATTTGTCGTACTGCAAACGCGAGCAAGTGCAGGGCATTGACCAATGGCCCTGGGTGTTTTTTGACCTGGAAACCGGTCGGCTCGTGTCGGAGTCCAGCGGGGACAGAGTATCAAAAAGAAAAATCCCCCCTTTCCGTATCAAAGTGGAAATTTGTGATGCTGATTTGTCGTCACAAATCGCCCTTGTCTTGCCTATAGGGCAATAGGAGCTGCCTTGTGGCGCATTCTATACAGCCAGTCTGTCATGCGCTTTCGACTACTGCAAACCTGTTTGCCATGCCTAATTGCAGCTAGCCTTCTGCATATCCGAGCAGGCAGCTCAGAAAATACCGCCAAGCGTTTTCTGCAAGACAAATCTGATTTGTGGGCGCCAATGAGCACTACAAATTTCCATTTTGATATGGGGAGGGGGGATTTTTCCTCACAATACAAAGACCGCGTCGACGTGAGCCTGGAGCGGGTCACCGAAATCGGCGCGGTAGTGGTGAGAAATCCTGCGGAGGAGCTTCTACTATCACGCACGTCGAGGTCGCCAGCTCATGATGCGCACGGATTGGCTGCTGGCCACCCCCGCGGCCCGGATTGTTCGATATCATCTCTACCAGGAGGAGATGAGATTTTTGAAAATGAAAACTCATCCGCCCCCGCACGGTATGACGAGAGAAGCTCCGGGTTATTGTCCTCAAGCGCGGGTGGAAGAACTCATCACAGTCGAGGACCATACGAGCGCCCGCTACATTATGCATTGCAAATCTGTCCGGGTCTGGAAATCTGTGATGCCAAAAAGCGGATGATGGAGACACTTTCGAATGCAGCCACGCATGACAACTTTCCAGAACGCTTATTTCTCATGCGCGGCCCGCATGAGAAACTGTGTTTCTTTTTCGTATGACAAAAGAGGCTGTGACTTTTGCTGGTCATGCAATACAGACCGCACAGGAATGTAAGCCCAGCATTGCAAGTTCGGACTTTCCAGACCTAGACATTTCTGGAGTCGATATCCATTTCGAGACCTTGGTTCGGCCCAACCCGACCGAACCGATTGTGACGCCAAACGTCTCGGGGATCGAAAACGAAATGCTACAAACTGCCCCGGATTTCAAAACCGCGATGAGGAGTTTCTTGCAGTTTCTCGAGAGCTGTTGTCAGCAGCACTGCGAAGCAGGCGATGTTGTAGGTGAAGCAGGCAGGAGGAGCACAAGTTCGACTAAAGATGCAACCACGACTGGCACGACAAGTAGAAGTAGACCCCTTCTGATCGCGCACAACGGGTTGAATTTTGACGTGCAGGTGCTCTTTCACGAGCTTGTGCGGCACGGGATGGCGCGCGAGCTGGAAAAATTTCGGACCTTCCTTTTCCTCGACTCGCGGGTATCAAATGTAAAAATGTCTGGGTCTGGAAACTTGTGATGCTGGGTAGCGTCTCATGATGAGGCCACAAATGCTGGCTCAGCATGACAAGTTTCTGAGTTTCTAGGTGTTGCCTATTCTGCATGACAAACTACGTTTCATCACAGAAAAGTGAAGCTCTTGGGTAACGTGCATGACAGATTTAAGAGTCATGCCAGACAGGCATGATTTTTCCAGACCCAGACATTTTTGCACTTGATAGCGGGATGTTGTGGACAATTTTCGCCCGGATTTCGAGTGCAGGAAGCTGGGGTGCTTGGGGTTGCAATTGAAGATTGACCGGAGAGACTACGTGGTGCCGACGGGAGAGGGAAATATTAACCACACTGCGCCGAGAACGGGTACTGGCGAGGTGCAGTTGATGCCAAAAAATAACGCCAGGAACAAAAGATCTGACTCCTTGCCAGAAATATTAAATCAGGGCCAAGGTGATATAGCGTCGTGCGCAGCTCCTACGCAACAAGCGTCGAGCAATGTGAGCGAGGTCAGCATTGCCTCGACGGCCAGCGAGCACTGGGCCCGGCCGCACAGAGCGCTGTCGGATTCGTTTCTGTTGCGTGACGTCGTGTTGAAATCGATAGCGACGTGCTCGAAGCACAGGGCGCTGGCCGAAGGCTTGACGGTGCAGAAGGTCTTCGCAAATAACGCGCGATGCTGGAGTACGCACTGCAAACATGCCACCGCAGGAGCGACCCCCAAATTTGTCGTTTAGAATACAAATGAATGATATATAATCTAGAGACGACGAGGCGCGCGCGATCATGCATTGTGCTGCGCAAGACAAATACAGTCCAAAAGATTTTTGTATTGACTTCTTGCCTGCGGCTGCTCAGTTGGAGTTGCATAGAGGTAACTGCGTTTACAATTACAAAACATCAAGTCTGTGTGTTGCCGATGCCGATGTAATCACATTTTATGTGCATAAAAAGAGATGGGCAAAAAACAAGATGAAGCCTTGCGCTGGCATGTTTGTATTCCATAGGCAGTGGGGTGAAAACTGAGCCGCATTCGCCTGTCGCACGAAAGCGGACGGCGCCAGAGGCGGAAGAGGGGCCGAGCGAACTCGTCTTGACGGGGGGATGGAAGGACAAGCAACAGAAAACGGAGAAGAGAAGCGATAGTGGTGGAGCTGGCGGCCCTCCACCCGGACGATTTTTCTCTACTGGACAACGGGGGACATTGCTACAAGGAGCTCCGCGTGGTGGAGGTGGTTAGAATCTGTGAGTAATTATCTTTTTCAGCGATTGACATGATAAAGCATCGGATCTAACTCCTATGTGTATTTTCATAAACCCCTCGTAATGGATAAGGAGCTGCTGGTCACGTACCATTTTGCTTACCTCAACCCCTGTGGCTCGCTTTGCGGTGCAGCTGCGGGGAGTAGTTCTTACATCATTACTACTTATTTTGCTCACCCCATCTATCAACCCCTGTGGCTCGCTTTGCGGTGCAGCCACGGGGAGTAGTTCTTACATAGTATTTTGCTGAGCCCTGTGAAAACTGAGACGCTTCAGTAGTTTCGCACGACCACGACGACGACACAACTAAGTGCTGAAAATGCGAGATCTGCATAATTTACACGTCTTAAAGGGTCTTCTTGCTAGGACATGTTGTGGGAAAAAAGCAACGGCAGCAACAGTGTTCTTCTCCGGTTCAGTCTTGTTTTCCGCGATACCTGAACGACCGGGCGAGAAGTGTGGCCTATCCTTTTTTAGTATGTACTTGCACTTATGCTGTCACTTTATAATGTGATGTAGTCGCATCGGCATCACAGTACGTGTACCTACCAGCTTTACTCGGAGTCAGAGAGAATCCATGCGATCAAAAGCGTTGCTGTTGCCCGGAACCATTTCTGCCCATTGCTAGCATTTCAAGTAAAGATGGAGCTGAAGTAAGAAGCGAAACCAAAAAAATGTCCTTTTCCCCATCCATGTTCCTGTTTGGCAATGCGCTTGCCGCCGCGCCCGCGTTCGCCTTCTACAGCCATATGCAGCGGGTCGAGCAAACGTGCCAGTACTACCTCGAAAGGAGCAGGTCGAGCCGGGCAGCCGGGGAACCACCGAGGTTACCGGTGAAAATTTCCGCGATGGATCCGATCACTCAGTGGAACCAAGCGCTGATAGCGTTGCACCACTTTTTGCACACGACCGCGGCCTTGACGAGTGGGGGAGTAGGAAAAATTGCTGCTGTGAAATCCACTTCGTGATATCCGGGATTTTTTTGCTGAATAGGAAAACTCTCTGTCACCTGTTCTTGCAGCTGATAAAAAACAGTACGTAGCTGCTCCTGGATTCTCAAATTGCGTCGACAAACTGCAGCTACCAGTGCGCACTGAAAAGGGCAGCTGCCGCTTCTGGATAAACGATCTGTTCTTGGCTCGTTCTTGCGTTTTGAGCCGGCGTTCTTCCATATCTTTTTTCACTTTTACATGTGTGGTCGTAGTAGATAAATCGGGTTGCTATAATGATGCGACCGGTGAATCCTGGTTCGCGTTCCAGCTGCACGACCGTTGCCTGCAGAGTTTTTGCTGTTTCTTTCAATCAAGAAGGAAAAGTTCTTCTTTGGTCTACAATTACAATTTTCACGACTTGATTTTTTGCGCGCTGCTGAGTGCATTCATATACAACTCCTACACGGGCTTTCAAGGATAGAAATGAACATGGACTACACTTTCATGGTAAAGTAAATTGATATTCTTGGCAATATTTCAAAAAGAAATCATGCCGGATGTTTGTGCCTGCAGCGTCTATTCCATCCTGTGCCTGTTGGAATTCCGTGGTAACGGGAAAAAACCCTCCGAGCAGCCGGAAAAACAGCCTCCTATCCTCGAGGCGCAACCGTTCTACAGCAAGCGAACCCAGTTGAAAATCTTTTGCCTGATCAAGCAACTTTCGGAGGAGCTACAAGGGAGTAGTAGTTCCAGCCAAACGCACAGCGCGTGTCACGCACGGGTTTTTCTGCAACACCAGATCCGAAGCGTGAGTGAGAATTTGTACGCCGCTATCTGCCAATTCGTCGAGCGCGACTGCGTGCACACCGGCCCCGATGCGGTGTTCGCGGTCATGCACGAGGCGAAGCAGAGCCTGATGAATCCCCTGCAGAACCACGGGATTTTTGACACCGCGCACCTGACCAACACGAGCTACTACAGTGAACAGAGCATCATTGGATGCTTTTTGCGCCGGGTCATGCTGAGCTTTCAAAAATCGTCCTTTGAATCCATCATGGTCCTGCATGAGGAGCTGCTCGCCGGGTGCGGGATCACTAGTACCACGACGTCGAGAGTAGAAGACCCGTTGCATCAAGCCTTTCACGTGCCTCAAGATGCTCAAGAACAACAGGCGGATAGAAGTTGCAAGTCGAGCCGGAACAAGAAAATGGGACCAAAAATTCCGGTTTGTACGACTGTCACGGAGATGGAGGCCGTCGCTGTCCGATTGTTGCAGGAGCTGGAAGCCGTGTCTGGTCGTGCTGTGGGCCATCTAGTTGTACGGCAAAAGGACTGCGGGGGCGGAGCGCACCGGCACCGGCACCGGCACGGAGTAGAACACCAAGTTGTGCAACAAAACGACGTATGCATTGCAAATATGTCTGGGTCTGGAAGAGTCGGGGTTTGTCATGCACATTTTGCATGACCCGTGAGGTCTGTGATGCAGGTCCTAGCATCACAGATTTTTCGAGAGCTTCTTGATGCTTACCACGCATGACAAATGCCCTCTCCGCGTGCCAAGGACTGGAGTCCGCTTGCTGCCCATGCAACACAGATATTTTTAGAATCCGCAAACAGCATTACAGTTTCCACTCTTCCAGACCCAGACATAGTTGCAATGCATACGACGACGACCACTCTGCGGAAGATGAGTATCAAATGTAAAAATGTCTGGGTCTGGAAGGATGGAACTTGTCATGCTAAATCTGAAGCATGCAAAAATCTGTGTTGCATGATTACCAAAAGTCGTCCACTTTTGACCAAGTCGGGAGGGAGTTTCTCATGCAGGATAGGCATGAGAGAGATGGCGCAGAATCTGTCATGCTAGGTCCTGCATTCCAGGCTTCATGAGTCATGAAAAAGCTGCATGACAAATCGCGCATTCTTCCAGACCCAGACATTTTTACAGTTGATAATGAGGACGCCCGTACAACAAGAACCAAAACGCTGCACCGTCCTCAACTAGAAGAAGACCAAAATATTATTAAATTCACCGATTTGGCGCAACACACCCTGCAGCACTTCATCAAAAAGGTTCCCAACAACTACAAATTGTGGTTTTTGCTCTATGAGTTTTACATCCTGAAACAGCAAGTGGAAGTGATGTGGAACACGACGATCACGTCGGGGGCCCCCGCTGCGGGGGAGGGACAACGTCATTACGATGTTGTACCGAGCGACTTATTTCTGGCTCACGGGAACGGGGGACCAACGGCACGATCTGTGGAAGTCGGCGGTGAAGTCGTGCGAGGACATGATATCTTCGCGGGACAAGAGTTGTTCGTGGATCTGGATGCCGGAGCAGTAGGTGCACGCCCAGCTTCTCCCACAAGTACTAGGCCAGCTCGAGCACGCCCGCACTACAGTCAGCAGGCCGTGGAGGCGCTGCAAAATTTTCATGCCGCGGTGTGCGTGAACTTGCACGAGAACAATTCGCAAAGCCGGTCTCTCTTCTATTCCCCCCTCACCCACCAGCAGATTCAGCAAGCGACCATCCCGGATATTTTGCTTGCGGTCGCGGGCACGTACTACGCCGCGGGCGAAATTGGACCAGCCGAGCGGTTTTGTCAGGAGGCAAACAAGGCCGCACAGGATACGGCTGTCTCAAACATTTGATGCATGATTTGCTGTTTACATGCTGAATTTGTGATGCAAGATTACGTAGTGAAAGCGGGCGAGGGCTTGCGCGTCTGGCATCTCTTGCTTCGCACGGAAGATTCTAATCCTACTTAGCGCATCCGCGTCGAGAACTTGTCATGCGAAGAGGCTTGATCGCGTGGAGGGTGGCAGCGATTTCGCGACAAAACATCTTCACGCAACGTCAGCGATCAATGAAGCGTCAACTCCGTTTGAAAACGCCATACAGGAGACCAGCAACGGTTTTTGCTTGACTCGGTGCCTGTACCAGAGCGGTCTGGTCGAAGTTCAGAAGGGGAACGTTCTCAAGGCGTTGTCGCAACTGCGGTCCTGCGCCGAGAAGGCGGAAATTCTTCGGATGAACGATTTGACGGCGCTGTGTTTCTCCGCAATGCATCGGGTGACCGCACAACACCCGGGCGCGGTTTCGCAGGTAGCGGAACTCTTACCGTTTGCCGTCAAGCAGGGCGCACAAGAGAACCCGGAGGGAAGCCTGCTTCTGCCGTCCCAAAACGTGTCGAACAAGCCGCCGCACTTGCGACAGCCGTTCGGCAGCAGTTCTTGTGCTATCTCCGGTGCAAGCTTGTCGCGCTCGTACGAAAGATACTATTATTGCAATACCGCATGGCAAATTTTGTACCTAAGTCAGCATCCATTTTTACAATTTAGATTTCATCAATCTGGAGCAATTTTTTGCATAATGCAATTTGAATAGATACTGATACAAGTGCGATACTTTTGCAATGCATATGCGCGGCGTTGCGCGTGCATTTGGATGCGGCAGAACAGGCAATGTTACGGACTCGAAGTTCCGCAGGGATCCTGCGGGCCTCGTCTGGCTCCTCTCGACGTAGCGACGCCAACGCTGGACTGCAGGCAGCTGCTTCGAACCACCTTCACTATCTGTTGACGAACCAGGCGGTTTTCTGTGGGACCTTGTGCAAGGACTTCTCGCTGTCCACCTCATCGGCCTTTTCAAGCGGCATGAGCGACTTGTTTCTAGATTGGAGGCAGTTGCGGGCTGAAACGCTCCAAGGACCTATCCTGAGGAAAAACGAAAATTGACAGAAGTACCCACATGACACTCATCGATTGCTGCTTTTCCTGCGTGGAGGAGACACATGATCCTCCTGGGCACCATGTACATCTTGCGCATTTTTTGCATAACATCAAAAGCTATTCCGGCCGCGTAGGCACAACTGCGCATACGTTTTTCATCCACAGGATAGCATAGGAACTCTGTTTCCGGAAATGGGGCCAGGACCTGCTTGCAGATTCGCTACTCGGCGTGCGGAGGAAGTTCTACGAGCAGGATTGTAATCATGCTACAAATGGTGGACGTGGAGGTGGTGCGCGAGGACGTACAAGTTGTACAGCGAACCTGCCAACAAAGTGCAGAACAAGTACCCGAACTACACCTACAACCCGGTCGTTGCGTTTTCGTCAACCTCTTCTTTCCGTCGCTGACCTCGTGCTTCGCCGAAATCGGAAAAGGCTGGAACTGGGGGCCTACTCGTCACTCGTGCGTGAGCTGCAGCGGGTAGAATTTTGCGGAGCCCGCCATGGTCGTGAGAGAAATCATGACGAAGAAGATCTTCAGCATGCTTCGATTTATTCCTCGTGCAGCAGTATACCATCCGAAGATGGGAAGAAAATGTCCGCGAACAAGAAAGCCAATGACCGACTCGTTGCGGATCAGTTTGCTGATATTGCGTTTGATCCATCGAAGATCTCCTTTACGAAGCTCCCCGTGGTGCCGGGAGTAGGACCACCACTTCCACAGGAGGCCACGACTGCTTTTTCGGACAAAGCTACTAGGCAAGTCGCGATTTCTTGTTCATCCTGTGATCAGGATGAGGAAATGGGGGTCCTCACAGCGGACAACTCCGCCCGTGCACAAGAAGAGGTGGACCCCCAAGGTGGAGGGAGAAAAACATCGAAGCACATCAATTATCCCGCCCCCGCGCAGACAAACATAGAAGATGTCCTTGGCGGATGTAGTTCATATGCAGCTTCGCAAGTAAAGCGTGATGAACCAGTGGAACAAAGGGTACTGCATCGCTGGCGCCTGGATGTGGATATGGACGATGTGCGAGAAAAAAGCTCCTCTTGTGCGAAAAATGCGAACCAAGCGCAGCAAAACGCCCCCGCCGACACGACGTCGAAAGCACGCATTGTACGAGAAACAGCTGTGCTGGATCAGCACTCAGCGCGTAGTGGGCCAAACGCAAGAACAGGAATACAATCTTTTCCGCCGCACGACAGCAGGACGGCCCACTTGTACAGCAATCATTTCGCCGCGCCGCTGGATAGATGCAGAGCGCAGCTGTTGATCGCCGATGCGTATTTGGCGAATTGCACCGCGACGGCCCCCGTTTTCTCGAGAACTACATCCCGAAGAGCTACTGACAGAACCGGAAACAAGCAATTTTCGGCCGATCATGGAAGGAGCACCTTCTACTTTGAGAGGGGAGTGGTAGAGAAAGCATACAAGGATGAAAATCATCTTTCCACCTCTCCACCCGCGTCTCCCCTGGTCCTGGCCGCCGTGGCCTGCGCGAAGGCCCTGACGCTGGCGGAACAGAACGAGCTGGGGGTCCGAACGCGGAACAGTGTCCTCGCGCGAATCGCGCACGTGCACCTGTGCTTACAGGATTACGAGGCTGCGTGGCGGATCTTGATGCTGGAGGTCGTTGGAAGGGTCGGGGGTGGAGAGTTGTGTAGCTCGGAGGGTAATTTGGTACAATTTTCCCGGTCAAGAACAGCAACATCTCAGGGCGTCGGGAAGATGCAGAAACACAGCACTGGACTTCTTCTGGCTGACGAAGCAGCGGAACAGCAACAGGAGGAGCAAGACCACGAGCTGCAGGCTTACCTCGCGGAACTGCGAGCCGAACTGTTTCAAGCGATGCACAAGAAACTGCGTCGTCATGGTCGGCCGCGAAGCAGGAAGCAGAGAGCAGCGCTACTAGCATCTGAGATGAACAAAGAAGACCAGAAGGAGCACGAAACTTTTCTCGGAGTCGGGGATTTTGACTGCAGCACCACCACGGACGAGTCTTCGGAATTCGGTCAGGATCATGATTCGGACGACTTCCCCTCGACAGAACACACGAGGCGCTACTTCAAAAACAAAAACAGCAAAAAGAACTACAACAATTCCGGAAAAGAGAAAAGCAAAATCGTTAGAAGAAAACGCGTGATCGGACCGGATTTGCAAACGAGGGTAATCAGGCTGGAAGTAGCCTCTCGTCCTGCCGCTAGGGGTGCTACACAGGATCCTCGGAACGGCGAGGCGAGTGCAAATAGGAAGGAAAGCCCAGGTCCACCTCCTGCTCCACCGCGACAGGCTGGTGTTGACCTCCAACAAGATATAACCACTTCCTCACAGGAGCTGCGAGCGCAGCAGGCGGTTCTGGAGGCCCCCCGCACGACTACTTCCACTGTCTCTCCAACTGCCACTACAACTTGTAGTTTCAGCGAAGAGGCGAGAGTTTTTTACCTCGCGGCGCTGAAGTGCCACGTGCGGGTCGGAAAAAATGTCCGGAAAATCGTGCAGATTGGGACAAAATTAGCGGAGTTGTGCGACAAGGCGGGGTATCAAATGCAAAAATGTCTGGGTCTGGAAATTTGTGATGCATATCTCTGAAAGAATGGTGGGCGTACTACAATATGCAGCCAAGCATGATAACTTTTTGCACTGCCATGTGTTAGTTTCGTTTTCCGCATGGCAAACTGCGTTTTTGCATGACAGACAAGAGGCTCCGTTCCTGCTTACGCATCACAGATCTAACAGGCATGCCAGACAAGCATCACAAGTCTTACATTTTTCCAGACCCAGACATTTTTGCAATGCATACGGGGGAAACGGCCAGCCGCGACTTCTTTGCGAAGTTGGTGAAAGAGGTGTACTCCTGTTGCACATCTGATTTTTCGAATAGAGCAATGTCTTCAGTATCAGTTGCAAATACATCAGCCACTAGAAGTCAAACTCAAAATCCGAAGTGCAATCTATTGCAGGCTGTGTTGCGAAAGCATTTGGAGGCACTGGACGCACTGTGAAGACGAATAGGAGGGTTTTGTTATATGCAGCAGGAATGGGGACATGGTCGTTCCGGGTGTGTGACAAGAATGAAAATGGACCTCATAAGAAGCACTTTCTTCTCTATCAGAACGAGAAAAGTTAGTGTCGCTCCTTTGCGACGGTCCCTCATCTCAAAAGCTTTGTGTTGCAGTTGCAAACGAATTTCGGCGCTATTTTCTTCTGAGGGTGACGATGTCGCTGTTGGTTCCGACGTGTACTGTTTGTTGTTGCAAATCATAGTTTCTTTACTTTGTTGTTGCAAATCATGAATGATTCTGCCTGAAAATGTTGACCCTGCCGGGGAAGTAGTAGATAAGCGACACCGCCACAAGCTGTCCAGTTGCGTGTCTGTCTGCGTAGAGGGAGTGAGCGAAGAAGTAATCAGGAAACGAATCCAAGCGCTTTTGGGAAACCACACGAAAAGATGAAAGTTTTTTCCACCGCGGTTTCTTTTACGGCGACTGTTGCCCTCGTAGCGGCAGAGGAGTTCATGTCGCCCTTGCGGGGTGAGGTAGCTGCGTTTTCAAGTGGACCGGAGGATGATCCGTGCCACAAGAAGTACCATGACGAAGCGTCCTGTGCCGCAGACACCACTCTCGGGGGCGGGTACAATATTTGTGCTTGCAGTCATGCGTAGTAGCTTTGCATGGGGTGGTAATCAATGTTTGTCATGTTGCGTGATGAAATTCGAAATCGAATTCAAATCCAATTCAACCTTCATCTAGTTGCGTCTGGTGTGTGTGCGGGGCCTTGCCAAGTTCTTGCTGGACAATTGCGGACGCAAAGAAGCTCCCAAAAGCGGTATTCAATTGCCACTTCCCGTCTTCATCGCAGGTGGACGGGTCCGCGGCGAATATGGCGTGTAGAAGAAAGTTTTGTGTCGTGCACTTGCAGAAAAGCGTGTTGTGTACTTTCTTGTGTGGCACCGTGAAATAAAAGGAAAAGACAACTGAGAGCGCGACTAAATGCGATGTCTTGTATTCTATCTTCCGGTTCCGATGCTAATCTACTTAGGGCGCGACTCGAAATTTTGTTTTTGTCAGCGTGATACGTCGCAAGGAGAAGGCGGAGTTGCCGGAATTGACAAGGGACGAGAGAGCGCAGGAAAATGCCCTGAGCGTGAACAAGGCGGACTCGACGGAAAGCAGCTCCGGGGAGCAATGGATTTAGGTGCGCGGAGGTTGCAATCGTAATACAAGTAAGCGTGCGCTCTGAGTAACAAACAACAGTGAAGATTGGCGGGATAAAACAGAGCGATAGGCGGATACGAAGAGGAGATTGGTGAATTGTGAAACAGCTCCGTTTTTTTCTAAATTTTTCAAAAGATGATGAGTGGCGTCCTTCGCAAAATCCAAAGACGAGTTGGCAAGAACGGAAGAAAATAGAGCTACCACCAATCAGAAATATGGAAGTGGGCTTCTCCGTGGCTTTCGGGCTGCAGTACGTGTGTAATCAAAGATATGAGAAGTAACAAGAAGTGCTACTCCTGCCTTTAGACCAAGGAACAGCAGCAAGTCGTTGCCGACTCCTGCGCTGTCGATTGCTCGTTCCTCTAAACAGATGCGATCTGTAGTTTCGCATCATTGTGTCCCACTGAAAGTTTCGGTTTCAGATCCAATAGAATTTAGATTCTGCTGCTTGCGATGGAGCAGACAGTTCTCGGTTGGAAGTATAGATATTTCGAAAGGTCTCTGCTCGATCTATACCTCCTGCTTGTCAAGTTCTAGAAGGATCCAATTACTCCGATCTCATCGTCGCAAAAGTGCGTTCTCGGATCAAAATCGAAGCTCTGCGCGTCTCAACGTCGAAATTAGGAAATTTGAAACGATCTTGTCCTTTCCGCTAAGGTAAGGTCAACGCGTTGTGATAGCGTGAAATTGTAAAAAAGCCAAGGAATAGCTCGAGTTCCACGTCTGATCAAATTTTAAGATTCCTGTGCCGGTCTGAAGCTCCCCTAAAATGCCTAATACATTGGGCGGATCAAAATCTAAATCGAAGGAAAAGCTGTAGGAGATCCTTATCAGAGCGCAAGAAGCAGACTTGCTGCCGAGGTTTGCAAAGAATTCAAGGATCGTGATTTGTGGCTCTTTGAAAATAACTTAAGTTTTGGGTACTACTTAGTAGTTCCCTTTAAATCGGAGACAAAAATCTGACAATTCGAACTTTCGCTCGCACCTCTTCAAAAACAGGGAATCTATTGTAGTCAGTGCTACTGTAGGAGAGTCTAAAACCAACAAAATGGCGCCGAAGAAGGACGAAGCCCCAAAGGTCGTCGAGGCCCCGAAGCTCGGACCCCAGAACGTATTTGTGTTTTTTTTAAAAAAGATTTTCATTTCATGCGGATTTTTTTGTGGCGACCGCCACCGCGACAGTTCCCACTCGCTAGTGGGCGCTTGATTTTTTGTGTAGTTGCAGTACAGGCTGTATACTAGCACCAAGAAGTGTAATTTGTCATGCTGTTTTTACATCAAAACTAAATCTATCCCACAGGTCGGCCCGAATGAGGAGGTTTTCGGCGTTGCCCACATCTTCGCGTCCTTTAACGACACCTTCATTCACGTCACGGACTTACCAAATGTAAAAATGTCTGGGTCTGGAAGAATGCAACTTGTAATGCGTATTTCAGAACACAGAAAAGTCTCTCATGCATACGTAGCAAAAGCTCCCACTTTTTGCCAGCAAAATAGGGGACTTGTCATGCGGATTCGGCATTGCGGAAGGTTCTCGAAACCTGTCATGCTAGAGCTTCCATGCCAGACCTTCTGTGTCATGCAAAAACAGCATGACTCTTCCAGATCCAGACATTTTTACACTTGATAGGACTGCTCCGGTCGCGAAACCTTCTGCCGCATCACCGGTGGTATGATGGTCAAGGCCGACAGGGATGAGTCGTCTCCGTACGCGGCGATGCTCGCGGCCCAGAACGTCGTTACCCGCTTGAAAGAGATCGGTATTCAATTTTGTCAGTCATGCATTACAAATTTTTTTCTCAATGTAAGTCCGCATTACAAATTTCATTTCTCATGCTGAGGAAGTTTGTAATGCATTTATACGAGTGCGATGCTTTTGGTTTTGCAATGCGTATTGTGGTCTTGTATGACAAAAGTTTAGCGTCATTCCGCCACGCCAACAGGGGTGGTCACAGACCTGAGCAGGTTGCGTACTATTCGCTGTGAGGAATTTTTGTTGAACTATCTCTGGAAGAAGAAAGCTGCACGCTGAGAGAATCATGACTAGACGGAGTCGAGCATTAGTATTGTATGCGATTGTAAACATGCGATGAACGAATTTCGGTGGTGTCCAAATTATCATATCACACGCACCCGGTCTTGATCTTCTGCGAATAATACCAAGTTGCGAACCGACGATTAATCCCTTACACGTTTCTTTTTAAAAAACTTCAGGTGTGACCGCTCTGCACGTGAAGCTGCGCGCCACCGGTGGCGTCAAGTCCCGCTCCCCGGGTCCGGGTGCCCAGCACGCGCTCCGCGCGCTCGCCCGTAACGGCATGAAGATTGGCCGCATCGAGGACGTCACCCCGATCCCGCACGACACCACCCGCAAGGCCCACGGTCGCCGCGGTCGTCGTTTGTGAGTTTGCTGTTGCGCAACATCACGAAAACCTTACATTCGGAAGATTATACGGGACGAGAAGGTGGAGATGGACTGCAGATTTTTGTGGGATTGTGTTGTTGTTGTTGTTGTGTCTGTTTGTTCGCAGTAGATGCAGCTGCAAAAGAACTAAAAATCTGTAGGAGTTTTCATCTACTCACCTCCGTGATCTCAGTGGACCATGTGAAAGAACACTAGACTCTGAAAATTGTTGGTCTTGGACTCTGACTCTTCTACAAAAAAGACACAGCTGTACTACAAGGTCGGCCACGGACTGTCTTCTTGACTCTACTTGTCCTGGCTCGGCGCGAGACTTGCGAATTTCGTTGATGAGTGTTCCTTTGGAATCAACAGCAGAGGAAAAAAAATCGTCGGTTAGAGTACCAGCATCCTACATTTAGAAGTAGGAGAATCTGATTCGCACCTTTCGTCTTGAAGAACACATTCATTTTGCGTCCACCAGCGCCCCCGCGCTAGCGCGAAATGAGGTGTGTGCGAATGCAAATCTTCGATCACGATGAAGATGATTCGGCCGGCAGATGCTATAACCGCCAGATGTGATTCGTCAGCATCTCTCTTCGTCCACAGAAGCGAAGAATCGCGTACACAATCACAACAACTTTCGCGATTGATGCTATCTTCGTCGGTCCATTCTCTTCGTACATTGATGATACACTCTCGTACCGACCATCGTACATCTGCATCAGCACCATCACGTGAATCTCCCGCATAGAGACAACCGCGGAGGAGGAACGAGTCGGTCCACTAGCGTACGTAGTCACGCATCGTGTAGCACGAAAACACACACACACATCGTCCACCCGTTGTGGACAAGAATCGTGCACGGAGCTGATCTCGCTACTTTGAATAGACCCAGTATCTAGCGCACCATAATTTCCGAACACAACCAATCTCGTAGCTCTATGTTCTTTATCTCCAGGTCACCAATCACCCTGACACGAATCCCCCCTCCTGAGTAGTAAAGCTCTGCGTTTTTAGATAGTCGCTTCAAAAATACGAATGCTATTCGTCCCGAGTAATCACAACTTTATTCTTACTGGTGCTTGTGGTTTTACTTTTTCGCCAACCTGAGGTAAAGTACCACAGCCTTTACCTTCTACGGAAAAACAAAGATGCGGTCTGCTCCCTCTTGTCTGCTCGTCGCAGCTGTTGCTTTCTCGGGCGTCCTCATTGCGTGGGCGGCCGACGGCCGCAACAATGCGGGTTCCGCTGGTGCATCAGACTCGGATGCTGCACGGCAGCTTCGCGACAGACCCGCAGCAACATCTACTGCATTAGAAAAGCCGCGTGCCTACGGACTGGATGATCTTCGGTTCGAGCATTTGCAGATTCGATCGGGCGATTTAGATGAGAAACGTGGTGCTGGTGTCCTCGGTGAAGGAAAGCCAACAGGAGGTCTTGCGGGCCAGGAAGGGGGCAAAGACGCGTCTGGGGATCATTATGAGCCGACACATCGACATGATGATGATGTGGGAGTACCTGCTAGTCAAATGATCCCGCCGACGACCCTACACCACAAAGATTCTGAAATTCCTCCCGCCGGCGTACCCGAGAGCGGGCTAGCTTCAGAAGACAACAGCGCCTCGGCACCGCCTACCTCCGTGGCAAAGATAGTCCGAAATTTAGCGGCGTCGGCGTTCGAGCAAGGAGATATTTTTGAAAACAGCGGGATACTAACCGCTCTTTCCTCTTGGTTCTCCCCGTCCGCTCGACCGACTACTCGTGAGTTGCAAGATGTGGTTACCACCACCACCACGACGACCACAACCACTTTATTCGTGCCCACGATCTACAACACGTTCACAACCACCACAACCCGAGGCGAGCGCCCGCTGGAAACCTACGACAAGCCGTTGGACTATTTCCAGCTGTTGGCTACAACCACGGCGCCGCCAACCACGACCACCACGACGCCAAGCCCCGAGCAGCGGGTCTACGTGCCGACCATCGTGACCCTTATCAACTGCAAAAATGTCTGGGTCTGGAAACTTGTGATGCAAGAAAGGGAAAAGTGAACTCACTATAATGCGCTGCCAAGCATGACAAGTTTTTTCCATGGTTCTGAGTTGCGTACTCCGCATGAGAAACTGCGTTTTTGCATGACTGGGAGGAGGAGCTCTTCGCGGCCATGCAACACAGAGTTCAGAGTCATACCAGACAAGCATGACAAATCTCGCAATCTCCCAGACCCAGACATTTTTGCAATGCATAACCCTGCCGCCACTGCCAAAGGTGGGGCCGCGAAGTATAAACATCACAGCCGTGGAGGAAGAGAGGGCCAAGGCCGCCGCGCTGGAGGGGGTTTCCGCAATACAAAGTACTTCTTTATTTTTACGTGGTTTTTTCAGTTCTTCTTCTTTGTGTTTTCGGAAGATCGATGATGATGACACTGAAGCTGGTGAACAAGATGATGATCGTTTGCAAATTTTTCAATCGAGCGTAGCTATGTGCAGATCCGGATTCATTGCCTGCTAACGCATGTTTTTCCGACAAGGGAACAGGAAAAATGGGTTGTCAATTGAATCATCATACATTGTACTTTGTTATCACTATCTATCATGACATTAGTCCTATGCCAAAGACCCGTATAACCGCCAAAACTAAACAGCCCTCGCACCTCCGACCTCTGCGAAGGAGCTGATGGACGCGAAAGCGGCACTGGAAGCCGCATATGGTAAAGAAAAATTCCCCCTCGTCCCCATACTGAAGAGGTATGCTTCCAAAAATTTGCGATGCTGATTTGTGACCACAAACCCTGTCTCTCTTGCAAGAGGGCAAGGCAAAAGAATCCGCTGCATCATGCAGGCGGTTTGTAATGCTGTTGCGGTTACATGGCAGGCCTCTGCTATGCTAAGCACCTAGACAAAAACACTCCTACGCAGGACTAGGCTCTTCCTGCAGTGCCTCGCTGCAAGACAGAGCTGATTTGTGTACACAAATGCAGCAACAGAAATCCCCGTTTCGATATGGGGAGGGGGATTTTTCCTGACGATATCGCAGAAAGGAACATCACAGCTTCGACCACCACACCCCCGCCCTTCGAAACGCTGGTTCGGTTGGAGTGTTCGTTGACGATTCCGGAGACCGTGCAGTTGTCCCAGGCGGTCTCTCTATGGAGCTCGGACATGACGTTTGTGGACTCGTGGCGCGAGGGCTTTTGTTGGACCGTGCGGTCCGACATCCGGGCAAGGATGTTGGACTGCAAACAAGTCCGGCTGATGCGCATCGCGGAGTCTGTCGGCTTCGGGAATGATCGGAGGCTGTTGGTGGGAGAAGGTAATCATATTCAACATCCTGAAGATGCTTACGTGCAGGCGAAGGAAGGCGGAGTGACAAAGGGAGCTGCGAGTACTAGCGTAGTGCATTCACCGGTTTATTCGTCGGATGGGAAAGAACGGCACCAGGAGAACATGCTGCAAAAAAACAAACGGACCAACAGTGAAAAACCGCCAACGGGTCTTTTCTACCTTATGTCGGTGAGGAAAAAGAGGAGCCGCAGGAGGTTGAAAATTCACAGCAGGACAGCACCGACAACTGCAGGCACTAGTAGAGCAGATGATCCGGAATCTGGTGCTCACCATCTTCGTGAGACGAAGCAGCTGGTGAAAATAAACCCGGTCGTGGATGAAACTAGTTCTAGCACAGCGAGGACCTCCCATGATCATCACCATAACGGTGCACCTGCTCCGCCGGTTGCAGAGCGGAAGCTGGATGAAAGAAACTTGTCGACGTCTTCTTCAACACAACAAGCCGAGCTACAACTTGTTAATACCGCAGAAGACTACATCAAAGTGACAACCGAATCCCCACCAGGGTCTACAACTCATGGAGTTGTACAACGATATCAAGACCCCACGACCACTCGGCACCTCACCACCTCTAACAACGACGACGACGACGGTCCGACCCCCGCCCCGGGCCGGCGCGCGGCGAATATCCTGATCGAGTTTTCCATCGGGATGCAATCGGTCGAGGAGTTTGAGGGGGTGGATGTCGCGCTGGAGGACTTGGCGAAGCACACGCTGGCCGGGAATTTGAATCTGTTCGTGATGCGCGCACAGGCGGCCGACGAGTTTTCACCGGAGACGCGGTTCATTTTGCCGATCATCAAGCAGGTGTCGGATGTGGTCAAAGGTGTGGACTTCGAGTCCGGGGGAAGCGGAATTCCGTTGGTGCAAGTGGAACAGAGTGCCACAACCTCGAGCGGGTCACGAAGATACAGTGGAGGCGGGATTTTTTCAGAAAGTTTTCCTCTATTTGGTTCTTCTCTTCTAGCAGTTCTCTTTTCCGCTCAAGTTTTCCTTGCATCCTTTCTCGTCGACGTGGCTGCTCCGCTGCAGAAGTATCAGGGATGATGTCGGTGTGATTTCAAAAGGACCGACAACATTCTACAGATTGGAGCGCCTCTGCATGCTTGCTAGAAAGAGACTGTTCTCGAATAAACGAATCATGCCCCCCCTTCCACTTGTCGTTTTCAAGCTCCCTGTTCTAGTAGTACTGTGAACTTCAGCGAAAAAGAAAAATTCTACCCCATGACAGAAAGTAAGTGTAACCCTCTTTGCTTTCTGTATGATGACTTGTACGATTCTTTGTTGGACGAAAGTATCAAGAACATCATGCCAAGAAAAAAATGGCGGCCATTCATCGCTTCCTTCGATTGTAGTGCCCCATGAGAACATGAATATGGACAAATGTATTCGTGCAAGTGCTAAAACCAGTATTGTTCATGATTCTTCGGTGGCTTAGTTTCTTCGTGCCCATGGTGCCCCTGAGGGGTGGTGTAGATGGAGCACTGCGTGCGGGTGTATTTTTGTACCGCTGCAGTTCGTGTGAGTTGTAAGTTATTAGGATGGCACCTACAAGATGATCTTGATTTACAAGAACTGACAGCTGCAAGATCATTCACATGATCCTACTTCGCAGTTCAAAAACAAACCTGACGACATCGGTATAAGTTTAAGTGGTTTTTTTGCATTCTTTTCGTTCGATACAAGAAGATGGAGAAATAATACAAGTCAAGATGTAGGGCGCCACGCGCCTATCGTCCGTCCCATCGTGGTCTGCTCCTCGTCGTCGGACTAGAAGTCCTCGTGACTGCTTCTGGTAAGGCGCGAGCTGCTGCTCGTGCACCGCGGCCGCGCCAGAATGGAGAAGAGCAACGTGTTTTTGCTTATGGAAAGAAGAGGAGCGACAATTTGTGATATATTATAATGTTAATAGCCCCCTAGCCCTACTTATTTCGGGGTGATACTCAACATCTTCGTAATTATCGCCACTTAAAATTGATGAAAGCAAACACGGAAAGAAGAAGCAAGCGGGCTACAGAAAATTCGTTATTCGCAATTTTTGATATCACAAGTTTTTCGTTTTAATCCCTTTTCGTATGCCTTCAACCAAGACCATACGTGCTTCATTTGCGGTACGACCCAGGGCTTTCGGGTCTTCACGATTAACCCGCTCGTGGAAGTGCACCGGAGGGAATCGATCACTATTGGAAACATCGGTGGAGGTAGTACAGGAAGTAATAATGCCGCGCAAGATGGTGCCACTGCAGGAGTACCACCTCAACCGGGTGGAGGCGGGGGTGTCACAACAGGAGCAGCTACCGCCAGTAGCGCATCCTCCTCCTCCGCCGGTGGAGCTGCTGCATCTGCGCTGCAAGCCGGAGCGCCACCTCAGGTGGACCCAAATAGTACAACAACAGGTACTAGCAACCTGAAAATGCAGCAGTCCAATGCGTGCGGCCTGGTTGCGATGCTTTTTAAAACGAACATTTTCCCGCTGGTGCGCTCGATAGATATCCAGTGCAAATATGTCTGGGTCTGGAAACCTGTGATGCTGAGTTGCGCATGATTGAAGCGCGTGCAATGGCAGCCAAGCATGACAAGTTTTTCAGACGCCTGTTGATGCCTAGCACGCATTACAAATTGCGTTTTTGCATGACAAAGGAGCCCTCTTTTGCTGCTCATGCAACACAGATTTTCCACGAATGCACGACACGCATTACAAGTTCCACTTTTCCAGACCCAGACATATTTGCATTTGATCATAGACAATGGGAAGCAGTTTTCGAACCGGGTGCAAATCTGGGACGACAACAAGCAGGCGCTGGTGGGGGAGTTGTCCAACAGGCATGAGGTGCGCGGCTATCCCACAGAAAAAAGCACGCTGGTCATATTTGTAATGCGAAAACAAATACAGAAAAAAAACTTGCGCTGCGCCTGCGTATCCTAAACAGCATGCTACGCGGCTGCCCATGACAGATTTTTCTGTGTGTTTGTTTTTGCATTACAGATATGCCCTGCCAGCTCTTTTCTGTGGGATAGCGGCGTCATTCTGCGCAGAGACGTGATCGCCATGGTCTGCGAGTACAGTATCTACCTGTACTATGCAAGAAAAAAACTGTGTAAGTGTAGCTCTGTAATGCAAAATTTGCAACAGAGTTACACCTGTCATGCCACACAGCCTTGAAGTCCTTTTTTCATGTGTATTTTCCCTTACAAGCCACGCATGACAGGTTTTCTCTGTCATGCAGAGCAAATTTGTGATGCTGTCAGCCAAAGAAAGTTACACTAACACAGTTTTTTTCTTGGATATGTACACGACGGACGTTTTACGCCTCATCCTGCACGTGGCCACCTCGGGCAACCCGCGCGGGCTCTGCGCGCTGAGCCCGAAGGGGGACATCTGGGTGCTCTGTTGCCCGGGACAGACGGCAGGTTTGGAACCGGGTTTTTTTTGTTTGTGTGCGTTCTTGGTTCATCGATTATACTTGCATCTGACGCATCAGAAGTCAGGAGATGTGTCTCCATTTTCCCATGACATTGACAAATTTGAGGACTACGTGCGGTCAACAAAGGTACCATCCGCGTGCAGCATGGGCAGATTGAAGACCAACAGTTAATCACCCCGAGTACGTATGCTTTACAAAAGTTGCATCTCAGTCGTACTAGCTTGCATCGCATGACAAATGTTGTCGAACAAAACGGAAGTTGTCATGCAGATTAGGGTAAGGAAAGCAGAATATTGCAAACAGAAACATTGCAAACATGTGGACATGCGTCGAGTGCGACAACTACGACTAGTACTACGATGCTTTTGCACGGGATAGTACCAACGCGCACCAGTCGCACGTCTTTACCGCTCATCAGTCGTCGCTCGCCGCGCTCTCCATAACACAAACCGGGACTTTAATCGCCTCGGCCTCCGAGCAGGGCACCGTGGTCCGGGTGTTTTCCGCCAAAAACGGGCAAGTGTTGCACGAGCTGAGGCGGGGAAGCAGTCCCTGCAGTATCTCGTGCCTGACATTTCGATCGGATGACAGGTGAGAGTATAGATACATAGGAAAACTCAAACTTTTTTTCTACTGCGAAGATTGGGTCTCTCATAGTCACGCAAAGATTAGCTGCATGAGTGCCACCATTGCATGTACACGGTGCGGCACGGAAATAAGTAAAAAAAGCTCTGTATTAGAAGTAGAACGAGGACGACTACCTCCTTGCGTCCTGAAATCAGCCTGCCATCATGTTATGAACACGACCAGGTTCCTCGCGGTCGCTTCGAACAGCCCGACCATCCACATTTTTCGGCTGGACGGCTACAACGCGGAGCAACTTTCCGCTGCTTCCGAGGACGCACTGCAGGCCGCGGGCGAAGCCGGCCAGGCGGGGCTTGCGTCACGAAGTACCGCAGGTGGACTACAGCAGGGCAGCTACCAATTGCAAATACGTCTGGGTGTGGAAAGTTGGAACTTGTAATGCTGATCTTGCATTCCCGTGAAATCTGTATTGCATGACCAACAAAAGTGGTAGCCTCTCATGTCATACAAAAACGCAGTTTGTCATGCGGAGTTCGTATGAGAAAGTGTTCTGCAAACTTGTCATGCTTTCCTGCATAAAGTTGAATAAAGGAAGTGGAAGTGCTTTCCTCTTGCACATTTTAGCATCACAAATTTCCAGACCCAGACATATTTGCATTTGATAGCAGCGTCGAGGCGACAACTACTACCGGGAATGCAGTAGCTTCCTCTACAACTGGGCCCGCATCACACGACGTAAATCGTGGGGGAGGTGCCGCCAGCAGCAGTACTTCTAGTGGCTATGCGGCCGCCACGGGGAACATCTTGACGGGGGAGAACGTGAAGGAACAACTCGGGAATCTAATTTCTTCCAGCGGAGTAGTAGCGGAGAGGATAAAGGAGGGGCTGAACCAGGTCGTCGATCAGTTCAATAACCAAAGCGAACTGAAAGAAAACCTGAAAAGCGCAGTGCCACGGTACTTTAACGAATAATAGCGATCATGTTCGTGGTGCATGACAAAATAAAAGTTGTGGTCTGCTGCCCTGAAGATCATGAAACCACTACGTCAGAACACTACAAAGCTCTGTGAAGCAATACAAATAGTTGCAGCTTGTTATTTTACCGCCTGGTTTTTGTTTTATTATGATTCATCTCAATTTCTAACTCTATCCGAAGGTATTTCCTCGCTTCGCGCTCCTACGCCCAGTGGAAGGTGCCTGATATGCCGAACACGTCCACCGAAGAGTCCAATACCTGGGACCGGCAAAAGTACCCAGATTTCCGCGCCCAGCACAGCAGCATCCGCGGGCCGCTGGTGTGCTTTGGCCCGCCCGAGCACGACACATTTTACGTGTTGCACTACAATGGGTTCATTTACGAGGTCAGCATGGTCGCCAGTAGCGGGGATCACGCAGTGGCAGGAGGGTCTTTTGGGGAAGACGGTAAGGGGAGTTTTTTTGGGAGAAGTAGAACTCAAGGATGTTCTTTGTATTGTCATGTTGAAGCAGCTCTTGCACAAGAAACGAGGAGTTTTGATGTCTTGCATGAAAACAGCAGGACAAGCAGCATGAAGATCCTCTACAATAATTTTTGCAAAAAGAGTACTACTATCGTGCTGTCCGCTACACCAGGTGCGACTCCCAGCAGCGGTGCACTTTTGCGTGGTTCGTTCCTGACAAACCAACTGCAGGCCAGCCCCAAGCTGTCAGCGACAAACACAGACACCACAAGTAGCCTCGCGGGCGGCGGCGGCACCAGTAGTTCTAGTGCAGCAGCTGCCTCCGGGCAAATATGCATTGCAAAGATGACGTTTGGGTCTGGGTAAATGACATGCTGAGCAGCAGCCTTGCATGACAAATACAAGGCAATCTTTAGTGCTGCATGATTGGAACATCAGATTGTTTTCTGATCTTCGTGCGAGTTCATCTGCCATCTTTAGTATGACAGTCTGATCTTCACCGCATGAGAAAAGCATTCGCCGATAATCCTCTCCATGCAATACAGATCTGGGCGTCGCGCAACTCCCGCATCACAAGTCCAGACCCAGGCAGCTGCATATTTGCAATGCATAGAACATGATCGGACAGCACCTGAAGGAGGTGATTCCGGGCGTCCACGTCCAGGCAACCACCCATTTAGTTCAGGCGCACGCGTTATGCATGGCAAAAGTATCGTACTGGTATAAATCGCATGACAAATTAGCTCAGCATGAGAAATGGAATTTGTCATGCTGATTTACCTCGGGATGGAGATTTGTAATGCATGACTGCGATTTTTACTACGAGTGCGATGCTTTTGCACAGGATACGCATGGTTCGCGTCGAGGCCTGATTTCCAGATGCACAAACAAATCGTCGGAGCGGACGATGAGGCGGATTGGCAGCTGATATAATGTTGAGCATCTATCACGAACACGATGTGGAGATATTTTTTACAAGAAAGCGAAGGGAATTCAATGGGTCAAACAGCTCAAGAACAGGTCGTAGAACTAGAAGAACAGAAACAGATTAAGAATAAGTTACAGTTTTGGATGATTTAGAAAGATAGATGGATACGAAGTAATAATAATTGCCACCACGTGTTACATCGAGAATCTCAATCTGCAGTGGAATTTGAAGGTGCTTATCCAAAGCCATTTTGTGCGATTCGTGTAGGTTAGGTTCTTTGGAAAATGAAAATAAGCAAGCGAGACACTATGGTTGGCCGTGGCTCCACCTTCCGCCGAGTTAGAAAAAAACACGTCACTTAAGAAGATGCAAAGACCATCAGGCTTCTTTACCCACCGGGTCCGGGACCGGCCGCGAAAGATATTCGTTACTATCCCCGATGAAAAGGGAGACGAGCCAAAAATAAACGTCCATTTTGAAAAGAAGAGTGGCGCGCGACGGCGATCACGCGGGATCTGTGTTCTTCCAGCAGCACGTGTTGTTCTGGGTTCTGGCACGTAGATGAAACGGTTTTCTCATTTCGAGTTGAACTTCATCGTGTAGTTGGTGTATGGCGTCCCTGCTGCTTTCCAACACGGGCATGAGTGGAACCGTTGAGGAGCTCTGGTTTTTTTCGGAATCAGATGGAGCGGAACTAGATGAAATGTTTTCGAAGTCAAGATGATTTTGGCGTCCGAAACTCCGGTCAAGATAATATGCCGCAGCAATAGAGTTTGTCGGTGCTTTCTTTAGCTCGTAAGCGACATGCGGCGAACGTCCGTACCAGGATAAAAAAGTAGCTGTACTAGAACTAGCAATGCAAAACATGATGGCATAATCCGCATCTGAGCTGCAACGCAGTAGCTGCTTTATCTGTGAAACTTCTAGCATCACATTGACTTAAAAATATCGTTGAGACCGTATTGAGTATCTACATTTCAATACATCATCACGTAGCTGCTTTAACTACATGCGGTCGAGAAAGAGCGACTTTTACTAGCCATTCCCTTGTTCGGCGACGTCGAGCAAAACAGGCCGCATCTTCGCGGACCGCATACAAGCACATCAATTTTCCTGGCCGTATTTCTAGCAGGCAGCAATTGTAACTGCATCTTCTCGTCCCTTCTCGCGCCTCGGACGATTGACGATACTTTCACACGACTTGTTTCCGCCGTCTGAGAAAAACCCCTATGGCTGTGATGAGCGAAGTACCCAGATCGCCAACACCGGACGAAAATGCGGACGAGGAGCCGCCGAGGTACAGTAGTAGAGTTATGCATTGCAAATATGTCTGGGTCTGGAAGAATGCAAACTTGTGATGCGCATTTCCCAACACATAAAAATCTCTCATGCATAGGCAGCAAGAGTTGCCCACTTTCTGTCACCAAAGTGGGGCATTTGTCATGCAGATTCGGCATTGCGGAAGCTTCTCGAAACCTGTGATGCTAGAGCTTCCATGCTAGACCTTCTGTGTCATGCAAAAGCAGCGTGACTCTTGCAGACCCAGACATTTTTGCATTTGATAACAGTGGAGTACTTACAATTTTCTAATTCTGAGTACACACTACACATTTCTTTTTCTGGATGTTGTGCTGTCACGGGAAATTCATTCTTGCGGTGTGTAAAAATTTGAATTCGTCGTGCAGGTCGTGGTCGTTGTCGTACAATTGAGAATGAAAAACTTCCAGGTCACCACCTCCCACCGACGCACCAAACGGCCAGGCAAACGGCAACGGTGCTATGAAAATGGACGAAACGTCAATTTTGTGTATGGACAAGCTGTGTCGTGTGCTGTGCTCATCTTCATTCTAAGCGTCATGGAAATTCACAGCTAAGTAGTTTCGCAGAAGAAAGATCAGGCTTTTCGGATGCTGAAAAACTTGACAAGCCAAACCACGAGCACGACACAGAGTGTTTACTTACTCGAAGTAGTGCTGTTTTTCCAAATCCATACCTCGCCAGCCAGCATTTCCGAGCGGGTATGGCGCCGACGGTCTGCACGACTTTGAGAAGATAAATAACGAGCTGCTCGGAGCAGAAATAGTACAGAAATTTTTTCGAAGGGATTTTTTGTCCTGCGATTGGTGTCGCTGACATTCAGACAAATTGTCTTTGTTCTGTGAGTGCGGTAGTTCTAGAATCAATACAGGGGCAGCGCATGATGGGCATGATGTCTCAACAGACTCGAACTTGTTGCATCTAATATCAAAACCAATAAAACAGACACTGAAAGTTCCGCACCCCGAAAAAGGCGACTCGGCCTTTATACAGATGCACATGGGTCACGATGTGGCAAGGGCGAAGCACCTTCTGGCCGCGCAGTGGGGGGTGCCGTACAGCAGTTTGAAGCTCTTCATAGACGGCAAACTGATGATGGATCCCCTCTCACTGTGTGACATCGCAGCCGTAAGAGAAAACGAAGCCATGGGAATGGTGGAAATCAAGGCCGAGCTGACATCATAGAAGTGCTGTACTTTTTGGATTGAGAATTGTCACTCTGGTTTGTTGTTGCTTGAAATGAAAGACAAGCATCGCATGGAAAACTCCAACATGAAATTCCATCTTCGCGCAGAACGATTCTAGTAGTCCATGTTTATGTTTTCTCTCAGCAGGTAGAAAAGGCTGGGCCCGACGAGTAGTTTGCTGCTCCTTTTGTCTCTCATGGGAAGAATGTGGGTTCTTGAGTCACGCCGACGGTAGTTCCTTCGTGCTAGTAGACGCAAGCCTGTTCTTCTTTTGTACCAAAAATTATGCTGACTCTGCATACTAGGCACATTTTTGTGATACAGCATGTGCACGAGCGCGGCGTGGAGTGGACGCGCAGCGTCGGCTACTGGCGCTAAGGACTCACAACTTTCAGCAGCAGCTGTGCGTGTGTTGAAACTTCATCTGCGAAGATGAAAGAAGTGGTGGCACCTAAGATGAATTTCTGTATTTTTCAAGAAATCTACGACGGTCTACAACTAGAGGTGAAGCAAGCACGTTCTTGCGATGACAGATCTTGAGTGAAAGTGAATAGAAGCTGGTCGTATAGGAAAAAACTCAAGCCTGGTCGTACAACAATTTCTTCGTTGCAGAATAATTGTTTCGTTGAAAATGTCCCCCGCTCCTGTTCCGTACGACCTGCTTGCACTGGGCACGACCAAACTGGTCGTCGCCGACAACAGCGAAAGCGATACAGCAAGCCAACCGCAGTCTTTCCTGCGCTTTTCCACAAAATTAGAATGGGAGGAGACGTATCAACTGTAAAAATGTCTGGGTCTGGAAGAATCCAACTTGTCATGCTGATTTTAGATTCTAAAAAAATCTGTATTGCATGAGCAGCAAAGAGAGCCCAAGTTTTGCTACACGGAAAGAGCATTTGTCATGCGGTATAGGCATCAGGAAGCCCTCACAAAATCTGTGATGCTAGGGCATGCATCACAGACATCAGGAGTCATGCAAAATGTGCATGACAAACCTGGCACTCTTCCAGACCCAGACATTTTTACATTTGATAAGACGGGCTTAGTCAGCGCCTGTTGGCTGGAGGACGAGCACAGTACTACTTACTGCTACCGGATTATCCCACAGAAAAAGACCGACAGGTCATATTTGTAATGCAAAAATAAATACACAGGAAAATCTGTCATGGGCGAGGCCATAGCATCCTGTTTAGGGCATGCAATACAGATTTTTTTGTCTATTTATTTTTGCATTACAAATATGACCTGTCGGTCTTTTTCTGGGGGATACGGATGAATTTTATTTCTCCTCGGCTGCGGATCAGAAGCTTTTCAATGTCTTATTCACGGTATAAATGTACTTGAAAAGATAGATTACCGCATATTGCGTGCAAAGAAAGGTCCTGCAGGTAGTACGATGACAAGCCGCAAACTATGCAAGAGTCCATAATCCTAACAAACAAAACAGGTCACCTCGTCGTCGCGGCCACCTCCTCGCAACTCACCGTTCTTGACGCCAAGGATCGGTCCGTAGTCACCCAGGACGCATTCGAGGACTTCCAGTTTCGGTCTCTCACCCCCTACCGAAGCGAGCAGTTTCTGACCGCCAGCGACCGGGGTCTGCATCTCTGGGAGGCGGTGGGGGAAGTAAAAAATCATGAGCACGGAAACTTTGGAAACAACCTCGACTACCTGACGGACATCTTCGAAACCACCGCAAATGGGGGCTTCGATTTGGCCTGCGTGTCGAGCAACCAAGAGAAAACCATTGCGACGAGCACGAGGAGGAACGGGAAAGTGTGGTTATCGGGTAGTAGTTCATCCGCAACATCATCGTCGAGAGATCCCACTGGCGCCACTTTCGCTGGCGGAGGCTTTTTCCTCGAGCCTTATGGCGTAGCTGCGGGGCCTTCACAAGGTACTACTGCTTCGACCCCGGTAGTCGACACGCTGACTTTCGCGCAGAAAAAGGACTTGCTTGCGGTGGCGTGGCAGAATTGTTCCGGAAAAATGCTTGGACAGTCTTCACAGCCTTCCTCAGCTTCTACCTCATCCACCCGCACAGCGGTTTTTGACGTCACAACGGGGAAATGTGTCTACGAAACGAGTAACGATCATCTCCAAACCAGTACAATAAACCCAAAAAGCAACTACATCAACCGGAACAACAACAGCAACAACAAAAGCACGTTTCTCTCTTTCTCCCCCCACCACTCAGATCTGCTCATTTCCGCCCATGCGAACGGGGTGATACAGTTCACTGACATTAAGTATCGCAAGAAAAAAGTGTTACAGTTACACATTGTGTTGCAGGCCACGCAAGACAGACAAGTTCTGTCATGCCGGATATGCCTAGGAGCCTCGTTTACTATGTATTTTCTCGTAGGATTTCTGCATTACAAGTTTTCTCTCTCATGCTGAGAAATTTGTGTTGCTTAATTCACTACAAGTGTGGATCTGTAACACTTTTTTCGTGGGATATCAAGGTCGGCAGTTCTAGTACGCAGTCCTCTTCTAATAGTAAATCTGAAATCATAAAGTCCTTGAACACGAAGCAGAAACTCACCTCGCTCTCTTACTGCAACGACGGCATCCGCTTGGCGCTCGGGACGGAAGACAAGGGATTACTGCTTTTCGACTTGAGGAAAGCCAGCGATCCCGTGTTCCCGAAGGTTCTTATGGAGGAGCCGGTGCGGTTTGTAAAGTGGAGCGGGAGTTTTAATTTCGGTGCAGGGAAAAGTCGTAACGAGGCAGCGAGCACGTCGCAGCGGGCTCCCGCTCCTGCTCGCGATGAACAGGATGCGAGCATTGCGGGGAATTCGCCGAATCACCGGGAACGGAATTACTATGCGCGCGGAGGACAGCATCAGCAGCCGCGACAGCAAGATTCAGATTCTACTGCAGCGGTGGTCCCCAACTCCAACAATAGAACTACCAATGCATCCCGGCCTGTGATAGCCGAAGTGGCCGCCACAGCGGCTCGGCCGCAGCAGCAGTTTTACCAGCACCACCCCCCACCGCGGACGAACAACTTTATTCGGGACCAGGTGCTCAGTGAGGCTTTTGCCAGTCGTGGAGAGCAACACAAACAGTATCAGCAGCAGCACGCCAATGAGACAGCTGACTTTCCCGAAATCGATGAAACCTTTCCCGAGTATGAGCCGCCGAACCGACAAGATTTTCTCGACGACGACAACCCACTGCAGCAAAATTTCGACGAAGACAGCAATTTCGCGGGCGGGCGGTCAACGAATCATTTGTTCCACAGCAACTTCCACTCCGTGAAGAGCGATGCTAGCAGCCGCCCGGGGCCGCCACCGTTTATCGGGGGAGCAGGTGCAGTAGGCTCGGGGAGCAGTAGCAGCAGTAGTACTGGCGCAGCCGCAGGACATCATTTGAACGTAAGCGCCCCGATATCCTGGACCAGCGCGAGTCGGAAGAACAGCGGGGGAGCTGGAAATATTGCGGTGGGCAGCAGTAGTGGTGGCGGTGGCACTCAACAGAGTACTTCTGGCGCTGGCGCGACAGGAATAAATGCGAGCTCTTCAACTGTCAACCAGGGCGCGGGGAGCAATACTGTCAATAAGGAAAGAACTTTTTCTGGAGGAGGTCGAGGTAGGGAACACTTGAATGATAACCACAACCGCGTCCTCTCCTGTTCCAGAGCATCTCCAAATAGCAGCAAAGTGAACATTCCACCAGGAAACGCGAATGCCGCAAGTAGTTCATCCGGCAGTTCATCCGGCGGTGGAGCGATGAGCATTTCGCAGGAACGCCTGGAGCAGGCGTTTGCAGCCCAGCTGCAGAAGATATGGCGTTCTCAAATGTTACATTCTGAACTGTTACATGAATTTGTAATGCAAGAATGGCAAAAGTGCAAGGGGCAAGATTTCGCTTTTTGCATCACAGGTTTGACACAGATTTAGATGCTGTGTAGCCCTTCGGAAATTTGTCATGCGAAGCACCTTGATGATGTAGATACTGATGAGAGTTTTGCATGACAAATCATGTAACAGTTGAGAATGTAACATTTGAGAACTCCATAGAAGATGGAGGAGAGATTTGAGGAGAGGCTGACAAGACAGCAGCGTCATATCAAATGTAAAAAAGTCTGGGTCTGGAAGATTCTGACACTTGTCATGCACGTTTTGCATGAGCCATGATGTCTGTGATGCATACCCTAGCAATACAGATTTCTTGAGGGCTTCTTGATGCCTATTCCGCATGAGAAATGCCTTCTCAGTGTAGCAAAAATTGCATTCCCTTTGGTACTCATGCAATACAGATTTTTTTGGAATCCAAATGCAGCATCACAAGTTGCATTCTTCCAGACCCAGACATTTTTACATTTGATACGTCATTTTGACGAGCAACTGCAGCGGCTGGGGTTTGATATAGCGCGGCAATTTCACGAACTCGAGTGTGGGGTGTTGTCCAGGACATAGTCAGAAGTAAAAAGATGTCTGGAAGAAGAATGAATTTGAAGTGGACTTCATCGATACTAACACGTATCAGCGAAGCAGTGCCAACAAGTCAATGAATGACTGCCCAGAGAGTGCCGTTCTTTCCTGGCTACCGCAAGGAAAAAAAGCCGCGTTTTGTGGTATCCGGGTAGACCAGGGCCCCTGCTCAGACCAGGGCCCCTGGGACCAGGGCCCCCAGGACCAGGGCCCCTAGGACCAGGGCCCCTAGGACCAGGGCCCCTAGGACCAGGGCCCCTACGGATTGGGGCCCCTGCGGACTGAACGGCATCCCGGAATCTGGTACACGGCGCGGCGCGGCCGGAAGCGGAGATGTCTACCAGCGGATCTTCCAGTCGAAATAATCTGGGCCACCAAGTAAGTATGCATGTCATGGGACTCCTAGTATCTGGCCAGGAGGTAGAAGAAGGTAGGCCACAAGTAATATGGGACGCAGTCGGCTGACTACCCAGAGCATTTCTCTCACTTTCTAGATTCCTCGACGCGCGTCGGCGTCACAAGTTCTCAGTTGTGCAGACCCAGATCTATTTACAATGCAACGGGCATCGTTTTTTTTTGTAGTCAGCCACGTACTTGAGCTTCTCCGTCTGTCTTTTTTGGGTGGTGTCGTTGAGGAATCTTGTGCATTTTTTTCCCTTGATGATGCTTGTCTGAACGATTATTCTGTAAATCTCCGCCGCAGCTTCGATGTAGTATGGCAATTTCATTCTCGGTATTTTTTCATAGCGGCGCCATCGGTGCGTATGTGGGGTACGGAAATGCGCATTTTTTCGCGGCACCGACGACGGGCGGCGGGTTGGTGCGCAGTTGTACTGTCGCGCGATAGATATCAAGGGGAACTGCTTCGCATATTTTTCCGCCTGGAAATCCAGCTGGAAACATTCGGGAAGGAGATGCAGCCGAAGAGGAAGATGCCCTTTCAATGCATTTCCCGCTGGAAATCCAGCTCGAAACATTTGGAAAAGGCATCTGCGCTGCATTTCCGCCTGGAAATGCAGCTGAAGGCGCCTTTTCAATGCATTTCTTGCTGGAAATCCAGCTGGAATTATTTGGAAAAGACATCCGCAGCGGATTTCCACCTGGGAATGCAGCTGCAGACGCCTTGTCAGTGCATTTCTAGACGGAAATCCAGCTGGTGGAAACATTTGGAAAAGGCATCTGCAGCGCGTTCCCACCTGGAATCGCAGCTGCAGACGTCTTCTCAGTGCGTTTCTAGCGGGAAATCCAGCTGGTGAAAACATTTGGAAAAGGCAGTTGCAGCGCGTTTCCACCTGGAAACGCAACTGCAGATGCCTTTTCAACGCATTTCTAGCTGGAAATCCAGCTAGAAATGCACTCGGTAACCAAATCAAAGCAAGCTTGCTCGTGACATCACACCAGGGAGATCTTGATCTCTTCCCCCGTCCGCACCTGCGCATCCTGGGCAAAAACATGTGGGGATGTTTTTGCCCAGGTTCTGCTGCTACACATCATGTATCTAATTATTAGGTTCTGGCTTTTATAGGAATATCAATATGCGAAGCCTTTCCATGTCATACCACGCAGATCAACACTTATGCTTTGCCTGTGCCTGTACACGTGCCCTGCGCGCCAAGTAACGACAAGCAGCATGAAGAGCCCAACAACTTTCCGCCGAGTCATGAAGCCAAAAATAAAGAAGCACAGTGAGACGCCACGACCGACGGGCGCCGTTTGTATTCGAAATGTGTGTTTCCCTGCAAAAGCATTGCTCGAGCGGACCGGGATGCAGCTCAAACTGCTAACGAGAGAGATCACAAATTGCCACCATGACCGCCAAGCTTTCCTTCGTTTGTACGTAGAGCGACGCCCCAACTTCTCCAGATCCAGACACCAGATTCCGGGATGCCAGATTCCGAGACACCGTAGGGACCCCAGTCCGTAGGGGCCCCACTCCGTAGGGGCCCCAGTCCGTAGGGGCCCCAATCTGTAGGGGCCCTGGTCCCAGGGGCCCCTATTCCAGGGGCCCTTGTCCTAGGGGCCCTGGTCCCAGGGGCCCTGGTCTACACCTTTACCGCGTTTTGTGATTGCGCCTCATCCGTGTTTTTCCCGCTGTCACTTTTGCAGAGGAGCGTCGTTGTGTATGTATGCAGGAGCAACAAGTCCTGCAGGGGGCGGGGTATAGTACTCAGTCACGTCTACACGCTTCGTCTCCTCTACAATCTCGCGGCCGAAAATTAGAAAGCCAGGCTCGCTGCGTCCTGTCGTCAGCGTACAGCAAGCGGTGCTCTTAAGTATAACTAAAAGTTGAGATGAAACCGAAACTGCAAGGTGGACGAAGACAGCTTCAGAGACAAAAGTTTCGACGAGAGTTCTTCATCCAGCGTAAAAAGTCTTGTGGTTGCTTCGTTCCTCTACTTACTTACCTAGGGTGCACGCACCTCCGTGCGCCATGTTCGTCGTTGCGTCGTGTGGTAGGTAGAAAAAGTGGAGCAGTTTCAAAGAGTTTGCGTGTTTATTTGTATCATTTTCGACGACAATCACTTTCAAAACGACCATCAACTCCCACTAGGCGATCGCCCATCGCCCTACGAGATGAATCTATCATGAGGTTGCGAAGCGTGTGGTCTTACCCACAATGTAGTTGTACAACTACGAGCTGGAAGTAGTAGATCTAGCGCGACAAGAACATCTTCAGGCCGCTCCGGCGCAGCGGAGCTAGCCGCGACAGCGGGTTGGAACAGGCGGCATTCCTTCGCCGATTGACATTGATAAAATCGTCATGGTCGACTCGCAGGATCGGGTCTTGCTCAAGGTCTCGGTCGAGCTGGCCGAGGGGGTGACAGAGCTGCTCTACGTCAAGCAAGCTGATTTAAACGCAAAGGACGGCATACGAAAGTTGGCGGAGGAGTATCCTTTGTCGCTTTTATTTGCATAGCATGATTCTATGAGTATGATCGCGCTGTTGAATAATAATCAACCACGGTGCTCACTGCTCCGTCTTCGAGGAGAAGATAAACGCGAGATACAAAATCAAAAAAGGTTTTGTCGCGCCCAGAATCTGGACCTCACCCGCGTCCGTGCACCGTTGGAGGCACACATACGCGAAAATGAAGCTCCAGGCTGGGCCTGCAAATTACAAGTGGGGCAGCCGCTCACAGTTAGGGGCCCGAGGCCGGTGCAGGAACTCACTGGCAGCCAGGCTCGAGGCGGTGCAGCGCTTTGGCTGCTTTGGGAGTTCTGCGCCCTTCTCAGGTGAGCCGGCTCCGCGGCTGCGCCGGGCGTGGCATGCGCTTCGTCGCCGGGTGAAGTTTATATATATGCGGCGGCGCTGCTTTTGTTCTCTCTTGGCAGGCGCTAGGCCGGGGCCCTGCGTGATGGCATAGCGAATGTTTATCGCGGTCCGTGCCTGCGCCGACTATGAGAGAGACGCCGCAGCTGCCGCGGCCGCGCAGCAAGGTGCCTCGCCGTCTTCACGTTGAAGCGTGGGCGCGAAAGTCGCGCCGCGTTCTTTCTCTTCACCAAGCTGCGTCGTGCCATCGGTGCAAATTCAGAACCGACGGCATGGCCTCCGTTGCTTGTTGCTAGTACGTATCGGAGCCGTTTCTCCGCCGGCGCCCGTGTATTTGCTGCCCTTGGCGGCACGCAAAAGCCGGCCGTCATCGGATTTAAGTGAGCCGGGCCCCCCGGCCCGTCGATGCCGCGACGCCTTCGCGGCAGGCGGGCAAGGTCGGGGCACAGAGCTGGGCTCGCACCAGGCGGGGGATGACAGTCCAAACAAACCTGCTCTACGTTATGGCCCCGACCCTCTTCAAGCCAGCGTCGCGCTCCGGCCGAGGCAAGAGCGCTCGACGACCAAAACGCGTGGGCGCTCGTGGCCAGACGGGAAGAGTGGTTTCATGCGTCCAGCAACCATGGAAACTAAGCACCTGGGGCCCCCAAAGCGCCCGGCCATTGTCGGCCTTTCCCATCTTCAGCACTGCTCGCATAATGTGCGCAGTGAACACTGCCACACTCTGCGAAAAGCTGCGCCATTTTTTCGGTCCGTTAAAAAAAAACCCCGTTCCGCGAGGGTGTTCTGCGATTTTTCTTTGGTAGGTGATCACTGTCGGCGATCACCGTTTTTCCTTCTATACTTTGTTTCTTTGCAGAGCATGAAGATGCTATGATCGCACTGTGGAATGAAAAGAAACCACGTGGCTCCGTCTTCGAGGAGAAAATAAACGCGGGATACGAAAATCAAAATAGGTTCTGCCGCGCCCAGAATCTGGACCTCACCCGCGTCCGTGCACCGTTGGAGGCGCACATACGCGAAAATGTCGCCGCTGCACAGTTGGAAGAAAAACAGCAGCGGGCATCGTATGAGGAGAAAAACTTGCAATATAATTTTAGAAGATTATCGGACTGTCGTTGCCAGCAAAAGTACTAAGAATTTTTTTTGGGTTTCTGACCCAAATCTTTTGTAGCCTTCACGCAAAATTGAATGTTTTCTGTATGAGCATGACTTTTCTGTAGCGAGAAGTTGATCTTAGCATGCGGATTGGCGACAAATCTGTGCAGAAAAGATCCTTCTTTTTGTTAGAGTTTTCTTCTTAAATTCATAATGCGTCGAGCTCCGGCGGAGCGGGGAACAGAAGGTCGGTTGAAAATAGCATGCAGTACCAGCCTCTGGCGGGCGGCCTGGAGCGAATACTGGACCGGATCTCGGTCGGAGAGACGAAAAGGGTATAGGTATTTTTTGCCGGGGGATTATACTAGTTGCGGGTTACCGCAGCAGTACAACTAGGGAATCATTCAAGATTCCTTTTTTATCTTGCATTCAAAACCGAAACCGTTTTTCAGGCAACCTCCTCCACTAATCCATCGTTCCTGGACCAGCCACCTAAATCAGCGCGCAGAAGCACCACAGGAAATTACAATACGAACCAGTACGTCGATTCCGACCCCGATCCGGGCGGCGGGGGCGACAGTACTAACAATGTTGCAACCTCCGCTTCTATGCAAGAAAAAAACTGTGTAAGCGTAAGTTTGTGATGCAGAAAATGCAAAGCCGCTACATTTGTCATGCAGGAAGTGGGTCATAGCCACACTTCACGCGTGTTTTTACGTACTAGCTGCGCATAATGTAATGCGAAACGAATTTGTGATGCTGCTCATCCTACACAGCTACACCTACACAAAATTTTTGTTGGATAGCTTCCTCGCGGCAAAAGATGCAGCAGCAGATCCTGCAAAAGCTGAAGTCCGGGCGGTCCCGGTCCCACGTCTTCCGGAGACTGCACCAAGACGGCGCGGAGCGGGCGCTGCGGATTGACATTCAACGGAAAAACGAGCAACGCGCGCGGGAAGACCGGGCGAAGAGTCCGCGGGAGAGAAAAAAGAAAATGAATGGCGAGTTCGCTGGGGGAACAGGAGGGGGAGCAACAACGTCTTCTAATCTCTTCCACTCCGTTGTGCGTCAAAGCGATAGAAGTATCCATCCACTCGAAAAGCTGTACCGCGACGCGCAGGACAAGCGCGCCCGACTGGAGCGGCGGGCACAGCAGAAGGAAGAGCTGCTGAATCTCGAATTGGCCCAGTACCCCTTCAAGCCACAGATTCACGCCTCGCAGAAAACGGTTGCCGGGTTGGAGAGCGGGGGGAAGGTGTCACTGAAAACGCGGGAAAAGATCGAGCAATTGCGGCAACAGAAAATGCTAAAGGAGCTGCAGGATTGCACTTTCAAGCCCGAGATTGACGAGAGAAGCGCGTATTTTTAGGTTTTTTTTTCGAACTACTGCTTGTGAAGAATCTTGATGATTAGTACTCATGCGAAGACTGAATTGTTACTGTGCCCCTTAATTGTCAATCATGCAACTCACCCAGCAGCACCACTCTGCAGGTTGATGATGAAGAGGCGAATAGAGCGGCTGAAAATTACGGGGTCACTTATCCACCGCAAATCAAAATTATCGTACTTCTGATGAACCACGTAGACATTGTTTGCAGACGCAGATCTGCATGACAAAGAACCTCTCTGTGATGCAGTGACGCTTGTCAATATCATCCACGAAGGCGATATAATTTTTTTTGCTTTCCATACTCGTCCATGACCATCTGTACGAGGACGCCAAGCGACGGGAAGAGCGCATGTACGAATACGCAAACCTCGTTTCGCCTGAGGTCACCTTCAAACCCGATATCGGGACGGTATAACAGTGGATACAAGTCGTTTAGCATGCACGATGATCTAAGTACATTGGTGCGTTGCTTTTGCTGTATCGTATGCGGTGTTGAATTCTGCATCACAAAAAATATCTCATGCCTAGGGACAATGATTATTCTTGATAAAGTCCACAAAGAAGAACACGATATAAAAACCCAGCAGCTCATATATTAATTCTCCCACCACAGCACAAGGATCGGCCCCCGCCAGACGCGAATGTCGCGGACTTTTTCGATCGCATGATGAAGCAGAAGTCTAGCGGACAGCTACAAACGCGTGAATACGCGCACCAGAAGCTCGGAATCAAGATCAAACAGGACCCCATGGAAAATTGTTCGTTCCAGCCCCAGGTCGGCCGGCCACCCCACTTCCCGCGGAACGAGGACAAAAAACCGATTGGCCACTTCCTGTACGAAGTCGGGCAGTACGTCCGGAACTTAAAAGAGGAAATCGTCGAAGCGAAGCTGCAGGAGGAAGAAAGAAAACGCGTGCCCGTGATGAGCGAGGTGTCGAAGCTAGTGTATGAAGAGAAGAAAAAGAAAAAGTTCAAGGTATAAAAATAGCACGCATGCTTTGATGAGAAACTGTTGTCATACATTCACACGTCGAAGAATTTCAGTTTGTCTTGCGCCGAGCAGCACTTCCTAAACAACGAAATCTAAAAGTAAAACGAACTATCAGGAAATCTTCGAGAAACTCTCCGACGGGAATTCGGAAATTAGTCAGGAAGTCTTCCACCTGGATATCGTAAGGAAATATCCCCCCTCCCCATATTGAAAACACATTCGTCTGAAAATTTGTGATGCAGATTTGAGGTCACAAATCCTGTCTGTCTTGCAAGAAGGAAAAGCCAGAGAGTCCGCCGCATTATGCCGGCGGTTTGTGATGCTGTTGGGCTTACAGAGCCGACATCTGTCATGCTAGTCCCCTACGTCAAAACCTCTCGACCCAGGCTTGGCATATGCCTGCAGTCCCCTCCAGCAAGACAGACTTGATTTGTCTACGCAAATCCAGCATCAGAAACTTCGTTTCGATATGGGGAGGGGGGGTTTTTCCTTTTGATACTGGACCAGATACCCCTCGAGTTTCACGAGTTCCTTCGGCCCATACTGGCGTACTTGGAGGAGACGAATGGAAAGTTTGATTTCCATGGCTTCAGCATCACGATGGATTATGTTTTGGAAAAGACCGGCGTGCCCTGCTCGCATTTGTTTTCCGCCGTGGAAAAAAGAGAAAAGGAGGAACTGCTCGGAAACACAGCGGCTTACGGGTCGGTGATGTCGCAAAAGTATTGGGAGGAATTTGAAAGATATTATCTTGTCATGCAGGAGAGCCAGCATGGAAATGGATGTTTTCTGTTGTAGTGATGCTATGCAACTTCAGAAGTATAAAATCTAAATCATGAACTATCAGAGCGACTCCTCGTGGCCCCTACGACCCGACGGCTGCGCACACCTACACGCCCAGAATAAATCCCAACTCCACGAAGATTTTGGAAGAGAAAGGCCGCTTACAGTCCAACGTGCCGGTGCACGAAAGGTTGTGGAGCACGCATGAGAAATACCAGCAGCGGACGGAGTTGCGAAGACAGCAGTTGTATGCATTGCAAATATGTCTGGGTCTGGAAGAGTTGGAACTTGTCATGCGGATTCTGGAGTAGGTATGAAGTTTATGTTGTATGAGCACCAAAAGCTTTCCATTTCTTGCTACGCAAATAGGGAGTTTCTCATGCGGGATAGGCATCAGGAGGCCAGCGCAAAACCTGTAATGCTTTTCGTTCGTCAGAGAGCATTTGTGTGATCGAGAGGATGCATGGCAAACATCTGCACTCATCCAGACCCAGACATATCTGCACTTGATAAGTTGGCGGAACAGGAAATGTTGGAATGTACCTTCACGCCGAATCGGTTGAATCAGGGTACAAACTACTTTTGAGCTGTTGTCCTTGAGTTTTGAATGACAGATCTTTTTCGCATTTGGTTTTCGCATGAGAAATTCCGTGCAACAAGTTCAGTTGCGCATTTCCGTTTTGCATTACAAAGCGACGAAAGCTGCATCCCAGGTGCCAAGCAGACCCCCCGCGGCGGCCCAGTAGCGGTAGCCGGGGCAGCTAAAAATACAACTATCCCGGCAAGTACAACGAAATTCGCTCCTGCCTCCCGTACAGCCGCGCCGAAGGGTGCCACGGCACGAAGATTGTCGGATAACGCGGAAGTCGACGCCGCACTGGAGGGTGCGGAAACGGCCGTGAAAAACGCAACAGCAGCGGTGGAGCGGGTCAAGAAGACGTCGAGCTGAAGAACAGGTGTCAGCGGAATTCTGAAAACCGATGCAGGGGGCGAGAAAAGTGACGGCGCTTCAGCTACTAGTGTATCCTAACGATTCATCACATGCAACAGACTACCGTAGTTATCCATCGCGAGCACGCAAAATTAGGTTTTATCGCAAGAAGGCGAATTCAGAAAGAGTAGGTTTATCGCATTTATGTCAAAGAGATTGACGAGACCAAACCAGTTGGCTCCACTTAAAGTTAAAACAATTACAGCCCAAGAGGCATAGTTTTCAAGAGGAATCTTCATCGCGCGGTAGGCTCAACAGTCGCTTTACAGATTAGAATGCAGAGAATAGTTGTGCCGAAAAGGTATTAAACTAGTAAACTGGGATGATTTTTTGTCAGCAATCCCAGCTAATGTACACTTCACATGAGCGCTTGTGATTTACAATTGGTGATAGAGCAGGAACTTTACTTGAAATTGAAATGCACCTTGTATCAAAACGAAAACGCGTGGACTTCTGCGTCAACAGTACTGCAAGCAGAGCATCGACCCGTTTTGCCGTCTTTTGAACAAACGAAACGAACCCGATGAACAACCCCCCTTTGAAAGGTTTTATTTGTTTCCGCGAAGCTACATCAACACTGGGCGTACATACAGGCGTCGCTTTCCGTACAAGCGTTGCTAACTTAGTAGTAGAGCAGCCCGTAGAGCGTCGATTTGCGCCTCTGCGTGTCATGACAGAATAAAACACGTGATCTGCTTCCGTGTTCTGCTTGTATTTAGCTAGTCGGTCGGACTGAAGACAGCGACTTTGAAGATGGCCTGTGCAGCTTTAGCTTTTTTTTCCTTTGCGACCGACAGCGACAGGTTTAGGGATCGCCTGCATTGCTCTCATTGTGGCAGAATGACGCACTGCGCTGTACTTTCCGTAGTTCCCTCCAGGCTGAGCCTGAGTATCTGTTTTTTTTCGATCGGACAGATGATGCTTCCCTTAGTCTTACGTGCACATAAAAAACATGGTGGCGAGCGTTGCCAGTGCTACTAGAATTCGTCCTCCACGACCTCGGGCAGCGGGGCGCTCAGTTTTATTGCTCGCATTCACTTCCGATCTACTGCCTCGACTTCTAACCGCATCCGCAACCGCGTCGCCAGAGACAGAGGCAGGACAGACCACACTTCCGCTGCCTGTCAACAAGAATCGTCCTAGCGCTACTGACGAGGACTTCGCGAAAGCGACGGAAACACTCGCTGATTGTTGGAAACAACTGTCACTCGACGAGCGTCTGGAGCACGCGGAACGACCCGACCCGGTGTTTTTCTCGTGGGCGCTCGAGTGCTTGGTGTATGGGAATAGCAGCGCGGATGCCACCTACACGGGTTTGCTGAAAAATGAGAAACGACGAAACGAGTCTGATGTCAAGAGTGCGCCATTTGTTGATGTGAAAACGAGAATCGAGGAAATAAATCACAAAACTGGAAGTGAAAGAAATGCGCACGGCCCATTGAACATGGCAGATCTGTAATGTCAAAGCTGGGCCCAGTTCTCCGAAGTGCTTACGCTTACCTAGGCTTCGAAGTAGACAAGAGAAAGTGGAAGTGTCGTTTGCACGGATTTTGTGACGTGTTCCCATTCCTGATCCTGTTTGAAGGAGCGCGCAATATTAGTGGTTAGCGAAGCGTAAAGACAACGAGCACAGCTGCGGAGCATATTCTCTCTCGCAGCTTTCTCCGTCGATGTCTCTGGTCGGCCGCGCCAGGCCCCGGGGCTGTGGGCTGCCTCCCGGGCCGCGCGGGCCATTTCAGCGGCCCAGGCGCCCGCTGCCGGCCCCCACGCTCCTGGGGCGGGCCGCACCACAGAGCCCCGCGCGCTGGAGCTATGGGGTGCACAGGGCTTCCCGGGTTACCTGCTTGCGCGGCGCCGCACCCGCATCGCGGACATACTAGCTGGCTCCGGCGGGCTGGGCCAACCAAGGGCGCGCCGACCCGGGGGGGGGCGCGCGCACAGGCCCCGCGTGCCGCCCGCGGCGGGACCCACCGGGCCGCCGGCCCCCTGGCAAAGGCCGCCCCAAGTTGCGTCGAAAGCGAGCAGGCGCCCGGCAGATTCAGCCCGCGCAGGCGGCACGCCGGCCGCCGGGGGCCTTTCTGGCGCCTGGTTTCGCAGATTGATTGACTGCCGCGCGGGCCCAGGGGCCCGCCGGCTAGTTTTTATGCTTTTGCCAAAACCGGGGTCGGTACATGCTTCCGGCAAAGCATCGGGGTTCCGATGGGTCTCAGCAGTGCTAACGCCGTCACCGTTTGTGTGTTATGCAGCCTAGAGGCCCAGCGCTTGAAAAGCTTGCGCGCCTCGGAAAGAATAAAGTAAGCACGGAGGCGCCTGCCGCGCTGTCGGCGATATTGCCTCCGGGAATACGGATCTCGCCCACCGGTGGAAAGAAATCTACAGGGGCACCGGATTAGCGTCGGAGACAGAAAGCGCGGCTTTATCAAAACCGGGGCCGGCGCCAAAGTAATGGGGTGGGCGGCCGGTCTTTCGGCTTTTCCCGACCGAGGCTGGTGGCCCGTCGGGCTTTGTTTCGTTGCCCGGGATTCTGGACGTTGCGACTCCGCGGACTGTTTTGCCGCGGTCTTCGCGATCCGGGAGAGCGTCGCGGGTGTAGCCCCCCAGAAAGTGGCCCCCGCGGCTGCCGAAGCGGCTTTCAGGATCTCCAAGCAGGTGCGTAGCGCCATGACTCGTCTGGTGCAGTGTTTTTGATGTTACTAGGCACTTTGTCAAGCATGGCGCAGGCAGCTCCAATCAACTCCGAAGATTTAGGATGGCAGCAGTGGGAGAGCGGCCCCGGGCCTGCGCAGGTTGGAACGCCGCAGGCGTTGCGCAAGCTTAGCCGCAGAGCTGGCCTGGCGGTGGTTGGTAGGCGGCGCGCGAAGTAGAGCAACAGTGATGGGCGGCTTGGGCCCTGCAGCGCCAAGGCCCGCGTCTTCTTGCCCGCCCGCGCCTAAGGGCGGGGCCGCCTTTTTTTGCCCTTGCCTGCGCGCATTTATGCGCCGCCCTCCGGCGGCGAGGGGCGGGGCAGGGCCCGAAGATAGGGCGCGTGCGCTGATAATGCCGGCAAGCGAACGCAGCCGCTGGGTGCCCTGCGATCGAAGTGTGCAGGCGGACGAGAAGACGCGCACCCCGGCGACAGCCCGAGCGCCCTGATTTGGGCCCCGCGCTGTGCAGCCCCTCGCGGGGCGCGCTAGCTTCGCCGCGGCGCATACCTGCGTGCGTGGCTCCCCTGCCGCCCCGGCGCGCGCTTCTTTTGCTCGCTCCGCCCGAGCCCCCTTGGCGCCCTTCATTCGGGGCCTTTGTCCGCAGGCATGCGCGCTGTTGCCGCTCGGGTGCCGATACGTAGCTCGTTGGCGCCCGTGTTGGTGCCCCTGTGGCACTCTTCGTTCTGTGGCATTACAGATCTGGAGGCTCCCGGCGCCCTGTCCGCCGGTCTGAAGGTTGCTTCTTTTGGATGGCGGAGGCCCGTCCTTGCTTGGCGCTGGCCATGTCGCAGCCTCGATAGGTCCGTTGGTCAGGGCGCTGCCTGTCCAGGGACTGTCATTCTCCGGACGGCGGGTCGGGTGCTGAGTGAGACAAAAAGTGCCTGTCGAAATGATATACAGCCTGTCGCAGTTCAATGCTTTTCTGTGGTGATCCCGTCCTTTGCAGATGGTGTTCTTTCTATGTTGTCATCACTTGTTTTTCACGTGTGGGTAGTGTCGCCGGCACGGGCTTTGTAGGACTAAAAGCCAGCGAGCTTGCAAGAGTGTGTGTGCCTTGTTGTTGAATGAGAGCTTCGCCAGAGAGACACGCATCCACACCGCAAAAAGAATTCAATCCACCATCGAGACCAGAAGATGTTCTAGAACTGAAACTGTGCCAGCTCTTTCTCAAAATGAAGTGAAGTCCTTTGATTCGTTGACCTCCTTACTCCGACGACGGACCCATAATTCTTTGCAGCAATGCGAGATACTACCACGGCGAAACGTCTTGTGGCGTGGAGGGGGTGTAATTGTCTCTTCCAGATGGACCGCTAGGAGGCCGCGAAGCTGTCGCTCCAGTACTAGTGCACGTTGCATGGGACCGGCTACTAGCCACTGTGCTACCAATACATGGAATGTAAGAAAGTAAGCATTCTGGCGCGGAACCGAACCAGAAGTAGCAGAAGTACATAGGAGGTGTGCGCGAACGAAAACACTGCTGAACACTGCTTGTTTATTGCACCGCCAGCACGTGCTGGAATTCACATTCAGCAGAGGCGATCAGCAGCACTCTCACGGAAGCAAGCACCTAAAACCAACGGCACACTGCAACAACATCGGGATAAAAAAGACCATACAACACCGCCGAACTCACTACGAAAAAGATGCAGCTCCGTTACGTGAAGAACCTGCAGGCGCCGGCCGACGGCATGCAGAAGATCACGGCGGCTGCGTGGAGCGCGAACTCACACAAAGTCGCGGTAGTTTCCACCGACCGGATCGTGCACCTGTACGACGAGCAGGGCGAGAAGCAGGACCGGTTCTCCACAAAACCCGGGGATAAGGAAACCAAGCTGTTTGTCGTCAAGGCGCTGGACTTCTCGCCTTGTAGCACGAAATTGGCAATCGCGCAGTCGGATAACATCGTGTTTGTTTACAAACTGGGAACAGAGTGGAAGGAGAGGAAAAGCATATGTACTGTAAACTGAAATTTGTTTTGCGACCTGGAAATAAATTTTATTGGTCTCTCTCTCTTGCATTTTTATTTTTTCATTTTTCCACTGTACAGGTTTCACTTCATAATTCCACTCAACATCGACATTTTTATCCATAACTACGAAAGAACCGATCACTGAAAGGTAACAAATTTCCCCAAACCTCCTGCGTCACCTGTCTGACCTGGCCGTCCAAGCACCCGAATGAAATCGTGTTCGGCCTCGCGGAGGGCCGGGTGAAGGTCGGGCAGTTGAAAGCGAATAAGGCAGCGCTGCTCTACGCCACGGACTCGTTCGTAATGTGCATGACGAGCGGCCCGGACGGCAACTCCGTTTTGTCCGGACACCTAGACGGGTCGATTCACAAGTTCATGTTCGAGACGGAAAATTCCGGGCCTATCACGCAGAAATTTTGCCGGGTGCCGAACTGCAGCATCAGTTGCATCGGCTGGGGTTCCGCGGGCATCTGTGCTGCGGGGAACGATTCCATGGTGCGGTTTTGGACGGCCGAGGGTAGGGACGCGAAGACCTTTGACTACAACAATCTGAAGGGCGTCAAGGAGTTTTCCTGTTTGAAATTCAACCCGTCCGGGGAGTCCGTCGTGCTCGGGAATTTCAACCGATACTTCGTCTACGCGTGGCATGGTATGGTTTTTAGGTCGGATTTTAATTTTTCTGGGAGTGAGCACTCGAATGACAAGGTCGTTTCGGAAACTGATCATGGAATTAGAATACTATTGCATGGAGTAAGAGCATGACTAGGCCTTTTATGTTGTAACTCTCTTAGGCCTAATATGATGGAAATTGTATTGCATGTTGTATGAATGACATGACCATGAGCATGACCATGAAATCGCAACACAGCCCGCAATCGCGAGTGGAGCGAAGTCGCCGTGAAGGAGGTGCCGAATCTTTACACGATTACGTCGCTGTATGGAAGGGAAATCGACAAGGTTCTTCTGGTTGCGACGGGCTCTATGCATGACCACAACCTGCATTTGCAATGCGAATTTTTGCATGATGAGAAGATTTTTTCCACCATGCGCTGAGTACAACATATTGCACTGTCTGTTGAAGATTTAGATTTTCCTCTCCACATTCCCTGCTGGCGCTCAGACGGGAGTCGCCTCGTGATGGGCACGCTGTGCGGTAGCGTCGAGCTCTTCGATGCCTGCATTAAGAGGGCAAGGTATGATAGGTGTGTTGCAACTGCTCATGCACAAGAGAAACGGCCGTAGGGAGTTGTGGAAAGATGATCGGCATTCTTACAATTGAATACTTAGCAATTATAGGAGAGTGGAGAGTGCTGAGCACAAGCTCAAGCACTCGTCAATCCATCGACAAACAAATCTCACGACCATCAGGTATAAAGGCGAGTACGAGTTCACCTACATCTCGTTATCCCAGGTCATCGTGAAAAACCTCACCTCCGGTTCCCGGATAGTGCTAAAATCCAACGTGGGCTTTGAGATCAAAAAGATCAACGTGTTTCAAGAACGCTATCTCGTCGCGCACACGCCGGAGTCGTTACTTTTGGGCGATCTCATCACCTGCAAGCTGTCCGAGATTCCGTGGCAGTGGAGTGGCAACATGTCGACCGGCGGGAAATCCGACGAAAAGTATTTCTTCGACAGTATGCCAAGGAAAAACGTCCCCACTCCAGAGTCAAGCTGGGGACTTTGCAACAGAAATGCTGTAGTTTTGGGAGTCACGCATGGCAAGTTGCACTCGGTTGTAGCGTAGTGCAGGTTAGCAAGGACAGTAGCATTACAAATTCATCTGCTTATCCTGTTTACAGCATTACGAATTCCAAAAACACGAGCGCAAATTTGTCTATCATGGGGATGCTCATCACAAATGTTCCTGTCATTGGAAATCTGCATGACAAACCTGGGGTTGTTCGGACGTTTATTTTCCTTTGGATAGACAACCCGCAGGTCTGCATGATCTTCAAAGCCGGGGAGTTGTCCATCGTTGAGTACGGGCAGAACGAGGTATTGGGCTACGCCCGGACGGAGCACGTGTCGCCGCATTTGATATCCATTCAGGTGGACACGGAGAACGTGCTGAACGATCAGAGTAGTCTCATGATCACGGAGGGAGAGGAGCAGAAAACGCCAACGCGTGTGATCGCCTATTTACTCGACGTACAGACGATACGGCTGATCAATCTGACCACCCAGCAGATCCTTGCGACGATCAATCACGACTTGAAAATCGACTGGCTGGAGTTGAATCCGAGTGCGACGCGGGTGCTGTTCCGGGATAAACGAAGACAACTCCACTTGTACAACGTGGAGACGCAGACCAGGGTCTCTCTTCTCAACTACTGTAACTACGTGCATTGGGTCCCGGGGTCGGACGTGGTTGTGGCGCAGAACCGGAACCAGCTTTGTGTCTGGTACTCGATTCTCGAAAATACCGACCGGGTCACCGTGCATGAAATCAAGGGGGACGTGGAGGATATTGAGCGGTCGAACGGCCGGACCTTTGTTACGGTCGATGAAGGGGTGAACACGGTGGAGTACGAATTAGACGAGGCTTTGATTAACTTCGGGTCTTGCCTTCACAGAAAACAGTACGGCAAAGCGGTGGACATTTTGGAGGAATTACCTCTGACTCCAGAAACAGAAGCCATGTGGCGGTCTTTGGCAAAAGTCGCTATGGACGATCTAGACGCGTTGCCGGTGGTGGAGCAGTGCTACGCGGTGCTCGGCGACGTCGCAAAAGCGCGGTACATCCACAACTTAAACCAAATCCGGCTGGACCAGGGGGAGAATTCCGTCATGGTGCAGGCGAAGATGGCCATGCTGAACAAGCAGTACACGCGTGCGGAAGCGATTCTGCTCGACGCGAACCAGTTAGAAGAAGCGATGGGGATGTACCAGGAGCTGCACAAGTACGACGAGTCCATTCGATATGCATTGCAAAAAGGTCTGGGTCTGGATTTGTTTTTGTAATGCAAGACTCCGAGGACAACAAAATCTGTAGTGCATGAACGCGATAATTGGCCAATGTTTTTGTCGCGCTGGAAGCCAGTCTGTCATGCTGCTCACGAATGAATTTACAGTACAAGAAACCTCGCCGAACTTGTGATGCTGTTGCGCTGTACAAGGAGCTCCTTTGCGATTCGAGTATCAGCAACACAGGTTCAATATTCCAGACCGAGACGAATTTGCACTGCATATCCGACTCGCGGAGAAGAAGGGCCACCCGAACGTGATGCAGCTGAAAAACCACTACTTGCAGTGGCTTCTCTCCACCTATGGGGTGTTCAAACGTTACATTCTCAACTGTTACATGATTTGTCATGCAAAAGTACCTTAAGCCGGCAGATGATCGAGCTGCTTCGCATGACAAATTTCGGAAGGGCTAGACAGCATCTAAATCTGCACCAAACTTGTAATGCAAAAGGCGCAGTCTTCCTCCTTTCCCTTTTGCCAGTCTTGCATTACAAATTCATTTTTGAACTGTTGAGAATGTAAAATTCGAGAACTCCATACCACCCAACAGGAGGAACGCGCCGGGGAGCTGCAGGAAAGAGAGGGGAACTACGCCCGGGCGATCGAACTGTATTTGAAGGGCGGTATGGCTGCGAAGGCGGCGAGTTTGGTGCAGCGATTTTCCATATCAAATGCAAAAATGTCTGGGTCTGGAAGAATACAAACTTGTGATGCGCATTTCAGCACACAGAAAAATCTCTGATGCATAGGTAGCAAAAGCTGCCCACTTTCTGTCACCAAAGTGGGGGATTTGTCATGCGGATTCGGCATTGCGGAAGCTTTTCGAAACCTGTGATGCTAGAGCTTCCATGCCAAACCTTCTGTGTCATGCAAAAACAGCATGACTCTTGTCTTCCAGACCCAGACATTTTTACATTTGATTTTCCAATTTCAACTACACCCAGGAGTTACTGCAGCGGATTGCGACGGCGTTGGAGCAGAGCGGGGTAAGTCAGAAGGCGGGGGCGCTTTACGAACGAATGGGGATGATGGATAGAGCGATGGGAGCTTACATTCAAGGTATTGGAGATAGTGGATTTTGTTTATAGGTGGAGTTTGTCATGCGGAGTCGCAGATTAGAGTTTGTGTTTGTGATGCAGAAATTGAATTTTGGATTGTTAAGGTAACGCTTTCCGACAAGCTGTGGAGTTGGCGAAGCAAGTACAGCCGTCGCTGGTTATGCGGATGAGAATGTTGTTTGTCATTCGACGTAGATTCCAAAAATACTGCTATGTGCCGCTTCAAGTTCAACTTTGGTTTGCATGACACGTTTGACAAACCGTCTTTGCCAATCTAACTTTCCATGACAAACAACTTCTCATCCTTTCCATACCCCTGATCCAATTAGAAGAGCAGTGGGGCGACTACCTGGTCTCGCAAAAACAAACCGACGCGGCCATCCACCACTACATCGAGGCGGGCTGCAGTCTCAAGGCCATCGATTCCGCGATGAACGCGCGGCAGTGGCACAAGGCGGAGCAATTACTAGAGTCAACTCACGGCGGGGACGCGAGTGTGTGTTTGCCTTTCTACGAGAAACTCGCCGGGTTCTACGAGAAATCCAGGCAGTTTCCGGAGGCGGAGCGGAGTTACCTGAAGTCTGGGAAACCGCAGAAGGCCGTGCAGATGTTATCAAGTGCAAAAATGTCTGGGTCTGGAAGAATGCATGTTTGTCATGCTTGTATGGCATGACTCTTAAATCTGTCATGCGCGCTACCCAAGAGCTCCATTTTTCTGTAATGCAGAAACGCGCTTTGTCATGCAGAATAGGCAACACCTAGAAGCTCAGAAACTTGTCATGCTGAGCCAGCATGTGTGGCCTCATCATGAGACGCCACCCAGCATCACAAGTTTCCAGACCCAGACATTTTTACATTTGATAGATGTACGTGGAGCACCAAATGTTTGATAAAGCTTATCGGGTTTCTTCCAATATTGTGAGAAAAAATCCCCCCTCCCCATATCGAAAACGGAATTTGTGTTGCTGTATTTGAGTACACAAATCGACTTGTATTGATACAGGGCCACGAGACGCAGTTGCTCCCTCGTTTGTAGGCAATTTGTCATGCTGTTTCCCGTTTCCAGTTGCTTCCTGTCATGCTGAAGACGCTAGGCTTTCCTACGCCAGCGAGGACTACAGAACGCATCTCTTCCCTTCTAGCATGAAAAAAGGACTTGTGGTCACGAATCATGCTACACAAATCTCCGGTTTGGTATGGGGAGGGGGGATTTTTCCTTTTGATATCCAAAGAGCTGTCGCAGCGGGAGAGAACGGATCTGTATCTGCAACTCGCGGAGAAACAAGAGAAGCTAAACAAGCTTTCCGACGCGGAGCAACTGTATTTGGCGGTCAACGAATCGGACCTGGCGATCAACATGTACAAGAAGCGGGATATGAAATGCAAAAGCATCGTACTAGTAGAAATCGCATGACAAATTCCCACAGCATGAAAAATGAACTTTGTGATGCGGATTGAGGTTAAGAAGGAGATTTGTAATGCATGACTGGGATTACTACGAGTACGATGCTTTGGCACAGGATACGGGAAGAGTACGAGCAAATGCTCCGGTTGGTGTCGAAGTTCCGGAAGGAATTGTTGATTGACACCTACTATCAAATGCAAAAGTGTCTGGGTCTGGAAGAGTGCAAACTTGTCATGCGCATTTTCGATGCCACATGAGGTCTGCAATGCAGGACCTAGCATGACAGGTTCTGCGAAGACTCTATGATGTCTATCCTGCATGACAAGCTGCCGCTAAACTTGTTTAAACGTGGAAAGCTTTTGGTAATCACGCAACACAATTTTTTGTACTATCCAGACTTAGCATGACAAGTTCCATCCTTCCAGACCCAGACATTTTTGCATTTGATACCTACAAGCACATCGCGAGCCAGTATGAGGCGAAGGGGAACTTGAAACGCGCGGAACACTATTTTGTCGAGGCAAAGTGCTGGACCAACGCCGTGTCCATGTACCGGCAGATTGAAAATTGGGATGACGCGAAGCGGGTGGCCAAGCAGCACGGTGGCAAGCAGGCGTTTGAAAAGGTGGTATTAGCGCAGGCACACACCGTGTTCAAAGAATCCGGGGCGGAAGCGGGGGCGCAGCTGCTGGCGAAGCACGGGCTGACGGAAATCGCAATCGACTACGCACTATGCATTGCAAAAGTATCGTACTATTACAAATCGCATGACAAGTTTTTCCTTTAGAAAAAAAAGGAATTTGTCATGCAGATTCAGGTAAGAATAAGAAAACACATGATCTGTAATGCTAGACTCGCATTTGTACGAGTGCGATGCTTTTACACTGCATACGCAGTGGAGCACAACAACTTCGAGCACGCGTTTGAGCTCGCCACGATGGCGGGGATGGAGGGCAAGGTGATACGGATTTGCTTTGCATAGCTGCGTTTCAGTGTGTGACAGACTACATCAGTGTAGTGTGATGCAGAAAAGTATGCACGAGAAGTAGCTTTCATCTAACACCACAATACAGGTCCAAGAAATCCATCTGAAACGAGCGCTGGCTTTCGAGGATGAGGAATTGTTCGAGAAGGCTGAACAGGAGTTCCTCCTAGCGAAAAAACCGAAAGAAGCCATCGACATGTACGTGCATCAAAGAGATTATGGGAGTGTCAGGATCGAAATCGTCAAAGTCGACAAATTTGGGATGCATAAAATGTAGCGCACGCAAGGCCTGTATTGGGGAGCAGGCAAATGAGACCGATTGCAGGCCTGTTTAGGGCTAAGCAATGTGCTGCCCGAGTAGCGTGACAGGAGCACTCTTCTTTGCCCAAACAGCATGAGAAACTGGATGTGGGTGCTCCCGAAATTTCTCATGCGCCACTTGAAAACTGAGGCTCTAACTGGCATCGATTTTGTGCATCACAAATTTTTCGACTTTGTCAATTTCGATTCTGACACTTGCATAGAGATTGGGTGAATGCTATGCGGATCGCGGAGAACTACGACATATGCATTGCAAAAGCATCGTTCTAGTAAGTATTGCATTACAAATTTGCTCAGCACGCCAAGTCGAATTTGTAATGCTGTTTTAGCTTCGGAAGGCGATTTGTCATGCAGATATGCAATTGCAGGGTGCAGCTACGAGTGCGCTACTTTTGCAATGCATACGACAAGGACGCCAGATCGGAGGTCATGATTCACCAGGCCAGGGACATTGCGTCCGAGGGCAATACAAACGTGAACGAGCAGCAACTGCGACTCGCGGAGTCGCTTTTCGTCCAGGGAAAAGAGCCAGAGTTGGCCGTTCAGATGTATAGTCAGAGAAATTATGAAATGCAAATATGTCTGGGTCTGGAAGAGTGTGTTGCTGTTTGTGCATAACACAGAAGGTCTGGCATGCAGCTCCTAGCAACACAGGTCTTGAGCACGTTAGGCGATGCCTAATCCGCATGACAAGTGCCCTCTTTGGGTGACAAGAAGTGAGCAGGTTTTCTTGCGGTCCACGCACGACAGATTTTTTTCTGATCTCAAATGCGCATCAGAAGTTTACATGTTTCCAGACCCAGACAAATTTGCAATGCATAGAAACATGATGAACGACGCCATTCGGGTGTGCAAGAAACACCGACCGCAGATGTTAGGGGTATCAACTGTAAAAATGTCTGGGTCTGGAAGAGTTCATGTTTGTCATGCTGGTCTGGCATGACTCTTAAATCTTTCATGCCCGTTACCCAAGAGCTCCGTTTTTCTGTGATGCAGTAGCGCAGTTTGTCATGCAGAATAGGCAACACCTAGGAGCTCAGAAACTTGTCATGCTGGGCCAGCATTTGTAGCCTCATCATGAGACGCCACCCAGCATCACAAGTTCCCAGACCCAGACATTTTTACTTTTGAGAAGGGGATCTAGTAGATCAAACCGGGAGTTTCTCCAGTAGCACAGCGGTGGTGGGAATGGGTGCAAAGGGCGATCGAGGAAGTTCCGCGGGGAGTTCGAGGAGAGGGGACAGCGCATATCAAATGTAAAAGTGTCTGGGTCTGGAAGGATGCGAACTTGTGATGTGTGTTGCGGATCATACAAAAATCTGTGTTGCATGACTTGCAAAAGGTCCCCATTTCTAGCCATGCCGAGGGGGCATTTCTCATGCAGAATAAGCATCACCAAGGGGCTGCAGAACCTGTGATGCTAGTCCCTGCATTCGAGACTTGGCGAAGCTTGGAAAAACTGCATGACAAATCTCAGAATCTTCCAGACCCAGACATTTTTACATTTGATAGCGCGCAATTAGAAGAGATTTTGGATCGGGCGAAGGTATGATGTTGTACATAGAGTTGGGTAGAACTTGTACTAGAAGGTTTGTATTGCGTAAGTGGGCATGAGCAACCGTGTCTGTCATGCCAAACCTACGTACACAACCACCGATACTTGTTCCACCACAGGTCTACGAGGAGACGGGCAACTATTCGCGAGCGATCGATGCGTACTTGATGGTGACCGAGAAACTACCAAATGCAAAAATGTCTGGGTCTGGAAGGATGCAGATTTTTGTCATGCTGTTTTTCCATGACGATGACCCGGAAGGTCTGGCAAGCAAGGTGTAGCATTACAGGTTTTGAGAAGCTGCGTCGATGCCTAATCCGCATGACAAATCGCCATTTTTTTCGATGACAAAAGTGGGCAACTCTTGCTGTCTATGCATGAGAGATTTTTTTGTGTTGTGAGATGCGCATCACAAGTTCCGTCTTTCCAGACCCAGACATATTTGCATTTGATAGAAACTGACCTCCGACAAAAGCCGACTGGAAGAAATCTGGGAGTCCGCGGTCCGCATCGCCATGAAGCACAGCCCTGTGGATCGATATCCAGTGGTTTGTGAGGACGTCGCGAAGCGGTTGAATGCCATGGGTCGGTTCGAAGCCGCGGGACAGCTGTTCGTCGAGGCCGATATGCCCAAGCCGGCGATAGAAGCCTACATGAGCGCGCAGCAGTGGACCAAGGCACAGCAAATCGCGCAGCAGTCCATGCCACAGATGCTGTCCGTCATTGAGAGCCGATACAAGAACGGTATTAATAGTTGATCTGAAAAAATGTGGGAAGGATAGTTTGTCATGCGAACTTCTGCATGGTGCAGTACAAAACTCATGCAAAAACCACACTTTATCCTAACAGACATCGTGAAAACGGGTGACGGCGACGAGCTGATCCGCAAGACGGGTGACGTGAACACCGCTTTGGATATGTACGCCCGACAGGGAGACTGGAACAAATGCTTTGCCCTAGCGGAAAAGCAGAAAAACCCGGAGCTCATGGCGCACTACGTGCTACAGCACGTCAAGCAGTTGCTGCAGCAGCAAACCTCCGAGCGGATCCAGGAGGCGTGCAAGATTCTGAACCGGTACGGAGCGCCACCGGTGAACAATCAGACGACCGCGTTGTATATCAAATGTAAAAATGTCTGAGTCTGGAAGGATGGAACTTGTGATGCGTCCTGTGGGTCACACAAAAATCTGTCTTGCGCGATCACCAAAAGTTGCCCAGTTTTGACCAACCTGAGCGGGAGTTTCTCATGCAGGATAGGCTTGACAGAGACTTCGCAGAATCTGTCATGCTAGCTCCTGCATTCCAGACCTCAGGGGGCATGGAAAATATGCATGACAAGTTTGCACTCTTCCAGACCCAGACATTCTTGCATTTGATATTGTACACGGTGATTGCGCAAAAACTGCTCACTGTGGAGACAAACGCAAAGAAGGTGGAAATGGCACGGGAGCTGCTGTTCCAGGTATACTTACTTAGTTACAAGAAGATTTTGGCAGGGGTCGGTATTTCAATTCTACGTAGTATCATGTGATTTTTCAGAGAACCAAAAGTGGCTGTGACTGCTCCCGATTGTATTCTATTCCATTGCATGACAGATCTACTTCCAGTTTTGATGTTCCAACAAATCATTCTCTATCAGGTTGTGATGGGCCGCGATCAAACTTCTACCCCAATGTCCGTTACCGATATCATTCAATCCGACTCCGAACTGGTCCGCTTTCTCCTCGTCGCGCACTTTATGCAGCAGAAAAACAAGAATCAAACAATCGACGCGAAATTGAGGGTATGCATTGCAAATATGTCTGGGTTTGGAAACATGTAAACATCTGATGCGCATTTGAGACCAGAAAAAAAATCCGTCATGCACGGACCGCAAAACTTTCTCACTTCTTGTCACCCAAAGAGGGAACTTGTCATGCGGATTAGGCATCGCCTAACCTGCTCAAAACCTGTGTTGCTAGGACTTGCATGCCACACCTTCTGTGCCATGCACAAACAGCATCACACTCTTCCACCCCCAGACAGATTTGCAATTGATAGACGGCGTCCACCTCCGAAGCCTTGCTCCGGTACACCACCCACATCCCGGTGGATAGGACGTTCTACGAAGCGGGTATGGGGTGCAAGGACGCGGATCGGGTGTCGGCCAGTTTTCTGTACTTGAACCGGTATTTAGATATAGTCGACGCGATCCAGGACGATATGGTGCAGATTGACAACGCAGATTTCGCGAATACCGACATCCCCAACCCCCAGGACGTGGAGATACCGGAACACCCGTTTTTGTCGGATGATAAAAACGAGGAAATCCGGGAGTTAGTGCTCGGCTGGTCCGTGTCACCGAACATCGAACAGAAATTGCCAACCCGGAACTGCGACAACTGCTCCAAACCCATGTACGCGGCCGGTCTGAAGTGCTTTAGCTGTGGCAACAACTCCGTCCCCTGCGTCGTCACGGGGCAACCGGTGCTCCGACAGCAACAGGTGCAGTGTACGAACTGCGGGTCGTATGCAAACAGGGAGGATTGGATGAACTACATCCGGAAATACGGATCCTGCCCTTGGTGTCTGAGTCGCCAGCAGGGCAACGCGCTAGGTGGGGGGTTTAAGAGATAGGCACGAGCCGCCTGCCTTGAACAAGTTGCGGTTTTTTGAACGCCATACTACACTTAGAAACGGTATAGAACTCGTCAATTTCATCAATCAACTTCATTTCTCGCTTTGTTAAGGATACATTTGTATGTAGGAAAAGGCTCTAGAAGGAAGCAGCAGTTTCTTCAGCCTGCTGGAGGTTTCCAATTGATAATCGCTTTTTCAATTTACTTTTCGAGTATTGGTTTACGTAGGTAACTACAAAAGGAAGTTTTTTCTTAGCAATGGTAAACAGATAAAGTTTTTATGTGTGAATAGTCAGGAGGGTATAGTTTCAGTTTAGCACTGTTTTCTTTTTCAAAATTGTCTTAGCACAGCTGTCGCATTGCACAGCTGCGATGGAAAGAACGACCAGCTGCAATAGTAGATCGGCCGATTTCAATGTTGGCAAACGTTTCATGAGATGATATTCGATTTCCAATGTATAAAATGAATCCGGATCCGGAAGAACAGCATCTGAGTACATAGAAAGTGACCATCTAAGTAAAATCATCGATCCGAAACGAAAATAAGTGGTAGCCCTCGTTTCTTCTTGAAAGTGGCTTGAATTCCCGGCATTTCAGTTTTTTGTTCGTTTTCTCGTCGTCGTTGCGCTCCTCTGTTTGGCTTTCTTATCGATCAGGTCGGCAGGCTCTACTTGTGTTGCTGCCATTGGTTCAAAAGAGACTCTGTGCCTCGACTAACAACGGAAGAAGATAAAAATGAGTTCGAGCGGTAATACCGCTGCCCGTTCCGGGCCTGCTGGCAACACGACAACTGCGTCGAAGAGACCCAGCACGAAAAGCACGTCCGCACAGCCCATGATGAGGCGAAGAAAAACCAGGGGGACGAGTGGGATTCTACGCACTAGATCGCGACCAGGTTTGTCGTCAAGAGACAAAACGTATTCGTCAACCCCTTCCCTCTCCACGACCGGCGCCCGCAAATGCTTCCCACTAGTGTACGTCGCGGATTTGATTGTCATCCTCACGGCGGGGAGAGAGCTCGCGCGACAGCGAGATGAGTCTGAGCCGGCGACCGACTACCCGATGCGGTTTCTCGCCTTTACCCACTGCATCTCCTCGTTTGCCACCCACTGGTTCTTGAATTGGCCGGACAACCGGTCCGGGGCGAAGATTTCTTCTCTGCTACGACTCGTCTGCTTGGTCTTCGCGATCATTTTCATGACGTATTCTGCGCAGTCGAGCGCTTTGTTCTGCGGAATGCTGGCGGTGATTGTGAACGTCGTTGCGGTAGCGATGATTTGCAAACTGTATCTGCGGCCGGATGAGATGCACGAGGATTTTGATGGAAATGCGTACGGACTGGAGGATGGTGATTTCAATCGAAGAAGTAGAACCAGTCGCAGGAAGAGCGAGAAAATAAAAGGGCGAGACGAGCTAGGACAACCGGGATCGAAAATAACCGGGAAGACACGAAGAGGTGGGATAAGTAATGAAGAGTCGTCATCGAGATAGATACAGATGCAACTTCATGTCGGTGTCCTCTTTTTGCGAATAGAAAATTGTCTTTGTACGGAGGAACAGATTTTTGATGATAAATATGCAAGTAGAAGCATCATGTGGCTTTTTGCGATGACGAAGCTCAGGACATCCAGATGAAAAACACTTCTTGATGTGTTTACTGCAACATACACGGAAGCGAAAAAGTGAAATGGCTTTGAGCGAAGAACGAGAGATCTCGGCTAGAATTGTACTGAATTCAATAGATTGCGATTGGGATTGCGCGCCCGCCGGCAAGTTCTTACGTAGTACATAGAGGAGTTCTTGTTGCCACAGTAGGCGGGAGGTAGAACATCAAGTAGGGATAGATAAAGCAGGACGAGCCGAGGAGTCAAGACGCTTTGTGGGTAGCTAAGTACGTCGCTATTTTCACAGCACAAAAAATGAAAATCGTCATGACGGAACGGTGCCAAAGCTCGGGTGCGACGTCAGCCCCGTCTCGCACTCATTCCCAGTTCTTTCGCAGGAGAGCGTGGCGGGTTCGAAGAGGACTCTGTACCACGACCGCCACTACAACCTGCTTCCTCCTCGCCGGCAATAAAGTTTTTGCTGGTTCCTACATGCGACAAGAGCATCTTTCCAGCATCTCAGCCGACGATGAGCTCCTACACGGGAACAAAGGGCAACAAGGATCCGCACCATCAGAACATAAGCGAGTCAACGCAACATCCTCCGCCTCCAGTCTGATAGCGGAACAGGCTGGCACTGGGGAGAAAAAGAAGAAGGCGACATGGTACGTGTACGCGGATTACGAAACAACCTATGCGGACTCGGAAGCGTATGGAGCTCTCAAATGTTACATTCTCAAGTGTTACATGAATTTGTGATGCAAGAGCGGCAAAATTGAGAAGGGGAAGATTGCGGTTTTTGCATTACAGGTCTGGCGTAGATTCTAATGCTATTTAGCGAGTCGCGAACCTGTCATGCGAAGCAGCTTGATCATGTAGATACTCATGTCAAATTTGCACGACAAATCCATGTAACAGTTGAGAGTGTAACGTTTGAGAAGCCCATAAAGCGGCCCTGGATCCGGATTTCGGGCGGAACGCCCTCTTGGACCCGGCGTTTCTGGCGACGTTACAGGAGGAGTTGCGATATGGATTGGAAATATGTCTGGGTCTGGCAGAGTCGAACTTGTAATGCTGTCTGCGGATTCTAGAAATATCTGTGTTGCATGAGCAGCAAGAGGAGTCAGTTCTTGGCACGCGTAATTAGGGCATTTTTGGAGGGCATTTATCATGCGTAATTAGCATCAAGAACAAGAAGTTCTCGAAAAATCAGTGATGCTAGCACCAGCATGACAGACCTCACGGGTCATGCAAAATGTGCATAGCAAGCCCCGACTCTTCCAGACCCAGACATTTTTTCACAGGATATGCGGAAGGAAACGGGGAAAACAACCATCACCGTGCCGGAAAGTAGAATAAGATGTTGTTTTTTCTTTTTGTATTGCGGTGCTTGCACGACCATGAGAACCTGAACTGGTATTGCTGCGACACGCATCACAGTCTGTATGTATATAAAAACATGAAGATCAACCCGGTGGCGTTGAGCCGATGACGGAGCTAAAGCCGCCGCCCACCCCGCAAATCAAGGTTTTCACGGCGGGGTTTGTGCTAGTCTGCATGTTTGTATGAGAGTGCACAACTCCCCCTCCCCCTCATTTGTGTTGCATGAACAGCAACACAAGTGCGGGCAAAGATGCAGCTTTTGCATGACAAATTCCTAGAGGACTGTAGTGCTGGTTCGACTTCCGGAATCTCTCATGCATACAGTGCCACAGGGAAGCACTCGGATTTAGGCTTTTGCATTACAACAAATAAGGGGGAGGGGGAGTTGTGCACTCTCATAGTTTGCGGGGTTGCAGATTTTGCAGTTCGTTGTGCTGTATCACATGTACCAGGAGCGGAAGCTGAAGGAAATGGAGGAAGCGGACATGCTGTCTGACAGCGACAGTGACGACGACGATGACGACGATGAGTCGGATTAATGGGTCGACGAAGTACAGGTAGCTGTGTGAAAGTGAACAGCGCAATTCATATAAAAATTAAATGTAGAATTGAGGACTATTTTTCGTGGTTTTGTTTCGAGTTTTTTTTTCAAAAAGTCGCGGAAGGAATGACGATATTGATGATTCGCTTGATGTCGATGAATCGTTCATGTTGTGTGTTTGTTGGAAGAAGGTTGATGGTGCGCCGTAAGGGTTTTTTTGCGGTCAACCACCTTACGTCTTCAAAGACTCGCAAGTCGTAACTCACAGGAACAGTATATGATACAAGATTCGCGAAAAGAAAAATCGCAAGCGTCTCTTCCTGTTCTGGCTTGATTGATGCACGAGCCGCCCAGATGAAACTTACCGGCTTTGACGGACATTTTACCCGCTGTGTTCGCCGTGGAAAGAAAATAAAGTGAACCATTTGCATGGCTGACTATCACGACGACAGTACAGCGAAGCGGTGCGATGAATGCCAAGTCAGTTTTGAAGATTCCACAATGCAAAACTAACAGAAACAAAAGATGGAAATGCGCAGCGCCTGATGTCGTACTGTGATGATAGTAGGTCGTGGGAGGTGTAACGACCCTCAGACATAGAGATAGACGCAACAACTTAATTGTGCTGCAATGAGTGTGTCTCTGTCGCTGGTGACAACGATAGCATATCAACTCGCCTAGAAGATGAATCAAGTCGAGGACAAATAACAGGACCTCAGACAGACATTTTAGAAGTAAATGACGTTCTGCAGTATGTACCAGTCGGGAAATATAATCATGATTAAGTTGCTCACAGTACTCTAGAATGTTGACCGAGTTGTCTTGTGAGCACCAAATTGTCTCAACATTCGCAAATGTAGCTAGCGAAAGAAAAATAGTGCCGGGCTCCTGCGGCCGTCAAAGTAAGTGGGTAGGAGCGAGGCAGCAAAATATGGGTGCCTAGAGCTCGTGAAAGATTGTGTTGCTGCTAGACACCACGACAACGCCCTCTACTTATGACTTTTCGCCGAGGACGAGCAGAAGCATGATGGGCCAGAATTCGAACCCAAATCCGCAAGACGCCTCGGCAGCTGCCAGGATAGGGATGCTACAGCAGGACTTCGGCCAGCAAGGACCCCAAGAGCAGCAGCAATATCAAGCAGGATTTGATGGCACGAACCCACAGGAGCTGCTGCGCCAGCATCAGCAGCCTAACCCAGCTACCGCCTTGCTGACTGGCACAAGTTCATCCGCAGCCTCTAGCTCTTCGGCTGCATTGAACATCATTCCAGGTTTGAAGCGTACCTGGTCTGATGCACATCATGCGGTCGGGGACAGCGTCAACACGTCTCGAACCGCGGGATACGAACAGAACACCGGCACAGGAGATCCTGCTGAGCTCAACATGGACAATTCCTTCCGCGCCGTCCGGATAGTGCCTGCCGTGACGGGTTCATCAACATCTGTTGGTAATAGGAATCACACAATAAACGGCCACCCGCCCGGCGGGATCAGCAATGCGCTTGCCCCAGCTGGAAGCAGTACCAGCAACCATATGGGTAGTTTCCAGCAACACCAGTCACTCGGCGGTGGTTCCAGTTCCAGTTCCTCCTCCCACCAAAGCCACAAAGACGACCCAGTGTACTACTTTCGCGAAGACAAGCGGCAGCGGATTGCGACGACGAAGGAAAATTTCAATCCACAAAATATCCTGAGTAAAAACCTACCCACACCAGAGTCAGGATGGGGATTTTGCAACACAAACCTGGGAGTTTTGTGAGTCACGCATGACAAGTTGCGCTCTGCAGTGTAGTGCAGGTTAGCAAGTGCAGCCGCATCACAGATTCATCTGCTCATCCTGTTCACAGCATCGCAAATTCCAAAACACGATTGGAAATGGCTCTCATGCGGATGCGCATTACAAGTCTTCCTGTCTTTGCAAATCTGCATTACAACTCTGGTGTGGGTACGTTTTTACTCAGGATACAAAACCCCACCGCACCGCAGTACATCTCCGTGCTATCCTGTGCAAAAGTATCGTACTCGTATAAATGCCAGACTAGCATGACAAATCTGGTTTCTTAGGTAATTTAGCATGACAAATTCAATTTTTCATGCTAAGGAAATTTGTAAGTAATGCATTTATACGAGTACGATACTTTTGCAGTTCATACGTGCACAATCAGAACAACTTGCCGCTCCACCTACCGGAGATAAACAGTCGCAATTTCGTGCCCGGCGCCTGCGACGATTTGATACCTTTCGGCGGTGGAGACCTGGCGCAGGAGGCGTCGCTGTTGGACGGCAGCGGGCTGCAATTGGGAGGTCCTGGGGCTATTTCGTCGGCGCTGAACAGTTCTGGATTTGGGAGCGCGGTACATTCGAGCGGCATGTTGTCCCCCATTCCGCACATTCCGGAACCGAATTCCTTCCACTACTACAACACGGATCCGAGCAGAAGTCGCATCTCAGGTGCTGCGGCGGGAGGTGGATCTTCAACACCCGCTGCTGTTCAGGGGGGTAGTGCAAGTAGCAGTTCGTCGCAGCAGAAAGTCTCCTCGACGACGGTAGTAGGTGCGGCCACGACAGGGGATGCTGCTCTTCACGCGCAGAGTGATGGTAGCTCTTCTCGCAGCCACGATTTCCATCCCCCCGGCCGCGTGGTGTCGAACTTCGAAAGACTCGCTGGGCCCTCCTCTTCCTCCACCGCCGCCCCGAATGTTGGTGTAGGGCAACATCTTGCAGGAACTGCATCAGCAGTTCCAGTTGCATCAAGTCAAGGAACTGCTCATGAAATAAATGTCGAGCAGAATAACTACTACAGCGACATCAACCGCACACTACACGAGTTGCACTTTGGAGCTTCATCAAGTAACAACCCGATTGGTAATTCTAACCAGCAAGCGGGAGGCAGCAGCAGCAGTACCAGTCGCGCGAATGGGGGGACAACGATGATGAACCACTTCAGTGATATGAACAACTACTCTTCCATGCACCTCGATGCGGATGACGAGCAGTCGCCCTTTTTTTCATCAGCCTCCAACATGAACCAAAACAACCTTTCCAACCACAGTTTTTCACCCCTCGGAAGCAGCGACAACAGCAGCAGAATTTTTCAGAGAGGTGGAAGCAGGACAACTGGGATGATGAAGGGAGTGCAGGGATTCAATATGGATGGTTCTCAAGGGCTGCAGCAGAGGACGCCGACGTCATCGGGTTATAACAATCACCCACGCGACGCCGGCCACCGCCGCATGAGCTCTGCCGGAAATTTTTACATGCCGACTGCCTCTTCTCCTTCCAATAGCACGCGCGCGAACCCAAATTACAACCTGACGAATTTCCAGCCCTCGGAAGTGGTTCAGTGTTCCCACGGGCCACTAGGCTCCTGCTTGCAGTGTATCAACTTCACGGGAGGCGGTGCAGGCACTAGAAGCTCTACTGGAAGTAGTACCCCGGCTTTATCCTCCAAAGTCGTCCAAGTTCCCTACGCTCTTTTTCTGGCGTACGGGCACGTGTTTCAGTCCCTGGCGCTCCCCCGGCCGATGAAAAACGAGTTGAATTCTAATTCCTCTTCGAGCAGTTTTCTGTCTTTCAGCAACCCGGGTGGAAATAACCAATCGTTCGGGCACTGGGCAGCTGCAGCTCCCTCCGTAGGAGGTGGTGCATCATCTTCCACCACCGTGAACCACCGCGCGCTGGTTGCGGGCGAAGTGATTTTTGCTTCCTTCGTGCAGATGTGCGCTGCGATTTTGCCGGAACGGGTCAGAGTGACGAGCAAAAGCTTGCTGCAGCAGGGCGGAAATATTAATTTGAGTAGTACCGCCCTTCACCAAGAGCAGAATAACTACTTCTACTCCACCCAGGCGGGACAAATTTCAGGTGGTTCGCACGGCCGCAGAAGCTCCTTGTCGGGCAACCCGATGGGCAGTACGGTACAGTCTTCAGGGATGATCGGATCATCCTCCACGGCGCATCAGCAACATCCTGCCGCGAGTCGCCACGATAACGTCGCGGTCCTTGGGCTTGGCGCGGGGGTGATAATTGCAAGAGAAGGAGGAGGCACAGGCAGTTTGATTTCCCTTCCATCATCCTCTTCGACGATAATTCAGGATCACGACCAGCAGCAGCTTCATGGTCGTGTATCCACGACTTCTCCAACAAGCAACATGCTAAGTAGCCCGCACAATTTCAATTCCTCAGCAACTTCCTTCACCTTTCACAACCGCAGCGGAACTGCATTCATGGGAAATGCAAATGACAACGTGGCCTCCAGCAACACTGTTTTCCACCCTAACAGCCGAAAAGTACCGAAATTCGTCGACCTAGGATCCGGCCTTGGGAAGGCGGTGGTGATGTGGGCCCTGCTGTTCGGAAGAAACGAAAGTTTGCTGAATTCCACATCCAATTATGGGGGGAACAATGCAGGAGCCCCCGAATCCGATTCCGAGCAACCGGAGGAGGAGCCGATGGATGTGAGTGCCGTAAACAACAACCTCATGATGGGCGGAAGTCAGCACTTCAACACCCAAGCAGGACAAGGAATACAATTGCAGCAACCACAATCGGTTGTTCATCCCCACCACCAACCACCGCTCGAAATTTGTTCCGTCGGGATTGAAATCCGGGAGACCGCGCACCAAATTATCGAGGAGAAGGTGATCCCCCAGTTACCGAAAAAAATCCGAAACCAGTGCAAGTTTTTGAACGGAGACTTTTTCAACCTCGAAATCGGAAAGGACGCGGACGTGGTACTGGTGAACGCCACTGGATTGGATGCGGACATTTTTTCCAAGTTGGTGGAGAAACTGGCGACGGAACTCCGTCCCGGCGCGCGGGTCATGAGTTTGTCGTTGGAATTCCCGACGAACCGGTCGTTTCGTCCGTTTCACGGACAGGGCAGGAGTGGGTTCCTGTCCGGTGGTGACTCATCGTCTGGGAGTGGTGCAACATCTTCCCACAGTCGGGTGTTCCGGATGTCCTGGGGAAATTGTACCGTGTATTTTCACGAACGGATATGAAGCTAGTGAAGATGCCGGTTGATGTTGAGTATGGATGAACAAGGGCGAGATGTGATGTATTAGTTTTCATTCACGACAGCACACCGGATTTTCATAGTAGACTGGATTTTTTTTGTATGCGGGGGTATCTATTTTCGATTTCGACGAGAACGACCAGGGTAAAACGTATACTGAATGTCATTTCGTTTCTTTCTCCGACATGCTGAACCTTATCCGGCGCTTCAGAAATGCGTGGAACATTGGCGCAGTCTTTTTGCATACTGTTGAAGATTGTAGTTTTCCTGGTCTTACTTCATCATGGGTTAATTAATTCGCATTCACGCCCCAGTATCAGACATTTTGCGACAAGACGGTCACTTCAAGAATATGAACATCCAATGTTTTCTCAACGACACGACACTATACGCTTTAGGTGCGACGAATCACGCCACATCAAGGCGGTGGCGGGTGCGGATGTTTCTGACCCGATCGAATTTCATCAAGCTTGATACTTGGTGAGCATGATGTGCCTACTGTTTTCCCTTCCTCGTCGTGAAGAACGCGCAGCATCATGTCACACCTTCAGAGACTCGGTCAACATGTGAGGAATGACAAGGAATCGCATAGGTCTGCAGTCCGTACATTGCTCGCTTCTGTTTGCCCATTGTCCTACTTGCGTGAAAGTGTCGTTTCGCACCTCCATTCAATCTTCGGTCTTGACAAATTGCTACTACTCTGCTCGGTTGCGCGCTTGAAATGCGTCGTGGTCTGCGTTGGCTGTAAAATGGAAATGTTTGCTCGGTTACCATTTGCTCAATTTCGGTCGCCTGGCTGTCACTCGTGTGCCTTCTTTTCGTGTGGTTTCATAAAGCAATCTATCAGGTCGGTGCACCACAACACGAGCTACACATTCTTTCCACCTACAACTCCAGGAACAGGATTTTTGTTCGGATTCTCCGCTCTACCCAAAACTTTGTTTCCATTGCGTTTATAATCTTTTCGTTGTACTTCTACTGCGCCTCAAATCTCCATCCCCCACTTGCTTCGATCTTCGTTTGTCTTGTAAAGCATGCGCCTGTAGTACGTGTACTAGAAGCCCATTTCTGATCATGACAACCGCCAGCGCGAAGCTTTTCCTGGGCTTCCCCGTCGGTCGCGACGGCCGGCGGAAGACGCGCACACCATTGGTCTCTACCAATCCAGTGAAATTTGACCCGGTGCGCGTCTCCCGCATGCGCGGCACAACTTCATCTTCTACAGGCTCCAATTCTACTAGTTCGGAAGAATACGCAGAATGCAAAGCGAATTGGCACAGAGACGGCTTTTTCGCGACGTGGTTTTTCTTCAGTCTGAATGACGAAGGGAAAAAGGAACATCAAGGTGGGGTGGGTTCAGGCACAGGAGCTGGTCCGGCGACTACCTCCACGCTGCACAGAAATACTAAAGCACCAACCTCCCCTACCTCCGTCGCCAGTCGCATCCAGCAGTGCCTGGAGCAGAAGCACTGCATCCCCGGGGGGGCGTTGCAGACCCCAGTGTTGTTCGCGTATGAGAAATTGTTGGATCACATTACCCACGGCCACGCCGCGAACAACGCAGGGATCATGAGTCTATCCAAGCTCTCCTTCTGGGATCTCGCGACGCACAAGAGTCTGTGGATGGCCATCTCCGCGCCGATCTTGTTGTTCTCGTCGAATGGAGAAGTAGGGGATCATGCACTCGGTGCTGGGAAGAAAAATGGTCGTGGCTGCCGTGTTGAACAAGAGGAAGACGATGACGTACTGAATTTCTACAGCAAGAAGAGCGGGAGCATAAGCATAACTAGGAACACGGGCTCCGTTTTCGGTTTGCAGGAAGCTTGTTTCGTTATCGAACAGCACATGACAAATGTGATGAATGAGCCGATAGACAACGCCGAGGAGGAGGAAGCACTACTGTCAAAAACAAACAACACAACCACTCTCACATCACTTGCCAAGAACTGCATCAGCAACACAAATAACAAACTTCCCTCGCTGATCGAAGGCTTAGGCACGTTGGCGTCGAGGTCAGCAACTTTGAATTCCACTGTGAAGCCTACAGTTCCGGTGGTCGTCAACCGCCTCAAAGCCGGCCTGCGCAAAGAGGCGGTGCCGCAACAGCAGGTCTTGAATAAAGGGACTGGTAGAACTTCTGATGCCAACGCCTCGACATCGTGTGCTTGTCCCACGCACTTGACAACAACGTCGGCGACCAGTTCTTTTGGGAGTCGCAGCAACCGTTGTGGAAATAACTCTGCAGCGAACGACTCCACCTCGTGCCCTTCCTCTGATGATTATGAACTGCAAAAGCAAAAGCATCGTACTCGTTTAAATGCATTACAAATTTTCTCAGCATGAGAAGTAAGACTTGCCATGCTGATTTACTTTAAGAAAAATATTTGTAATGCAAGACTTGCAACATTTATTATACGAATACGATACTTATACTTTTGCACAGGATAGTGATTTTATCTGTTTCTGCTACGCCTGGTATGCCCGCACGGCGCACGTGAATTCGAAGGTGGTGTATTTCCACGCCGATGGGGTGCCCAACGACCATGCGGGGTTGATGGACTACTGGATTGTCACACAAAAACGCCACAACCGCTCCAACAAGGAGCATTTGTGTCAATCCCTAGCACTGCAGCGGTTCTGCGAACAGGTGTTGGCGGGGGACACCACGGGGAAGAATATGACCTGCTCAAATGTTACAATCTCAAACGTTAGAATAGAGTCTGGGTTTTGTGTTGCATCATGAGCATGACAGACGCGCACAGCGTTCCACTTTCTGCAACACAAGTTTCGCCCGATTCTAGTGCGGATTGGGGCTCCAGAACTTTTCATGCGCAATCCTGTAGCTCATCATGGGAGTAGGATAGCTCATGCACTTCTTGCATCAGAGATTTCCAGACTCTATTGTAATGCTTGAGATTGTAGTAACAGCTGAGCAGGTTATAACGAACGTTGGTGGTTTTAGCGGGTCATCTTCGGGCTGCTCATCTTCACGCTATGACAAGCTTCTCACCGCGGAGTTCAAAATCGAGTGTATTTTAGAAGAACAATCGGACACGAACGACAAAACCCACCCGTTCCGGCGCCACCCATTTTCGCACTTGGTGGAAGCGGAAAGTGGGAAGGTGGTGTTGACCGCGAAACAGTTCTACTTGTTGCAGAGGCTGTTGGTGTCTGATAGTACCGAAGATGCTGTAGACGAGGACTCGAACAGAGACCCCGGTGTTTTGGAGGTTTACCCCGCTGACGTGTTAAAATTAATCCACATCGCGCTGGAAAAAGGCACAGCAAGCACAGGAACGCAGTCCGTGGTGACGAAGAGCTGCTCAGCAACAAGTACAGCAGCACCCACTACAGTATCAACATGTTTGTTCACAGAAGCCTCGACCAGTCTGAGAAAACCGAAGTCTTTGGTCCACCGACTCCGTTCCGAAATGCAGACGGCAGCGGGGAAAAGCAACGTTGCTTCTAAAACATCGACAAATAGTACTAAATCCACCGTGATTCAGCAGGGGGGTGTGGCGAAAAACGAATTTCTGACTGGAACCACCAGCAATAAAGTAGACGGAGATGATCATAGCGACATGGGCAGTGACCAATCGGATGAGGACGAAGAGGAGGCATCAGAAGACGCTGCGACACCAACCTCCGGAAACATCAAGAAGGCGTCATCTCCACCGCCAGTTTCTCGTGCGCAAACGGCGTTCGCACTTTCGCATTCTTCTTCCGGTGCAAGTACAACAACCAGCACGACAACTGGGCGTGCTTCTTCAAGAGCATCATCAACCGCAATTTCTTCGGAGCAGAAGATGAAGCAGAAGATTCGGCAGTACTTCAGTATGAATCTCGAGTTCCTCGAGATTCTCCGCGACCACCTGAAAGCCAGTGATAATCCGGCTCTGAATGAGGTTGACCACGCAAATTTTTGGCTGCTGCACAGCCAGCACGTGAGGCATTTTCCAACCACGACGCTGGGGGTGATCCCCTTACCGGTAAACAAACTGCTCGAGGATCCGTTTCAGCCTGGGTGCTCGCTTATGGATTGCAAAAGTGTCTGGGTCTGGAAGATTGCAACTTGTCATGCTAAATCCGAATCATGCAAGAATCTGTGTTGCATGAGTGCCAAAAGCTGCCCACTTTCGACCAAATTGGGGGGGGAGTTTCTCATGCAGGATAGGCATGAAAGAGACCTCACAGACTCTGTCATGCTAGGCCCCGCATTCCAGACCTGCAGGGTCATGGAAAACCTGCATGACAAGCTCACACTCTTCCAGACCCAGACATTTTGGCACTTGATAGCGCTTTTCTCTTCCCCGAGCCCGACGCGGAACTTCCTGCCCGATAGCCCGAAGAATCGGCGGATTTTAGAGAAGGGAGGGAATTACAATACGAATAGCGGAGCGGGAGCCACTGGTCATACAAATACTAACCAAGACAGTACATCAACTAGCGCTGTGAAATACTTGAATGACGCACGCTCGGCTCTGGTGTTCAAAACCATATGGATTGCAAAAATGTCTGGGTCTGGAAGAGTCGGGGCTTGTCATGCACATTTTGCATGACCCGTGAGGTCTGTGATGCTGTTGCTAGCATCACAGATTTTTTGCGAGCTTTTTGATGCTAATTACGCATGAGAAATGCCTTCTCCGCGTGCCAAGAACTGACTCCTCTTGCTGCTCATACAACACAGATATTTTTAGAATCCGCAGACGGCATTACATCCAGATCCAGACATATTTGCAATCCATAAACCATGGGCGTGTACCATTCCTCCGTGAAACTGCACAATAATTCGGACAGCGACGCAAACCTAGACCGCAGCAGCATCGACTTTCGGGTCCTGTGCGTGAAAAAGAAATCCGTGCCGAAGGTGATTGCCCATTTGGTGTATCCTGAGTAAAAACGTACCCACGCCAGAGTTAGGATGAGGATTTTGCAACACAAACCTAGGAGTTTTGTGAGTCACGCATGACAAGTTGAGCTCTGCAGTGTAGTGCAGGTTAGCAAGTGCAGCCGCATCACGAATCCAGCTGCTCATCCTGTTCACAGCATCACAAATTCCAAAACACAATTGGAAATGGCTCTCATGGGGATGCGCGTTACAAGTCTTCCTGTCTTTGCGAATCTGCATTACAACTCTGGCGTGGGTACGTTTTTACTCAGGATATGGTGCGCGTCTTGGTCACGAAGTATCTTTGATACTAGCTGCATAGAATATCCCACAGAAAAAGACCGACAGGTCATATTTGTAATGCAAAAATAAATACACAGGAAAATCTGTCATGGGCGAGGCCATAACATCCTGTTTAGGGCATGTGAACCAGCACACGAAGGGAACCCTGGGACGCGAAGAGCACCTAGAAGAGACGAAAGCACACAGACCAGAGAAAAAGGCAGAGCGAACGGAGAAAAAAAGGACGGGACACTGCAGAGACGTATGTGCTCCGCGTGACATACAACTCAAATGTATGCGCGCCTGGCGTCTAGCGCGCGCGCGCGCGTTCGGGGGAGGATTTACTGATACTAGGCAGAACGCAACCGCCACGCGGAAAGGATAGAGGACCCGAGACGTCGTGCGCGGGGCAACTTAGCCCGGAAAGGATTTTTGCAAGATTCTTGAAAAGACCGAGCGTTTTGGCACGTCTGCCATTGCTTGCAATGAGACGCTTCGCGCCTGGTGACTATTTTATTGCTTGCAGCGCGTCGCAATGCAGATTACCAAGCGACCGCTGAGTGTGCATATTCGTCGCGAGGCCCAGCACGGCCGCGGCTAGACGACACGATCTGGCGGGACTACTAGCGGGCAACAATATAAAACGACGGCGCCGAGGCATTGTAGGTTCCGTCCCGCACGGGGGCCCCAGGAAGTCCCGGGGGCCCCTTTGCGTCCGGTAGAACCAGTTTTGCAAGGGTCCGGTGGGAAAACAGCGGACCAGTAGGCGGGCAACATAAGTATGTGCTGCATACGTCTAGGCAGGGTTTCTTCTAGGACAATTAGGGGCAGGCCCCTTCGTGTCCTGACATACAAATATAATCTGGGGGTCTTAGGAATACTGGTTCACATGCAATACAGATTTTTTTGTCTATTTATTTTTGCATTACAAATATGACCTGTCGGTCTTTTTCTGGGGGATATAGAAGACGGTTTACTTACTTCTTTTGTGACAGTAGATTTATTTTCCTCGGTGAGTGATCTCCTGTAAGTGTAACAGTAACCTGCACACTTCTTCGATTTCGCCGCCCCCTACGTTATTGTTATTTCATGTGTCGTGAAATACATGCACAGCACAGGTTCTCGTACGAAGAACCAGCTGGCAAGAGCATTTCTTCTCTGCATTTCTGCGTTTTGATTTCATGTGGTATTCTCTATGTCTATAATGCGTAAAACAGGAAGTCGTGGTTTTTGTTTTTCTTGTGTCATGAATGATGCTCTTACATAGATAAAATGTCAGCACCTGCTGTTTCAGATTCAGTAGTTTTCAATCCAAAGTGTCCCCATACACGATGGCGTTTTTCAATTGTTCTTTCTAGAGATCTTGAAGAAAATACTGGTGGAGAATGTTTATTCGATCAGCTGCAGTACACGGACCACCGGACTACTTCTAAGGCGTGTGCTTAGCCGAAGTGTTGCAGCGTCCGGAACATAGACAATGCTGTTCGCATCAAATTAGCGTGTGCAAATGATGTGATTGCATTCTGTTTTATTTTACCTCGTGTCGGTGCAGCAGCCTCTTGTTTGAAGTCTGTCGTGGCTCATACAAGCTGCTCGTCTATCGGTTGCAAGAAAAGTTTGGCAGAGCCTGATCTGTTGCGGATTTTTTTTACAAAATCATGATGCAACATCCTCGGTCTGACACCAGCCTTCGTTCGGCGTTGGTAGTATTGGTATCGGTATCAGCATGTTCTAGCTCGTTCTAGACACTAGCGCGATTGGTCTGTGCGAGACTGCGTCGTGTTGTCCTGGTACTTACTATTTACAATTAGGTGTCTTCAACAGCGCCAGCTGCATATGCATGTTTCTGTCGTGATAGAGATAGTGATTGTCACTGTTTAATGTACTTAAACTTATTTCATTTACAGTTGTTTGTGTTTCCCCTCTTGCAGGAGCTCAACCCGTCACATTTTTGTTTTTGATTTCCCTTTTTGTTAACTTACTTTCCACACAACATAGCTTGTTCCTTTTGGTGGACAAGCGACCTACTACTAGCATTTTTCCATTTCGTCAAACGAAACCCGAATCAATATCAAAATGGCGATGCCTCCTGCAGGCACCGATTTCCCCGTCACGTTGGAGGTGGTGCATGAGACCGATCTGCCGAATGGTCCCTATGGGGAATCCAGTGGCATGAGCCTGAAGCTGTACGTATCCACCTCTTTTAATATTTGGAAAAACGTACGTCGTCGCGCCACCGCCCCATAGTTGTGTGTCAAGATTTATGGCAGAAGTTTATGCATGAACATGACAGATTTGGAGCTCTCGCCCTTCTTTCTTATCTTGATTTTTTCTGACAGACACTTGAAATGAAACTGAAACTGCCTGCCCGTCTCATCATGTCGTATGGATGAGACAGCATTATCTTTTTTGTATTTGGCAGTTCGTTAGCAGTTCCTGGCTCACCTTGGCAGCTTATACAGTGCCGAAGAAGCTTGTCCCAAATTGTATTTATGCAAACAAGCAGCACGACGACAACAAGTCTGGGCCTAGAGTGCGTAGAAGTACTGCCTAAATAAACTTTTTTCCACAGGATAGCCCGTTGCCCCCGGTACGAACTACACAACGTTCGCTAAAATTGCGATTGCCGAGTGGGAAAAGGCGCGCGGGAACATGATGCAAATGGGAAGCTACTCGGAGAAATGGGCAATCAAGTTCATCAAATACAAAGGGGGGCAAATTGGCTTCAACGGCTCTGACGCCTACAACCCCGTGCCCGAAGGCAACCACCAGGTGACGCTGTGTGTTCAACAAAATGTGAACTTTTTGGGGGGCATGGGACGAGGTGTGGGCGGAGGCGGTGCGCCGATCATGATGCGCGAGCCCCCGAAGCCGATGTATTGGCTCGTCTGCTGCGGCCTCGTCGGGTGCTGTCTGTTGATGAAGCAAATTGAGGAGCGAAACAAATGGGAACAGCAGCAAAAGGCGAGTGGAGGTGGAGGGGGCCCGGCGTTCAACAATGCATCGGGCGGCATGATGGGTGGCGTTCCACCGCGGCGTGAGGGGGAACAGTTGGAAAAGCCAGTGCAGGCACAAATGGTGGAAATGAGTGGCGTGGATGAACTGGAGAAGAAGAAAAATCCGGAAGCTGCAGCGGCCGAAGTCGTGGGTACGACGGACGCCGCGCCGGCTAGTACTGGGGACGACAATCAGGTGTGAGTTTAAATATAGAGCACTTCCGATGTCTTGAGAAGGTTTTCTGCTCGGTCGCCTAAATACTAAATAATGCGATCGGGAACAACTAAAATGCTTCGAGTTCGACTTCTGGAACAGTTTCTACACAAAGATACCACTACACGTACACGACTATGGGCTCTTTTGGTTTACATTTTCAACATGGTACTGATATTTTTGCGATCTTTTCTTGCATTTCAAAACCGGTAATTCGAATTGCACTTCATTACGAAAGAGACACTAACTGCGAAGAAATACATGTTTTGTAGCTTCTGCGAGCCTGTGCGGTGATGTACCTAAGCTGGTCCGGAATAACATAAAACCTTCAGTCCTTGTGTTGATCAAACACCAAACACAGCGTTTTTTGTTTCCGGAAAATGATGACAGTGCGATGAAGAAAATAGGAAGATCCTGAATTTTTGACGCCATGCCCAGGCATGGAAAGAAAGAAAGAAGATCCTGACATAGATCATTGACAATCGCGGAGATTCTGATCATAAGTGCTAAATAAGTTCTCTGTCCCGCGTGGTGCTGGTACAGCACACGTTCCTAGCAGCCCCACAGCATGATCAGGCTTTAGTAGGGGGAAAAAGATCACCTCGATAGGTAAATCTTCAATATGTTGCACGGAAAGGCGAGAGGATCGTGGCTCCTTCTAGGATGAAATGAGATCAATGTTTATAAAGAACTCATCGGACCACTTCTTGTTCCACTTCTGCGAATTAACTCATAGCCGACAGTTTTGGCAAACTATCTAGTAGTATCCAACAGTTTTGGCAATCACTGCTAGTCTATCAGCTCTGTTTTTTTGAGATTTTTTTTTTATCATCGTCCTTCAAGGAGTCTTTCTGTTTTCAAAAATATCACTAGTCTACTTAAAAAACCTAAGCAGAATCATCAAAAATTTCTCTTGATTTAGTACTGAAGTTTATACTAAAACCACTGAAGATAGCTGCAACTACAAGATGGACTCTCACAACCCAACCTCTTTCGCCGACCACGGTTTGACTTTCCAAAATGTCACGTACTCGGTCTCCCCGGAAAAAACCATCTTGCGTGACTGCTTCGGGCGGTTTCGCCCGGGCGAGGTCTGCGCCATCATGGGAGAATCGGGGTCGGGGAAATCCACGCTGTTGAACCTTTTGTCAGCCCGGATGAAGTGGAGCGGACGTTTGTCGAAGAAGGCGGATATTCACGCTGCGCCGCAGTTGTGTGCACGAGGAAGTATTGACTCGACGCCAAAGCCGTTTCCGCACGGAGATATTGCAAGTGCAGACGCGAAGCTTGCCGATGTTGAGCGGGACGATCAAGTCGAAGCAGGAGGTGATGACACGCATCTTTTGTTACCTGCTGCTGCTCAACGAGAGGCAGGACAACAGCTACAGCCTTTCGACCCGATTTCTCCCCGGGACCACAAGTTCACGAAGCTTTTCGGTGATTTGCAGGATGAGGTTGCGTATGTCTTTCAGGATGACCAACTTCTCGCCACCGAAACCGTTTTCGAAACCGTGATGTTCTCTGCCCAACTGTATCAAATGCAAAAATGTTTGGGTCCGGAAGGTTACCAGGTTTGTCATGCATATTTTACATGATTCGGGATGTCTGTAATGCATGATCTGGCATCACATATTTTTAGAGGCCTTCCTGATGCGTATCCCGCATGACAAATGCCCTCCCCGCGTAGCACAAAGTGGGCTCCTATTGCTGGTCATGCAATACAGATTTTTTTAGAGTCCAAAGTTAGCATCACAAGTTGCATTCTTCCAGACCCAGACACTTTTGCAGTTGATAAACTGCGCCGCCCGGATTTGAGCAAAGAGGAACGGCTGGAAAAGGTGAACGAATTATTGGAAGTGCTCGGCCTGACCGCCTGCAAAGACGTGAAGATCGGCAGCGCGCTCTCCAAGGGCATCAGCGGCGGGCAGCGGAAGCGCACTTCCGTTGCGGTGGAGCTGGTGATGGAGCCGAAAATTCTGTTTTTGGACGAACCGACGTCTGGGCTGGACAATCCTTCCGCGGAACGGTTGACCGCGTTCTTGCAGCACTACGCAAAGGAGAAAAACGCGACCGTGGTGTGTACCATCCACCAACCGTCGGAGTACGTTTTGCAGCAGTTCGACCGGGTTTTGGTGTTGCAGAAGGGAAAGACGGCGATTTTTGGCACGCCGAAACAGAAAGCCTGCTTCTCCTTCGCCGAGGATCAAACGGGACAAATGGAGACGGAAACTTCCATCACGCAAATCATGGAAGCTGCGGGCCGGAAAATGCCAATGGAGTACGGGTCTATGCTCGGGCAGTGGCTCTCGAAAGTGATGGCGGAAATGACAGAGGACGAGATGGGAGTGATGCAACAGAAATCCAAGGAAAGCTTCCAGCGGTTGTGTACCGCGGAAGTGATGGCTCGTGCATCTACTACTGAAGTAGATCCGAACGACACGTCGGCGAAAACAAAATCCAAATCGATCAAGAGCAAAGACCTCGGTCGCGCCAACCTGTTTGTCCAGTTGGGCTCTTTGATCGCCCGCGATTTCCGTAAATTGTACCGAGATTACAGTACTTTGGGTCTCTCCGTCGGGTCCGCGGTGTTTATGCCGATTTTGACGTTGATGTTCTGGTGGGCGTTCCGCACCTCGCAATTGGAGGAAGACCAGGACTTCCAGACTTTTTCCGGTTACACGGACTTTGTCGCGGGCAGGACGTCGCTGCTCATCCTTGTGAATTTGTCCATCGGGTTCCTGAACGCCATGCCGGTCGTTGCCACCTTTCCGACGGAGCGCCCGATTTTCCTGCGCGAGTACAGTTCCAAGAGCTACAACGTTTTCAGCTACTTTTTTTCCAAACTGGTAATTGAGATTATCCCTTTGGTGGTGTCGGTGTTGATTGTTCTGTCTTTGACAAAACTTTCCCTGGGTTTGTACGCGAACTTCGGATTAGTCTTCGTTGCCTCCAGTACCTTAGCCGTGACCACCAGCAGTCTGGCCTTACTGGTCAGTTCCTGTACCAGCACGGTGACCGAGGCGATTCAACTCTTGGCTTTGTTGGTCACCTTGCAGTTCATGTCCTCCGGCGCGTTCTTTGCGGTGAAGTACATTCCGGTCGGGGTTTACGGCATGCGGTACTTGTTTGGCGTCAAATTCGCCTCGAACATCAGTCTGCGGAGCGAGTTTAAGCAACTGAGTGAAGAGAAGTTTTTGGATTTCGGCCCGCAGAACGCGATGATCGGGCTGCCGGGAAATTCCACCGCTTTGCTCGAACAAATCCATGACGAGCAGGACATTATGATGCCGGGGGCCAACCCGCAAGCCACGGATGCAATCGACTTTGCGTATCTACTGATGCCGTTTTTTCTCTACCGCTCGCTGGCGGTGCTGATTTTGCACCTGCGCAGTCGCTACGCGGTCAAGTAAGTAGGCCGGGGGCGCGGGGTTTAAGCTTGGAGAACGTCATTGTTGCGGGACACAAATGACAGTCATACAGAGTTGAAGACGCAGTTATAACTTGTACGATGATAGACACATTGACATTCACGAGCTCTTTCTTTAACTACAGTATACTTTTTACCAGGGCAGTACATGTATGATTTTGAAACGAGACTCTGCTCGTGACTCGCTAGTAAATTAAGTAAGAAGATAAAGATTATTTTGATGAACGGGTAAGTGATAGCCCACATTGCACAAGAAAAGGACCTAAGGCAGAAGAGCAAAGCCAAAGCAGCTCTCCCAAGTAGTGCTTTTTGTTGAAATACCGCTAACCATGTGAGAAGAAAGAGCAACTTGCAACAAAACAAACAAAACATATGAAGAAAAGGATCGGAAACAAATCCAGAGAAGTGCAAGCAATGATCTAAATCTGAGATGAAAACTTGAACAAGACGAAAAGGAACAGCGCATGGATGTCCTTGTTTTACTCACACACAGACAGAGACGCTAGTACGACATTTTGGTCCGTCTACTACGTGCTTTGTTGACGTTTTGTTAGGAATGAGGCTGTGGCTCGTCATCTTCTATACTATGCTTCTGTGCGTCTGCTATTTGCTGTAGAGTTCTAGTAGTAGTCTCCTTTGTGCTAGCTGCGTGAGCAAGCTCAAGTGAACACAAAGAATAGGCACTACTTGTACTCGTTTGCTTCGTGCACGCCGCACCTCAATTTGTTAGGAATGAGGCAGATACTAGATTGCTGCCCTGTAGCTGCTCTTAAACCGTTAAACATGGTGTATAATGAACAGAGTTTTTATGCCATAGGTGCGCTTCTATTTCTTAAAGAAATAAAGGAGTTTATCCTTATCTGGAAAAAACAGAAATCTCGTAAGTCGACTGGACACGGGGATTGGTTCGGCGAACTCATTGGAAGCAGCACGCCGGCGGTAGTTTTACGACTGTTCACAACAGCCGGAGCTGTCGCTTTCTTGTACTTTCCAGCGGATGCTTTTTTCCAATGGCTTGTAGTAGATCGGGATGTTTAGAATATGGTACCGGTGGATGCATCTTCACTCTCTGAAGATTCAGAGCCAAAATAAAGATAAAGTCTACTGATCATCTGAAATAGCTGTAAGCACCAGCAGTAACAAACACACAGACGATCAACCCGTATATCTAAAGTCACTTTAACAAAGGACGACTTTGACTTATTTCTCACTACTCAAGATAGAACGACCATCCTGATATTCTGTCAGGATGTTGTACCGGAGCGATGTGCTGACAAGATATGAGAGTGTGCAGCTGCACGAGGTACTACGAGACGAACACTGACAAAATTATCATCTTTTCCTTCCATAAATAGAACTCCAGTCTGGAACGATAGAGGACGAGAGACGAGGGCTCATGCCTTGACTGTTTTTTGAAATAAAACAACACAAATGAAAATCCGTAGAATTATTCATTGCTCTAGGTATAATATAGGTAAAAAAGACTCGAAGAACCTAGTAGAGTGGTGGCAGAGAGAGACGACCATTCTTGTGACCGAAGGAGGGTTGTTCCCTTCGTTTTTATAGCACTGTGATAAATAATTCTCACAGCATTTGGTGCCATCTCCTTGTCGAGATGATGGAACAATATTGAGGCGAAATACAGCATTTTATACTCGTCGCAAGAAAAAAAAATGCCACCCCGCGCCGGCAGTCAGCAGCAGCCGAGCAGGGCCTCAGCTTCGACGGCTATGAAGAAGACGACCGCGACAGCCAGCCCCGGAAAAAAGAAGCAGCAAGTTGTACTAGCTGCGGGGAAGAAACAATCCGCAGCGAAGTCTTCTTCGAATATTAAGGCGCGTAGTTTCTTGAAAAAACCGGCTTTTGCGATGAAAACTGGCACTGGAGGGGCAACGAAGAAGGCGAATGATAAGAAGAATAAAACCAGTGGGAAAAGCAAATCATCTACCGCTGCGAAGAAGAAGAAGACCAAGAAATCCCCGGTCGCAAATAGCGGTGGTCGACAAAAAAGGTTGTCAGCCTACTTCGGATATGAAATGCAAAAATGTCTGGGTCTGGAAGAATGCAGCTTGTGATGCTGCATTTGGACTCCAAAAAAATCTGTATTGCATGAGCAGCAAAGGGAGCGCATTTTTTGCTACGCGGAGAGGGCGTTTGTCATGTCGTATAGGCATCAAGAAGCTTTCAAAAAATCTGTAATGCTAGGGCATGCATCACAGACATCAGGGCTCATGCAACACGTGCATGACAAGTGTCAGAATCTTCCAGACCCAGACATTTTTGCAGTTGATATCGGAGCTGCAGGTTCGAACGACACACAAGATGAACGACGAAAGAAGCAGCAGTCATCAAGTGGAAAAATGATGAAAAAGACGACCACAATGGGAGGTGATGACAAACCCGATATCGAGATGAAGGACGTCGCAAATAACGGCCCGTCCCCGTCTTCCTCCAGATCCTCCATGTCCTCCTCCTCCGGCTCGGTTGCAGCTTCCTCGACCAGCGATTCCATTTTTGACCAGTCAAGAAATCCAGCGAAAACAAATATGCCAGATCTGATGTTCCCAGCGACTACGGCGGCGGCCAACGGGACAACTGGAGGCGCAGGACCATCCTCCTCCGGCAGCGCGAGCACCAGCAGCAAACTTTTGTCGCTGAACAATCTGAACAGTAGTTCCTCGTCCACAGCAGGTTTCGGTTTATTACCCCCAGCCTTCTCCCCCTCTACCTCATCAAGTGCTGCTAAAAAGAATAACGCCTTTCTCGCCAACCAGGCTTCCTCCATCGCGATGGAACTGCAGGAACAGAACCAGAAGGAAAACAACAATCAAACCACCAAATCTACTTCCCTATCTCCCGCAAATAAGAAGACAATTCTGAAAGCCCGCACGGCCTACACCTGGTTTTGTAAACTGAACAAGGACTTCTTCGCGGAAAAGTACAAGCAGAACAAAGGGATAGACCCCCCGGTTGACCTTCTGGCGAAGGCACTGGAGGCGAAGTGGGACAAGATGATGAACAAGGAGGCGAAGAAGGTGTATGAGAATCATGAGAAGTTGGACGAGATAAGATACAAGTTTGAAAAACGAGACTTCAACGAAAGGGACGTGTATAACCTTTTGAAAATCGCCGCGGAGGACTGCGGAAACATCGAGTTGACCCGGGAATTCCTCAACTCCGTCCGGTCGCTAGAAAATATCAATGCGACCTCGGAGGACTGCAGACAAAGCATCGCAATTCGAGTTGGGAAGCAGGTGGCGAAGCAGGGTGGCAGTTTTCCAAGTCCATCGAGCAGCAATTGGCGAAAAATTCTCGCGCAATGGAATATCGATTTGGATGATCCGGCGAGTGGCGAGTTTTTACATCAGAATAACAACAAAAACTCCACATCATCTTCCAGCAAAACGGTGGAATTTGAAGTGTGGAAGCCGCAGGGCGAGCAGCCAAGGTCTACGCAGGAGTACCGGATGACAATCGCGGAGAAGCTACTGGCCATTTTCAACGACGATAGGAAAATCAGCCGCGACGTCGAGCAGGCGCTGTTTCAGCAGCATTTGGGGGTATAGATTGTTTTTTTTTTTTTTGTATATCATGTAAATGATTTTTTTCGTTCTGATCATGGGAGTGTCATCGATTTTTCATGCTCGTCCAATGCCTGTGCATCGGAAGAGAAATGGAATTTCCGATGCAATCATATCCGCATGTATGATCACACAAGAACGCAACTTCCTCTTTATCAGGACATGAAGGAATACGCGGCTTCTGGTCGTTCCTTACTCTACAACCTCCGGCACAACGAGGACTTGCGCAGTCGGGTGTTGAAGAAGGAGTTGAAACCGACGCAATTGGTGAAACTGAGTCCACGCGATCTCGCAACGGACGAGCAGAAAAAGCAGCGCGAGGAGTTGGAGGCAAAGTCGCTGAAGAATTCCGTCACCGCCTCCCTGCCAAAGACGAAACAGGAACTGTACCAGCAACAGCGGGAGGAAAGAGGCGGAGTCGCTAGGATGGATTTGTCGTCCCAAAAGGAAACCCAGTCGCAGGGGTATTGATAGGAGGCTTATAGAAGAAATTTCCGCGGATTCCACTTCGTATCTATACCTTGGCGCTGTACGTCTGTTGTTTTTTTCAAGAAAAATAAAAGAAGCTGCGTTGATGTTGATCTATCATCGTGATTGGTATAGAAAAGCGACTGCTCCTTCTACTTCGGACTGCTTGAGAAGAACTAAAATCAGTATCATTTTCCGACAATTTGATTTCAGCGCAGAAAAAATCATTGACGTTTTATCTGGAAGATTTTTAGGTCTCGTATTACCATAATTTCTTTGTTTCGAAATCGGTAGCGTAGTTAGTTGTAGTTAATTGGAGAATCTGAATCTCTCTACTACAAGCAACTCATGTTCTGTCATGTTGTCGTAAAAGTAAAACCGCACAGAGTTTTACCAGACAGCCACATGATTCCGGGTCTGGTAGAATTCGGTGTCGTCAGAAACACGCACGGTTCTGTTGTTCCCGAAGAAAGCGATCAGCTAGAATTATGAAGGTACTACTCAGAAATAATCGGCTACGGCTCTACAACAAGCATATAGCGTGTTCGAGGACATCAAACCTCTCGATGGCATAAGTCGTGATTCGGTAGTCCTACTGTCTTGCAGATTAAGTATCAACGTCGGTCCATCTTCCGTGATGTCCTAGCAGAGCTAGATGCAAGATAGAAGTTTCCGCGGATTCGACACATTCGTTGAGAATTATCGGTCAATATGTCTGCAGCACTTTCTGCATCAAGTAGTTGAGGGTTAGGTAGTAGTACAGTAAGAAAGTTCGCAATATCGGCACCAGAGAGAGAGCTAGTAGAGAAGCAGCCATGGGAGGCGGAGGACGAGGAGAATGAAGATTTTAAGGTTTGATGCCTCGTGAAAGTATAATTCGTCGTGTCGTGTTTCTCGAACTCGTTTTCATTCACCCATCTTGACTACGAGAACCATCCATCATCACAAAAAAACATCCAACCGCAAGAAAATAGTCGTGCTTTTTTTCCCCACACCGCACTACCCCATGATAGATGATGGAGCCATGCTATTTCTATCGACATATGAGGAATTATCCCCGTCACGTGGACTACCCATAATTTTGTCTTTCTGATACCATTGCAAAAGCAATTGTAGTGATAGATTTTGAGCTGAGCTTTCTCTATTCATTTCTGTGATCGAATTAATATTTTTGAACCCTACACTTTCTCGTCACCTATCATTTTTAGCCGAGCTAGGTATGAAGAGCTGGAGCATCATCTGTGAAGACGCTTCGGCTTTATAGTTCTAAAACTTCTCACTTTCAAGAAATTTTGCGTAATGTCTGAAAGTTCTACCCCCCGCTGGAAGATGGTATTATTGAAGAGCTAGAGCTACTCCTCGTTACGACTTCTGCAGCACCCAAGGCACTTCATCTACATTTCTGCGATTTTCCAAATAACATTTCCAAAGAAGAGCACTCCTCTCATCTACCGCGACCTTTTTACTATCCCAAAATCCTAAAACCTCCTTGCCGACTAAAGCTGCGCCATGGGTGCAGGTTCTTCTTTCGCGCCGCAGACTTCGTACTGCCATGCCTGCGGTTTCCGGCAAACAACCATCGGCGGCACGTTGAACGAGTGCCAGCATTGTGGAGCGGTGGACACCTTGGAAACCAGGCCGATGTTCACGGAGATTTTGGAGCAAGGGGCAGATGGCGCGGTGAATAGAGTAGATGGCGGGGGAACACAAGATGGACCACAAACACGGACGGGCAATGCCGCCGGGAGCGACACCACAACCACTGGTGGAACCAGCCGAAGTCCAGTCAGAACCAGAAGGAGGAGCAGCACGACAAGGAGCGAGGGAGGAGACAGGGTAAATTACGTTTCCCATTTTCATCTGCTTTCATTTTTGATGTGTGACACAAAATGACACGGGCGCTGAAGATGCCTCCTGTGCCTCGGATAGTACTCTTCTCGTTCTGGATGCAAAAACCACCCAAAAAACGACCAACAGCCTACTCCCACCGCTGGTGGCCCAAGAAACACAACTACGTCCGACAATTCCGCCACTCTCGGCAGCCAGGACCATTCCGCTTCGGAACAGGAGTCTTCCGGCGAGGAAGCGCATGTGGATCTTTTGTGGAAAAACCTGCACCGCATTCCGGGCGTGACCGCGACTGGAGATTGCAGCATTTGCTGTACCGAGCTCGCTGTGGATGATGATGAAGAAATGAAGAAGAAAGCGTTGGAGCAAGCCGGAGGGGTAGTACAACTGGATGAATCAGGAGACGAAAAAAATAAAAACCTCTTTAAAATCGACGGCCCCTTCCGCGGTTTCCACTCGCCCTACCCCTTCCGTTGCGACTGGTTTTTCTACCGCGAGAACGCGTTCATGCACCCGAGTCGGGCGGCGGAGGAGAATTATTGCATACCCGTGTCGGATATCAACTGTAAAAATGTGTGGGTCTGGACGGATGTAACCTGTGTTGCGCATTTCAGAACACACAAAAATCTCCCATGCATAGGTAGCAAAAGCTGCTCACTTTCTGTCACCAAAGTGGGGGATTTGTCATGCGGGTTCGGCATCGCGGAAGCTTCTCGAAACCTGTGATGCTAGAGCTTCCATGCCAGACCTTCTGCGTCATGCAGAAACAGCATCACTCTTCCAGACCCAGACATTTTTGCATTTGATATCGGAGTATCGGGACGGGAGATTTGTCAACTACGACGAAAAGACCGCAATCACCCCCTGCGCTTTGAAGTCCGCGGAAATCGCCGCGAAGCCCTACACGGTGATAAAACTCCCCTGCGGCCACCAATTCCATGAGGAGTGCTACTCGTCTTGGTTTTTCTCGGCGTCCAATTACAAGAAAACCTGCCCCACCTGCAGGTCCGCACTGCGGCCGAACGCGCGGCCGCCAGATATGGCGTTCTCAAATGTTACATTCTCAGCTGTTACATGATTTGTCATGCAAAAACACTATCACTCTTAACACGATCAAGCCTTCTCCGCATAACAACTTCTCGACGCGCTAGGTAGCATTATACTCTGCTCCAAACCTGTAATGCAAAAGGCGCAACGTTTTCCCTTTCACTTTTGCCATTCTTGCATACAAATTTCATGTAACAGTTGAAAATGTAACGTTTGAGAACGCCATACCAGAGGAACGCCAAGCGGCGCGGAACGCGGCAAACGGGATAAGTACCGGGACGGACAACGAGCCCCACGCGTTTCTCCGGGCGGCGCGGGAGTTTTTCGAAACTTTCAACCAAGCGACCCGAGCGGCGCACAGTTCGCTGCTGCGTGTGTTCGAGGCGCAGCGGGAACGGCATGCGCGGGAGCTGGAGGAGCGGAACAGGGGGAACAGTGAGGAATCGAGTGGGATTGACGAGGCGAATTTGGTGGTCAGTTCGGAGAGAACCAGGATGAACAGAAGTGGTGGTGATGAAGGTGAAACCGACAACAATTTGAATTCTACGAGGAGGGGACACCAGCCGTACACAGTCCTGCAGCCACCTCGAAACAACAGCAGCTCGGCGAACCAACCGACGCGAGGAGAAACCCAGGCTGCCAGGCAAAATAGCGCGATCAGCCAGCACATTCAGATCATGCCGTTTCTGGAGCAGCAGCCCCAAGAAGGAGGTGCTAATTCGGACACGACCGTTTATCCTTTCGGGGATGGAGAAGAGCAAGATGGTAGCGTCAGCAACTCCAGCAGCCGAGCGACGCCAAATAACAGTGTCGGAGGTTCTTCTTTCTTCGGTGCTGCTACATCGGGACCAAGACAAGCCAACTCTAGTACCTCGAACAGCAACAGCAACACAAGTACGACATCTACAAATAATCGGCGCACGCGCACATCGCACCAAATCCGGTTAACACCGCTACGATCCGAGGACCTGCCGGAGGGAAGAGGGACGGCGTTCTACTTCGAGCTAATCGAGCAGGAGGAGGAGGACGTGGATGAGGATACGGCGACTGCGGCGGAGCAAGACGGTATAATTACTCAACCACGGGTCGAAAATCCGTGGATTCGCGGTGGCGGCGGTGTGGTTCCTAGTACAACTTCTGCGCGAAATTCATCTAGAGCGACGAGTACGAGGAATAGTGTAGATAGGGGAAGTGAAGAGAGCAATGCCGCTACAACAGCTTCCACCGTAGCTAGCGCAGGTCTGACCGCGACGACAATAGGGGCGCCAGAGGTTGATGTTGAAGACGGACGACGGTCAGCAACAGCATCGTCTTCAAGTCCGACGAACAAGAAGGCACCCCGAGCTGGTGCTGAAGCTGCGGGTGCAACGTCTACTCCGAAAGGACGGGAGAAAGAGCGCGTCGGTGGAGAGTTGATGCAGGAGAAAAGTTCAAAGAAAAGGAAAACTACACCTACTCGCTACAGTGCCGACCATGCGGCAGCAGCAAAGAAGGGAAGAGATATACGAAAACGCACTATCGGTATAAACAGCGACTCGGACGACGAGAATGACGCTGCGCTACAGGCCTTCCTCGGAGTCGGGGGTAACGACGGGGGAATGTTGCAGTCATCTTCAGCTGCTGGCAGCAACAGCAACTCAAGTTCATCATCAAGCAGTAGTAGCAGCTCCGGCCGCTTGGAAGACTACCAACTTCTCCCCTCGAAGCTCGTTTCCAATGCCTACAGAAGCAAGATGCAGAGGGAGGACGATGAAGATTTCGATTTCCAGCCTCGCGGCCAGCAACAGATGAATCACAAGAAGAAAAAAACTTCCACCGCCCTAGGTGGTGCTCGCGGCGGCCTACATCAGTTTTTACCCGGAGCTGCTCGTCCTCCAGCATCTTCCTCTTCCTCGAGTCTTGCGTTTTTTGACGCGCCGACGCCGGACTGTCAATCGACCATCGACGGCGAGGAGGACGAGCTTCTCGAAGATGTCGCTACAACCGCTGGAGGGGATCTGTACTCCTCTTCGGCAACAACGGTTTCATTATTGAAAACACCACTCTTCTCCCCGAGTCTGCAGTCCGAGCACGAAGAATATATGTTGCTGCAGGAACAGCAGAAACAGAAAACGAAGACCGCATCTTCGCCCGAAGCGGAGTTACGGAGGAAAGAACGGCAGGCGCTGATCACCGGAAGAAATATCGCTGATTTGGATGAAGACCCAGGTCGTGGTTTTTTGTCAAAGCGCGAAACACTGCAACCCTCCAGAGTGCCGTCGACCAGTCCGCAAGATAACGACCGCGGAACAAGCGGGGTTCTGATGAACAAGCAACATCTGGCCGCTACCACGCCCGCGTCTTTGAGCTTACTCGGTGGTGGCGCGGGAAGTAGCTTGGCGACTGGACGAGGGGGAGCAACAGCAGCTGCTGTGTCGTCAAGTGGTGGAAGTGCTGGGGGCAGCAATTTTCTGAATAGCACGGGGTCAGCAGTAACTTTACCACCTTCGCGGAACAAAGCTCCGGTTGTTCTCCCTGACCGGACTCCGTCATCTTCGTCTCTCATTTCGGCCAACGGGGAAACAGCAGCGGCAGCTGCAGGGGAACAAGATCTTCTAGTACCGAAAGAGAACAAAAAGAAGATGAAAATAGGACAAAGAGCGTTTGCGTTGCGCGAAGAGGTGACCAGTAGTCTCTCCCCGGCGGACGAAGAGCCTACGATGACGTATCGCTGTCCTCAGACGGAGGTTTTACACCAGGGTGTGGATTTCAGGCCTGATTCTTTCTGCGGCAGCACTGCTTCTGCATCATCATCTTCTCCGAGCAAAGGTGGTGCAACACGAAGTAATTCCGGCGAACAGAGACAAGAACTGCAGTTGCTGACTTCGTGCCACGCGGCGAAGGGTTTGTTAAGGGTAAACGCGCGGGGCGGATTGAATTCTTCGACATCGAGCACAACAAGCAGCGGCACAACATCTTCAAACTGTAGTCCAGTGTGGGGGTCCGAGCATTTTCTCGGGTCGGGCAAAGTGGATGTGCAGGGGATTGCGCGAATGACGCTGCCTCTAGAAGTAGTCGGGGAAAATGGTAAAACTAAAACTGACAGCGAAAGAAGTAGAACACACATCCCGTTCATCGTTCTCTGCCACACCAACCAGGACCGGGTCATTTTGGCGCAGGAAGATGAACCTATTACAACGTCGGCGGGGATGAGTCAGAAGACATCCTCATCGTCATCCACTGCGTGTGCCTTCGCACTCACCGGCATCCGAAAACCGGCAGGGGTTTGCTGGAGTGAGAAGCAGAAAACGCTCTACGTCACCGCGGCGCACGCAGTGTTCGCTTTCAAGTTTGCACTGGAGCATGCGAGACTGGACGAAGGAACAAATGCAAATAACGAGAACTATCAACAAAAGAACATGAACGATACGACTAGTACCAACCGCCTTCTGTTCTACCCAGAGCAAAGTCTAACGCCTAACGCGACCTCGGAAGATCTGCTCAGAACTGTCAAAGACGGAGCTGTATTTTCAGCGGCCGACTTTGGCCAATCAGCAGGTAGTACATCAACCACCACCTCCGACCAGATTCTCCCCTGCCTCTGCACCTCAACAGGTCAAGTTACAGAAATAAATCAACACCAGCCAAATAAACCCTCCAGCACGACGTGGTCTCCCCACTATCAATTGAAAGTCACACGACAACTGCTGCTCGGGTCCGGGAAGCGCGGCTCGACTCTACGCTCCCTCGCTTTCCCTTCGCAGATTGTGGTAGACGAAAAGCAGTCAACGTTGTTCATAGCGGATACCTTCAACGACCGGATTCTGAAGCTGGACTTAGCCACGAACCACTGCACGATCGCGATGGGGAGGGGGTTTTTAAGGAATTTGAAAAACCCACGGGGGGTTTGTTTGTCCAAAGACAGCAGTCTACTGTTCGTCGCCGACACGGGGGGACAAAGGATTTTGCAGACGCCGATAGCTGCGAACCAGACTTCTGGAGGTGAAAGAACCATGCAAACATCTTCTTCGACGACAGGACCATTAATATCTGCCGGTGAAACTACAACGACCACAGCCGTAACAACGACCACCAGATTTTCATCCGCAGCGACAGGAGGCGTAACTACAAACCCTGTGACGTCCATTGAGGGAGATTCCCCTTGGATCCGACCTTGCTGTTTAATGGTGGATAGCAACTTTCTCTACGTCTCGGACAAGAACCGACTGTCACGGGTTTTAGTGGAAGAAGCGTCGGAATCGGTGATATGAGGTTCGGATAGTGGTTTCCAGCAACAAACGTGGTTTCGATCAACGGCAAGAACTTTTTCGGGATGATGCTACGATGTTGCGCGGTTCAGGAAAGGCACTATGTGTGAGTGGTTATTCATAAATCATATTCATCTTCACAAGAAAACTTCAACTTGATTGAATTTAGAATGTGATCTCGTTTCGGTTTCCGTTTCTGTTTCTTTTCGTCAGCCAGTTTCGGCGTCGAGACGACACATCTAAAGATTGCTGCAGATCATGACACGGGTTGTCAGGATGAACGTCGCACTTTGTGTTTCCAAACCTAACGAAAGTAGTTTTTGAAACAAGAATGGAGAACAAACTCCGGCTCGGCGGCATGCCGTCCTTCGACGCATTCTGCGAAATTTGTTCCTGGTAATTCGTTGTGCCGGTTTGTGCTGGTACGACATAGATTTTTTGTCGTTCAATGCAAGCGAGGGGCTTCACCTTCAATTAGGATGAGCAAGAGAAAGAGAGAGTTTCTCCGTTTCTCAAGGTCTTCGAGCGATGGAAAGATGATCAACGCAGATGGTCCGTGCTGCTTTCTTGCTCTGGATAGACAGGAGGAAATCCGTGGCACGGTACGGGAATGCACTGTTCTACGAGAGAGGTGGAGCACAGTGGGCATAGAAAAGCGTGTTGCTCACATGTTGCTGGACGAGTTTGTATTTTAGTGTTCCTGCTGGCTCGCTGTCGCCTGATGGTTTTTCTTTCCATCCCTTCGAGTTCAAACTATCGAAGAAGCTTGATCTCGCCTTGTGTTGTAGCGCTTTTTGTTCGTGGACTGCCCTGTCGGCGCGCTGCGCCGGGGGCTCGGCGAAGGGATGGGGCCCGGCCACGTACTTCCGTACCGCCACAAACAGTGGGCCAGGCCGCGGGCGCGTTTTCGACAGCAGCGACGACGATATCCTTGCAAGACATCGGCGCCACCATGCCGCCACCCGGCGCGCGAAGCTGTGCCCGGCTCTTTCGCGCGAAAAGCCTGCGCTGGCTGCCCCCCTCTGATGATTTGGCCGGGGCGCGCGGGCTCGCGAACTTTCGCGCCAGCGGCCCCCCCCCGTCCTTCGCGGCAGGCGTGCCCCCGTGTCGTTCGCCTGCCCAGGTCGGTGGGCGGTTTTTGCCTTTCTCCCGACCCAAAATTCTAAGGGTCCGCCATGGCATATGATCCGGCCGGGCGCAGATAGCGCCGTGGCTGCCCGGGTGCGAGAAAGAATCAATCGGGCCCGCAGTTCGCTCGCCCACGCAGTTGCTGCGCGCCCGCCGACCCGTTGCGCGCCGCCCAGTGCATGGAGCTTCCATAGCACCTCCGCTGCGCGCTTGGGAGGAGGGAGAAGGGCCGGCGCCGCGATTAGCTTCCAGGAAGAAGAAGAGGCTCCTCGCCATGATGCGGAGAGCAAGCATGGCAAACATTTGGTGGCAGGGGCGCCCTGCGCAACCAGTCCTCGTTTCTTTTCCCGGCAAGGAGAGGCAGTGCCGGCTAGCCTATTGCCTTCTTCGGACGAACTTCCGTCGTTTGGCGTTCGGCCTGGTGGTGAACAATTTTTATTGGTGACAGGACCAAGGAGAAAGCAAAAGTATACAATCCGGGTGAGTGGTTGGCATAGACAGTGGCGAGATCATGACTCATATAGGTGGGAGCGTGAGGGTGAGTTGATTGTTGTTGCCCCAAGAGGAAGGATGGGAGGGAGGGAGACTGAGGATTTACGGCAACAGAACTTTGAGAAGTAGAGCACCCCATCTTGTTTATAGTGGAGCACTGAATCCACAACGCCCCAAAACCACACTCAGCATAGACTCAGGCATGCTTGCTTTTCCTCGACGCGAAGGAAAGAGGACGCGAGCTATGTCTGGCTCCTCCGCCGCGGAATTCGTTTTGGTTTTGGCGGTGGTGCAAATGCGTAATTGCCTTAGCGCAGCGGGTCCGCAGCTGTTACGAGGCGAACGGCGCTACAGGAGGAGCGCGAGCGCTTCCGCCCTTGTTTGGCGGGGGTATGTAAGTGCAAGCGGCTGGCCTCGGAGTATGTTGCGGCGGTAGTTCCGCGCGGGGCGCGGGCGGTGAGCGAAGTAAAAATGCTCCGGGGGCCGGCGTGTGTGCCCCTCTTCCCAAGAAGCGTTCCAGCCGGCCCGCACCAGAGCAGCGGCCCCCGCGGAAACTCGTGGACATGGTGATGGTCGTCAGCCAATGCAGACAGGCGCCCGCCGGCCGCCCGCTTTTTGTAGTCTGCCAGCGCGCCCGGCGGCGGCCGCGCGCTGCTGTTTCCGTCGTCCGCGGCAGCGACTGGGCCTGTGGCGCCCGCCCTTCCTTTGGTGCCGCACTCCAAAACCCCGGGCGGGCGGGACGCGGCGGGGCGATGTTATCCGCCCCGCGGCATTGGCCTGCGCGCGCCCCCCACCGGCCCGCCTACCCCCACCCCGCAGGCAGACAACGCGGCCGGCCGGGGGCATGGGGCAGCGCGCACCAGTGCTGGCGCGTATTCGCGGCGGCCTCGGCCCCCGGGTCGGTCCGCGTGGTTTTGCGATTGCAATTGGTCGGCCGCATGCATGTTTTTGAGCCTCAGGCGCCGGCGACTCAATATCGGTCGCCCCGCAAGGACCTCTTCCTATCTCCTGACTCTAGTTCTGCGTGCTCAGAGACCGTGGCCACAGCCATTGGTCTGGACGTGCATCCCTGGTGGGCGTGTGGCTGGGCGAGCGAGTGTTCAGAAAAGAGTTGTTGTGTGTGAGAAAAGAGTTGTATTTTCTAAGGTGGCATCTTCATGAAACTCTTACTTCTGTTCATGTGCATATCCCGTGCCCGTCGGACTGGGACACTGTCGCAGGAGCATTTGATAGCGCTCCCCTTTGCTGTTACCGTGCTAAAGTATTCCAACCTTGATCCGCAGCACAACCCCGAACCATTCCACACCACCTGATGCTGCATGCCGTTCACGGTTCGCACAGCCAGCTGGGCGGTTGCCGTGGACGAGAAGTACGATCCCGATGAGTACCTCCAAGCCGAAGAGGAGGCCACCCAGCTGGCCCGGGATGAGTTCAAGAACGTGTTCGAGTCCCGCCGCATCGAGGAGAACCGGATCCGGGTCCGCCGGTTCGAAAAGTTGAGGCGCAAAATCGATCGCATGCGGGATGTATGCACTGCAAGAGAAAGAGTGTCGTACTAGTATAAATCGCATGACAACTCTTCACAAAAGGATAAGTTGAGCTTGTTATGCTGATTCGCCTCAGAGTCCAGATTCGTCATGCAGAATTGCACTTACGACTACGAGTGCGATACTTTTGCAGAGGATAGGATGGCTGCTACGCGGACGCCGCTTTACAGCAGCAAATCCAGCGCGGGTACGGGGAGTTGGGCCTGTTGTTCGCGGTGAATTTGTTTTTCGTGTTAGAAGTGACCGGAGCGGTTGGAAATACAAACAAGGACGATGGAACAACTTCTAGCGGAACCACAACAGCCGACGATGAGGGGTTGCTCATCACAAAGATCTGCTTCGTCGTCCTCATCACGACCCGGATGGCCTACATCTACTACCTGGACCACCTCCAGCGGTACGAGAAGATGTTCAAACTGGAATCCGTATCCTGAGTAAAAGTGTCCCCACCGCATATTTGTGATGCAATTCTGCATGCCAAAAAAGTTTCTCATGCGGAGCCCTATGAGAAGCGTTTTCTATTTGTGTTTTGGAATTTGTGATGCGAGAATCAGCATGCTATGCTAGGTCTGTGACGCTGCTGACCTACCTAAAACAGGATTACACAACGAGGACCTACTTGTCATGCCAAACAACCAAAGCTGGTTGGTTTGTCTACGCAGATTTTCCAACTTGACTCTGGTATGGGGACGCTTTTACTCAGGATAATCCGCGATCAAGCACGGTGTGCAAAACGCTTTATCCGAAATTGCCAAGGACGAAAGATTCGCGGACCCAAAACTCCGGCCCACTTTGCTCGAGCCGGTCAACGTATGAGATTGCACAACTCCCCCTCCCCCTCATTTGTATGCATGGTATGAGCAGCAATACAGACACCAGCTCAAATGGAGCCTGCGCATGACAAATCTACACACGGATTGGAGTGTTGTTTGTGGTTCCAAAATTTGTCATGCTAACCGTGCTTACAGACAAGGTGTGGATTTGGGTTTTTGCATCACAAATGAGGGGGAGGGGGAGTAGTTGTGCACTCTCATACAACGCGCGGGACACGAAAATCGAGTGGCGGTCTGCAAATTGGAGAAAGTTGGACAGTAGTTCTTTTGGAAGAAATTCTAGTAGCTCGACGTCCCCCGGCGGCACAACTACTACTTCTAGAAGGCCAATGCCCAGCCTTTTGCGCCAGAGCCTCGGTGACGAAGAGTTGGAAAAAGAGGCGAAGGACTGGAGCAGCAGTGTCACGTTAAAATCAGTTTTTGGAGGCGGAGGTAAAAATAACGCGTCTCGAGTTGGTGTTGATGTGTCTGGCTCCCCTTCGGCCAGGAGAAGCGGCCCACTTAGAGACAGCCGGACGACGGATGCGGCGAGAGAAAGTCCGCAGGCATCGTCCGAGGAGGGGGAGGATTTGCAGGATTTTGTTTGCAATGAAGCCTCCTCCGCAGAAGTTCCAGGCGACAACAAGACCGTAAAAGACGACAAACCAGCTGGTGAAGAAGATGGCCCCGCCGCATCATCCCCAACCGTCCCGGCCCCACCGCCACCCCCGTCCGCCTGGCCCTGGTCGCCGGATGTGGACTCGGATTCTGACAGCGAGAACGAGGATATAACAGTGCACAACATCCCCTCACCCTCATTTGTATAGCATGAACGGCAATACAAGCTTCAGCAAGAGTGCCGGTTTTGCATCACAAATAAATTTGCACTGGAGTATAGTGCTATTTGGGCTACCAAGAACTTCTCATGCAAACAGTGCCAAGAGGCAACGGGTGGATTGCGTATTTTGCATTACAAATGAGCGGGAGGGGGAGTTGTGCACTCTCATAGAGGACGAGTGCGAGCCGGTCGCGGAGCTTCCGCTGGGCGAAGGGTTGCCCGGTGCGGCGACAAGATCTAGCTTCATGACGACGGGCGTGGTCGGCGGGCCGAATAAGCGAGGGTCGCTGATATTAGCAGGGGCACAACACCATCAATCGGTTTCCATGCGACGAAACACCAGCGATCTGATTGGCAACGGGGTCATTTTAGGCCTGGAAAACATCGGCTCAACATCTGCGATGGGAGGTGGAGCTATTCACAGTGGTTCCGCGGCGGGTGCGGATAATGTTGGTCACTTCTCGTCGACGTCCCATCAGCCGAAAGAACTCGTTTCTCGGTCCCGGCAAAACTCGTTCTTAGTGACCGCCTCTATGGCCCCGAACATCAAGGAAACCGGGACCATTGGCACGGTGAAAGACACGGTGGTTGCGGAAGACGAGCAGGACAATTTGACCAGCCAAAGGAGAAGGAGCTCGCTGTCAGTTCCCACTGGAGGGCTGAACTTGAATCAGCGGCGAGCGTCGCTGGGAGGGGGCGGCGGCGGGGGCAGGAGAGGAAGCACGAGCGGAGCAGGTAAAGAACAAAATTGAGCCGGTTTCTTCGTTATTGTTTGCGCACTATGAACGTCCTGCTGTGTTTCACATTCATTTGAGAGGTTGTTGTCCTGTCCACGTATGATGTCAAAACCTATATTTCAGGTACTACCGGCCTGAGCCGCACAGCAGCTGCAAGCAAAGCGCGCAAAAAGGAGAAGGATCCGCAGCGGAGCCGGAAGGAGAACCCGTTTTCGCAGCTCTTCAAAGAGGCTGAGTCAAATGAGGAGGACGCAATTCCGTTTTTCACCAACGATCCTCTTAGCACTTTGCTGCTATCTACAACTTCCTCCGCTGCAACAGGGTCGGTTGATGACGAAGACGATTTGAGGGATGGTGGAACTGCGACGTTTTTAGAAGGGTTAGACGACGACAAAGTTGGTCATTTTCCGACGAAAACTGATTCAACGTCGTCTACTGCAGGGAAAAATGAAGAGCCAAATGGTGCTGACAAGAAGCGGCCCGCAGCTGAGGTCATGCCTTCCTGGCTGTCAGAAGCGCTGAAAGCAGAAGGGTGGCGACCGCCGAACCAGGGTAGAGGTAGTGCCGACGCCGCGGAAGGGGGAGGGGGAGCTCCTGGAATTATCGGTAGCGACAAAGCAGAGCTTTCATCTAGTGCTACAACCGGCCTTCCATCCGCGACTTTCAACATTGCCAAGAACATCACAGCATCCAAAGGTTTGCTCTCTTCCATGTTCACCTCCCGCCGGGCGTCGACTGCCGCAGCGACCGTCGTGCCACAACATCCGAACGAAGCTACTGCACCAGGTGAAACATCATCAGCCACCGCCGGCCCAAAGCCCAAATGGGTCCCGCAGCGCCAGGATTCGGGCTTGAATTTTCTCGGGGTCCTCCCCACGGCGAAGGGTGGGGGTTTAGGATTTTGGCGCGTCCCTTTGCCGAGTAGAAGGACCAGCACGATTCCCACGGCGGCGAATAATTTTTCCCGCCGCGCGTCCGCGATGGGAAATTTGACGAGCAGAAGAGCGAGTCAGGATCAAACACAGTTCACGCGGCCAATTGAGGAGACGATCGTGGAAACCAGTACGAGTTTAACCGACACGGTGGAGACTTCTTTGAACAACAAGAATATAATCCGGGGCGGAACAAACGCGACGGATTCGAAGAGGAGCTGTGGGTCGGTGGATGAAGAGGAGGAAGAGGATATTGAAAAAGCCGACGGATATAATTACGGTGAAAAACAAACAGAACACTCGACAGCTGCGTTGCAAGATCAGCACGCGAGGATGAACGCAGCGTCAGCTTCTTCTTCTTCTGCAGCTGCGAAACTGCAACAGAAAAAACCTCCTGCAGCTATAACCTGCTCAGGCGTTACAATCGCAAACGTTACAATAGAATCTGGGATTTGTATTGCATGACGAACATGACAGACTCGCAGAGCGTTCCACTTTCTGCAATACAAATATCGCCAGACTCTAGTGCGGTTTGGGGCTCCGAAACTTGTCATGCGCAATCCTGTGGGACTAGGGTAGATCATGCACTTCCTGCATCACAGATTTCCAGATTCTATTGTAACGCTTGAGATTGTAACGTTTGAGCGGGCCATATCAGCGAAGCCCCGCCGGGTGTCCATTTTCGACGACTGGGCGAATCCGGTTGAGTCCACCATGGTGAAGCAGATGCGATCCCATTCAGTTGTGCTGGATAAGTCCGAGTTTATGAAACAATACCTCCAAGAACAACAGCAAGAGAATAAAGCACAAAGCGGTGAAAAGAACACCCAGATGACCAACCCCTTGCAAATCGACGACTCCGATCTCCTTACCTGTGAGCCGGTAGAAGTAGATCAAGCGGACGGCAATACGGTGGACCAAGACATCATCGTTTTGCCGCTGTTTGAAAACGGGGCGAATTTGTGGGGAAGGAGACAGAGCCAAACCGGGGCGTTTTCCGGGTTTGTCCCCAGGTGCAATTGCCGGAACGGAATCCACACCTGTATGTCGCCTAGGAGTACCACTGCAACAACTGCGGTCGGAACGGTTGTGCCCTCGACGCAGCAGAGCGTGTTTAATTCGCAGTACGTCTCGCGGAGGGGGAGCGATTGGAAGGTACTGCTTTTGGTGAGTTTGAGAATAGATTTTTCTGCACGCTGAAAATTTTGCTCCTTCCGCGTATGCAACAAGGATAAATTCTGCGACTTCGGCTTCACTGCCAGCACATAAATAAAAGCTGATAAACACGACCTCAAACCCACGACAGGACTCCGCGCGTCCTTCCGGCATGCTTGATAAGTCGATCGTACCTTCCCCGGAAAACGAGCTGCACATTTCCGTCCTAAAAGCCGGCGTGGAGCTTACCAACAACAAATCCCCGCACTTCGCCCCGTTCTCTCCGCCGGATCCATGCAGCCCGGGCGGAGGACCACAGGCGGTGGACTTTCAGATCGCAACTACTTCGAGTGGAATACTGGGAACTGCTGGCTTGCACCATCAGGAGGATGGGACAACAGCAGCTGCATCCCTCGGTGGCAGTCTTGTTTTCACGGGGGAGATGATTGACAGTACTTCTACGGGGATGAGCAACAGCCGAACGCACTTGCTACAGCAAGCAACTTCTGGAACAACCACGACCGGAGCTGCAATAGCTGCCGCGACCGCGGGGTCAGGTCCTAGTACAACCAACAGCAGCTTCGGTGCTATCGCCGTTTCACCAGCGGCCAACCCGTTTAACAATCTTGCTCCCGCGGCCTCGGGCTTGCATCAGGTGCAAGATCATCATATCAATTTCGCCACGGCAACAACCGGAGTAAATGTAAATCAAGGGCAAACAAGCATCCAACCGAAATTCGGGCTCGCGAACAGTTCCTCCAGCAACCCCGCGGAAATGGTAGCGGGGATCGAAGCGATTCAGGCGAAGGATTTGTATCAGAAGCTGCTCGATCCAAATGCAAACAACTACTCCGATGTTGTGGTCATCGACGTGCGGGGCCGGGACCACGAGGGTGGGCACATCCCGGATAGTATTTGGATCAAGACTAACGATGTGATCGCGAATCCGGGGTTTTTGATGGCGGAGATCCGGGCGCGGAAGGTCCGATCGGTGGTGTTCACCTGTATGTACTCGGTGTTGCGGGCGAGACGATGTTGCACCGCGTTATCCGACTACCAACAGAAGGAAAGGCTGGAGTCGAAACACGCGGCGTACATGATAAAAATCCAGATCCTGGCCGGCGGGTTCCATGGCTGGGTGAACTACTTTCTGAACAACAAGATGATTTCACTGCCGACAGAAACCACTGGTATGAAGAATGCTCCTGCTGCACCCAGCACAGGAGGAGCCGCAGGAGCCACACACGACGAACAACAAGCTCCGACCAGCGCTTCCGAAGATTTGCTGTCCGGGAAGACCACTACCACGCTCTTCGTGGAAGATTTCAAGCGGGAGTGCTGGACAAAGGCCACGAAAGACATCGGGGAGTCGCTGGGCTACGTGCACGTAATGGATGCGCTGTGGTCGGAGGCGGGGCAGAAAAAACTCATCAAGAACTTGGAAGAAGAACTCGAAAAATGCGCCCGGGAAAAACTCGGGGCGCAGTTGCAGATGTTGAGCGACGAAAGAGGTTGCGGTGGGGGTGGGAGCGAAAATGAAGAAGATGGGAAGGAGGAGGCAGAAGGGGGGCCAGCTGGTGAGGGTGACGGAGCGGCGTCTGGCGCGGGGAATAAAACGGGTGAAATATTAGTCTGAGTAGCAGTGATGTAGCAACGCAACTTCAACTTGAAAACAACAAAATTATACTATGCTTAGATAGAAGTAGAACGAAGGCATCGCGCAGCAAATGCGTCTCCACTCGTCGATTGAGTATTACAAAAATAGTCATGGAAAGTCTTCCAGTGAATTTGAAAACAACTGACCCTGAGTTGTAGCCGCGTACTAGCAGAAGTTTCTCGTCCTCCTGTCCTAGTTTCGCGTTTTCGAATTTGTATTTTTTCACCATCAGGAGCGTCAACATCTTCTCCCTTGAATGAGGAGCATGATGGAACCAAAACCAGTGCAGTAAACACTCATGGACCACAAGCAAGTTTCAATGAATCTATGGGGAACATCACGTCGTTCTCTAGCAAGGGACGATTCATATGAGCATCAGCGATTCGAACAATTATCCTCGAATAATGCGGCCGCTAATGTTGGTTCTGGGTAGTTCTTCGCCGGCCTATTCTTTGTTACCTATTTTTTGGAGCGAGGGGACCATCTGCAGTTATATTTCATTCGAGAGGAGCAAGAACAAGTCCGTTATTTTCACTAACGTGTGCAGCAATGAATAAAGAGTGCAAGAATGGAATCAGTATAGTATTTGAGAGTATTTTCATCATTATGGCGTCCTAGATCCACTACCGTTTTGGTTTTTTTTCCCGCCGGGACAAACTTGAGAGATTTTTTCTGCTCTGTTTTCGGCTCTTTTTCTTTCCGTCTTTTTGATTGGGCGACGTACCCATTGCATTGCTTTTGCTGTGGCATTTCATTCCTTCATTTCTGTTCCTCGTCCGGATAGGAAGGCAGTGACGGAAGAAGGGCACGTGGTTTTGGATGGCCACTGCCTAAATTTTCGTCAGTGCTGTGAAAACCGTTTTTAAAAACTTGTGAAGTAAGTATATAAAAAACAAACCAAAATCAAAATCTTTCGCCGTGCTACGGTACTACAACTACACAGACTAGGGTGCTGAAGCAGGGCCGCGTTGTTGACGTGCTGATCACCACGACCGGAAAACCGAGGACGCTCCTGCAAGAAGAAGCTTGCTCCGACGGTGAACCTGAGTCTCTTTCGGGTTCTTCTTCCGCTTTATTTCTTCCTCTTCAGCAAGAATCTGAAACCAGTATTACCAAGGCACCGGCTCAACATTTTGTGACAACTGTGACCAGCATAGCAACGAACATGACAACTGGAACAAAAACGTTCAACACGATGAACGAAGGGTCCGAAGTAGAACCCAAGCAGGTCGTTGATATCGTGCAGAAGAACGCCTGCTCAACGGAAAAAGTAAAGGTCGAGGATCCGTCCACAGAAAATAACCAGAGCAACCAGCACGCCGGGAACTCGACGTTGCCCCCGCGTAAGGACATAATGGGAGAAGTAGGCGAAGATAAAAATAGAATCACCAGTACAACTGCTATGATCACCGCTCCAACCCCTTCTCTCTCCGAGAAGGATTTGGCTTTTGCCGAGGAGTTGCGGATATGTAATGCAAAATTATCGTACTAGTATGAATCGGATGACAAATCTCCTCAGCATGAGAAATAAAATTTGTAATGCGGATTTAACTTGAAACAGCATGACAATGACTGCGATTACTACGAGTACGATACTTTTGCACAGGATAGCGGACAAAGCTGGTGCTACTCAGCATCACAACACCGCAGCTGCCCGACATTTCGGAAGATGAGGAGGAAAACGAAGTGCAACATCACGACAGCCATATCAACTCGCTGAAGTTCTTGAAGCAAGACAGCTATTTTAACGACACATCTACCCTGGTAGAGCCTTTTCGTGGAGTGACTGGAGGGAGTTTCCCCCCGTCCGTTTTTGTATATGGGCTGGCAGATCCCTAGAAGCTAATGCCTGGAGTTGTTGGTCTTCCACCCCTCTGAGTGGGGTCGGGGAAGGAGCCAGCGCGGACGTAGTCCGCAGGTCTCGCTGGATAGTTTGCTTTGTGATGGATTCACATCGTTCTCGCGTTCTAATGAATGGTAGCTCATGTGCTCAGAGTGCACCGCAGTGCCATTCCGCCATTGAGGGCGCTTCCCAGCGGGGAAGGGTGATTTAGGAAGGTTGCGTTCTAATGGATGGTAGCTCATGTGCTCAGAGTGCACCGCAGTGCCATTCCGCCACTGAGGGCGTTTCCCAGCGGGGAAGGGTGATTTAGGAAGTTTTCGCTTTAATGGATGGCAGCTCATGTGCTCAGAGTGCACCGCAGTGCCATTCCGCCACTGAGGGCGCTTCCCAGCGGGGAAGATGGGTTTCAGGATGGTAGTTGTGCGGCTTTTACAACTAGTAAGTGGATCAGGAGGTCGAAGTACTAAGATGCCTACTCATGGATATTTCTGCTTTTCGAGCCCCTGGGGATATGGGCTGTTCTTTGTTTTCGCTCCTCATTAGGGCAGGATGTTTCACTCCGAGCTCTGGCCCTCAAGCTCGGGGTCCTAGATGGGCTGGCTGGAGTTTGTTTTTGTTCGCGCTGCTAGGGAATATGCGGCAGTGCTGCAGAGCATTATGGTGCTGCTCAGGGTGCAAGGTGGGTTTTGCTCGCCCTTCGATATGTTGCGGGTTTTTCAACTTACTAGCTACTACTCCGAGTAAGGGCAGGAGGCTCCGAGGCCTCGTTTGGGAAGCCCTGTCGGGGCCAGATACCTCGCGGTGCTGGTTTTTAGCTTGAGAGCAGCTACTCCCCTGCCGGGTCGCGTCTCTACTCCGTGTTACACCAGAGAAGCTTTGCTTCGTCCTCGGTCTCAGTGGGTCGATAGTATAGTTCTGCGCGGGGTTCTTGTCAGCGAGTGTACAAAACCTCCAGCCGGGAGCGCATGGGTCGACAGCTAGAGGCTTGGCACTTAGGGATACGAGGTGGCGGGGCTCGCCGCAGTTCTGTTGGCGTTTGGTTTTGCTAGGGTTGGCCCTGTTGACGGCGGTGAGGATACTTACTCTGTTTCGGATGCGCGTATAGCTCGCATCCCGTTGGGGGCGCGGAGCCAGTGTCTATTCTATCCTGCCTGTTGGCCGTTTCGATAGATTTTATTTAGGCTGGGGCCTGGATCTTTTTACACATTGGAAGTTTTCCGTTCAGGGGCCCGTAGTACTACCCTCTGCTTCGCTTTGTTGATACTGCGGTCTAGTGCATCTCGTTTCGCGGTGGAACTTCCCTGACCTGGGGCATTTCTGTTTTCGGAAGGCTGGCTAGATGCCTCACAGCGCTGGCACCTATCTCGGCGGCTGCCTTTTTCTTTTACTTTTGCGGATTGGCCTTGCAGTCTCATCTGCACCACACCAGGGGAGCTCCGCTCTGTCCTCGGTCTCGCCTTGCTTTGGGAACAGGGGTCGTTTGGCACTGGCGGTACCCAATCCGTTACCCTTGCGAACTTGTTCCCTGGCTGGGGCTGGTGGTTTGGTGTCTCCTTCGTTCGCCCTCTGTTCCCATCGCGGGGCGGGGCCGAGGTTTTGCTTCGTGGATGATGGCCCGCGCCAAAGTTTGTCTGTGGCGCGGGCATTATTGTCGCGGGAAGGCCCAGCTGGGCTGGGGTTGAGTAAGGTGCGCTATTCGTGGCACCCTTGCGGGGTAGCTGGTCGCACTGGGGGTACGGAACTCGTCTTCGCGTAGACGTGCGCGGGGGTCTCCCGCTCGCTCGGGCCTAGTGGCTGAGAGGCCTACTAGTGGTTCTGGTTCCCTTTTTTCTCATGATAGGGTTAGGAGTCACGCCAGGCGCGTGCAACGCCTTGGCTTTTGGGTGCTCGCCTCTGAGTTTTGGATTTTCCTACGAGGACCGTCGGTTTTCTAGCGAGGTCAGCCCGGGTCGATTTGGATCGACAGCAGTATTTTTCAGCCGATATTCGGATTTCTTTCCTTGCCTTCCGGGAGGGGTTGTTGCAGCCTCACGAACGGATGGGCCTTGGCCGTAGGAGTAGGGCACTTGTCGATGCTCAGCGTCAGTGAGTTTTCCACAAGCGAAGGTCTGCTCTTTGGTGTTCGTTTGGAGTTTGCCGGACCTGCAGCGGCTGGGTTTGTTTCGGGTAGCTTGCTATTTTCCCACCCAGACAGTCGCTGGGGGCACGTTGGAGGTGCGACGCTATTCTTAGGCTTGGTTAACCGGTCGGGAAATTTTGGCTTTCTGTGTGCCCTAGGGAGGCTACTTCTTGGAAGTTTCGGATGACCCGCTTGTCTGGTCGAGCCGGCTAGGCTAGGATAGCTACGTACCGGGAGTGGTCGAGAAGAGAGGCTGTTTGCGTTGTCCTGACGTTAGTCTGTTTAGTCTGCTACTCTTGGATCGCATGGGATTTGTTGCCATAGTGGGAAGCTAGCTTGGTGCTTGGCTGTTCTAGTCCGTTCGCGTTAGCGCAGTAGTTTGCCACTTCTCGGGGGGAAATTGCTGCTACTGTTAGGATGCGATGTGCTCTACAGCTGACCACGCAACACTTGAGCCTGATCGGGAATTCAGGCCGCCCTATTTGAACCTTGTTTAAGCTATTCGTCTCACAATTCAATAGGTCCCCCGGGGTTGCCTAGCTCTCTCTCGCTCCCCTTCTAGCCTATTTCGCTGCGTTCACGGTTATTGCGATCTGCTCTGCGACGTGGAATGTAGCCCAGGGATTATCCATGCTCCTCGACTTTGTGTTTGCCGTGAGAACAGCGCTTGCGTTCTGCTCCGGTGGGAGCCTGGTTTTACTGGTGTAGGGTGCTGCCGCTCGGCTACCTCGCGGACGGTTCTCTGGCTCTGCCGCCGGCTACACTTCGCAGTCAATATTTTCAGGCGCGTTTGTTGGCCTTGCTTCCCTAGAGGCGAAAATCGGATGTCCCTGGTGGGGCTGCTAAGAGGCGGGGTCTCGGTGCTTATGATTGGGGGGCTGTAGCGCCAGCCTTGAGGCTGCACTGGAACAGGTTTTGATTACCCGGCGCGTGGCCTTTTCTTGCGTAGTTTTTCTGGAAGGGAACTATAGGCGCCTTTTCCGTGTTTTTAGCTTTTTCGGGGAGGCGGACTGTGGGTCAGCAGCGATGTCTCCTTGTCCCGGTTCAGGAGTTTCCCTGCGGTAGCTTCACAGGGGTTTTGGCCCGGATGGTCGCGTCAGTAGGTAATAGTGAGTGCTCGCAGGGGCGAATGCAAGTTGAGCAATGGAGTCGAGTTGCGGACTCCGGTCGCCGAGGCTTTTTGCGCCATCTCTGAGGTCCTGCCCGGCGGGCGTTGTTCGCCTATGTGGATATGTAGCGCATGCTACGGGTTTTGTTCTGGAGTTTTACACTGTCCCCCTGGGGTCGACGGTTTCGCTAACGCTATAGGCTATGCTAGGCCGCCCGGCCGTGCCAGTCATGAGGACGGTGGATTTTGTTTTGCCCGGGGCGCGTGCTCCCTTTAGTATGGCCGCAGTACCCGGGGAACGGGCATCAGATTTTCCCCAGGTGGGGGCTCTGGTTTTGGGGCCATTTGGCAGTAGCCATCGTTCGGGGGCAAATGGCCACTCGCCTGGTTGTTTGCTGGCAGGCGGCTTTCGGGCCTGTCTCAAGATGTTCTCTAGCTGAGTTGCGGGAGGAGGAAGGGCGCTCGTGCGGGTTTTGGGGGTACCTCGTGGACAGAGGTTCTTCGCTTTCTGAGTCTGTAGCTAGTTAGGTCCTTCCCCAGGCCGGGAGGACCCGCCTCTTCGTTTCACCAGTCGGGAACCCGGAGCCCTAGTTCGCCTTTGATTCCGCGATTGATTCTTTTACATCACGTCCGCTTTCGCTCCCAGGTCTCTTGTTCTTTCTTTCAGATAGATCTCAAGGTCCAGGGCCCCACCGGACGGCGTTTCGGAATTTTGGGGAATCTGGCCCGGGCAGGGTTGGTTTTTGGAATTGCTTGCTGGCATGGAGGGGCGTTTGCTGCATTGGTTGGTTGCAGAGCATTGGCGTACTCGGGCTTGGCTCGCTAGTTTCCGGCTGCGCCCGCTAGTGGGGTCTGCTGTTGCTGGGCGGGTCCGTGAGGGACCACTGTTCTGGACGTTGGGCAGGCACTGTGCTTTGTCTGCTTTGTTGGACCCGCTTCGCCTTTGTCAGAGGGGGCACCTAGGGTCGCGTCTCGACGAGGATTGCTCCTCTGTGGCTGCTTTTCATTTTTCGCTACTGGACCACATGGGGTATGGTAGTTACTGGTTGCTACTGTGCAGCTTCGCCTTTTGCTTTATTTTCGATACAGGTGTGGAGCTCTTTTCCTGTTCCGCGGTGGTTTTGTGCCTCTGCATTTCTGCGTAGGTTGGTCTTGCGCGGCTGTTCGCCCGGCACCGGGCCGCGCCCTCCGTAGCGCCTGGGCCAATCGCTGGCAGGTGGTCTGCTTGTGACTTTTGGAGTCCGACCTTGTTGTGCACTGCTGCGATGTTTCCTAGCCCTGTCTCGCCCTCCTTGTGTCATCGCTATCTCTGTATCGCGGGATTACTACCGGTTTTCTTCTGTGCCGCCGGGCAGTGTTCGTTCGCGCGGGCAGTGCCTCCTGCGTTTGACTTTCGACTGTTATTGTCCATCCTGCCGCCGCTTGCCGCAATTCCGGCCCGCGGTCTTGTGCTAGCTTGCGCATCGCCATCAGTTTCCTCCGCCCGTGCCGGCGGGCTTTCCCGGGACGGGAGGTGAGTGGTGTTTTCTCTTGACATTGAAGGACTTCCTTTTTCGCATTTTGGGAGTGGCTTTCGGGCTTGTGTTGTATGTCTTGCCACCTCGCTTGGGTCGAGTGCTTTCTTTTCCCCGGAGGTATCAATCCCTTCTACGTTTTGCGGCTCGCCACCAGGGGGCGGCGGATCGGCGCTTTCTATACAATGCTCCTTTTGCGGGATTTTGGTCTTAGAGTGTATCACCATTTGTGTCTATCTTGGTATCGATGGGCTTCCCCTCAGTGGTTTTCCGTGTCGGCTAGGGGCCGTGTTCGAATTTTGTGCCTTGCGGGCAGTTGTTTCATCAGGTCCAGGGCGCAGAACCTTTCGCGCGGGTTTTTGAAGTTTATCAAGAGGACACTACGTGGGAGTTGGGTGGATCCCTTCTGGGGAATTGCCTATTGCTTGCTGCTGGAATGTGGGGGGTTCGAGTGCTTTCTGTTCCCCGGAGGTATCCTTTCTACATTTTGCGGCTCGCCACGAGGGGGTGGTGTATCGGCGCTTTCGCTGCGTTATATCTTGCGCGGGATTTTGGTCTTAGAGTCCATCGTGGTGCGTGTCTATCTTGGTGTCTATGCGTTTCCCCTCTGGGGTTTTCAGTGTCGGCTAGCGGCCGTGTCCGGGTTTTCTGCCTTGCGGGCATCTGTTTCATCCGGTCCAGGGCGTAGACCCTTTCGCGCGGGTTTTTGGAGTTTGTTAGTCAACAGGACCCTAAGTGGGAGTAGGGTGGATCCCTTCTGGGAAAGTGCCTCGCTTTTTCGGGATGTAACAGCCACTGATCCGGGTTGACTTGAAGCTGCTACCGCTTCAAGCATTTTCCGGCATGGAAAGTTCTGCGCTGCGTGCGCTCATTCTAGGCCCGGTTACCGGGGGGCAGGGAAATAACGCGGTCTGCGTGCCCGTGGTTGCGAGTTTGGGTTGCAGCTGCGCTTGCTTTGCAGGCTGTGTTCAGTCTGCTTTCTGTCTTCCCCTTGGGGGCAAGTGGGGCTGGGGCTGGCGCTGTTCCCCCCATTCATCCACCGGTGGTGGGGTTCTGGGGGGTCTTGCCCTGGGGGCCAGGTGGTGGTGGAGTGGGCCGCTCCCCGCTACGGAAGCTGGGCGCGGCCTGCTTGACCCAGCCCCAATAGGCGCGGTCCAACGGGCCGCTTGGGTGTGTGCTCTGGATAACACTCGGAAGGAACGCAACGAAAAAGATCCCCTCAACGTTTTCCCCGTCCTCTCGCGGCTTTCCTGCGGTCAGTAGTAAAGTCGGCGCTACGGGAGCGGGAATGAACATGTTGAACTCGTCCCAAAACCCGTTGAAGCTGCACGTCGGTGAAAACAAGAAATTGGATGTGAATAAGTTGTGCAAGAAGTCTTTCTCACCACCTCCTTCTTTCAACGTGCCAGTAGAAAGTCCCATGTCATCAATCTACGATAATAAGTCTGCTGATTTCCTCGTGGATAGTCATAGTGCTAACCCGGAGCAGAGAATCAACAAGGGGCAAAGGGACGATGAGCAAGGACTTTGCTACAGCAACTGTATGTACAACGCCCGAGATGTTGATGATGATGACGGTGGACTACTACAAGAAACCGTAATTGACACGACGACCAACAACACCAGCAAGAACATTCGTCGCCTGGTACAAAATTCCCTGCGGACGAGTGGAAATGTTGGTCCCGATTATACCGAAAACGATGATTTGCTACACTCTAACTTCTACGCGACGACCTCCTCCTCGTGCAACAAAAGTAGCGGAGAGCAGGATGAGAACAGCAGTTGTACGACGGGGACGCAGCTGCAAAATGAGCAAAGTACGAACGACCCCGTGATGTTTTCGACCGCGTCGCTGTCCACTAACATTCCAAAATTACTCGATTTCGACGAAATCAGCTCCGAGAAAGCGTACCGGTCGAAAGCGTAGAACTATCCCTTCGGCTATCAATTGCAAAAATGTCTGGGTCTGGAAGAATCTAAACTTGTGATGCTGCATTTGGATTCCAAAAAAATCTGTATTGCATGAGCAGCAAAGGGAATGCAATTTTGGCTACGCGGAGAGGGCGTTTGTGATGCGGAATACGCATCAAGAAATCCTCAAAAAACCTGTGATGCTAGGGCATGCATCACCGACATCATGGCTCATGCAAACCGTGCATGACAAGTCTCAGAATCTTCCAGACCCAGACATTTTCGCATTTGATATCGGCGGTGCGGAAGGGGAGGATGGAGAAGATGGGTCGCCGACTGCTGTTGGAAGGGTGTTCTATGGGGAAGCAGCAGATGCAGCTTGGAACAACAACAAGAAAGAAGCGGATTATAACAAAAAAACGAAAACTAAAGAACTCGACCCCTTCACCGCCGCAGGAGCAAAATACACGCGATGAATAATGCGAGTTTCTCTACTGCTACCAGTGACGCGCGGTCCCGTACTCGCTCCCGATCCACGTCTTCCTCCTCCGCAGGCGTCGACAAAGACGGAGCAAACGACGTGTACAAGACAAACAAGAAAGGTTCCTCTAGCAAGAAGGGGCTATTATCGTCTTCTACCCTGACTTATGCATTGCAAATGTATCCCGGTAATATAAATTGCATTTCAAATTTCATCCTCAGCATGAGGTATAAGATTTCTAATGCGGAGTTACCTTAGGTAGAAGATCTGTCATGCATATTTGCAATTAGTATGAGTGCGATACTTTTGCAGAGCATATGACTGGTAGTGCAACCACTTCATCCTTGTCGCACCACCTCCACTCGCGCAAAAACTCTAAGGACCACCGCAGTGCCTCCCTGTGCACCATTATGCAAGAAAAAAACTGTGTAAGTGTAAATCTGTAATGCAGAACATGCAACAGACTTACACCTGTCATGCGAGACAGCCATGAAGTTCTCTTTTCATGTGTGTTTTTCCTTACAAGCCATGCATGACAGGTTTTCTCTGTCATGTAGAGCAAATTTGTAATGCTGTCAGCCAAAGATAGTTACACTAACACAGTTTTTTTCTTGGATCACCATCCGGGAGGGGCAGGAGCTGCAGAGCAAATACCGCCTTTTGGCGGCCAGAGCGGATGAGAGTCGGGAACTTGCGCTACTGCTTCCGGCGAAGAGTGCGATGAAGCACTTCAACAACAGATCGGCGTGGATGGAAGAGGATGCGCTGCTGACCGGGGCGGGGATGCTTTGGAACGATGTGGATGCAGTTTTGTAAGTAGTTGTACTCGACGAGGTCGAGTACTTTTATTTTCACATACGTTCGTCTTCGTACAAGGAAAAAAAAAGTTTTGTATATAGTCACTCTCAAGGGCTAGAGTATTGATTTTGAAGATTCAGAAGCAATAGGCTACAGTATTTGTGGTGCAGTACTTAGCAGAATGAAACAAGTTGATACGATTTGTCGTGTTAGTACTAGCAAGTATGTTGCCAGTGCCGCGAGCTGTAGTTTTGTTACACATTCGTAGAATCTCTTTTCTTCAGACAGAAAGATTGTACTCGACGTGCTTCATCAGAATGTCAGATCTACAATATATCAAAAATAAATAAATCACTGATTTCTTTATTGGCTTTGTATACGTAATATCTTCAAAAAGAAAAAACTACTTAAGTACTTCCCTTGTATGCTACAACGAGATTCTACAAGGTCAGGGCTTTACTTTTTCGCGCTCTAGGAGCGGTTGCTGTGCATTTCTCTTTGTCCAATTTGAAATATCGCTGTCATATGAAGGGCTTTATTTTTCTTCACTGTAAAAGTGGAGGCGGAGGGCCACCAGGGCTTTCGTTCTCCACTTTCAAGTATCCTATTTTTCCACAATTCAAATTCTAGATTAATATGATCCGAGCAAAAGTGAGACGGTACTAGGGCAGGACAGCGTCTTTCTTTTTGCAATTTGAGCCTGAAAATTATTGAGCGGCCCTTTCGCAAGCACAAGAAGATAGACGCGCGGCATCGCATTGTAGTTGCTGTACCGCCTCGGGGGTCTGTCTCCGGCTTTTGTCTCGGCAGGAGAAGCAGAAAATTGTGAGACGGCGCGAAGGTTGAAATAGTAAAAACCGGTTGTGTGTGGTCTTATGATTCAGAAAAGTAGAAAATGTCACCGTTACGTCATGTTACATAACAGGGGAGAGGCGTACGGACAGGTGAACAAATCGCATGTAAAATAACATAGAATAGATGCACTCCATACATCATACAAAAAAACGAAAAAGAAAAAATGAATTTTATGCATCAGCAAGAAAAAAAGCGTAAAATTTTACAGGCTAGCAGACACGACTAATGAAGAGGAGAAATTTTTTCATCTTTCAGTATAATAAATACAGAACAACCACACCGAGTGAGCCGAGTGCGGCTGCTTTAGTCCTAACGCCAAGTTGCTTTGGCTGAAGCTATTTTTTGCGGAGGTGCTGTGGCCGCTCGAGTGGTTGATTTGAAGAAATAAGGTTGGCTCTACGGCTAAAATCCAATAAGAAAACACAAGTTTTCGATATATCTTCAGCGCTGCCGGTCCCGGTGCCCGCTCTGAGTATGAATTTGATTTAGGTAAAAAACGAGGCCGCTCCTAGGCTGATGTAGTGGTAAGGAGGTACCACGACGCTCTACCACGATCTCCAGCAGTAATATAATTCATCACCTTGCCGTGAAGAGGAGAGGTAACACAAGGAAGATGAAATTCTTTGTGTTTACGTATAAGGATGCGGAATGTATCAGGTCCGGCGTGCCGTGGTACTAGAGCGGTTGCTTCCGAAGATAGACCATAACTAATTTTGAAAGAAGAAAAACACGATGAAGCACGACATAGCATACACAAAACATATAAGAATTTGAATTTCGTGACACAGCATCACACTCTTACCAAGAAGGATCAAAAAATCAATGTTTATTGTTATTGTACACAACTTACGGATAAACATAAATTAGAATTTCCTGCAAAAAACAAGTGCAATAGAATACAACAGAATTTCCTGCTGAATGCAATAGAAACTGTACACTCTCTTCTTGTCATAGTACCAGTATGAAAAAATACAAAATTAAAAGAAGCGGACGATGTTGGAGCTTGTCCGTCATAAGTGGCAGCGCAAAAGATGTGCGGTGGGTCATATGTTCTTCTTCTTTATATGATTTTCTTTTCGGCTGAAATAAAGGGATGGCTTCAGCTGAGTTTTTTTTTCCTGCCTTCTTGACCGTCACGAGTGTGGGCATGCTGTCTTTCTCTGTCAAACCGTTTTTTTCATTTTGAATCTTCAGAGGACGAGAGATGGGTGGGAGGTCGCTTTTTTTTTGGTGTTGCGTTGTACAACTGTCGCCCTCATCTAAACCCATCGCGCAAGATGCATAATTTTTTTCCAGGAGCTGCGCCTTTGGTTCTGAAGGTGTGTGGTGGCTCGAGCGAATTTTGAGGACGTTTATAATTTGTTTGATTACCACATTTTCATTTTGGTTTTGCAACACGATGAAATACCAACCACGAAACAGCACCCAACGTAGCTCCAAACAGGTTTGATTCTTCTGGTTTGTTAGATAGAGCTAGATGTAGAACCAGAACTCAAACCCTCTAGTATTTGGGGCCGCGTCGTAGTAACGTCAGTTGTATATGTTCATCTTGTGAGCCATTTTGGCCACACGACCCGGACGACGTGCTGTGTAGTTTTGACCAGCACGACAAGCGACCTGTGAAAAATGCGGAAGATTTTCTCCTCCCTTTCCTCCACCTTCGGGCCTGCACCGGACGGGGCGGGAGCTGAGCCTGGGCTGCCGGAATTTTTGTCACAACAAGAAGAACCACCATCAGGCGCGAATGATTCAAATTCTCGTTCAAGGGCAGGAGCCAGCATGTTACGTGGTAGTTCTTCCCAGCAAGCAATAGAAACTCCGACGTCCACCTCGCGAGTACAACAAGATCACCCGAGGAGCTACCAGCCCGCGCAACCTGCAACACCGACATTTTCACCCCTCGGTAAAAACGAAAACGATTACGCTATAGATCCTCCTTCCCCGACCTTCCCCTTCTCGTTCTCGCCCGATGGTCCGACAGGGACAACATCAAACTTCACCCCGTCGCCGTACAACAAGAGCAGTTTGAGTTTACTTCAAAAGCACAACCACGGTGGCACCTTTGCCGAAGAGTTACGCGCGAAGCTGTTCACGACTCCCGCCGGGCACGAGGAGTTGCAGCGGTCTCCGCCGTCGACCTCGTCTTCGATTTTGGAGCAGAGCACCACTTATCAAATGCAAATATAATGTCTGGGGCTGGAAGCGTACAGACATTAGTGATGCAGTTTTTGCCTAGCCCAGATCGTCTGACATGCAAGACGCAGCGTCACAGAATCCGAGCAGGTATCCCGATGCCTAATCTGCACGACGAATGTCCTCTTTCTGTAACAGGAAGCGGGGCCATGCAGGGCAGATTTTGTCATGATGTAGAATTTGCATCACAAATTCGAATCCATCCGGACCCAGACATATTTGCAATGCATACCACCGCCATTGCGGTTTTACGAAGTCGGGACAACAGCTACCAGATGGAAATGGTATCTTCTCCTTCGTTATCAAATGTAAAAATGTCTGGGTCTGGAAGATTGCAACTTGTCATGCTGTTTTTGGACTCTAAAAAAATTTGTATTGCGTGACCAGCAAGAGGGGTATTATTCGTGCTACACGGACAGGGCATTTCTCATGCGGAAGGTGCATCAGGAAGCCCTCTAAAAGTCTGCGATGCTAAGTCATGCATTACAGGCATCATGGGCCATGAGAAATATGCATGACAAATCACATGCCTGCTGCGGCAGGCAGGTGAATTCGTAGAACTGCTTCACATGTTGAGTAACGCCCACCGGCCTCCTAGATTAGTGATGAATTTATATGCTTTTTTTCAGCGTGGGGCCCAATGAAAAAAAAAGAAAAAAAAAATTAAAATATGCATGACAAATCTTGCATCCTTCCAGACCCAGACATTTTTGCATTTGATATTCGTTAAGGGCAAGCATGTTACAAATGAGCAGAAGTGGCGATACGGACTACAGCACATCCAAAGGACTTCTAAAGGGATCTACTGGACGAGGAGCAGGAGGAACCCACGGCAGTAGTAGCAAGCATAAGGACCAAAGCCAGAGCGTCTATGACGTCGCGCAGGGGCAGGTCTCATCATCTACTTCCCACGACATCTTCCACGCGTTGTCTGCGACGAGTAGTGCTTGTTCCCCCGCCGCCCACAACAGATTCTACCACCTGCACACACCGGAAAAAAAGAAGAAACACAGTATAACCTGCTCAAACGTTACAATCTCAAAGGTTACAATAGAATCTGGGATTAGTCTTGCATATATGAGCATGACTAGCTCGCAGACCGCTCCACTTTCTGCAATGTATTTAAATTTCCGCAGATTTTTGTAGTGCGGTTTGGAACTGCGGAACTTGTCATGCGCAGTCCTGTGAGACTTGGCTACATCATGCACCTCTTGCATCACAGATTTCTAGATTCTATTGTAACGCTTGAGATTGTAACGTTTGAGCAGGTCATGCACAGTAGTGGCCCCCGCTGCTCTACTACTACTTCCAACGCAAACCAGCAGATCTTTTCCGCGGTGGTAAGCTCGCGCGCGATCCCGAAACCCTTGGAATTCGATGACATCAGCGGGTCGGATCACACGTATCGTTCCTCGAAGAAATCTATGCATTGCAAAAGTATCGTACTACGTAGTAATTGCATTACAAATTGCCTCAGCATGACAAATGCAAATGGAATCTGTCATGCTGTTTTACGTTGTACGCTGTTGAAGATTTGTAATGCATAATCGAAATTACTACGAGAACGATGCTTTTGCACTGGATAAAATCAAAATCCTCTCTCTGGGAGTTGCAGTCCAGCTTCGGCGGCGGGCGGACCAATAGCAGTAGTTTTACCAACAAGAATTATAACATCGGCGACGAGGAGGGAGATGTTGAAACATATGAGATGAGCAAACTCGTCTCGCCGGAGCACAACAAAAGCAGCTCCTCCCAACAGGCGATTTTTGCGGACGAGCTACGGGCGAAGTTACTTCTGTCTGCCCCGGTATCAACTGCAAAAATGTCTGGATCTGGAAGAGTCGGGGTTTGTCATGCACATTTTGCATGACCCGTGAGATGGAGATCTGTGACGCAGGTCCTAGCATCACAGATTTTTGAGGGATTCTTGATGCTTATCACGCATGAGAAACGCCCTCTACTCCGCATGCCAAGAACTGGACTCCTCTTGCTGCTCACGCAACACAGATAGTTTTAGAATCCCCAGACAGCATTACAAGTTCCACCCTTCCAGACCCAGACATATTTGCATTTGATACCCGGAAGCCTTTGACAAATTTCATAATTTCCAAAGGTCTGAGCCGTCTTCTGAGCTGGAGCAGAGCACAATCGCAATTGCAAAGTTGCGGAGCCTGGAGAGTTGTGAAAAGGTTGGTGGATTTGTAAATTGATTTGATTTCATCTGATGTGCCGCGACCAGCATGACAACTCGCAAACTGTGTCTCCTGAGTCATGCATGATCTTCCTCCGACCTGCTGCACATGAAGGTACTCAATTGAAGATGAGTTCAATATTATATCACAATATCAAACAGATCGCCAAGATGAAGTCTCCTACTCTCTCGTCTTCCACCTTGCGGAAGCAGAGCCTCCTCAGCGGCACCACAGATACGACCACTGAGCAGCCGTCCGCTTCCAATTCCTTCTTTGGCACCAGTGCCCTGACGAACAGTAAGGAAATAACGACCTCCGATCAGCATAATAATCTGCAAAATAGCAATTATGCGCAACCTTTCGTCAACGACCCCTCCCTGGATTATGTTAGGAACAGCAGAGTAGTAGAACCTTTGACACCAGACGCTGTAGGACTTGTGAAGAAAGACCAAAACTACATCCCCCTCTCCGCCATCGTGATGCATCGACCCATCCCGAAACCGCTGGAGTTTGACGATGCCAGTTCTGACCACACGTACCGGTCGAGCGCAGCTGCGTCTTCCAACCGGTTCTTGCTTCCGCGCGAAAAAAATACGGACGCTTTTTGTTCGACGTACCAGCACGACGTCGAGGCACCCGTCCGAGAAGACCCACAGTGGAGAGAGCGGAGCAGGCATCTGTCGCAGAAGGTCGTGCAAAGCGAAAGTGAAGATGTTGCTAGTATTAGGGTTGCAGCAGCTACCAGTGGAGCAGACGAAGAGGCTGCGACAGACAATTTCAGCGTCGCCTTCTCGGGTGCGGAGAGCAGGCAACGAAACATCTCCTACAACAGCAATGGAGTCAACCAGCAAGTAGTACTTTTTCAGTACATCAAACCTATTTTCATTTTCGAATCCGTTTCGAATTACCTTTTCAAATGGAAATGTCGTGGGAAGAAGATCGAGACTGATTGATGAATAACGCTAAACAAAAAACGAGGACAAAACACTTTTGCAACCAGGACAAAACACTTTTGCAACCAGGTGGCTGGGGATCATGGACAAGCATCAAAGCGGGATGAACACTTGCGAAAGATCAGTGAAAACGAAAATACACACACCTTCTGCGGTTTACCGGTGCCTAGCATGCATGACTGGGACTAGAGTCTTCTTGAAGACAAGCGAAAAACCCCTTGGTCCGAAGTTTCACCTGAAACATTTTTTTGGCTCCAGGGTAGTTTGCGAATCTTCAAGTCGATTACCAGATAGAAGAGTAGTACTCACTAAGACTATGTCTACATAAATATGTGCCGTCAACGTCTCTTGTGTATATGCGGAAGTTTCCGCATGACGACATCGACCCGCTATGAACTCATAGTGCAGTCGCATTGTTGTACCTGTTTCTTTTCAGATTCAGTAAAAAAAGTTTGGTTTCTACCTTAAAACAAGAGCGAACGTTCAATTTTCTGTACCGAGCTTTTGTGCTGCAGTAGCGTTATTCATGCTGTCGCTGTGTTGAGACGAGCGACGGTGTATAGTTTCTTCTTCACCTCCTATTGGAACGACTATCAGTATGAACACCAAAACGCTTTCCATAAATTCTAAACCTAAAAAGAAAAATAGTTTTTCCATAAAATGCTTGGATGAAAAAGATGGAGATTGCTCCGTTTCCGACCGCTCGCGGTTAGGGGTACTTAGCTGCTACAATTACCTCGCGGTGCGATAGAAGACGCCGCTCAGCGCTGGTAGGGCATCCCGCCCTGGCGGGGTACTTAAAACATTACTCGGGCAAAGCGAGCTGCAGAACATTTTTAATGTTTGTCGGGAAGATTACAGGGTGGCAATGCCAATCTAGATGGACGACTGCAGCTTTCGTAATGTTGTAGCTGCCTAGATAGTCTTTCCCTGAAATTTTTTAGCATGTAATCAAAAAAAGAAACTATACTGGAAAAAGTGAAGCAGAAGCATAATATAAATACAAGGGGGCGACTTTCGAATTTTACCTGTTTCAAATTCACGACGTCACACTAGTGGCTGTAACATAAATTCGTGCGACGTGCTACAAGAACAGAAAGAAGAATTTTGCAGTAGTACTGCAACCTCGAATGAAAATGAATAGATTCACTGCTATTGCTAGTAGTACACGATGATTCTCAGTTTTAGTTGCACTTGTGATTGATAGGAGTGCCTGTCATATAATCAGCATAGAAAACGAAAACCAATAAAGACCAAGAGAAATTCCATAGGCGTTTCTAGCCTCAAATGCATAGAAGTTGGTTTAGATGCGAGTTTCAAACAATTTTTCCCAAGCTTACGGCACATGTCGTGTATCTGCAAGCTGATATTAAAACTACACATGAAACGAAAAAACACGAACAGCGAAACGTATAATTCCTCGTAGTGTTCGACATCTGTATAGATGCATTTGGATTGTTGAGGACTGCCTACTGAAGCCTCCTGGACGATGAGGCTTTCAATCGGCCACGCTTGCATTCCAAGGTGGACCGGGAGGTGAAAGATCGTCGAGGCCATTTGATGAAAAATTTTGACATTTTCTGATCTAGACAAACATCCCAATAATTTTTACGTATCAAATCTTTTGAGAGAAGAGGAAAGAAAACACTAGCGTTTTAGAAGTTTTTTCGCTTGTTGTAGTCGACTTGTTCAGTGTACGCTGGAGCAATTCCCTCTACTCCTTTTTCAGCCACGAAATTGTTCTCACCATGAACGCGGCGTCCCGTTGGCTCCAGGAGTGCGACAAATTCGGCCGCGACTTGCAGGACTACCAGAAGGAGGCCTCCCCGACCAAGCGCCAACAGAGACGACAGAGACTTGTCACCACCCTGCGGCACCTGGAAAAGCAGCTCTACCAGCACTCGGAACAGCCCACGACCTACCAGTTGAACCGGCAGGACCTGCAGCAGCGGGGGCAGATTCTGTTTCGGTTGCAGAATGAACTGGACTCGAGCTCTGCCGGGGGCGGGTCCTCTTCGTCTTCTTCTTCCAATAAGAATCATGCCACAGGAGCGATGAATTCGCCCTTCATGGACCAAAGCGCAGCTGACGGCGGTTCTAGTACCAGCGCAACACAACGACCGCAGGGAAATTACGCGGGTATCCCAGACATGGCGAGCGTAGATTTGCTCGGCGGTGGCACTGCGTTCCTTCAAAACACGAAGGACTATTTACTTGGTGCGGTGTCCAAATCACCCGGCGGGGGAAGCGCGTCCGCGAGTAAGGAGACCGAGTTGAGAAATCCGACCGGCGCCGGCGCAGGTTATGGTTCCGCGTCGGGTAACAATCGGGATATCGAACAAGGTCCAAATTCGCCACCACTGAATTTCCGGTCGCAGCAGCAAAAGATGTTTCAGGAACAAGATCAAAATTTGGACATGCTGGCGGGGACGGTAGAATTTTGAAGATTATATGATTGCAATTAGCCGAACTATAATTTTTGTGATGATCCACACTCCTGGTGGTCGTGGTTGCAGCTTTACCTTCTTGAAAGGTAGAGCTTGAAGCCATCACTCTGGCATCCGTTGCAATTGCAATTTTCAACATCATCTCAGGTCGGCAACCTAAAGCAGATCGGCGGGGAAATCCACACGGAGGTGCAGTACCAGGGCGGTCTGGTGGAAAATCTTGGCGATGCGATGGATGACAGCCAGTCGAAAATGAAGTCCACCACCCAGATGCTGAAGGAGCTCGACAAGGACGGTTCGCTGTGCTTCTGGTGGGTCTTGATAATAGCGCTGTTTGTGCTTAATGTGGTCGTCGCCGTGTTTCTCTGACATGAGGTGCGGCACGGTGATGTGGCGGCATCATGTGGTGATGATGTAGTATCCTTTTACATAAACGAAAACCAACGCAAGATAGCACCCCCCCGAGCGACAGCCACACATTGCAGTATCCCTGCGGAAATTCGACCCTCCCTGGTGAATTTCTCGAATTTCGACGAAAGAATATCATTTTGCGACAAACCGACATAGAAATCATATTAGCGCGACTTTCCATACGACAGCACCGAATACAGCATCAAAACAAATGTAGCGTGAAGATGTCCTCACTCAGCGTCAGTGTCACCTGTTCTGCTGACGAATTCGATCACGCTATTAGCCTCGGAAGATCGTTGAGAGCAGCACTGCTCACGACGGTCTTTCCAGCGATGAAGATGACTGTTCACCATAATTCGTTCCTGTCAGTCCCAGTATACAAGCATCATGTGGAGGTTGTGGTAAGACCTAGAGCCTGGAGAAAAAAATAGATTACGAGCAAACTAAATTGTACCGTTGCAGCACCAGCAGATGCTGAAAAAAAGGTCTGCTCGACACAAGTGCAGACTTCGTTATTTTCCGGTGTCGTGTGTGGATGCCATTGCACATGCTGCTTTTATTCCCGACGAGTTGGAGGAAGAATGAGCTAGGCTGCTGATAGGTGAATAACAGCATTCAAGAAGTGCTGTTGTGCTGCTGAGCTTTTCGTTTCTTGTGTTTCGTTGCGTCACCTTCTTTGATAGGATGTGTTTGGAGTTTTTGCCCGGTTCGTGATATATTGAAATTGCATAATTACCATCAACGCGTCATCAAATAGGTGGCTAAATTAGTTGAAGAAGATGATGACCGCGAAAGGCTGCCTATTTAGGGTTTAGGATTTAGGCGGGTTCAGACAATGAATGCCACCGAGATGCTCTTCGCTGAGCGTCGCTGCGGAAGAAGATGAAGATGAATGCAATGAGAGAATGCTCGTGCGATACTGACCGCGCAGCAAAAGTCTGTTGGTCCAGGAGCACTAGAAGGCGGCGATGCGAGCACAGGTAGAAGTCCCGGGCTTGGATCATACTTAAGCAGACGGCATTTCTGCCTCAAAACGGCGAGAGCCACATCCCGTGACGTAGTTCTCGAGAGCAGTTGCTGGAAGCGTCGTTGACCCTGCCCCATCCCCGGAAGAACAACCCTGTCGCAAAAATGCCACCGCCCAACCTCGAGATGCCGACGACGAGTAATCGTCGGGATTTTAACCGGCAAATGCAGCGCAACGCGACCCTTGCGGCCCAGAATTACAGCAGCAACCGGCACCACAATAACTACCGCGGAGGTGGAACCACCCGAGGTGGTAACTACAATAATAATTACGGTAGAAACAATAACAACAACGACCTCCGAACGGATTTTAACAGCAATGAAGAACAGAAAATCCAGATCAAGCCCGACGAGTACGATCCGAAGACGCAAAAAGGGCGGTGGAAGTACAAATCCGAAGTCGGCTCCGGATCGTACGGAACGGTGTGGTGCGTGATCGACATGAAGGACGGGGAACCAGATGAAAAAAAGAAGACCGAGTATGCTTTGAAAGTCAGCAACTGGGTCCGGGGCTCGTCGTCTTCCTTCATGCTCCACCGCGAGTACACCATGTCGAAGCTAATCCATCAGTCCGCCTCATCATCTTCTACCGGGGGTGAAAATAAAGGGCATCCGCTGTTCATGAAGGTGTTAGAAGATCACACCTACTACAAGGACAACACGATGAAACAAGACTTGGAGTGTCAGGAGCCGGATTTTAAGGGCTGGAAGGGCAATTACAAACTGGACAAAACCACCTGGAAACCGGGGGAAAAAGTATGTTGTCATTGTTTTAAGGAACCGCAAACAGTATAGCCGATAACCATCTGCAGCTCCACCGGGTAGAGACGGCCCCTGCTCAAAGCGTGCCGCTTCTTTTTGCATGAGTGTCGACGTAAATAAAGAATTATCAAAACTGCAACTTTTCTCAGGTATGCTACATTATCATGGAGTACCTGCAAGGCCACAGGATGCGCGGGAAAAAGTTGGACCACGGCTTCAACTTGCAACAAATCCGGCAGATCATGGTGGAGTGCGCGGAGGGGCTCCAACATTTGCAGTCCCTTGTCCCTGAAAAGATGCCGCGCACGCCGAGCAGCTGCTTCGTCCACCGCGATATCAAATGCAAAAATGTCTGGGTCTGGAAGAGTGCGCGATTTGTCATGCAGCTTTTCCATGACCCATGAGGTCTGGAATGCAGGACCTAGCGTGACAGATTCCGCGCGATCTCTCTCATGCCTATCCTGCATGAGCAACGCTCTCCCGGCTTGGTCAAAACTGGACGACTTTTGGTAATCATGCAACACAGATTCTTGCATGCTTCAGATTTAGCCTGACAAGTTGCATTCTTCCAGACCCAGACATTTTTGCATTTGATACGCGATTTCCGGATGGCGAACCTCTTCTGGATGGGCAGCAAGTCGCGGGAACACGACGCAGCGAACGGCCACATCAAGATTCTGGACTACGGGCTCATGTATCAAAAGGAAAAATCCCCCCTCCCCATATCAAAACGAAGTTTCTGATGCTGGATTTGCGTACACAAATCAGATTTGTCTTGCTGGAGAGGACTGCAGGCCTATAATCAGCCTGAGCAGGGAGGTTTTCTGCTAGGCGCTAAGCATGGCAAACGCCTAGTCTGTAGGGCCAACAGCATCACAAACCGCCTGCAGAATGCGGCGGAGCCTGTGTAGTTTCGTTCCTGCAAGACAGAGATGATTTGAGGTCACAAATGAGCATTACAAATTTCCTGAGACGTGCCTCTTCGATATGGGGAGGGGGGATTTTTGCTTACGATATCATGGTATTCGCAAACAGCCAAACGGAAAACAATTTCAACTCGGCAATACACATGCCGAACGCGTGTTTCGATAACTACTGGCTGCCGGAAGAGGCCTGTGGGGTCAGTCGGAAGGGGAATTTCAAGTCCCCGTACACGGCACTGGACATTTTTTCCTACGGTGTGCTTTTGATGGAGCTCATGCACCCGAACCGCGTGCAGACCTTCAAAAAAAACACCGACAGCGAGGATCGGAGGAAAAAGTTCATGAACGAAATCTACACGCGGATCCGGAACCGGGACGGTTATCTGCTGAAAACGCACGGAGTGATGGCGAAAGCGCTCGGACTGGGGGAAAAAATTTTCAAAAGACTGACGGATTCCGATCCGGCGAAGCGACCGGACATTTCATACTTGGTGGAGGAACTCCGAAAGGGGAAGGTGGTGCGGCAGGAAGCTGGTGTTGGAGCCGTTGTTGACGCAGTAGAAGGTGGTGATGTGTCGATCAACTACAGCATCAGCGGAGCCGCAACCGCAAGCAGTAGCAGCAGTTCCTGTGCTGCGGCATCTTCGGGCGGTGGTGCGCATGATACTCCCTCCAGCGTTTTTGGCACGTTTCTTGCGGAAAACGCGAGGAAAATCACGCCGCGGGGTCTGAACGAGGAACCGGTCAGGCCGGCGGGCGAAGTTGCGGACGATCCCAGGCCGGTGTATTTGCGGCAGAATGAGATTTTTTGCGATGTGATTTCGCAGTCCAGAATACGGAAGCTGAACGAGAAAGCAAATGTATAAATCGATTTTTCATGATTTTCAATTTCATTTGGATTTGTAGTTCCTTTATTCATTGCAGTTCCTTGTTGTTTTTGGATGTTGTTTCGGATGGTAAACGATGGCGCCACTTAATAGTAAAAAGCCTTTCGACTTTTGGCAACAAATATGTTCAGAAACAACCTGCAAATTTTTCTCACAGCTTTCCGACAAGCGGTTTTGGGAAACGTACCGTGCCGGCTTCATCCAATCTTTTCTGGAGATAGAAAAGCGCGTGCAGGCCAACGAGGTCCGAAAAACGAAACCAGACCAAGCACATGACACCGAAGTCGCGGAATACGAGATGGGCGAGTACAGCCAGCTCTGCGCGCACTTCCTTCTCGGCATCCATGACGAAGATGAGAAGGAGCGGGATGCGGTGGTGGACTTTTGGGCGTTGCCTGGCAGCGACATGGACGCGCGGAGACCGTCGGCCGCGGGCTTTTCCAAACGCTCCACGGGGAGCAAAAGCAGCAAGGAAAGACTGAACAAGAAGTCCCCGGAACAAGAGGAGAGGAGAAGAAGGCTGGAAGCGTTTTTCACCGAGGAATCCAAGCTCTGGGTCGCGCTAGCCCTGACAAAAGAGCTGGACAAAAGATTTCCCAAGTACCAGGAGAAGAACAAAAACAAAAGCGAGGCTTTCTTCTTCAACATCAAAAATTCCGGAACTTCGCACTACTCGGCAAAGCAAGTCGCGGTTTTATCGCCCGAAGTTTCCGACGGAATCCGGGAAATCATCCAAAACTGCAAAGATGATTCGGGAAAGAGAAAGAAGAAAATCGAAGAATCGTTGCAGCACTTCACGTATGAAATGCAAAAATGTCTGGGTCTGGAAGAGTGTGAACTTGTCATGCTGTTTTTGGACTCTAAAAAAATTTGCATTGCATGACCAGCAAGAAGGGTGCAATTTGTGCCTCACGGACAGGGCATTTCTCATGCCGAAGGTGCATCAGGAAGCTCTCCAAAAGTCTGCGATGCTACGTCATGCATTACAGGCATCATGGGTCATGAGAAATATGCATGACAAATCTTGCATTCTTCCAGACCCAGACATTTTTGCAATCCATATCACCGGTCGAGGGTCGGACACAAACACGAAATCGCGGTCTTCCCACACATATCCTGGGCAAAAGCATTGTACTCGTACTAATCGCAGTCATGCAACACAAACTTCTTTTTCAAGCAAAATCAGCACGACAAATTCCATTTGTCATGCTGAGCTAATTTGTGTTGCATTACTACGTCTACGAGTGCGATATTTTTGCAGTGCATGACACAAATGAGGCCATTCTGATCGCGAACAAGCATGAAAGGGTGGAACCGGTTTACCAGGAGCTGCTCGAACGATACAACTCGGACGATTACAACCCGACGAAAGAGGAGGAGGCCCGGCTGTCCCGCGCACTGCACGCAAACAAGCTGCTGAGCAAGGACTTGCACGGCAAGGCGAACGATTTGATGGCGCGGTACACCACGGACATTGCCTGGATGAAGCCAAACGGAGGGGCGGACAAGTGGAAAGTGATCCAGGAAGAAGCTTTCCACGCAGGGATTTTTGCAAAGCTGGAGTTGCAAGAAGTTCCGGAGCAGTTCAAAAGTGCTTGTGTGGACGAGAAGCTTGACCTTGACGACGGTATTAAAGGCAAATCTTCTTCCTGCTGCATTGCGAAGTGCATCGACCTATGAAATGTAAAAATGTCTGGGTCTGGATGATTGCCAGGTTTGTCATGCACATTTTGCATGACTCCTGATGTCTGTGATGCATGCCCTAGCATCACAGATTTTGTGAGGGCTTCCTGATGCCTATACCGCATGGCAAATGCTCTTTCCGTGTAGCAAAACTTGGACTCTCTTTGCTGCTCACGCAATGCAGATTTTTTTAGAATCCAAAATCAGCATGACAAGTTGGATTCTTCCAGACCCAGACATTTTTACATTTGATACGACCTGCTCGCCCGGGTTGAAGAGGTGTACAACAAGCTGCTGAAGAAGCTGGTTTATGAACTGCAAAAGTATCGTACTAGTAGTAATTGCAATACAAATTATTTCCTCAGCAATGAGAAATAAGATTTCTAATGCGGGTTTACCTTAGGAAAAAAATTTGTAATGCGTGAATGCAATTACTACGACACGACTAGTACGATACTTTTGCACAGGATATGGTGAAGAACTACGCGAAAATACAGCCTGCCATGGGGGAATTCAGAAGAAAGCTCAACCAATACGTAAAGCAGCAAAAGTTGGAACAGAGTGAGAAGTTACGGGCGAACGTGGAGAGGTTCAAAACCACCATCAACAACTGGATCCAACGGGAATCCAACTACTTCAACGATGTGAATGCTTTGATGGAATTAGCAGCGGAGGAGTGCCCGGAGGCGGTTATTCCGAGGGTGGAGGATTTAGATCATGCACATCAACAGAATCCATCCACACAGAACTCCAGTTTTTCCGCACTTGGTGTTGTTCCTGGAGACCAAAGCACCAAGTCCTCCATTGCGTCTTCCATCGTTTCGGACCTAAATAGCCGTGTGGTAGAGCCATGGTCACGGGAGGAAGACCCGCTGTTGGTCACGTACGCTTACGGGGGAAGCAGAATCTTCACGACAGATGCTAGTGCGGGCAGTTCTTCAAGTGCAACGAGTTCTAGCAGCATCAAGTACTTCCCCCCACAGCCGGAGCGGCGGCACTTGCCGGGAAACAAGGGCAGTTGCAGTGTCTGGCTACTCGGAAAGGCTTTGAAGGATATCACGACCAAAGGTCGCGACGTGGAGATTTACCGCTGCGGAGGGGACTATGCATTGCAAAAGTAACGTACTGGTGTAAATTGCATTACAAATTGAAATTTTCGCAAGAAGAGAAGTTGAATTTGTAATGCTGTTTTACCTTTGGAGGAAGATTTGTCATGCATATTTACAATTAGTACGAGTGCGATACTTTTGCACAGCATAGGGACGAGGAGGTAGGGATTGGAGGGATAATGAGCGGAGGCGGTGGTACATCAACTCCGGCAACCTCTTCCTCGAACCAGCAGCAGCAAGCACAGCACCTGAGTTTACCGGTTGCAAATAGAACCTGGGAGGCGCAGTGGGCGTTCAGCAAGTTTTTTTCCGACGTGGTTCTGCAAAAACTTTTGGAAGACAACGGCTCTACTAGCACGATGATCAGCAACGACAAGAACTTCTCCGCTTCGAGTCATGATATGCAGTTCGACCAAAAACTCGACTTTTGGTTGTGCAGAGACGAACAAAATAGAAAAGAGTTGCGTCAGCTGTCCGACGTGATCAACGAATTGCGAGCCTCGCTCTTCTCGGAGGCAAGCTTCAAACTGATGAACTGGTCCGAACCCAATCCCATCCGTTATGGCGTTCTCAAATGTTACATTCTCAACTGTTACATGATTTGTAATGCAAAGCTACCTACTTGAGCCGCCAGGTGGTCCAGCTGCTTCGCATGACAAATCTGCGAAGGCCCAGACAGCACCTAAATCTGCGCCAAACTTGTAATGCAAAAGGCTCCTTTCACTTTTGCCAGTCTTGCATTACAAATTCATGTACCAGTTGAGAACGTAACATTTGAGAACTCCATACCCGTCCCGCGTTAAAGAAGCACCCGACCATAACCGCCCCCGGCGATAGGGAGAAGGACAGAAAGTATTAGAAGGAAAAATCCCCCCTCCCCATATCGAAACGAAGTTTCTGATGCTGGATTTCCGTACGCAAATCAGATTTGTCTTGCTGGAGAGGACTGCAGGCATATGCCAAGCCTCAGTCGAGAGGTTTTGACGTAGGCGCCTAGCATGGCAAATGTGTATGCTCTAAGCCCAACAGCATCACAAACCGCCTGGAAAGTGCGGGGCGCTCTCTGGACTTGCCTTCTTGCAAGACAGACAGGATTTGAGGTCACAAATGCGCATCGCAAATTTTCAGACGGATACGTTTTCAATATGGGGAGGGGGGATTTTTCCTCACGATAAAAAGCTCGAAGCTGCTAAACCGCAAAAGTCGTTGGACCAGTTACACCAGGAGATTCTGAAGGAGGTGTTTTCAGAAAATCTCCGGCACTTGTACCCGAAAAAGAACAAGAATTCCACAGCAGATCGGAGCTCTCTGGGCGAAAACTTGTCTCTCTGGTTGTTCTTCCAGCTTGCCGAGCGTTGCCGGGTCCTGTATGGATTGCAAAAGTGTCTGGGTCTGGAAGAGTGCAGGAGTTTGTCATGCAGATTTTGCATGACCCATGAGGTCTGTGATGCATGCCCTAGCACCAGAGATTTTGCGAGGGCTTTCTGATGCTCATACCGCATGAAAAATGCCCTCTCCGCGTAGCACATAATGCACCTCTTTTGCTGTTCATGCAATACAGATTTTATGTAGAGTGCAGAGGTAGCATCACAAGTTGCATCCTTCCAGACCCAGACATATTTGCATTTGATATCCTGCAAACCTTGTTCAAGTACTTCTACTCGAATCTGCAACCGGAGGAACAGGAAAGGTTTGCTATCCTGTGCAAAAGTATCTACTCGTATTGCAATCATGCATTGCAAATTTTTTTCTTGAGGTAAATCAGCATTACAAATTCTATTTCTCATGCTGAGGAAATTTGTAATGCATTTATGCGAATACGATACTTTTGCACTGCATATTTGCCACTCTGCCGCAACGGGGGAAGAAGGACATAGTGGAGCGCGAATTCACTTTGAACGAAGAGGAGCTGCGGAAGTGCGTCACGGAATATTTAGCGGAGGCCGCGGGGAATATCTACAAGTCATCTGGCCTGAACAACATGAACCAGCAGTACAACCGAGTGCCGCAGGTTCTCTATCAAAGTGGAAAAAGCCCCCACCCCATATCGGAAACGGAAGATGTGCGAATTTGTGATGCTGTATTTGAGTACACAAATCGACTTGTATTGCTAGAAGGCCAAGAGACGAAGCTGCGCCCAAAATTGCTGGTAATCTGTCATGCTGTTTCCCACTTCCAGTCGCCTCGTGTCATCCTGGAGCTGCAAGGCTTTCCCACGCTAGACAGCACTACAGTCCGCATCTTTTGCCTTCTAGCATCACAAAGCTAATTTGTGACCACGAATCTGCATCACAGATTTCCGTTTTGATATGGGGAGGGGGCATTTTTCATTGTAATATCCTCCTCCGCACGGCCGACGAGCTGGATGAGAAGTACGGACTAGATCACATCGTCGCGACCAACCTGGCGAGTTGCATCGCGAAGCCGCAGAACGCCACAGCTCTGTCCACGGCGAAAGTGTGCATCACGATGCCGCGTGACCGGCTAGAATCGTTCTCGAAGAAATTTGTTTCCCGCCGGGAAGAGCTGCTGAAACGGGTGCAGAAAGAGTGGCAAATCCGGTTGAAAGTCGCACTGCAGGATTACGAACGACTGATGGCCATGTCTGGTGCGGAACAACATCCAAGCGAAGGCACCAGCAGTTCTGGTTCCCCCGAGCAACTATCGGCGAAGCAAATCGGCGAAATAGTTCACAACATTCAGCCGGTAGCGATGTGCAAAATCATGTACCGACTCTATCACAGTCCGCACAATGAGGGAGCAAGAGCAATCTTCTGGTACGAACAGAAAATGGACTTTCACCGGACCACGTCCGGCACCGTAAAGTTTGACAACTGCCTGACCGGCGACGAAGCGAATGAAGCGAACCAGAAGATACTGCGGGAGTTTTTTTCGAATCGGAGGTTCGCGGTCAAAAAATACCATTTCTACAGCTTCGAATTCGAGAAGGCCTTAAAGATCGAATTTTCCCGGCTCGCTTTGAAGATGAACCAGGTGAGCAGCGGGACACTTGACGCGGAGGTGACGCTGCTGAAGGGAAAAGTATTGGAACTCGCTAAAGAGTTACACGACTTGAATCCGAAGAAAAGATTGCGGAGCTTATTCACAAGGGAAGAATTGGAAAAGAAAGAAAAGGCATTGAACAGTGGTGGTTTCGAACAGCTGCTGTCCGCGCTGGATGCTGAGATTGTTCACACAAAAATTGCAAAAGAGAAGACGAACAAAGATCGTGGCACGTCTTCCTCCGCGCGAAGATTCGAACTGCAGCAGCCGATAAGGAAGAGCAGTTTCATCGACGCAGCGTCGCCACAAGCAGGGCCGCGCGGCAGAAGTACGTCCAGTCATTTCCTGTTGCAGAACAACGTCCTGAATAGCAGCCAAGAAAACCTCACCTCTACTTGTTACGCCGGAGGACACAACAAGCCTTTTGCTCCACTTTTTTCACCAGTGCGGGAGAGTAGTAGTAGCAGCAGTTCAACATCCGACAGCGACGACAGTGTTGATTCGCCGGAAAGATTTGGCAAGCTATGGGCGGAAATTTGCAGCTTGAAGAAAACTTCTACAACGAATAATATAACCCCTGCTACTGGCGGAGTTGTAACGTCAAAGAATCGCGCTGTTGTTGCAGCGAGCACGAAAATTATGAACCGAGCTGCTGCAGCATCAAATGTACAGACAGCAGTACAACCACAGCATGGATTGAACAAACAAGCAATAGTTGCAAAGGCGAAACAACGAGCGCCCTCTGCGTCACCAAGAGCTGGTGGAGCCACGCCGCGGCCGCAGCAAGGTGCTGTTGTGAACGGTTTCACAACTGCTCTCAGCAGTGCAGCTGCAGGTCCAAACAATAATTACAAGCGACCACACTCTTCTTCCCCGTCCGGCGCACGGCCAGAAACGAAACTTGCGAAACCTGCAGGAGCAGGTCCGCAACGGGTTGATGCGACGCCACGAGGTTGTACTAACATGCAGCCAAGTATTAACTTCGCAGTGCCGATGGCGAGTCCGCGAGGAGCTTTGACGAAGCGGCAAGAAGAAATCGAGCAGCAGAAGCAGAGGCTAGAGATGATAGAGCAGCAGAAGCTACAGAACCAGCAGCAGCAGAAAGCACAGCAAATGAACCGAAGACCTGTTGTCCCGGCCGGAGGCACGTTTCAACCCCCCATGCGAGGTCGATCCCCGGCTCCCGCTTCATCAAGAGCGGCGCAACAACAGATAACTCAGCCATCTCCTACAGCAGGCATCATTGTGCTCGAAGACACGCCAACTCCAGCGAAAGCGAACCTGGGTAACAACGTTCGAAACGGCATAAACCCGCTTTCTCCCTCTGCGATCGGCGAGCCGCATCCCGAACCGGAGTCAGGATCGGATTTGGAGGAAGAGATAAATCCACCCGGCGCGGGGGCACAGCAAGCAGTTCCAGGTGCTTCACGTAAGAATATCCAACCACAGAAACTCAACTACGATCATGCTGCTAAGAACAAGGGCAAGGTTGTTGCAGCGCCAACTTCTGTTGCGGCTTCTTCTTCTCAACAGCAAACCAAAGGAGCTCCGCGTCCGTCTGTTGTCCCCGCTGCACATGCACAGAGTTCGTCCGTTGTAGTCGGCACCAGCAGTAGCAGCAGTAGTTCTAGTGTTGCCGCAGCAAGGAACATCCAGCCACCGGGCGCAGTTGCTGCTGCGGCACAGCAGGAGCGCAAGAAAGTCCAGGTGGTCCCGAACCTTGCGATAAATGCGCCCACTGTAGCTACTACTACGTCTGATGGTAGCACGCCGAAAGAGCTTCTTGTGCATGAGTATGGGGTAGTACAGTCGCAACAAAAAGAACAGCAACAGCTGCAACAAACCAGAATATTACCAAAACAGCCTACACCTCGAGCAGCAGCGACAACCACCACCCCCATCCAATCACACAATCAGCAAAACATAAGCAGCCAGCACCGCGCCAGCGTGACACCCGGCGGCTCCTTTGTGATGAAGTCCATGTCGCCCCGTTGGACTGCGATCGCGAGCAATGTAGAGGACTTCCGAAGCAGGATACGCGAATTGCACAAGACCTTACCCGCGGAGCAAATTGACTGGTTCTGTCAGACGATTGCGGAGTACCACCCATTATTGAAGCCCAGACACGAGAAACTCGACCTTCCGGCCGCGGTTGAGTTACTGAATGAGTTTTCCTATCACGCGAGACACTGCTACCAACATTACAACACCTACACCTGGATATCGTTTTTAGAGGATCCTTCGCGGAATGGAAATCCCCGAGCTTCTACCTCGAACAGCGACGATAGCGGGGGAGACGCGCGGGGGAAGTTTGTGAAGCCGCCGCCGAGACTGTTTAATTTAGAAAAGGAACAAACGAAAATCAAGGGCAAAAGAGAGTGCGAAGCGCTATGGGATCGGTGGGATCGGTTTACGTTGTTGCTCTGTCTGATCGAGTATGAACTGCAAAATTATCGTACTCATATTGCAATCATGCATTGACAAATCTTTGTCTTCAGGTAAATCAGCATTACAATCATGCTGAGGAATGCATTTATACGAGTGCGATACTTTTGCAATTCATATCGAGATGGTGATCGAGATTTTATCGACGGTGCTGCCGAAAGAAGCGTATCACTACGCGCTTGCGAAAATTCAAGTTTGGTGTTTGGAAATGGCGGGGAATAGTAATAGCAAGAATGACAAGCTTCTTGCGACCATGAGAAAGAGGATGAAGACACTGCTGCCAGGTGGAGATGTTTCGGTGTATTCTGGGGGAAGTGACGATTACCACGAACTCCATGCCTGGATGGTGTTTGCAAGGTTTTACGTGCAGGCCAATATGGACGAGCTAGAGCCGAAAGGTACAAATGGATACCGATACGAATACATTTTCCTCTTTTGTACTTATTAGAAGTAAGTGAAATTGTACCACTTTCAGTACATTGGTTGCCGTTTTTCTTTCTGTCAATGGTATCTCCTTGACAAGATTCGGGTTTTTTCTCATAACGAAAATTGATACAAAAACCAGCTCCCGGCGACATCGATTCGCTTTACCTTCAGTTCCGGGAGTTGCGGCGGCAAGGCCTGACTGAAGCGGCGCTTGCGTCGCTCAAACACCATGATCCGGACCACGAGCAGCTGCGACACAGGAACCTGCACACCGAGGAGAGCCGCCACTTTCTGGTGAGTAATCTGCTTCTCAACCCTGAGTACGGCTTGATCAAAGGTCGGGTTAACCGGCAACGGGCGGAAAGCGCAACGGTGGCGGCGTTTCAAGGGGAGCACGCGGTGAGGCCCAGCGACGAAAACAAGATTGTTGAGGATAGCAGTTCTTGTGGAGAGCAGGGCGAGTTCTTCACCGAGCACCAAATTGCGGAACTGACCAACTTCCTCTGCAACCTCCACGAGCGACTCATTCGGGCCCAGGAGAAGAGGGCGCGCCGGAGCGATACGTACCAGCGGACCGCGATTGGGCTGATTACCATGGGCATGAAAATTGGCCAGCCGCCTGCGATGGTCAGTCCGAACTATATTTCCTCGGCCGCTGCTGGTAGTGATGGTCTTCTTGGACAGCAACAGAACAATAGCTCTAGACGCGCCGGTGGGCCAGGCTTTGCCACGAGCAGCAGCAGTTCCGCACTGCCACATGGTCCGAGCGGCGTGCCGGTCTTGTCATTAGCCAACAACAATCCTGGCAGCAGTCCGGTGAGCCGCCAACAACTGGAAGCAGTAAGACAACAACAATTGGCCAACGTATCGCCAGCAGTCGTGCACGGGCAGTACGACAAAAGATTTGGCATTTCCCCGGGGGAGCAGGCGGTTTTACGGGAACAAATACCCGCGCCGGGGATAAAACCTCCAAAGATGAAAAATGCAAATGCGGCGAAACCAAATCATCCAAAGGCAAAAGCTGCCGCCTCTCGCCGTGCGTCAACCGCTTCTGTCGCCGCTGGTGCGCCTGTTAGTAGTAGAAGGGGGTCAAAGGAAACGCTGAAGCAGAAAATGGAACGACAGTACAGGGATGAGCTGTACGGAATAGAAAATGATTCGGACGAGTGGCTACCTCCGAAGAACCAGAGGAAGCCTTCGAAGCAACCCAAGGCAGCGGCTTCGAAGGCTGCGAATAAAGCGGGTCTTCTACCCGCCGCGAAGCATGGAGCGGCGGCCAGGAGACCTTCGACAGCTGTAGGGGGACCGAATACGCGAACCAATCAGCAACAAGCAGCCCCGCAACAGCTCGACGCGTCTGTGCTGGATGGAGATGAGTTGTATCAGGAAGAGGAGAGTAGTTCCTACGGTTTCGTCACGTCGAGAAAGCGCGTGCTCTACCACGAGTCACCTTTCAAGGAAAACATTCAGCAGCCAGATGCTTTTCACATCGCAGCGACAGATGAAGAAAATTTTGTTATCAATGGTGCACAGCAGCAGCAGCAAAATCCGGCTTCTGCCCGAAGCGCAGCTGGTCTTGTGCCGTCAAAAACAAAATCAGGCGGGGCCGCGGCAGCTGGTGGTAGCAGTAGCAGTAGTGGCGGCACAGGACCGAATACTTTTTCCAGTGTATCTTCGAACCAACTACAAGCAGCAAGTAAAAACAGGCTGCCTCGTGCCAGTGTGCAACCGCAGCAAAACGACCTGGGCAACCACAACCAGCGCGGTCGGCCTTCGGCCGCCGGCGGTGGCGGTCAGCAGCCATTGATCCGAGGGCCGAAGGCGAGCCGGGTCGCTGCACATAATGGCCCGCCTGTCACAACAAGCGTACTACCAGGAGCAGGCACAACCGGGAACAACATCAAGCCAGCTTCTACACCACGAAGTCATAACCAGACGAGAAACAAGCGGAGCACGGCGGCCGCTCGGAACAACAACAAAGATGCGAACTGTGTAACAGATGAAGAGGTCGCAAACCTACCACCGTTGATTCTCCCAGATGTGAACAGGATCCAGTATCCACAGCAGCAGTACCCGCAAGTGTTCGACAATCATGGCAACCCGGTTCATTCCCCCGAGGCGCCACATTACGTGGCAGCACCAAATTATGAACTGCACAAGTATCCTACTCGTATAAATGCATTACTAATTTCCTCAGCGTGACAAATAAAATTTGTAATGCGGATTTACCTCGAAAAGAAACTTTGTAATGCATGATTGCAATACGAGTGCGATCCTTTTGCACAGGATACAAATCGCAGAGGGGCGAGACAAAGCAGGGCCAGCTTCCAGCCCCAGTATCAACTGTAAAAATGTCTGGGTCTGGAAGAATTCATGTTTGTCATGCTTGTCTGGCATGAGTCTTACATCTGTCATGCACGTTACCCAAGAGCTCCGTTTTTCTGTGATGCAGAAGCGCTGTTTGTCATGCAGAATAGGCAACACCTAGGAGCTCAGAAACTTGTCATGCTGAGCCAGCATTTGTAGCCTCATCATGAGACGCCGCCCAGCATCACAAGTTTCCAGACCCAGACATTTTTACTTTTGATACCCAGTCTACGCATAGTATAATCGGAGGTCAGCACCAACAGCCTGGAATGCTTTTGAGTGGTGGTGCGAATTATCCAGTTCCGCAACACGTCCAGGCACAACTGCGCGCTCCGACGCCGCGAGGCAACAATCCAAGTACAAACTTCATGATGCAGCAAAACAATCTTCGTCAGCGCCAGCACGTCTCCTCGCCAAAGCTGAAGCGGCAGCGGGTTGAGTCTGAAGATTCGACCGCGGAATATCGGCTGTTTGAGAACAACCAGCAATTTGTCGATTTTGATAAAGGAACAGAGGTGGACCAGCATCTTCATGCTGCTGGACAAGGACAACCACAGGCACAGACACAGCAGGACAATCGACACCCGCGCTCTCTTTCGCAGCAATCGCAATCGGAACAGTCTGAGCCAGTGTGGGATCCAGATTTGATGGGAAACAAGAGCCTCCTGGAGTTGAAGCCAAGGTCGAAAGAAACCAACGATGGGGATAATGATGAAGATAGCAGCATGATCAAAGTGACACAAGTGGCGTTTAAGCAACCGAGAACAGCAAGGGGTGGAGAACAGAATCATGCGGCGGTGCAGAATCTGCAGCAACAATCTGCGTCTTCGTCGAGCCGAAATACCGGTTATTTCAGCAACCAGACCCACCTCCCCGGTGCGACGAGAAATGGCACCATGCAAGGCGGAAGTAGAGCCGGCGGCGCTACGCCTCGCGTTGGAGGTACAAGGCCTGGGGGTTCTGGTTTCACGATGAACTCGAACCATCACCACCGTGCCGATGAGCAGGAAATAAATCGACAGATGATGTTCCAGCAGCAGCAGCAGGTGCAGCAGCAAACGATGGCGCAACAGAGCAACCAAATAAAGCGTCCGGGAAGAAACGCTTTCGGGGCTAATGCTCGGAGTGGCATCTACGCGAAAAATAAAAGCAAAATAAATATCTTTGGCTGAAGGTGCTGCAGGGGCCGTCCGACGATGTATGATGTCCTTGCGCTCCCGGGCCTTGGCACATTTTGCTGGACCGAATTCGCAAAGATAACTCGATACTGTTTCAAAAATACATGCAAAAGTTGTAAACTCTGCACGATAGTACGCGTGGCAGGTTTTTTTCTTACTTGGAATATCAAGAGCGGAGCAAACAATCAATGCGAAAATAAACTCAACAGTTGCGGTTCGGAGTCATGATCTCTTCAGAGCAAAACTCAAAAGTTCAATCTTTGCAGCAGTAGTAGTGTCTCTTTTGCGTTCTTTTTTTGAACAAAATCTTCACCTTGCAACCCTTGTCTTATCTGTCCGATGTAGATATACATTTTCATTTTCCTAGTCCTGTTGTATGTTGAAACGGGCGCCAATGCCCTTCTGGAAGGACATCATCATCTGAGGAAATTGCTTTTATTTGATATGCAAATTATTATAAAAAGCTGCTTGCCGCGGCCAACACGTAGAACAAGTGCTTGGACGAGAAGCTCTAGCCAGCAGGATGTACTATCAGTATGTCATGTTCGCGCGTATTGCTGTTGCTTACGCCACTGCAAAGGCGATATGAGAAATTTGCACCTTTAGACAAGTCTAGAAGTAAGTCGAAAAAATAAACAGAGAAAAATTTGCCTAAACGACTCCAAATCGAATGAAAATTTCAAGGCCATCATGATGTTATGTTCTGTTGTGAGAGTGCAGTACGGCAACGGCTGCCTTTGATCAGAAAATGTTGCAGCGGAAGTACGAATGAATATCGGAAAAGTTTCAATCTGAATCGGTCCTTCGACAACATGTGGAACTTGGTGTCTCGGTTTTCTCAAACATGAAAGTTAGAAGTGAACTCCAAGAAGTGCAGCTTCTGCGTCCTTGACGATACAACTTAAAATGTCGGTTGCTCCTAGATGTGGATTTCCGGATGTCTGATTGTCATTCTGTTGTCGGTACTAGGAGGAGGAGAAAGAAGACCTCCAGTTGCATGCGCGCAGCTACACCAGCACGAAACATTGCAGATCCGAAAAATTGGCTATAAGTTTAAGTTCAATTATGATTGCATGGTTACGTCGCGGGTTGTCGCAAGATATGACATGCATTCTCTTGTTGCCACGACGAGCACGACTGCTCGATGGAAATTTCTGTGCTCCAAAAAAACTTTCCCTCACTTGATCCAAAATCACAGAACTCCAACGACCCATAAATTTGAAAAACGAAAAGGATCTACAAAGCGATAAACATTTTGTACGCAATATTTACGACTTCCACACGACCTTTTTTTAGCTGAGAAAACACCACTCTGACAAATTAGAGCGTAAATTTGTTCCGAAAAAAAAAAAATCAACGTACAGGGATTAGTTACATACTGCGGTATTGTGCTAGTCAAAGCTTTAGCCAGTTTAGTACATTGATATCAGAAGGTTTTTTTCATCTCTGAAACGCTTTTTTTATCTTACCTGCATACGCACAACGCTACAACTTTTGCAAAAAGTTGTACTTTTTTCTACGTTTATCTTTTTCGACAACTACCTCTGACTAACCTTGAAGTTTCTCCCGTTTTTAACGGCTTGAGAAACTTTCACAACCGAACAAAGCTCACTATAGGTTTTTACTGAATGTCGAAGCGCACCGCTGATCAGCGTGATACCGCCGCCGACACTACCGAGGAAAAGATGTACTCTTCTGGATACAGCAGCAACCAAGGTAGCTACGGCTACAGCAACGGAGGAGGTTACGCTTCTCAGGCCATGTACCAGCCGCAGCAGCAGTCCGCTCCGGGCCCGGATTGGTCCAAGGACTGGCGGTATCAACTGTAAAAATGTCTGGGTCTGGAAACTTGTGATGTTGGGTGGCGTCTCATGATGAGGCCACAAGTGCTGGCTCAGCGTGACAAGTTTCTGAGCTTCTAGGTGTTGCCTATTCTGCATGACAAACTGCGTTTCTGCATCACAGAAAAATGGAGCTCTTGGGTAACATGCATGATAGATTTAAGAGTCATGCCAGACAAGCATGACAAACATACACTCTTCCAGACCCAGACACTTTTACATTTGATAGGCGGTCCCCGGCTCCGCAGATGACCCCGTCCACCACCGGTTCTGATCAGGATCGCAACTCGCCTGCGACCAAGCGCCCGCGTCACGGAACTGCTGGCAACATGCAGGACCAGTGTCAGCACACGGTTGAGCAGTATATGAAGGAGAACGAGGTGGAAGTCCGCAACTACGACGCGAAGAACATGTGTCTCACCTGGGACGTATGCATTGCAAAAGTATCGTACTAGTATAAATTGCATCACAAATTTTGGCAAGAAGAAAAGGGGAATTTGTAATGCTGTTTTACCTTAGGAAGGAGATTTGTCATGCATATTTGCAATTAGTACGACTACGATACTTTTGCACAGGATAGGACGACTGCCCCTTCCCCGCGGAAATGACCCAGAAACTCCGCAACTTCCCGAAGCCGTCTGTGATCCAGGCTGCCGCGTGGCCGATCGCGGTCAGCGGGAAGAACCTGATTGGTATTGCGGAGACCGGAAGTGTATCAAATGCAAAAATGTCTGGGTCTGGAAGACTTGTAATGCTAAAAGTGAATGGTAGACGCACTGCAATACGCAGCTATGCATGACAAATTTTTTGGCTCCCATGTCTTACGTACTCCGCATGACAAACTGCGTTTTTGCATGACAGGTAAGAGGGCCTTTTCGTGCCAATGCAACGCAGATTCTGGAGTCATGCCAGACAAGCATGACAAACTTGCATTCTACTTCCAGACCAGGACGCTTTTGCATTTGATAAAGTGGAAAGACGCTCTCCTTCCTCCTCCCCGCGGCGATGCACTGCCAGGAGAAGCAGCGCTCCGGCCGGGGAAATGGGGGGTACTACGGATCCAGCGGTCCCTACGCCATGGTCTTGGCGCCGACCCGGGAATTGGTATTATAGGATTTTGGCAAGAACATGCATAGAAAACGTTTACATGTGAACGTGCTGCTGTACTAGTGATTGTCATCCCAATAAATAATGCGTACGTAAGTACACCACGTACAGAAGAGATCATATTGGCTTTCGATACGAAAAATGAAAATGTCCTCACGACAACATCAGAATCGTTATATAACAAAAAATGGAAAACAGGTCCAGCAAATCGAGCAGGAGTGCAAGAAGTTTACCACCCTGCGTTCCGCCAGTCTTGTCGGTGGTCTCCCGAAGGGCCCCCAGATCGGTGCTCTCCGCCGCGGGGTCGACATCATCATTGCCACCCCCGGTCGTCTGTGCGATCTGGTGGACATGCGGGTGTGCGATTTGTCTCAGGTTGACTTCTTCATCTTGGACGAGGCGGATCGCATGTTGGACATGGGTTTTGAGAAGGATCTCCGGAAAATCAACGGTATGCTCACCCGCAACAAGCAGACCCTTCTGTTCTCCGCCACCTGGCCCCGAGAGGTCCAGCGGTTGGCGCAGGACGTGATCGCCGAGGCCTACGGTGTCCGCACCCCGGAGGTCCGGATTGGCGGCGCCGGGGACGCGAACCTCCGCGCGAACCCGAATATCAAGCAGACCGTGCACATGGTGAATCATTACTCTGAGAAGAACAGACTCCTCGGGAACATTTTGGACGAGTTGAAGCGGGAAAACAATGGCGAACACCCATTGATTCTGGTCTTCTCCAAGACGAAGAAGGGGTGCGACCAGCTCGCGCGGGACATGCAGTACTCGATGCGGGTGCACGCACAGTCCCTGCATGGTGACAAGTCCCAGCCGGAGCGTGACTGGGCGCTGGAGCAGTTCAAGACGGGAAGGAAGCCGGTCTTGGTCGCGACCGACGTCGCGGCGCGCGGGTTGGACGTGAAGAACGTGAAGTGCGTTATCAACTACGACTTCCCAACGAACGTTGAGGACTACGTCCATCGCATCGGGCGGACGGGTCGTGGTGGCGCGTTGAACGGAGTGGCGCACACCTTCTTCTGCGAGAAGGACTGCCAGTATAGAGTTGTTTTGTGTTTTTGCATGACAGGCAAAATGTGTACTTCGTTTTTTGCATTACAGACTTTTTCGAATCGCGGCTTCGAAAATTTTGCTCCGTGTTGCAAATCAAAACGAAAATCGAAGCAATTTGCACAACAGGAACCCGGGCAAGTGCGCTCGCGAGCTGACTCAGATCCTGAAGGAGGCCAAGCAGGAAGTCCCGCACGAACTCCGCAACGTCACCTCATCCGGCTCTGGAAAGGGCTTCGGCAAGGGTCGTGGATTCGGTGGCGGCAAGGGCGGTGGCAAGGGAAAGGGCGGCTTCGGAGGCGGTGATCGATTCGGTGGCGGTGGCTTTTCGTCCGGTGGCTTCGGCGGCGGAAGATGGTAAACGAAAGATGAAGAACGATTATCATCATATCTGTGAAAGTGAAGATGCATCAACAAACTTATAAAACCGAAAGTACTTCTTGTTCTGAAGCACGTTGCTGCTCTCAGCAGGGCGTCGCTTTATTTTGGTAGTTACGCTACGAAATGGACAATGCTTTTTCTATCGAGATGCAAGCTTGTTCTTACGGAAAGATAGCGATCTACTTTGAAGAAGAACGGCATGATAAGCCTGTCCTCCGAGGAGACAGAGAATATGCGCCATTGCAACCCAAAAACAACATATTGAAGACCTACGTACAACACCTATTCTGATATCCAATGCAAAGCTAAACTTCGAGCTAAGGCTACTTTTTTTTTACAGCAATTGACTACAACTACAGCTTTCGTAACTATCCCAGCCTGTTTTTACAACATCGGTATTAGATATCGCAGTAGCTATCAGTCACGGCAGCAAATTCATGATTTGCACGACGCTGTGTCTGTGATAGCAAAGTTGCCAAGCGGTATCTTTTGTCAATCAAAAATCAAGGAAACTGAGACGATCTCTGCTACCTCTTTAAGGGCTTCTTTTCTTCACCGTCTGGACGCCAGTTCAACCACTTTTAGAAAGAAAAAACTAACCACCTCTACAAGCAAATGAAGAAAACAGCTACCCTTACTGAGCCGCTATTGCATCGCCTGTTAGTTTATGCCTCGTCTTTGTGACGCAGCAAAAACTCACAACGCGGTTACAAAAGATTTATCAAATGAAAGACTACTAATTTGAAACTACGAGCGACTGCAAATTGTGTGCACTTTCACTCGAAAGTCTTGAAGATACAAAAACGCGCTCCGCCTCAGTATATTTTTACCCCATTTAGAAGAGAAAGGATAAGGCTCCTGTGCCCGGTGCTTCTAGTAGTAATGCGTAGATGCGTCGGGAGTAAAAATTGAACTCCGGATTACACGATAATTCCGTAGAAGACGAGAAGATGTGTTGGTTTAAAAACTACAAGAGTATCACCCTACCCGGAAATATTAGGAAAAACCAACTCCATGATGGTGCACAGAAAGAATACTACTTCACGGAACTCTTTCACCTTACGTGCACGACTACACATTCATTCAAGAACACCGTTCTTCGTATTTATTGCGAACAAGTTCTTCTAGAGACGCAGTGCGATTTCGACAACGAAATGTATCCCGAATCGACGGATGCAGAATTTTGTCTTCGCAGCTGCGCTTTTTAAACCAAAAAAAACCAACATGCGACACTTTCAATTTACAGAGCCTATTTTTCATAATCAATGGAAGGAATTATATCGAAGTGGTGGAAAAAGGAAACAATTGTTTCTTGAGATTTTTTACGCGATAATTATTTCTCTTTCACACAACAAGAACTATCTTCTGAGACTTCAACAGGTCAGGTTTTCAAGCAGGGTGATCAAGTGCCTAGTAAACCGTTCTACTCTTTTTGTAATGCGGTCGGCGCAGGTGGCGCATCGTTGAATTTTACCAGGTATCCGAAAAATAGAAAAAGAGAAGAGGTAGCCCGTATGGAGTGTCGCTCCTCGGCTACGAAATCGAAGAGCGCAGTGGAGTCGTGTTCTGCTAAATCAAGATCCGGTATGTCCTGTATAGAAAAATAGGTCGTTGTAGCATGTTGTTGATCATCCCACGGGCCACTCTCTGGTACGACAAAGATCCTTGATCCAGATCCCGAAAGGCACAGATTCGCACTTCAAAATATCAAGACCTTGACACTATCACTATATATCTGAATCTAACGCGGCACCGAGGTGGCGGGCGGCAAAACCGAAAGCGATAGTTAATACCAGCCCCAACGCCAACATATTTTTCCGATGTAACAAGAGCTCGAGGACGTCGGAAACTGCGACGCACTACAGGAACAAGCGGTGCGCCTGACAGAAGATTCCGGATCAGCCTCCGGCGTGTTTGCATTTCACTATGCCCGGGCCCAAACTCCGTTGAATTTTCATCAACTCGCTGCCTATCTGTGCTTGCTGCAACAGCGCAACGACTTATTTGCGGTCGATTGTACTAATGTCGCGGACGAACACGCGGACGAGGATCACAGTCGCGTGGCACCGAACAACTACGTTGGCAACGATGCGGCTGCAGCAGAAGGCGGCGCAGCCCCTACTGGCAACGGCAAAAACACCACAGCCGCTACAGAGCTCCAACACGACAAGCCCTCCACAAGACGAGCGCAAGGACATCTCATTTCGAAGGAAGAAGCGGCGGCCCAGTTCCACCGCCGCGCCTTACTTCGCGAGGCTGGAACCGAATCCCGAAAAACCCGCTGGCTATGGGCGAGTCTCGGGATGATTGTCGGCCAGGTCCTGGTTTTGATTGCCGTCTACGGTGCCGTGCGGCAGCTATCCTGTGCAAAAGTATCGTAGTCGTATTAATTGCAAATATGCATGACAAATCTCCTTCCTGAGGTAAAACAGCATTACAAATTCCACTTTTCCTCTGAACAAAATTTGTGATGCAATTTATACTAGTGCGATACTTTTGCAATGCATAGCAGCCTGCGTGTAGCAAGTTCTCCGCGGACGTGTGCCCGTTGGGGACGTGGTGTCGGGAGAAACAGGGCATCTGCATGTGGTGTGCATTTTGGTATCGGTCGATGTGCGAAGAATTTCTCACAACCAACTCGTGGCGGGAGCACGTTGTGGATTGGTACAATTCCACGACGAGTGGAACAAGTGCAACATCGTCGTCCACTTCGGTGTTGCAATTATCTTCAACAGAGGAGTTCCACTTGTCCACGACCTATTTTACCCCCCGCAAAAAGCAGGCGGATGTCGTAAACAACCGAGAGAAGGATTCTCTCTCCATCGCTCTCGACGGGACGGAGGGCACGGACCTGCCGGGTATGTGTTACGGCTGCATGCGGGCGCTTCACGAACCAGATCTGAATCGAGTGAGCGTGAACCGTCCGGCCGATTTTGCGGGCTTTAACGCAAAGCGACAGTTCATCACGACGGAGAATGCGGACGTGTTGAATGTGCAAGAGCTAAACCGGGACGCTTACCTTGTCATTTTCGCGAGTTCGTTAATCGTTGCCTTGGCCATCTGCCGCGAGCTGAAGGACGTGCATTTGTGTCGTTTAATGATACTGCGTCACGATGAAGATGTTGATCATGATGCGCGAGCACTATCGACGTCCCCTGGAGGTTCTTCATCCTCGTCCAGAGTCAACAGGTTCATTCTGCTCGCCGGGTGCTACTTTCGCCGCTTCGGGTTAGTCGCTTTGGTGACGATGTCCATTCCAGCGCTGATTACTCATCGCGGCCGGGACGCGTTGGCGATTTGTGTGAACGCGGTGGCGATTTTATTCCTCCTCGAGATCGACAATTTTGTGTACGATTTCCTGATTTCGGAGAAACTAACCGGCAGCTTCGAAATCGCCACGCGGCTGGATCTGCACCTGACGCCGCAAGACGCGATGCAGTTGCGCGTGCAAAAGCTGACGCATTTGTGCTTTATTCCTTGCGCAGTCCTCGTGAATCTCGGCCTGGTTGGGACAACCTACGACACCTGGGCCATACCTGGGCACGCGGGTGGGGCCGTGAAAGAGTGGGCGATTCTGGCGATCACAATAGCCATGGCCACGGCGTTTCCGGCACTGATAGAAGACATCGCAGTTGAGAAGATGGCTGCAACTGTTGAACCTCCTGATGGGGCTTCCACACCGGTAAAAGATATTGGGCAACCTTACGCAGCCGGGGCTCCAACGCCAGAGAACAAGGGATCAGCTGACGCAGCAGCAGACGTTACTACAGTTCAGACGGCGACGAGGTCTACCAGTCGTACACGCTTCGAGGTCCTTGTTGCGAACTCCGCTCTAAAGCACCTGCTGGCCTTTCTCGGCAGATTACTGTTTGGCTTTGTTACAGTCGCCATTGCGAGTTTTCTAACATGGGCAAGGTAAGTAGGAATAACCGCATTAGTACCACATAGCTTGGACACCACGACGTTTGAGAGAGAAAGGCAGTTGAGCCGCTTTGAGGTGCCACTGTTTGGAGTAAACCTGAATTCGCCAGAGAATTATCGACTTTTTGTTGCGCTCGAAGATGTTGTGTTGCAGCTATGAATCTATATAGCAGTGGAACATGAGATGTTTGTGGTGGAAAATAAGCGAGAAAAAAGAGAAAGAGCCCCGATAGGAGAGTCGAATTTGTAAGTAGCGAGGAACAGGGAACGAGAGACGAATATGAACAGTCGTCGCTACAGCACCTATCTTCAAAACGAACACAAAATGATGTACAGTTTCAGTTTGTCTTTCATCAAAAAAGCGCGAGGTTTTGATTGTTGGCACGCAGGATCGGTTGTTTCGGCCCATGATACGATAGCGCCACCCGTAAGTGGGGTACACGAAGTAGAATCGTTCGCAATCCTTCCCGGAATGATCGTCGTTTTAACCCGAGATTGTTGTAGTTGTTTGATGCTGACTTGCGTATGGCAAGTTTGGTTTTTCGATCGAACTGCACATTCACCGACTTTTCCCACTTGAGAGCTGCACTCTTCCAACTCCTATCGTGAAACATAATGACTACCCCCGCTGCAGCACCACCTGCAAGTGCAGGGCAACAGCAGCAACAGCCCCAACAACCCGCCCCAGCAGTCCCCCAACCTCTCCCCGTGACGACTTCCACCGCCGCTGCAATAGCACCTCCTCCACCTGCAGTAGCCAATACGAAGGATAATCAGGACGACGTCGGCCCATTGGACAGTATCTCCAATGTCGGCTCTTCCGCCACCGCTTCCACCTCCTGGCAGGGAATCGACTTCTCTTTACGTCCTCCAAAACCGCAACTTGCGTGCAACGTCGAGAACTACACCTACAAACCGTGGTACGCGTGGACGCGCGAAGAGGTGGCGTCTGACAGTTCTATCAAGTATTTCAGAAGAAAAATAAAAGGCGTCGACTACGGAGATGATGACGATGAGGATGACGAAGGCGGAAACACGAAACATTCAACAAAAATCACCGCCGTTTCCTCCCTCGAGACCAGTCACGAAATCGCGCGGGAAAGGGAGAAACAGGAAGAGGAGCTGAAAGTGAAGCAGATGCTGCGGCGAAGCAGCTCGATTTCCTCTTTTGTCAACCCGATAGAGCTTTTTGGAAGGAGGAACAGCAGCAATCAACTGGTGATGCCGCCGAGCGGAGCAGGAGATGCTGACAAAGACAAGAAGGACAAAAAATCGGCGGTAAAAAACGACTCCTCCGACGGCTCGGTTTTGAAGCCTTCTTCTGCAACCGAGCAAGAGAAGAAAGACGGCCAACCGGCAAACCCGTCCGACGACACCACAAAATCGGATTCCAATGACAAGAAGGAAGAAGAGTTTTCAGACCATCCGCCCACCGTCGTCCACTTCGTTCTCGACGTGAACAGTTGGTCGGTGGAAACCGTCGAGGCGCGGGAAATCCTGCACGCGAAATTCACCTTCCACTGGTACTGGTGCGATGAAAGACTGATCGGCTACCCGCCGGAAAAAGATCTGCCGAAAAATGTCTGGCGGCCGGAAGTGATGGCGTGCGCGGGCGTATGAGAGTGCACAACTCCCCCTCGAGCCCCTCGTTTGTAGGGCATGGGCAGCAATACAAGCGGCGGCAACAGTGCAGGTTTTGAATGACAAATCCACCTCGGGTCGTAGTGCTGTTTGGGCTGCCAGAATCTGTCATGCAAGAAGTGCCAAGAGGCAACGGGCGCGTTTGGTAATTAGCATCACAAATGAGGTGGAGGGGGAGTTATGCGCGCTCATAGGGGGTGAAGGTGGACGAGAAATATGAGACGATGCCGAAGTTTCAGTCCGGCCCGCACCAGAAATTCAACGGAGAGCTGGAGTTGTCGCTAGTCGCGACCTTGGAGCCGGGGTACGACATGCAGAAGGACATCCAGCGGCTACGGGTGTTCCCCTTCGACAGTCTCCGGTTAGATTTATCCGTGTCCTTACGACAGTGCACCACTCCCCCTCCGCCTCATTTGTATTGCATCACCAGCAATGCAAACGCCAGCGGCCCTGGAGCCTGTGCATGACAAATCTATGTGCCTACTGTAGTACTGCTTGGGCTTTCGAAATTTGTCATGCAAACCATGCCACAGGCAAGCGGCTGCATTTCGAATTTTGGAAGACAAATGAGGGGGAGGGGATGTTGTGCACTTTCATAGCCCTCGCACAACCTGAAGCGGTTTGACGGCGTGAGCGAGATCCAACTCAGGTTAGATAGGAAGAATCCGGGGGGCAGGAAGGACAAAGGACATCCGCACCAGCACGTCAACTGGATCTGCACGAATAAGAACAGCGGGGAATACGAGTGTGTGGAGTTGAGATACGGGTTGGGGAGGTTGACGTGGAAGGAAAAAAGGATTCCGCAGTTCTTGTTCTCCTTCTCGTTGAAAAGAACCGCGAATTACTACGTGTTGAAGGGAATAATACCGCTGTATTGCTCCATGTTGTTCGGCGCCATGAATTATTTCACGGAGGTGAATGACTTGTCCACGCGGCTGCAGTCGTTATTAGCGCTGTTCCTCACCTGTTTCGCGATTCAGTGGACGTTGTTGGAAAGATTGCCGAAGTTCCCGTTTCTAACCGTTTTGGACAATGTCGCGTACTCCGTGGTGATCGCGTTGTTTTTAATGGGCTCCGGGTTCTGCATTGCTTATTACACTTGCAGGGAGCGACTCGTGATCGAAGACAGTGAAATCGTCTGCGGGAGCTCCACTAGCGGGTCCGCCAGCAGTCCGTCGATCGGACAGAATTCCCCCTCTGGCGGCTCCACCGGGCAAACAACGACCTCGAACGCGTGTGCAACCGCGAACAGTCAGTCCGGGGTGATGACTACGAAAACGACGAAGGATTTTTTCGTGCGGTTCGACTTGGACAAGGGGGAATTAGTGGATAAAATCTCCATTTTAGTCGTCGCCGTGTACGTCTTGATCTACTGCATCGGCTACAAGTTTTTTTACACGGTGTTTTTCAGTAAGAAAACGCGGAACGGGGGAGCGTACAGAGCGTGGCGGGACGGCGCGGATTTGCGGAATAAGTATCAAATGCAAATATATCTGGGTCTGGAAGAATGCAAGATTTGTCATGCATATTTCTCAGGACCCATGATGCCTGTACTGCATGACCTAGCATCACAGACGTTTGGAGGGCTTTCTGATGCGCCTTCCGCATGAGAAATACCCTGCCCGTGTAGTACAAATTGGATCCCTCTTGCTGGTGATGCAATACAAATTTTTCTACAATCCGAAAACAGCATGACAAGTTGCAACCTTTCAGACCCAGACATATGTGCAATGCATAATAAGTATTTTAAACCGATTCGGGCTTGGTGTCTGAAGCTAGATGACGCGTTCTTCCGCGGAGGAGTGTTTTTAGGGATGGGCCGAGGCCAAGGTCGCGTGGCCGCACAGGTCGACTTCATTCGTCGGGGTCCACCACCGAATGCGGAAACAGGACGCGTCGTCCGGGTTCACCTTTCTTGTGTCGTGCCGGATAAAAGTACCTCCAGGGCAGCCCTCGGCATTGTCCTCGTTGTGGTCGGATAATTTAGTCATGGGCCAGACGAAAGCCGTTTCACTGTACTTCATCTGTGCGGCAACGTGCAAAAACCAATCTGGTGTTTCGGTTGGATGTGGCACGGAGAGGACGGCCCCGTCGTTATCGCTTTTCCAATCCCGGGGGCATCTCTCCGTATAATCGTAGTCAAACACCAGCACCGCGGCCGGGTTACCTGCAAACGTCCGGGTCGTGAACGCGTTTACCACCCAGGTGTCGCACTTCAAAACCCGGGTGCTGCTCTTATTCCTATTTCTTGTTGTACTACCTGTCGCAGCGACTTTAGTCACGACGTCGTCAATACTTTGGTTTTTTGTACCAGCGGGGGACGGGTTTGGCGTTGGCTCCGGAGGTTCGGCGGTGGTGGATTTTTTCTGTTTCTTCGACATCCTGTCTCGGTTGTTGGGGTTGCGGAGGACAAACGATGAAATCGGGTCAGTCACATCAGTTGAAGCTTACACAAAGACGACAAAAACTACAGGGGGTTAGACTTATACTCCTCACCTTACCATGCTGAAAGAATCTGCCAGCTAGGTCATTGCAAAAGGGAAAAGAAAAAACCCGAGGATCAATTACAATTACAATTTTTCTACGATGCCAGGCTCCTCCAGCAAAAATGGAGATGGAACGCTACGTACCTACGGCGTCAAACAACGACGTTCTTCTCCACGACCAGTAGCTGCAGCTGCAATGACCACATCACAGCGGACGAGAAGGTCTTGTCTATCGATTTTTGGTGTCAGTCTACTTCAGTACATTGGTTGGAGATTAGGTGGTAGGGGTTGTTCCGAATCGAAAAAATATTACCGCATCTGCTATTTGGTCTGGTGTTCTGCTGCCTGCTTGACGGTCGAATTTGGTCCGAGGGTCTTTCTACGCGGTGCTTCTTGTAGTCGCGCGTGATTTCTCTCCTTTCGTCGAAGGATTCCAGAGACCGCACGCGCGGAATGCAGTCCCCGCCCGCGCCCACTACGATCCCGCAGGAGCTGCTGCTTTTCGAGCTGGTGCCCAGTGTCACCTCGGACGCGCAGCTCGTCATCTGGTGCCCGACCACGTGACAGCTGCCTGACTGACCCGGCACAACGCCGCCACTTCGCGACGACACGCCGAGTTGCCGCGTGCTGCTACACCTACTCAGACCGTTGCTATTACTGGAAGAAGGACCCCCGGGACCGCCTATGCCGCTCGTTGTGCCCGAGCTAATGAACCAGACGGGTTCTGGATGTTGTGCCCGAGCTAGATGACGCGTTCTTCCGCGGAGGAGTGTTTTTAGGCATGGGAAAAGAATGACAGAGTCTGTGAGGTCTCTTTCATGCCTATCCTGCATGAGAAAATCTCTCCCAACTTGGTCAAAAGTGGACAGCTTTTGGCACTCATGCAACACAGATTTTTGCATGATTCGGATTTAGCATGACAAGTTGCAATCTTCCAGACCCAGACACTTTTGCAATCCATAAAGAAGGAAGTGACAGACTTGAATATCGACTTGCTGGAACTGATTTCCGCAAATTCTAATGGAATCAATAGATGAGGATGACGAATGGTGAAGATGGAGAAAAGCATCAGAACTATTGAGACTCGCACAACTTCGAATCCGAATGTACGTTAGGATTTTTGCTGAGGCCGACCGCCGATCCTGAAATAGAGCTCGTTGACACAGACAACGAAGATGACTTCGATATGTTGCTGGGCGCAAGCTCCTGCGGGTACGATGATCTGGATGATCGCAATTGTACTTCTGAACGGTCGTCTGGTTCATCACCAGTAGAAAAGATAAAGCTACAAGAACTCCCACCTGCGATGCATGTTGACCACACAGGAGAGGTTGTAGAAGTAGCTCCTCTCGAGGAGCCAGAGGCAGAAGAGGGGCTCACGGGGGCTTCGCCTGTGGAGGTCGTCGCACAGAAAACTACTACACATCTACTTACCACTGGGGATTGCGACTTCGAGAACAAAATCAAGATCGAAAAGTCTTCTCAAGGAACAAACTGCTCTTTACTTCTCACTACTTGCTGGAGGCAAGGAAAAGTTCTCTCGGTGCCGTCGTGAGACAAATTATCGGATTGGAAATTGATCACTACAAAAGAAATGGATCACTCATCTTCGAGGGGAGTAGTAGAGGGCTGTCGGTTGTGCGGCCAGACGTCACGAATCGCCAAGATTGCTGACTAAATACGCGCTCAAAAATTTGTGATCATGACATCACTGCCCCACGACTGTTGATGTTGAAGTTGATACTAATGGGCAGGCGCAATACAGATTGATATTTTGGAAAAACCAAAAAATGAAACAGACTTTCGGCACAGGAGCTTTCATCTTTTCTGGGTTTGAATGATTCTCCGAAACTGAAACTGAAACGCTGCTGAAAACATCAACACTTAACTAGACTCACATAGTGAGCGCTGATATACATAATAAAACTACAACCCCTATTGCAACTGCTCAACTGCTTTTCCTAGAATATATATTTTTATTATTTGGCTGCAAGACCCGGTCTCTTTGATTTGTCTCTTAAAAGTTCTCTCGTCCCCTTGATTTTCGCTTTGAACAGCAGAGTTGCTTCTGACTTTGTTACCCGAGTAATTTATTGATTTCTCTTCGTTAGAGTGCTTCACTTACAGACGGTCTCGATAAAAATGAAAACGTTCTCCTTTGTTCGTCATGTCCTTGCAACGACCTCCGCCGGTGGCATGTTTTTCAACTTTCCTGGAGAAGTTTTGGTAGCTTTGTTGAGTGCGGAAATTTTTCAGACTACTCCAAGCACCACTAGCTACTTTCCCCAAACAGTGGTGGCTGTGCAATTTAGGTCTGGTTTACAGCCCGGAAGCAGCAGCGATGGTAGCAAGGGGAATAGGGGAAGAGGACGAGTCAGCGGGCCTGGAAGACGCGGAGGGCGGTCGCAAAGATTCCTGTTGAACAGGGAAATGCGGGACTACGTTGAGAACGGCAACCTTTCAGGCGCGAAGGGTGTTTTTGAAGATATGAAACAGATAGGCGTGAAGCCGGACGTCGTCAGCTACAACACGTTGCTGGGCGGCCTTGTGTTTTTAGGCATGGGAAAAGCAATAGATGACGCGTTCTTCCGCGGAGGGGTGTTTTTAGGCGGAAAGCTTTCCGGACGCGGAAGGTGCTGCCATTCTTCTGGTGCATTTCTCCCCCTGCCGCCGCTCTGATGTCTGCATCGGCAGAGTCGGATGTTGAAGATAGCAGATAGACAGTAGCTGCGTTTGTGATTTTCGGTTTGGTCAATCCAACAAGTCCATCCGAGCCCGCAGGCTTTGTCTTTGGGGGCTAATGAGGAAATATCGCCAACATGGAAACTGCCCCGCGTGGCTTACGCCATTGCGGAAGTTTTTCCTCATTTGCCTGGTATTTGAAAAGATGTCTGCTACCAACCCTACCAGAAAGTATCGCGCGATGCTAGCGAACGCTATTACAGGTTCTGGCAGTTTCTGGGTAGAGGTATCCCGCGATAAAGCGGAGGGCTCAGGTCTGTACCTAAGTAACGAACTTGGGGGCATTAGGAGTTTTCTTTGTCTAGTTTGTCTTTTGCGCTGGGATTCATTTCTCACTGACATGGTGGCCGAAGTTTCTACTCGTATCCGCAAAAGCAAGCTCGAGTATGGCACCAAGCGAGTGCTGCAGGTGTTTCTGCAGTCCGCACACTTTCGCAATTCGCGCATGACAAACAGGGGCAATACTAGCCTTATCCCGCTTCCCGTGTCAATAAATAATGGGTTTTCTGACTTATAACTAGTCATGGTAGAGATTTTTACGCTTTGGGGCAACTTTCGCAATTGCACGCAACCACCACCAAAGCTGGCGCTCACAGCTTGAGGAAAAGCTTTCTGTCGATGGGATCATCGGACAGATTGAATTAATCGCAGGGGAGTGGGGATCTAGGACGCAAAAAATGCGTCTACCGCCCCAGAGATGGGGCGAGACGCCCACATGTTTGAAGCTAGATGACGCGTTCTTCCGCGGAGGGGTGTTTTTAGGGATGGGAAAAGAACTGGAGTGGGACGGGGTGGAGACCATGAATAATGAGACAGAACCCGTGATTGTGAGTTTTTAGAAGTAGTAGAGGAGGTTCTTGTTGACGTGGTCACCGCAGCTGTAGGCAGAGTTTGAGTTACTTTCACAGCAGTTCTTGCGTGTCCATGCCGTCAGCAGCACGAGAAGTTGATGCTTTTGTTTCGTTTCGAGAAGTTGGACTTGAAATTGAAGAGAGCGCTCTTGAGAATTTGTGATCTTGTTTCAAGAACACAGAAGTAATGACGTTTCTAGAAAAGAAAAAGTTCTGACATTCTTTTCGAAAGAAAAATGACGATCTGAATCAGCTTCAGACGCAATCACAGCAGCGCTCTAGCGACCGAACCTAAATCCTGTTCACCACGAGCAATCGGTCGTGCTTGAAATTTCTACTAGATCGTACTTTCCTTCGGTCATATCTCTGTGAAAGTCGACTACACGTAAAAGAGGATCTTTAAATCGTGGCTCTTTCATCAACACCATGAAGATAGAGCTCAAGAGAACTGTCCTGGATCAACATCCCAGCAAAGTGAAACGCGATGGATCAACATTCCAGCAGAGTGAAACGCGATCTAAAACAATTTGTTGGTTCAAACGCATCTTGATTCGGAGAGGAAAAACCATTTCACGAATGATCTGGATCAAATCTAAATGTTCTAAAGATCTCGACACTGCGATGATCGCGATAGACAAGCCAATCAATGCCACTCGCTGAGCTAAAAACACGACCTTGTTCCAAAATCCATATGCCACTACTATCACCTCCCCGTCCTTCTTTCACAACTACAGGGAAACTAGAGTGGTAGAATACTTTTTGGTATTCTGCTTCTATTGTCTGTACCTGGGTACATACAAATCATTGAACCTGAATCAGTACTTCAAACCCTCCACAAACCACACACAAAATGGCCACTGCGCGCCCGACTGTGTCCGTCTACCTGGCGGAGAAGCCCGGTGAGACCGCGAAGAAGGCCATCTGCCTGCCGCAGGTGTTCTCCGCCCCGTTGCGCCCGGACATCGTCCGCGTCGTCCACACCAACATGAACAAGAACAAGCGTCAGGCTTGCGCCGTCAAGAACGAAGCTGGTTACGACACCGCCGCCATCTCCTGGGGAACTGGTCGCGCCATGGCCCGTATCCCGCGTGTCCCGGGTGGCGGTACCCACCGATCCGGACAGGGTAAGAAGAAGATGTTTTGCTTGCTTTGCATAGCTACAGAGATGTGGTTGTTGTGTTTCTAAATTCCGCGTGACAGGCTTTTGATTATAAGCAACGGTTTTTGCATGACACCGAATTTCAATTTCTATTGCGAATGTCGCACCAACATCTATGTCGTTCTGTCTTGCTGATCTCGCTTTATCTAAATCTAAATCCTATAACACTATCAGGTGCTTTCGGTAACATGTGCCGTGGTGGTGGTATGTTCAACCCGACCAAGACTTGGCGCAAGTGGCACCGCAAGACCAACGTGACCCAGAAGCGTCACGCTCTGGCCACCGCTATCGCTGCCACCGCCGTCCCGGCCCTGGTCATGGCCCGCGGTCACCGCATCGAGGAGGTATAGAGATTTTCCTTAGCACGTCACATTACTCATGCGTTTCTAAATCTAAACCTGCTTCTAGACGGAAGCTCGATGTCCAGTCCTCGCGCTCTACTTGATATCTGTCATGTGTAAATGGCCATCCATTTTTTCACTATCCTCAGGTCCCGGAAATGCCGTTGGTTGTCTCCGATGAGGCTAACAAGATTGAGAAGACCAAGTCCGCCGTCGCTTTGCTGAAGGAACTCGGCTGCACTGCCGACCTCGACAAGGTCGTGGATTCAAAGAAGATCCGTGCCGGACGCGGAAAGGCCCGCAACCGTCGCTACGTCATGCGCAAGGGACCGCTGGTCGTCCACAACATGTCCAAGGAGGCCATGACCACTGGTATTTCTGCTTTTGATTGTGCTGTCTTCACGCGTGGTTCTTCGCGTATGAGTGATTTTTGCTGGAATTTTCTGGTGCTTCTGAGAGTTGTCACGGGAGCCTGGTGCTGTCGAGAGATTTATCGGAAATGATCCCACTGTGTCCTTATGATGACACAAACTTTGGGATCAACCATCTGATTCTGAAGCATGGTGTCCTCTCGCGAGGATGCCGCGTTTTAGCAATCTGTGATTGATTCTAAACTTTTGACAAGCATATGTCTGATTCTGTAATAATAAACCGTCTGTCATACCGTTCTCTTCGCTATGATGACACTTTACGGATCAACCATCGGACCTTGCGTCAGCTTTGGGTGAATCTTTAAATCATGACAAGCATATGTCTGAACTTCTCTTCTTGCCATCCAGCATGACAAAGACGTCGTTGTATGTCGTAAACCGCAAGACAAATTTAGAACTTCAACCCCATAATCCTCGTTTCTATCCACACAAAAACCACAGGTTCTTCCCTCGTCAAATCCTTCCGCAACATCCCGGGTGTTGAGGTCTGCCACGTCGATCGCCTGAACCTTCTCCAGATGGCCCCGGGTGGCGCCTTCGGCCGCTTCGTCATCTACACTGAGTCCGCGGTGAAGCGCCTCGGTGAGCTGTTCGGCACCTACAAGGGTGGTTCCACCTTGAAGAAGGGCTACACGTTGCCCCGCGCCATGATGACCAACGCCGATATCGCCCGTATCATCAACAGCAACGAGATCCAGTCGGTGTTGACCCCGCGCAAGGAACAGGCCAAGTACTTCCGCCAGCGCAAGAACCCGCTGAAGAACAAGTCCGTGTTGGGCCGGTTGTGTCCGTGGGCCGCCACCGCCAAGCGCGTCGCCAAGTTGGCGCACGTCAAGGGATCCAAGGTATTAAAATTGAGAGCGGATTTTTCATTAGAGCTTGAATGAAGATGATGGTGTTTTAGGAGTTTGTGTGAAATTTAGGTTCTCGTTGTTATCCTGCGGGATCGATGATTGTGCAATAGAAGAGTGATCTGTCATGCAAAAAACCTATCAGGTCCAGAAGTCCATCGCCGCCAAGAAGGAGAAGGCTTCCGCCAAGAAGGCTTCCCTGAAGGCGTCTTCCCGCGCCTACTACAAGGAATTGTTGGCTGCTTACAAGCCGGCCGTGGTCGAGACCGAGGCTGCCGAAGAGGCTTAAGTGGAGTACTCAGATGGAACGGAAACTGGAAATTAGCTGATAGTTTGTTCTATCGGTTGATAGTACGGGAAGAAGAGTCTGATGAGATTTCTACTGTATGTATCGGAGAAAGTAGCGAAATGATTTCCAAACTTGACATGGATTTGTCAGTTTTGCGAAAGAATAGCTGCTGCGGACAATTCAAAGCTGTGGTTCTTTGACGATCACCGATGACGAACATTGACTATATGGAGGACACATTTGATTCATGATTTGTATTCAGGTTACGTACTGAAGGTACTAGAAGACAATAAAAAAAAGGGAGTGCTGCAGCTGTAGTAGAGTGCTGGTTGCACCATACCAGTTGGTTGTGCAACTCAAATACGTGTTCTTGCTAATAGAGGTGGAGTGAGGTGGATAGAGTGTTATTTTGTTTCTGATGAAATTTATTACCTCGGTTTTGGTTCCTGACGAAGCACGTCTGCTGAGCACGTGATGGAAAACTAAGGAGAGAAGATTTGGACCCTAGACGGGTCGTTTAAGTCATTATATCAAAACCACTGAAGAGTCATGGAGCAGCAGCTGGAGAGATGAAAATTCCATTTTTTTCCTCGAAACAAAGCCACCAGGGAGCCCTGTTTTTGTAGCTTTAGGACGGCAATATCAGCCCAGTTCGCTGTAGGTTTGTGGTTACTCAGTGTCAACTACTTTTTCTTCAGCGCGGCTTTGACAGATTACAGAGTCTTTGAACTTTGTCGTCAAGACGAACTACCTTCAGAATGTCAACTTCCTCTACCGACGAAGCAGCTTCCGGCGGACCACGCTGTGCCGGCGGCAGCTGCCCCTACTCTGCCAGCAATCTGAAGTCCTCCTGGCTCGCCTCCATGTTTTGTCCTCACATCAAGGCACAGAGCCAACAGGTCGCCGGATCTTCCTCTTCCTCTTCTAACCCCTCCCTCCCCTCCCCGCGCAATCTCGTCCAGGCCCAAGAAATAATCCAGCCGAACAAGCACGAACAAGACATCACGAATCTAAACCCGAAAACGATGGCGGAGTCGCGCGGGTCCAGGTTGAACAAGGCGCTTCTGTCCGGTTCCTGCCCAATGATGCGGGGGTCGGGGGAGAAGGCGGCTTCGCATGGCGACGCTGCGGTGGCGGAGGATAAAACTTTTGAGCAGATGAAATCTTTGGAGGAACAGCAGTTGAAGCAGATCCAATCCGCCGGGATCAACCCGAGGAACATGATGCCGATCATGGCGAACCAATCTCTTCCTTCCGATAAGGTTGCGTTTGACAAATCGAGGGAGGTTTCCTCTATCCCGAAAACGGGCGAATCCACTGGCACCACCTGGGTCTACCCCTCCCCGCAACAATTCTACAACGCGTTGAGGAGGCGCGGAAAGGTGGATGAACAGGATGAGTTGGAAAAGGGCAACACGATGGACAGCATCGTTTTTGCGCACAACGTGACAAATGAACAAACGTGGACAGAAATTCTCGATTGGGAGCACAAGCTGCACTATGACAGGTGTAAAGATCCGACGTTGTTGAGCTTCGTCGGAAAAAGCGAGGAGCTGTCACTCGGAGGGTATTAAGGGTGTTTTTTTTGTTTTTGTCAGTTGACACGAAAAGCAGTACAGATTGGTTTTGTGCTAGTTGACAATTATTCTCCTGCGCGAGAATTTCCACCGTATTGTCCCTTCAAAAAAAAACGCAGGCACTTTTCCAACTATTTCCGAGCCCGCGGCGCGCCTTTCGATCGACATGATTGGCTGGTAGATCGTTGCGGACTTGAGCAGGTGCGGTACATCATTGACTACTACGACGATCCGCATGCAAACGACCAACACGGACTGGACATCTCCTTGGTAACCCGGCCCGCTCCGGATTCCGTCCAGAACGTTTGGGACATTTTGCGAAAGCCATACTACGATTACTTGGAAAGGAGTAAGGCTAGCAGTAGTGGTGGTGTTGGTGAGGCGGGTATGGAGCCAAGTCAGAAGTAGGAATCAAAAGCCGGTGGAGATGAAGTGAACGATTTTTCCAGCAATAGTGTGACACTTGGTTCTTTGAGGCGTGATAAAATCGAGATCCAACGATAGGGAGCTTCTTGATGGGCTGCAATAATATGGGAGTTGTGTCTAGTGCAACTCTGTTGTACTTGCGAAAAGTCGATTCTTTTTTCTGAAAATGAAGTGAACAGTTTTTCAACAGACTGAGGGGGGAGATGCACAAAAACACCAGTATTCTTCTTTGGTGTTGATCCGAAATGAACAAGGTGCGAGTAGTACCAGACAATCTCAGACTTGTGCAGTAAAGTCTAAGATTAATTTTCCAAATTCCAACATAAAAACCATACGAACAAAAGAAAAGAACGCCTCGCTCAGCGAGCGCAGCTAGTGCGGCACCATGCAGTTTTTGGTTTCTGCACTTGATGTGGTGTCGGTGTGTCTTTTTAAATTACGAGGCAGGCCTCGCTTAAGGTGCTTTGCAGAAGAGAATATGACGCTGTGAGACCCAGAAATCAATGGATTCCGCTCGGGAGACGTCGTTTAAGGTTTCCCGGAAAACCTTCGGCTTAGGTCGTGCTAAAGTGTGTCGCAATGCAACCGAAAAGGCGGCGCGCGCATGGGCTCCGCTGCTGTTTGTGTACACAACCGCGCCGCGTCTGTGTTGGCGTCTCGTGTGCTTAAATCGCCACAGTCTGCTGCGGATTGCGAGCAACCTGGCGGCCCCGGCAAACCGGCGCACATTTTCCACGGAGGATTCCGGAGGGGATTCCGGAAGCCCCTCCGGAATCCTCTGGCCCAAGTTGAGCCGTCTTTCGCGCCCTTTTCCCGACGGCACGCCCTCGATTTCGGAAGAGGATTCCACAGAGGATACCGGAGAGGATTCCAAAATCCTCTCCGGAATCCTCTGGCCCAAGTTGAGCCGTGTTTCGCGCCCTTTCCCCGACGGCACTGCCTCGATTTCGGGGGAGGATTCCACAGAGGATTCCGGAGAGGATTCCAAAATCCTCTCCGGAATCCCCTGGCCCAAGTTGGCCCGTCTTTGGCGCCCTTTCCCCGACGGCACTCCCTCGATTTCGGGGGAGGATTCCACCGAGGATTCCGGAGAGTGATTCCAAAATCCTCTCCGGAA